AAGTGTATGTGTGCGTGTTATGTGCTTATGTATGTAGGTATTAATACTTATCACGCCTTCCCTTTTGTATTGGCACATTAATCCGTTAAGCATTTAAGCAAAAATAAGGTAAAAGCGGCTTAAATTTGGATATAAAGCATAATGTGTGTTAGCCAATTGAGTCCAGTTCACAATTGAATGTCCATCTTTCCCCTTGTAACAAAGGTAAAAAAATAGACTAGAAATGTCACTTTTTTTTCAATCATTTTTATGTATTTACTTTGCAGCTTAAGATGATTATAATGATGATGATGAAGAAGAAGAATATGAAATAACAATAATGATAATTTTTCAATTCGTTTGTTAAATTTCATCTTCTCCATTTATATTTACCTGTGTATTTTTACTTATGTCTTTTTGTATCAACCTTTTCCCTTTACATTTTCCAAGCAAAATCCTTTTCAAAGTTGGTCAAGTTGTTCAGGTCACTTTTTCCACTTATTTTTCATCCATATCATAAGAAACCTCTTCTGGTGACCACAATCATCCTCATCATCACTACACTTTACTCAGTGTCCATCATAATTTCACATTGAAAAAAAAGGTAACATTTTAAATGGTTAACAATAGATAACACTTTGAATTTTTCATTCTCTTACCTGTAAGTTTAAAAATGTAACATATTATCTTACCTGATGCAAAGATGATAATAATTTTCTGACTCCCTGGTGAGTTTTTTTTCACCACTTACTTTATGTATTTGTATCTTCATCAAAACGATACTTTCATCATCATCATCATCATCATCAACTCATGACAGGTAACACAATACCCAAGCATACACATTATTAGCCCATCTCTTCAACTGATAATCTAACCTTTTTATTCAGAATTTAATTGTCAACAGTTTATATATATAAAGCGCATTGATAATTGTCAATCATAATTGAATATGTTATAACAATTATCCCTTACTGATGACAATCAACATATTGATTTAATGTTTAATTTCAATTATCAAGGTAACCAGATGGATAAACCAAGGTAAATGTACCAGTATTATAACGAATCCAGGTTATGATTTAACTTTGATTCAATTCTAATTGTTATTATCAACAATTGATTGAAATTTGTTAAACACGAGACAATCTCCTTAACCTTTTCATTTATGATCCTCATCTTCATCATCAACAACAACATTTAACATCTTCCTTCCAGTGGTTATTATACAAAATATTTTATCCCAAAATGATGATAATAATAATGGACACTTGAAAATTATTATTACAAAAGATGGAAAAAAATATCTTCTCACTTTCCCTCCCCAAATATCCTCCTTTCATCATCATCGTCATCATATAATAATAAACATAATATTTGAATTGAATTTTTTTTTCTTCATATATCAGTTGAGATGAGGATGAAAATGATGATGTCTCCCTCTCATCATCATTATATATGCATTTATAATGATAAAGAATAACTTACAATACCTTTTTTTCATCATCTTCATCCTCATCATCTTTTTCTTGGGTCTATCATTTTAAGTACACTTGACGGACTTTATCCAGAAGAAGATGATGAGAGGGAAGAGAAGATAGAGAAATAGAGAGAATCCACTTGAGAGAGAGAGAGAGAGAGAGAGAGAGAGAGAGAGAGAGAGAGAGAGAGAGAGATGATGATGATGATGATGATGATGAAGGAAGAAAAAAGGAAGACTGTTGTGATGGCGTTTCCGTTGCTTGTGCGGACGATTTTTCTTCTTCTTCTTCATCATCACAATAATAATAAACGGATCTTCATCATCATGGATCTTTTTTTCATCATCTTTCTCAAGAGTTTATCTCTCAACCTCCTTCTTCCCTCCCACTTGAAAAAAAGCTCCACTTGAATCAATGAAAATGGAAAAAGAAAAAGTTTCACCAACAGACTATATACATCATCCTCCATCCTCTTCATCTCTCTCATTTTTATCATCCTATATTAATGTAAACAACATGCAACTCTTTCAACTTTTTCCATGTTATTATTACTCTGAATTGCAGATAAATAACAATACAATTTTAAGTAGGACGCACATTCTGTTCAAAGTTTATGTCGGAGTACGTGCTTTAGCACGGGTAAGGTCAGAAGTGGTTCTCATCAATTCTCATCATGTTAAGTGTCCTCTCTCTCTCACTCTTTCTGTATCTATGATTGTTGTTGTTGTTGTTGTCATCAGTAGATGAAGATGAGATTGGGTTACCTCAAGATTGGGTTTTAATTTAATTTAAATCTTGTTTTTTTCTCTCAATTTCATTTACTCTTAAGAGTCTATGTATCTTTGGTATATTAATCCGTAAGTCAATATTGTACCAATGATATAATGAAAATATCAACAACAATCAAAAATTTAATTTACTTTTTTTCCTCTCAATTTGAAAAAAAAAATTCGCAACTATAAATAACGATTTAAACTTCAATTGGTTTCAATTCAATTCCTCTTGAATTTAATAGATTTGTGTATTGGATAAGATCAAGATGATTCTGGATCATCAATTGGATACTTATTGGTTGACAATTATGTAACAAGGATGAGACTGGACATTTAATTGTTGTTGTTACAAAATTGATTAAGAAATTAATATAATGATAGCTCTGGTTATATAACTTTTATGCAAATCTAGCCAAGAATAGAATTGCAATTAATAGATTGTGAACATTTTAATTTACTCTCTTTTACTTCATCTCTCCATTATCTAGAATCTGTTTAACATGAAAGTGATGTTGATTGTTTGTCTCAATTAGATTTCAATTGATTGAGTATTTTCATGATGCTTTTTCATTAAGAAATGAGATGAAGGTGGTAATGGTGAGAGGTGAAGGCAAAAAGTCAGCAAAGAAAACTGATGAGATGAAATCTAGTGATGAGGATGCTAACTCATTTGTAAGATCAATTGATTTTTCATCTTCATCTTCATCATTCATCACAACATTTTGTCTTTTTCTCTTCTCTTCTCTTGAGGTAAAACTTTTTGTATATTATTATTTGGATAGAGGATAAGGAGGAAAACTAAGAGAGTGGTGATGTTGTTGGTGGGGAAGAGGATGATAAAGAAGAAGATGATGATGAAAAGGATAAGATGGACAATGATATTATTATGATTGTTTCGTTCATTGTCCAAGAGATGATGAAGAAGATGTTTGTTTATATGCCAATCAATTGAGCAAATGCAAAGAAGATGATAACAAGGATGATAAGGTAGTGGAGGTGGAAGATGATGATGTTGATGAAGTTTGAATTTCAAGATGAATTTTTTTTTCTCCTTTTTTTTTGTTCTTCCATTGAAATAACATATAACAGTTAAATTAAACAATACTTGAGATGATAATCATTTGAATCATTGTTTGATTTTGTAATCATAATTTATCATAATCATGATTAATTTCAACAATAACTGGTTTATTTGCGCGAAACAATTAGCTAACAATTAACTATCAACCCCAACAGATATTAATTGTAAATGTTTCAAGTTTTTCAGTTTTTTTTTGCTAATTCATTTTGAGCAGAAATTCAATCAAGTGAAAAACAATTGATTTGATTAATTGTTACTAATTTTTTGTTTAATTCAATTTACAAATTAATATATTTACACATTAATATGATAGTAATAATTAAGTTTCATCTCTTTTATTTGATTTGATTTGATACCAATTGTTTGTAGTTATTTAAATTGTTTTAATCCTTTATTGTTTATCTTCATGATTGAAATTAAATCCACTGGATTGAATTCAATTGATTCATTGTTTCATTTTGTACGATTAGTTTTATATTTGATGAGCTGATTATTAGAGTATGATAATGATGATGATCAGATGATTAATTGCAATTTAATTGTCACACCATTTCGTTTACACAGGAGACACACTTCAATCAAGATGAATACAAATTGATTCAGTTTCATGTTGATTGTTGTTATTTAATTTCCGCTTTTGTTTCCCTTCACATAGTAAATAAACAGTTAGTTTTTGGAGAGGGTCAAGAAGATGATGATATCTAATGAATAATTTTGATGATGATGCTGATGGTCAGTGGTTGTTGTCAATAATATTGAAGAGATGAAAAATAAAATTGCCAACCAGTTTGATCCATATATATATCATATGTTTACTTAACTAAACAATGAGGAAATGAATCACCTTATGACAATAAATTATAATTCAATACAAATCGAGTGATTTTCAAGTAAACTGACCAGTAGATTGTGATGGTCAATCCTATCATCCATCCAAGTCCAACAAGATTTACTTTGCTACTGAACTTTAATCTCAAAATAAGCATCAACCGGACGAGTAGTTGAGATTATCATTATCAAACTGAATTTGACAAGGGAACAATTAAATGATTAACAAATTAACTAATAGTAAAATCAGTTACTGGTCAGTAAGAATATAAATGCTAATGGTCAACTGGACTAAACGTTATAACATTTTGATGCAAACAAATTTCTCATTCTGATTTCAATGGTTATATGTTTTGATTGTGATGATTAATATTGATATGGAATTGGATTTTGATGAAAAAGATTTAAATTTTGATGCTAAGTGTAAGTCTAAATTGTAAGTGGCAATTTGAATTGAAGTTTGATTTGGAAAGTAAATATTGATTGAGAAAAAAATGGTTTCAAGTTACAATATTGATGCAATATCATCACTGATTGTTGATGATTATGATTGTTGGTTAACAGAAATGATAAAAAGAGCATTAAAAATGATTAAGGTGTGAAGGTATGATGATATCTTATCAATATATCATCATCAGTAAATTGTTGACAAAATCACAGTCACCAAGTGTTTATGTCTGTGGTGTAAATAAAAACGGTTGATTGTCAAAATCAAATTGTCATTGATGTAACAATCAAAAAGTAGTTTATTTAACAACAATCAAAAAAAATGATGATAATGTTTTCACAATCATGAATGTATTTGACAGCAAAACTAGTTGATTGTTGTCATTAAATTAATAATATAACTCAGGTGAATGATAAATGGTGTATGTTAATTTATTAATTATATTATTATTACAGGTAATTATTGTTGATGTGTGTTTTTTATTTTTAATTTGTTGATTCACCAACCTCTCAGAACTGAATCATGATGATCACCTAATACTTGATGAGGAGCCAAGGGATGAAAAGTGTTGGTTGATCCAAAGGGGCTACATAAAGATGGACCCAAGTTCGGGTTAATTGGACCAGTGAAAGGATGATGATGGTGGTGGTGGTGATGATAGGATGCGGCAGCGGCGGCTGCGGCGTGTGCGGCGTGTGCGGCTACTGATTGTTGGGAATGATGATGGTGAAACGAGCCTAACGATGATGGAGGTGGTGGTGGTGGCGGTGGTAGGGAAGATGCACTGGGATGTGGGGGTAAAGACGATGTTGTTTGACCTTGAAGTCCAGAATTTATTATTATTTCCGATTTAACAAAATGCTCATCACTGGTTGGAGGTGAACTTGTATCAGGTGTATTGGATCTGAAATTGATAATTTAATTTAAGTTATTCGAAAAGATTGAAAAATTAGCTGATTTACACAATCAATTAATTAAATTGATGGTCAACTTACATTAATGTTTTACCGTCTTTAACTAAAACAGGAATTGTAACTTTCCTTGGTGAAGATGAACCATTTGATGAATGAAGATGATGATGATTATGGTTATGGTTATGATGATGATGATTATTATTGTTTTCATGATGATGATTATGATTTTCATGGTGATTATCATGATGGTTATCATTACAATTTATTTGACTCGATGAACCTGGTGATTCGGACATGGCCTTTTCCTTGGCTTGTCTCTTACACTTATACCGATGATTTTGAAACCATATTTTCACCTGAGTGGGTGTTAGAGAAATGATTGATGCTAAATGTTCACGTTCTTGCGCTGACAAGTATCGTTGAGTCTTAAATCGTTTTTCTAGTTCATAGACCTGGGAAAGGAAACACAGGAAATGGAACAATCATCATCTTTGTCTCACGAAAGGGAAGGTTTTGTTTTCGGTTCAAAGGTAAAGAGAAGGGAAAAGTTTTTTCGATCTTACCTGTTGTTGGGTGAAAAGGACGCGACGTTTACGTCGCTGTTGGTAAGCTGGAGGTAATCCTTTTGGTCCAGTTGTTGTTGACCCATAGGGTCCACCAATATGATGTCCACTTGGTGTTGATAAAGGTGGTTGATTGGTGATCGTTGTTGATGATGCAATTGATGATGGCGGTGGATATGCTGACCATGTTGATGGTCCACCATTTGGATAAAAAGTATCATAGGACATGTAGGACATAGTAGGACAATGTTGATGATGATAAGATGAAGATGATGACGATGATCAAAGTATCAAATAATAGCGATAAAAACCACTTTAGTTTACACTGGCAACATCAACATCTCAACATCTACAACAACACTCATCATCATCTTCACTCAAGCTTTTCTCTCTCTCTCTCCCATTCATCATCTCAATCTTCATCTTCTCCTTCCTCCTCCTCTTCATCATCATAATAATATTAAGCTTACTCCCATTTCTCATCGAACAATAACTTTAACTATAACATCACATGAAATAACTCCACCCATTTTCCACTGAAACTTTTTTACCTTCGATGCAACATCTCTCTCTCTCTCTCTCTCTCTCTCTCTCTCTCTCTTCTTTCTTTCTATAGGATGTTACGGAAAACCTAAAACAAAATCACTCCCACCCCCAACCTCCTCCTTCTCGAAGTCTCAAGTAACCAATCAGCTTTCAGACTTCGATAAGATTATCGAACTCAGCAGAAAAGAATTCATATTTTTTCTCTTTTTTCCACCCTAACAACATTTAATTACTTATTAAATTGATTTGATGAAGACGAAGGAAAAAAATTCGAATCAAAAATCGAATTCACAAATATAGGAAAACTTCAATAGACTTATATATTAATAATTAACAATCAACACCAATCAATCAATCGCAATCAATGAATCTCTGATAATTAATATTTTCACAGGTAAAGAAAAACTGATAAACTTAACAAAAACGATTCAAGTTTTTCGCTCCCATTTGATTGTTGAACTTTTTTAACAAAAGTAATGTTTCTCTCCTCCTTCTTGTTGTTGTCATCTTCATCATCATCATCATCTAGGTATCATCAACATCATCATCTTAACATGCTCTTCAATTGAAGATGAATAATCATCATGTTGACCTTTCTAAAGTGTTATCATCATCATTGAATTAACATTGTCCTTGAAATAATCAAATAGCCTTAAGGGAATAACATTTTTTTTCATCATCTTAACATGAAGATGATCTCAGATCATCAACAACAATTAAAGTCACACTTACATGTATATTAATACACACTCACACACGTCTTTAAATCAACTTCCTTAAATTTAGTTAATCACAACAAATTAAGATGAAAAGTCAATAGGATTGACCTTTTTTCATAAATCAACATTTTTTACTCGATTCCGTTGATGTTTAACAATTTGATTCAATATTTTCATTCAAATATCTAATTAGTTATCATTATCAAATAAGCCACGAGCTTTATCATCATGAAGGACATTGAGTTGTAAATAAGACACAAGAAGATGATGATTATCATCATCTTTCATCTTGATGATGAAAAAAAGGTGATGAGAGAAAAAAAAATGATTCGTTATTCAAATATTACTTCCAACTGTGTTATTATATTACTAAGAATAAATTGTTAACAATTAACTAAATAAACAGTTGATTACATTTCCGTCTTTGATCATTTAGTTGGTCAGGTAAATTGAATGGTAACAATTGAACAATTACTTTCTAATAATAATTTAACTAATCATCATTTTACCTTGATTCTTGTGTAAATAAATTTGTTTATCAAGGTTAATCATTGATTTTTCTTCATCGATTTTACCAGAATATTTAATTGTTACAATTAAATCAATAATAATAAATTTGAGAAAAAAACGTTTCATAAATTGAAGGTAACAATTCAGTCTTAAAATATTATGTATGATCAGGTAACCATTGCAATCGATGTAATAAATTTAAATTGTTCAAATCAAAGGTAATTCAATTGAAAAGATTAAATTTCTTGACCTAATCTACCATTAAAATCAAATTTTACATTTAAAAGTAATCAGATTGATTATTGATTTGATCTAATAATTCAAAAAGTGATTTGATTGTTATAAGGGTTGATACAAATCACCATGATAATCTAGTTGATTTGCCTGAGGGCTTATTCAATAACTAATACAATTAAAAAAAAGAAGACGTGATTTAATTTGATTACAAAGATGACATTCTCAATGGTTAAACATTTTCCTTGATTGAATTAATAAGCTTCCCATTAGGTTATGATTATATCGTAATTAGGAATGAAAATTTTGTCATAAATCACGAATCAACTTAATTAACTTCCACCGGAGACTCTTATTATTATACTAGTACAATCAAAAAGTCAATCAGTAATTAACTAACCTAAATCACTTGACAACAATCAACTTTAGGTCACGTTTACCGTTTTGATAATTAAATTGTGATCAATCAGCTAATCATTGAGATCATTTTTTTTTACTATCATCTCTGATGGGATCAATAAGAACAGGTAATTGTTGTATAAAAATTAATATAAATCACATATGTGACACACTTTGATTGTTGTTTGATTATTAAATTACTAAAATGGATCAATGGTTTTCAAAGGAATTGAATTGTTATTTAGTTTAATGTTTAATTTCCGCTTTTGTTTTTTTTGTTTTGCTGTCCATTGGTCACCAATGAAAATAATAATAGATAGTCAAGGGTCAAATGGTGATGGTCAGTAGATTGTGAAGGTATTATCACAATACTAAATGACAACAATCAAAGATTTCGCCTTTATCATCTTGACCTTATTTAAGTTTCATCCGTAGGTTTGATGTTTACATTAGAAAATCAATGTTAGCATAAGATTGACCCTGGATACTTTTCACTTATAACTTTTGCCATCTTAGCAATTAAATACTGACCAATGGTCGATACGATATAATCAATGTGTTCTTATTAAACCAGTTTCCTCTTTGATATTAACTTACAATTAGTTATTCTGTTTAATACTTGACTGATTTTACTAATATTAAATTTTAGAGCAATAAACTGATTCAATGTTATTTACTGTGATTTAAATCCTAAAAGGATTGACCCTTGGTCAGTAGAGTGAGACCTGTTTACTTTTACCGCTCTAATTAACAATTTAAATGATCATTTAATTGTCAAGTGAAAATTTTGCATTTGCATTAATTTGATTGTCACCATTTCTAATCAATAGATGGCAACTCAATCAATATAATCACTTTTCTTGCAATCAAAATTTCAAGAAGGTTAATCAAAGTTTCTATCAGATAATCAAGTCTTAATTGTCTTTTTTTATCAATATCATTATTTCCGTGGTTTGTTATTGATATTGGAAGGATTTTTTTTTCTTAATGGTACCGTTACTTTTATCAACCTAATTGTTTGACCAATTCAATGGTCAAGGCCACAAACAAAACGATTGAAGATTATGATTAACGGGAAAAATTGATTGAATTTAACAATCAATGATCAATTGCCTTTGCTAGAAAGTGATGATAATTACATCAACACGAATTAACAATAATTTCATTGTAATTTAATGGTGATCAAGGTTGAATAGAAAAGTTGATTTTATCAATCAGTTTATGTAGTCAACTTGATTGGTATTATTGATTATCATTGCAATCGGTGATTTCCCGTATTGGTCCTAATCACATATTCGTAGTTTGAATTTTATTTTGATTAACTTTTTTTTTCTGTTCGAAGTTCATTTTATTCATGTTACACTTTCTCAACTGGTCAAGAGGGTCATCTTTTAGTGTTTCATCTTGATTCGAGTGGCCTTTGGTAATCAAGTACCTGTTCTAGTAATTTTCATACCCTCTCATCTCAATATACCCATAGGTAAAATTTAGTTGCAATCAAAGTGTTTACATGATCACATTTAGAACTTTTCATCACCAACTCCATCTAGTGAATGATAATCGAGCCTTTTATTTGTTTTCTAAAAATTCGTAAGTAATTATTAAATGTTTATCAACAATTAGCTGATCATTATCATCGTCATGAAGACAAATTATTATCAAATCAAGTTTCTTAACATGCAATTTACCTTGCGGCTTATTATCAATTCTGTACTGTTAACCTTGATTGTTTTAGATAATTACTAGTTAATGGAAATCACATCAATTCAAGATTATGCAAAGAATCAGTGGTTAATTGTGATTAACTTAATGATTCTCGTCACAAATTTAATGAAAAGTTTAATTTGCTGAGACGAAAATTGAATAAACAAAATTTTGTCTATTAATAACATCGTTGGATTAATAATACCTAATGATTTAAACTGATTGTTCTCTGATTTGTTTTTAATTGTTTCCAATTTAATGAAGACCATCATTAATAAGTAAGGAAAGGAGTGATTAATAAATGATTAGAATGCTGAAAATTGAGAGGAAATCACAAAACGTTATTATTGAAATATTACATTTACAATTGAAGAAAAAAAGAGACATTTAATTAGGAAAGGTAATCAATCAAATTTTCCTCATATTTGCATTCAAATCAATCTCATCATCACAATACATTAATTCAATATCATGAGAATAAAATTTTTTCAATTCAGTTCGACGAATTTTCATCGCTGCAGTGACCAGACCCGAATCGGGTGTCCACTCTTCTTTACACAGTTTGACCTTTCTGGGAATTTCGTACTTGTTGAATCCGATTCGTGTTGAAAATTCTGTCAATTCATTGACAAATTGTTGATTAACTTTTGGATTATCACAAAGATCATTAATTGTTTCATCGCTTAAGTCAGCTGACAATCTTCCAGCCAAGAGTTTGAGTGAATGTGAATTGGGAACAATTAAAGCGATCGTATAATTATGTAAACTGTCACCATAGACGCAAATCGAATCGACCAGTGGACAGCCCATTAGTCCAGCTTCAACCTAAAAGATGATTAAACAAAGAATCGAAAGTCAGTTAAATTAATCAAATTTCCATTCAATCATATTGGTTAAATTCAAGTGATAATTAACGGTGAAATTGACTGAAGTGATAACTGAACTTTTCTCGATCAGTTAATTGTAGTGGTCAGTCAATAGAAAGTGTAACTTTTAACTAATTCATTCAATATTAATTTTGATTTGGAAAGTTTTTCATTCTTGTACTTTAAAGGAAATAAATGAATTAACTTTAAAGAAGGAAAAAAGTTTTCCAAGGGCAACTTTTAATAGCTCGTTAATTGTGATCAAATTGTTCATATTTTCACTCAAATTGTTTATATTGAAGGGTCGTTACTATTTCTCACTATTGATTTAATAATCAAAGTTAATCATTTCGATCAAATCAACAGATTATTGTAAATTGTTACGTAAATTGATGACAAAATAAATCATTTAAAACAAGTTGATTAACAATCAATGACCATGATGATTATTATGATTATTAATAATATTATTATTACATAACTAAATTAAATCCAATCAATGTCACTAAAATCAGTTCCTTATCAGACTTGCCTTGATTAATTTGAAGCAACTTTTGTGTTGTTAATTAACTAGATTTAAATCAGTTGCACATCATAATCAAAATCATCTAATTATTTTTTTTAACAGTCGACTGATTAGAAGTTCAATTAATTATGATTTGCTAAATTACTTGTTGTGGTTAACATTGAATCTGAATGATGAAAAAACATTCAAGACAATTGACAAGGTTTTCTGGTCGTAAAATTTAAATTTCCTCAATCAACAACAATCAAAAGTTAATCATGATTAAAAAATATGATTTAATGGTAAACAATAATCAACTAATTGAGAGACAACAATCAAAATTGATAATAAATAGATAAATGAAAAAAGAAAGAGTAACTTTTTGAAAACCTTGACCATCAACCTTTTGATTGTTCGTTAAATAATTAACAATTAACTTTGATTACGGGAAGTTAAATTTAATCCTGAGTTAACACAACATCAACCTGAACACCCAAATAATAAGATGTTTGTGTTTTCTCAACAATTAGTAAATTATTGTTTACTGTTACCTGGGAGGAAGTATGGTTAACTTAATTCGGTTTAAATATTAATAACAATCTACTAATTTGTATCATTTTAATCGTTGACATTGAAGTGAAACAATGATTACGTTACACAATTTCACTTATTCAAATGACAAGAGTGAATTAAACCAAGAATCAGAAATTTGACAATTAGCTGATTAGTTTGTAAGACTAAGCGTTTTATTAGCTTATCAGCTGATGAGGTTCGTTGATAATTAAGAGTCAATTATATAAGTTCAAAAATTGATAATTACCTTTCCAAGAGAAATGTATTCACCGAATTGTAATTTGACTAAATCTTTTCGTCGATCGATAATTTTGATTCGTCCATCGGTCAAAACTTCACCAATGTCTCCAGTATAAAACCATCTGAGGCCATTTTCAAATTTGAAAGCGGCATCGGATTCCTCTTGGTTCTTATAATAGCCCATGGCCACTGTATCACCACCGATAAGGATTTCCCCACGTGGATTAGGCTTATCATCTGGTCGATATCCTCCCTCTTCCCAAGCGATTAAACGGATTTTAACATTGAATAACGGGTAACCCACATTACCAAGGCTCATGTCTCCAAGATCCATACAGGTACTTGCCGCACAAACTTCCGTGGCTGAATAGCCAACGATTAAATGACATGAGAAACACGCACGTGCAAAGTACTGGGTTTCTACTGAGAGAGGAGCTCCACCGGAAACGATGGCAACCAATTTACCTCCGAGAGCGGAAAGAGTTCGAGAAAAAACTAGTCGATCCATTAATGGTGTTTGGAATCCTTTTGACATCCAATAATTTTTATAATCTAAACCAAAGTGAAACAGTTTAGCGGCAATACCGCCTTTAGCCTCGACCATTTTGGTTACCTCTTTACGGATACGATCAAGTACCAAAGGTACACCACAAAGTAATCGAGGTTGGAGGACCGTTAAATCGCCTTCGACTCCAGGCTTAATTCCTGGTGAATTGTTGGTCAAAGTTAAAGGAGATGAGTAGCCAATGGGATGGCCCATCATCATCATACAATGTTCAACGACACATTCGTAAATATGAGCCAAAGGTAGATAACCAATGTAATTACCGTCTTTCGCTTGATATTGGGACAAAATGGTATTCATGGCGCGAACTGCGGCCAGAAAATTTTTATGACTAATGACAACTCCTTTTGGGACTCCAGTTGAACCAGAGGTGTACATGATAAGAGCAGTTGAATCAGCGGTTGGTCGAGAGGAAGGTTTCAAGTGTGGTGATGCAGATCCACCGGTCGACAAAAGTCGTGACCATTGAATAACATTGTACAAAGATTCGAGCTCAGTTGTGTCCATTGGGAGACAACCTTTACTTTCTAAGAGAATTAAATTCTTGAGATGTTTAAGTTCACCTCGTAATTGGGTCAGTTTGGGTAATACTTCAGGTGAAACAATAGCAATCGTTGCCTCTGATTGATTAAGAGTATGAACAATCCCATCGGAACCAAGATTAGCATACAGAGTGACCACTGGACAGTTTAGACGTAATAAAGCATGAAAAGTGATTAGCCATTCCATTCGAGTTTCTGCAAAAATGACCACTCGGTCACCTGATTTGACCAAATCAAGTGACAATAAACCTCTTGAACAATCGTCGACCAATTTATCGATCTGAGCAAATGTGTGCCAATTGTAAGCGGGTGCTAACACCTTCTTTTTAAGCCGTTTACCGGATTCGGGCGAAATGATTTCCTCTTCATACAAAACCTCACGATATCCCAAACATGGTTTAGATGAGAATCGATTGAAAACTTCAGCCATCGCCGAATCAACAGTTTCATGCGAATCAAGGTGAGAAGTTGGCTGATCACCCACTCGGACAATGGTCAACTCGGGTAGTCCAGTTTCCGGATTTATACTTGGAGTGACCAGCACTTTGGTATTATTTTTCCGTCCAAAGGTAATGGACTTCGATGCCCAGGGTTTACCTGCCAAATAGTACCCAGGTAGGGTCACTGTGTCGTAGACAAAAACAGCTGATTTGATGAAATTCATTATTCCGTTTATACTAAAATCAATGGTCAGTTTAATGTCCAATATAATCGGTACCAAGTTAAAATTAAGGTCCAAACAGTCACAGAGTTAATTGTTGTTGAACCAACATTAAAATAATAATAATAAGATCACATCAATTAATTGTCGATACAATTAAACAAAATAAATTAACACAAAACTTGTCACAATCGATATTTGGTTAATTGTTCAATGATCAATGGCAATTACAACACTAATTGCTAATCAATCAATGTTTTATATACACAGTAATTAAATTAACTACACTAAAAGAAACTGAATTAGCTAAATTGTTGTTAATCTTGTCTGTTTGATTGTGTTAACTTTGGTTGAGTTGTGTTTAGTTTATTTTTTGAAAAGCTCGAGTGAGAAAATGAAAGTGAGTTGTTTGACAACAATTTAGCTAATTAACATTAACATTTCATTCAGTATTAATATTAAATTCAGTTAATATCAATCATCATCTTCTGGTGAAAGTCAAGGTTAAATTTTCACTAAAACAAATGACCTCAAGCGTAAATTTGACCAGAAAAGTTTGAGTTTGATGAAAAAACTTTCAGATCAATGGAAAAATTTACCAAAATTAAATTCTAACAATTACAATTAATTTCACTCGTATTAATCAGTCGTTACTCTTGTATTTCTATTAACTTAATTAACTAGATTTTGTATTACTATTAATATTAATTGTAGTGATCAAGTTGAAAACTTTTGGGTTTTCACTGGAAAATTTTGATTTTCTAGAAACATGAAATAATCGTTGGTTACAATTTAAATCAATCTTATTAATAGTCATCTTATTATTAATATCCCTTGACCTTGGGTCACCTTGATTGACCTTATTAGTTAAAACTGTATCACTAATTGTGATGAAAGAAGAGTTAATCATCCCTTGATTGTTGATTAGTAAAAATCGAGATCAAGAAAAAAAAATCGTTAAAGCTTCAGGTTATTTTCATTATGATCTTGATCCTTAAATTGTGATGAAATGATTTAATTTTACTTTCCTTAATAAGCCTTAATTGTCGTTAATCTTTAACTAATCACTAGTTTATCATCGTAGTCTATCATGATCATTAATTATTGATAATTAACGAAAAAGTTTTACAGACAAATCATTTCATTTCCTCCTAATAAATGGTTACTTAATTATTACATTGATTGTTGTTGTATTCTTATCAAATTAATCGTTGATTAACAAAAATGGAATTTAATTCTATAGTAATCAGTTAAATTGTAAATTTTCAGTCACTAATTGTAATTACATTAAGGTAAATAATAAACAATCAATAAATTGATAGCAAAATATTGAACCTTTTGATTTAAACTTTTTTTTTCTGATTTCTAGTTAATTTGGTAATAATCAACAATCAAATTTGAGACAAAGTTACTTTAGTTTAATTGTCATAAATGATTAATCAAAAGTAACTAATAATCAAAGTAATTAAAGGTTAAAAGCCTTAAACTAATCAGATTCATTAAATATTAATAATAACAAATGAACCTGAAAAATTCAATGAGTTTTAATTGTTGAAAAATTAAAAGCATTTCAGTTAATTAAAAGTCTATTCAAGGTTAATTGTTAACAGATCATAAATCATTAATTGTTGAAACAATTTGAAGGTGATTGTTGAAAAATCACAAAGTCTCAACCCTAACTGATCTGTGTTGTTAATTGTTAACTGTTAACAATCAATAGTGATTAAGGTAATCAAAGGAATGAGAAATAAGAGTTTTAAATTGTTACTTAAATCATCTGAAGGTATAAATGAATTATTATATTCAGTCTAGTGTGAAAACAATTAGTTGATATCCTTTAATTGTTTACATTGATAACTAGAAAGAGGTTGATTAAGATTATTAACAAAGATTGGAACCAAATTAACTTTAATTACCTTGCAAATTTATAATAAAATAGTCCACAGCCTTGTTGATTTGGTCGGGAGCACATTGTTGCTTTCACCATGTTTAATTGTGATGGTTAATTGTTGGAAATTAAATGTAAAGATAAATCACCAAACCAAGAAAATGGTAAAGACTTTTCTGATTACTTTTTCTTTGTTTCTCTCTGTCAATTTAAATAATTATTTCACTGATTAATTAGTCTCACGAGAAAAGTGAATTATGTTCAATTGTTAATTAAAATTAAATAAAAAGTCAATAAATAAATTGTAAAGCACATTGATCTAAATGGAAACAATTAAGATGAAATATTAAATGAGCAAGAAAAAAAGTGACAATTAACTGAGACAATCATTGTAATCATCAATTTCTAATTCAATTAACCAATACAAACCATTGATACTTAGTACTTACATTTCTAATTGCAGATTAATTGTGATGAAATTAAGACTTTTAATATAAAATAATCAATGGAGATTAAAAATTTTCCAATCAAATGATTAACTGATTGTTCAATTGATTATTGTGAAGGGTTAATTCATTGGAAAAAGATAAACTTACCTTCATCTCCATCAATGTGAAGGTGAGTTTATCTTCAGGTAAATTGTTCACACAGAAAATTATTTAATTGTGATAATTTATTGGAGACCATTTTTAGTAGCGGAAAAGGAAACGTGGGCTCATTGCAATAATTAGTGGTTTTTTTGCTCACAATTTAATTGCTTTGTAAAAAGAGTGAATTAAATTATTAATAGTTACATTAATTGTTGTGTCACTTAAACAATGGGTCAAAAAACTGATTAACAGGAAACGTTGATTATAAAGGGAAATGATTTTGCCAACAATTTACACCACTAATCATTTATTACAACGTGAAAAATTGATTGTTACCTTTTGGATGGACTGTTTAATTTAACTATCAAAAGTTAATTACAATCATTGGTTAATTTTATACAGAAAAAATATTCCTATGAAAAATAATTGCTCGGCTTTGATTTAGGAAGAAGTTGAACAAAATTTAGATGAATAATCAACTAATTGTTGGTAAGTGAACGATTCAATTTGATTGAGCTATAAATAAGAATCATTTTCAACAATATGGTCCACCTAATATGTGAATATTTTTAACAATGATTAAGTTAATTGTTTATCAATTTCAAATGGTTACAAATAAATGATGAAATCACTTCATTTGGTTGACAGTTTTTACTTTTCACAATTCGTGATTAAGATATTAACCATTATCACAATTTTAGCACAAATTTAAATTAAGATAGAAAAATTAACTTCGTAAGGCAATTATTAAATTGTTGATTGTACATCATGATAATAATGATTATTATCTTTTCAAAGTTCATCTTTATTTGATTTTGTCCTCATATTTGATCCTCGATTTGATCCTTTGCTTTCAGTTTTAAACGATGAACTTTTTGTTTGTTTCGATGATTTTTTACCGATTTTTTCAGATCGACGATTTGGCCTTACTGGTCTTAAAATACTCGCTACAGTTTCTTCAAGCCATTCTTGATCTTCACTTGATCTTGATAAATCAGCTGATGATTTGTTCGCAATCTCAAACAATCGTTTAACCAAAAATTGTCTCACACTGAATAGTAATTCAAACTTTCGTCTCTTTTTCCTTATATTGTCAACATAATGATCGATATATGGTTGTTGAAGATCTCGTTGTTTTTTACGCAAAGTGGACAGTTTATCACGAAGAAAGGCCAAGCTACTTAAATCGCTTTTATATGATTTAAATAGTGTAGTCGAATGGCGTTGATATGAGAACCAATTTCTCAGTAAACACTTAGAGTCACAAAGACTTAGAGCGATTGATAATCTAACTGATGGTTGACTGTAAGTTAATATGAAGCCTAATAAATTAGATGCAGTAATTGATCGAGCTGCCGGGAAAGTAACCGTTTCCGATTTTCTGTAAGATAATTGACAAAAAAAAAGTAAGAATAAATTCTGAACCGATTATTTGTTAAATGTACTTGCCTATGGGCTGGAAACAGCATGATTGTTGGATATTTGTCAACATTATATTCAAATGGTAAATCATTTGTATCGCCATTGATACGAGTAAATAAAATTCCGTCAATATTTTGAAAATATTTGGCAACTGTGAGGTAAACATGAGCCACCGTTGAACAGTAACCACACCATGGAGTGAAATACATGACAAGAACATCCTTCCTTGGAGAGAGAACAATTTCTTTGAAATTGTTACTATGAAGCTCGGGAACACAAATAACTGTTTGGTCAGTGTTCAATCCTTGAAGACATTGTTCAGAAGATGAGATTGATTTATCGGTTGAACTTCTCAAATAACGAGATAACTTGTTGTCTGTGTAATTTTTAACCATCTCATAAAAGGCTCGCTTATTAATGGTTGAAGATGAGCAGCAACTTGATGCCAATTGATGATTGAGAAGATAAATATTTTCTTGTTGAGATTCAATGATAAAGGCCAGAGTTGCATGGGTCTCATTGAAAATATCGATTCCCAAAGATTCAGCAAAACCGGGATAAAGTATTGAATCAATGGCCAAGAAATTTAGTGTCTTATTAGATTGACACCCAAGACCAGTAAAGTTTTCCCTCCATTTAGATGAGCTTGATGACAAAGATCCTTCACCACTATCAGGGAAATTGAAATCACTGTAATTGAGACCCAATGCTAATCGAGAGCAGTATTGATGTTCCAAATTTTTCATCATTCGAACAATTTTATCATCTTTGGTGGGTAACTGGTTACTACTTATTCCATTGGCCTCTTCTGAAAGATATTTAAATGACGAGAAATAGTCTGAATCATAGGATTCCTCTTTATCATTGTTTAACAACGAGTATTGATGAGAATTAACATCACTTGGCAAATTTCCAGAACAAGTAACCTCAATCTTATAATATGGTGTATATTTAGGTTGATAAGTGCTTTTGATTTCATTGCAAAATGAAGCAGTTTTGTTTATCTCTAAAGGTTCAAATGTGTTCAAGTATCGAGCCACCGTCGCCAAACAGTTGAACTTTTTACATCCTGATGGACATTTGGATAAAGATATTCGAATACAAGCAGTACAGTAGCACTTTTTCTCGGCTGGTTTGCCGATGGGTCTCCAACGTACTATTTGTGAATGGCAACAAGTATCTTCGGATAAAATATTGGACATTTTCCAACCACTATTCTTGTCTGAAATTGTTGGATTCATTAATTCATGACATTTTTCCTCCATCTCAATCAGACTTTCCTCTGTTGCCCGACGTCTCAAGATACTCCGGTGAATAAGTGATTTAATTGCTGGAGAGTTGTCACAATTTTGGTAATCCATTGCAACTTCTCGTAACTGTTAGCATATATAAAATAGAAATTAAATCAGTTAGTAAATTGTCTCAAGATGAAAGAATAAACTGATTAGAATATTATTAACTTACGATATCAAAATAAGGAGAAATTCCAAAAATTAAACTTCGAGGTGTGAGAAGGACTAGAGTTGGATTAGATCCAAAAACCTCGGCCAAAGCCTCACTTTTCTGTCCACTTGGACTAATCCAGTCAACTAAACCTCTCTGGACCTTTGTGTTGGTATATACATTTCCATAGACCCATTTAAGAATAGCATCGAAATTAGTAAAATCAGTTTGGATGATGGAAGTTGAATTCCAAGTATATAAATTAATTGAAGATGTAACATCGATTCTAAGCTTTTGGGCTACTTTTCGACTTGTAATTACACAGAATTTAACTCGACGCCATGGATCTGACTGAAGAGCACGAACAGAGGCTTTAAAAAATATATTATATGGATTAAGTGACGTTGGATCATTGAAATCGAAATATCCAACAGCGACACCGTCATGCTTTGAAATTAGATCCAACAATTGTCCTTCATTTTGAACTGGTGTCAGTGGATCAATTAAATTATCTAGATAATGTATAATATAACCTGCCATCAAAGGACCTGGATAGGTAAGTTCACCAGCATTTCGCAGGTGAGCGGAAAACGATGGATATCGATAGACCATATTTCGCTGGCGACATTCACCATCAGGCCACCAACAATTGATCGCGGCAAAGAAAATCTATCAAAATGGAAAAAGAAATCAATCAGGATTAATAATATGTAAAAGACAAGTGAAAATTTGCAATTGATTGAACGTTAATTACTTGATTGGGATAATGATTGGCTATCAATTCAAATTCTCTCTTGAATTTGATACATTCAGCATCCCATGGAGCATAATACATGATAAAAGATACATCAGATTCAACGGCTCTTTCGATAAGATCAGAGAAACTTCCAGTTTCAAAGTCTTCAATTAATGATCCAGATGAAAAAAATTTAGTCGGCGGAGGAGTTTTACGAACAATTAACTGGCTGCCATTGTATTAAGAAAAAAAGAGCAAAGAAAATTAATTGCTTGCAAAATATTGTCACTAATTTAAACTTACTCGTGTTTCAAAGTAGCCAAAACTGTGATTGAAATAATTAAAACAATTGCTAATTGTTTGATTCTCGCCCTTAAAGCACAACACGCATCATGTAATCTCATTTTTAAATTTTTCTTCACAACTTTGATTTCAATATGATCACAATTTGTCTCCTTCTCATCTGAATCTGGCCTTAAACTGTGGAGAGAATGAAAAAAAAGAGATTCATTAATAATAGTTGAATGTCAAAGTGTAAAAGGTTAACAAGAAAGTGAAATTTAAGATTATGTATTAAGCAATTTACTAATCGTCATTGAATCCATTGGTGTTTCTTTGATTGGAAGATATTGTTTCTTGAGGTTGTGTTTGTTGTTGTTGTTGTTGTTGATTGGATTGTCCGGTAAATGAATTATTCACTAATTGCACTTCACCCTCATCGTCGTCATCACTTTTATCAATTACTTTTGATTGTAAGTGGCTGTTTGATTCTTCATCCATTACAATAAATGATCATGACGATAAATTATTGTTATTGTTAACTGTTTGTAATACAAAAGGAAAATCTAATTTACAAATGAAATAAAGGTGATGCCAAGGAAAGAGAAAGTTAAAAGAGAGACAATGATATTACTTATATGTGGAAGATTATGATTGTTATTGTTGATGATGATGATGATGTTATGTGGATAGAAGAAGATGAAACAAGAGAGGAAAATGAAGACTACTCATTGTAACGATGATTTGGATTAACACTGAGGAAATTAAGTGAGATTTTAACAGTTGATTGTTGATGATTAAAGAGGAAAAACAGTCAACAGTTGCCAAGTTTATAACATTAAGGTGAATGTTGATACTTTTTCAATTTGATTTGGAAATTTTATCAAAAGTAAAACGTGTCATCTATATAAACTTGCCTATGGAACACAAATTAAAAATAGTAACAAAAATAGCAATAGGTCACTAAGATAATCGTAAATTGGATTATTGTTACTTTTCAAAGAGACTTATTGTTCAATCAAATTAACTAAGTGTGATTAATCCAATTAAATTGTAATCCTTTTTTTTGTCACAATCAAGTTAACACATGTAAATGAAAAAGCCAAAAATGAATAAGCAACATCATCATGATACCAAAAACATTAACAGTATGAATTATGAAAAAATGGACAAATATAAATGGACTACTCACTTTCAAGTAAATTACAATTAAAACCGGTGAAAGATTAAACAAAAAAACTCAGAAATTGACCAACAAATCACAATGAAACAATTAAAGTTGCAACAATTACTAATCAAAACAAACCATAGGCTTTGGTACCAGAAAATGTCATTGATGATTCAAATCCGCTTGAATTAATATTCTAAGGATAAATTGTCACCGATTTACATGACAATTAAGAGGCAAACTATTTGGAAAACAATAGAATATGAATTGCGATAAAAAAAACAAATTAGAATAACAATTAATTAGAAAGTGTGAGAGGAAAACATTGAAAGGAGTCAATTTGGTAACAGGAAATGCGAAGAAAGCGATTCATTTGAATTTGGCGGTTCAAAAGATTCTCTAAGCTGGAAGATCCTTAGGCTGTTGGGATCTCGGTTGTTTTGATTGTTTCTTATTTTGATTTAAAAATTAAATGTTGACAAAAGAGATTTTTTCTGATTAATCAAACATTTGAATGAATTAAATCATTTTCGAGTTTAATTGGTATGGTTGATTCTCTTACGAACATTTGAATGTGTAAATTGTAAATCTCTCTTTGAATGTTTAGAGGAAAAAAGTTAAACTCATTGGAATAATATTTGAATCCTCTTTTGAAATCCTTTAATTTAATTTATTTAATTTCGTTTCATTAACTAGGACGTTTAAAGAAAAATGGGTAGAAAAAAGAAGAAGCCAATTAAACCATGGTGCTGGTAAGTTTAACTTGGAAATTTTATCGCTTGTTTTTCTATTGATTTTGCTTTCTTATTATGAACCTTTTTCCTTTCATGTTCCTCTTGTTTAAATAAGTGTTGTTGCTTTTTTTTCCTTTGACTTTTTGCTTATGTATTCTTTGTCTTATTTATTCATTTTATTTGTAACATTTACTTTTTTCTTTTTTCAACAGGTATTGTAATCGTGAATTTGATGATGAAAAGATTTTAATTCAACACCAGAAAGCTAAACATTTTAAATGTCCAACGTGTCACAAAAAACTTTACACTGGACCAGGTATGGCGATCCATTGTATTCAAGTTCATAAGGAGACTATTGATAAGATACCAAATGCTTTACCTAATCGTAACAGCGTGGACATTGAAATTTATGGTATGGAAGGTATTCCAGAAGCTGATATGAGGGAACATGAACGTCAGAAAGGGAATCCAAATGCAAGTGTAAACTTACCTCCGATGGGAATGCCTCCTCAATTACCTAGAATGCCACCGCCAATGACAAGTCCTGCAGCAGTTGCTGCCGCTGCTGCTGGTATGATACCTCCTCAAGCAGTTGGATTGAATATTCCTCCTCCAACAACACCATACATGATGTCCGGATATTTACCTAATCGTAAGTAACATTACCACAAGAAAGGAAATTTACTTTTTTACCATTAGAATGACAGATGCAGATAACAAACTCTTTACCATATGAACTCATATTTTCTTTGATTATTTTCAGCTCCTTATTCTGCACCTCCAGTGAATGTTCCACCTCCAACGAATGCCAACAATCCATATGCAGCCATTGGTGTTCCTCCGTCTTCTTATGGATCCGCCATACCTCAACCACCCCCATTGATACAGCCAGTGGTCAATTCGTCGATTCCTGGAACATTGTCAAATGTTCCTAATAAACCGCTTTTCCCTTGTGTATCAAATACAGGAAGTGACAAATCATCATCGACAACTGTTGTTGGAGCTGATTTTAAACCAATACCAAGTGGCAGTAATAGTATCAGTTCGACAACAACTAGTACAACCAATCAACCACCACCTTTATCTAGTGGTATAATAGCAAAACCCGCTTCTAGTGTAGCCTCGACCGGAACAACTTCAAAAATAATTCATCCAGAGGAAGATATATCATTAGAGGAATTACGAGCTCGTTTAACCAAATATATTGGATTGATACCTCAACAGTTGACCACAAATAACATGGCCGGTGACTCAAATACGTTCAATTCAAATCATAAGGTTGATGTTAAACCCGCCATCCCTCCTCCTGCTCCTCCATATTTTGTTAATGTCCAAAATAAGTTTTTATAATATTTAATGATAATTTTCTTCGAGGATTCATTTCGCAAAAAATAAGAACACACAAAATCAACTTCATCTTCAAACAAAGCAAACAATTAGTGAATGGCGAAAAAAAGCAAATTGCAACCAACATAAACACTCAAACTACCACAATGTCTAACAAAAAGAAATCAAAACAAAGCAAAAATCTTAATACAATCAACGCATCATTGGTATCGGATGGTCAAATTTGACAGTTTCATTTGATAAATCACAAATATATTGTCCAATTTACCCTTAAAAACTATCTCCTTCTGTATCCTTTAAAAGAATGGACGATAAATCGTCAATAATTATATAATTAACATTTTTCAATCTCTTAACAATTCAAACTGAATTAACTTCAATTCTAAAAAATGTAACAATGTTACATTATAAACTAACAAGGAAATCAGAACAATCCATTGATTAAGTTTGATTTGTGTTGAATTTTTTTTTGTATAGATGATGTAAAATAAAATTGATTTATAACCAAATTTGTTCAGTTAATTGTCATAAAAATAATTCTTTCGAAACATTGAAAATTCATTAAGAACTTGAGAAGAAAAAAATTTGAATTTGGCGGTGAAACGAGAAAATGTCTTCTTATTTATTTGGTTTGCGCCTTAAAAGATTTGCCACCAGACGGCGATCACAAAAGAAATTATGATTTTCCTGAGCTTTCATGTGGTTTGTAATTACTATTATGAAAATATTACGAGTTAATCACTTTTTTAATTAAGTTAATTAAACAAATAGTCTCTAATTTTGTGACAAACAGTTTCCTCAAGAGGATAACCAATCAATTAAAAGGGAAATATAATCAATGAAAGTTCAAATATGTCTACAAGTCACACGAATGTTATCATACCTACATATTATTTCATCGATACAATTCATCTCGATCATCCCTATGCTTGTCAACCTGTGTGTCAAAGACCTCCTCCTGTACCCGAAGAAGCAACAACAGTCGCTATATCAGCAGATAATACATCATTTGAACCTTCTATCGAATCTTCTGTTGAAATAACTGTACCAGCCTCTGATCCTGTTGAGAATGTTTCAATCAGAGAAACCGAAACAACTTTTTCATACAACACTGCTAGTTCCTCTTCATATTCACCACCATCTACACCGAAAAGAAGATCACAGAGGCAACTTGACCGTCAGGAAAAAACTTTACTGGAAAAGATCAAAGCTGAAAATGCTGAAATGCTTAAAAGAGAAAAGGAAGAGATGGAAGCAGCATCAGCCAAGTTACTTAATCCTATTGTTGAATCTGTTAAACCTGTCGAACCCGATCTACCTGAAGGAGTTACTATCAAGAAAGAAAACATTGAAGATGATGAGAAGGTAGATGATGGTTTAATCATTGATTTTGGTCAACAAGAGAAAAAGAAAGCCCCGAGAAAACGTGCAACTGCTCCTGGATCAGTGACAGCACCTAAACGCAAGAAGAAGTCTTTAGAAGCAAATGTTATAATAAAGAGTGAAAGTGACCAAACAGAGATACAAGACCGATCAGAGACAACAAAAGAAAATGTTGAAGCAAAAGAAGGAACGAAGGGCGCTGGTCAAAGGACCCAAAGACAAAGAAGAAAACCCAAAAGATGGGATGATGATGAAGTTGAGGTCGACTTTTCTGGCACTGCCTCTGAACTTGCTTATGAATCCAGTGCAACACCAGCCAAGAAAGTTTGTCCTAATGATGAACCAGAATCGAAAGAAAAATCCATCACAAGCGATGAAGAGAACGAAGATGAAGATGATGCCGATAAAGATGACGATGATGATCCAACCAAATTATGGTGCATATGTCGACAGCCACACAATAATCGATTTATGATTCTATGTGAAGGATGTGAAGATTGGTTCCATGGTAAATGTGTTGGTATGACTAAAGCAAAGAATACGAAATTAGAAGCCCAAGGAATAATGTGGTATTGTGATAGTTGTAAAGAAAAAAATGGTTCTAAACTAACGAAACCTACCACCACCCCTAAAGCTGTTGTGAAACAAGAACCAGTGTTATCAAAGTCGATCGCATCTCCAGAAACACCAACAGCAACAACCGCTAATACCATTATTACAGCCACACCAACAGCCATTTCACCCGCACAAACAACTACTCCAGTTGTTACCCCAGCAGGACCAGTTGCAGCTTCGACGGTAAATGAAACTGTTACAAAAGTAGCCTCGAATTCGGTATCTTCGAATAATCAAGTAACACCCAAAAAACCCATCAAAGCCAAAAGTAGCGAAGGTAAAGAAATTCTCGCTAAAAAGATCGTCAAAAAAGAGAATCTAATGAAAATCGGTGACGTTTTGAAACAACGAAAATTGAAAGCAGCTGGAGGCAATCTTTCTGCTGTAGATAAAAAAGAAGGTATTCGTTTGAAGAAATTGATCAAATCGTCTAAACTCGAACTCAAGAAAAAGATCAATAAAGTAGATAAATCGAAAGCAAAAGCAACCACTCCACCGGACAAGGAAAAGGATAAAGAGAAAGAGAAAGAGAAGGACAAGGAAAAAGAGAAAGAAAAAGACAAGAATAAAGAAGACAATAAATGGGAGCCCATCAGTAAAGTCGTACCTTTGATACGAAATAAAGAGGAGAAAAAGAAGAAACTAAAAATAGCTCCAGTGGACCGAAGTTTACAAGATCTTTTCAAAGCAGAACCAAGTATGGTGCTCAAAAAGTTAGGCCAATCTACTCCGACAACACCAACTACCCCGAATGCGCTGACTCCCAAGTTAAAACGGCCATCAATTGGAAGTGAAAGTTCATTGAAAAAGTCAATGCCAACAAGTGAACAAAATTGTGTCTCTTGTGGTAAACAAGTTGCTAAAGGTGCCATCAAGGGAAAAGAGTTCAGCATCTACTGTACAGAGACGTGCTTAGAGAAACACGTCAAAGATACACTCGATATCATCAAACAGGCTCGTGCTCATAGTTCAAATGTAAATGGTAACAAAGGGGAAAAACATCGAGTCAATCTCGTGGACAGAGCAACAAACCGTCTTATATCGGGACAAGGTGCACCAACAGATGATAAAGTTCTGGAATATATTAGACTCAATCCAACTTTCGAAATCATGAAACCTAATCTTGTTCGTCGTCAAAGCAGTCAATCGAGTGATCACGAGAAGAAGAAAGATGGAACAGTGAAGAACAATTCTACTCCTCCAACAAAAGTATTGGCAAATAAAAGGAAAGAAGATCCCAGTTCTGTTAAAGCCAAGCCCAGTGAAGTCGCTGTCAAGAGTCAGGATTCAAGAAGGGACGATAATTCAGAGACAATTCGACATAATGTGAAAAAGGTTCTGAAAGAAACTTTACAAACTAGATGTTTAGAAGCAGAAAATAAAATGCTCGGTGAAGATATTAAGAAAATTGCCTTCAAAATTGAGGAGGAACTTTTTAACCATTTTAACAAAGAGGCGGGGAGTAAGTACAAAACACGATACCGAAGTTTGGTTTTTAATTTAAAAGATCCAAAGAATCAAGGATTGTTCCGAAAAGTTCTTACTGGAAGTATAACTCCCGAAAGACTAGTTCGTATGTCTCCTGATGAGCTGGCCTCATCAGAATTGGCCAAATGGAGGGAGCGGGAAAATAAACACGCACTGGAAATGATCAAACGAGATGCTGAGGCAATGGCTTCCCAAGTGATCGTCAAGAAAACTCATAAAGGAGAAGAAGTAATTGAGACAAAGATCTCTATTGAGACCATTGATCCAACCAAAGAGGAAGAGATCGCTAAAAGTGAAGAAGCCGCTGCATTGGCAGCATCAAGTACCTCGGAAACTTCAGTGAAAGAAAAGATCACCAGTAATGCTTTATCGGCATTAGACTTGCTAAGAGACGATAAACACCAAGAAGACACAACTGACAAGCACGGGCAACACTTATTTGATGCTCATTGTAAAATATGTACAAAGAAAACAAAATCTGATCTTAGTCTGACTCACACTAAGTCAAGAAAAGCTGTATCACCTTCCCCTCGAACATCAAATGAAAGTAAAACACCTCAACCTAAAAGGTGCGAGTTGAATTTGAAGCACCAACAACAAGGATAATTGAAGAAGCTGTAAAAGCCTCAAAATCAACCAAACATTTACCATCTCTAATTAACGAATCTAGTATTTATGAATCAAGTGAAGATCTTTTACCTTCATCGACCGTTTCATCATCACCCGAAGCTAAAAGTAATCAAGTTCCTATTTGTTGGAAAGGCTTCATTTTCATGCAAGAGGTTGCGAAATTTGTTGCAACAGCTTACAGAATCAGTGGAATCGCCGATAATCGTTTAAAGGTTAATTTCTTTTCTTATTTGGCTTTATTTTGATCGTTTCTGTGGTTAACATTTTATTAAATCCTTTTTCTTTGTTGTTTCTATTATTAGGATGTTCCCGATACAATTACTGTTCGAGGTCGAATCGCTCCCGAACAAGTTTTGGATTATCTTAAGAAACTGAAATCGACTCGCACTGATATCGCTGTTATACAATTTGCACCAGCCATTCATGAGGAGAATTCACAATATGAAAAATTTTTTGCATATCTGAACAGAAGAAAACGTTATGGTGTAATTGGTTCTTCAAAATCAATCAAAGATTTTTATATTCTTCCATTGCCCAAAGACGCTGATCCTCCAGAAGTGTTGCTTCCTTTTGACGGACCTGGAATACCAATAAACAGGCCTAATCTTTTGTTAGGAATTTTAGTGAAGTATAGGAAACATCCTCCTAAAGCAATTATTCGAGAAAAAGTTCCTGCTGAAAGAGAATTGAAAGAAAGTGACAAATTACCTGCCGATGTAACAAATAACTCGGTGAAGAAAGATCACCCAGAAAATGCAAGATCTTACACACCACCACCTCCAGGTAATTTTTCTAACACTGTGTTTACCTTTTTCTCTCGTAAAATTATTTACTAATCAAGGTTTTCTTTTTAAATTCTCTTCCTCTGATTTTCCCTCATTTTTACCCACTTTTCCTTTTCTTGTTTTTCTTTTTGATTGTTACAACATTTGCACAGGCGCATTTACTAAAATTGAAGAAGTTACGAACGAAGAGCCATATGATCCTGGACGTAGTTTGACACCACCACCACCACCATCATCATCATTGGGAGGAGATGAAAATCCAATCATCAAAGAAGAACCAAAAGAACCAGAGAAAAAGGTCGATGAAGATGAACCATATGATCCCGAAGAAAATGATATTCTCAACATTCCATCAACATCCACCTCATCCATTAGAATGGAAAGTCATCAGAAAATATCGCAATTATTGGAACAAATTTCTAAAACTGCTAATCCATTGGAGATGAAAGAAACGCTTTTAGATAGCATAACAAAAGAAGCTTCCGATGATGACCAAAAGTTACTTACTGAAGCATTTAACAAAAAAGTCGAAGACTTCAAAAAGCAATTAGAAGAAGAGGAAAGAAAAGCAACCGAAGCTGCTTTTACAATAGCATCTAAAACAATTGAGAATGAAAACAAAAACATTGATTCTATTCCTGGTCTTGATGGTAGTTATCCTACAACTGAATAATCGTTTTTGCTAATCAATCAATGATCAATCAGCTCGCGCTACAAACGTAATGTATTAATCATTTAATTATACAGCTAAACACTCCTAAAATTGTCTATTTCTACCTGTCTCTCTTTAACCTTTTTCTCTCTCTCTCTCTCTATCTATTGCCCTCAGAATGTAATTGTAACCCATTCATTTTCTCCTAAGAATTTTTTTCCCTTTTTAATTCCTCTTCACATTAAATTGTTCATTGACGAACTTGTAAGATCAGCATCTTATTATTCACAGCGAATGCGTTTCCCTTGTCCCACCAACAGCCAAAACACAAAGCTAACATCATAAGAGGCAACACCTATTGTAATTAACGAGGCAACAAACAAAATAAGCGAATCCAAAAGGAAAAACATGAAATGCCTTCAACATTGTATCTAAATTGTGAGATTATGGTGTGTTGATGGTGGTGACAAAGACCAAAAGAGAGAAGAAGAAGAAGAAAAGAAAATCAAAAGGTAAATCTACAAAGAAATACAAACAAAATGAACAACAACAATTAATTTACCTTTTTGTTTACATATAAATGTTAAAAAAAATCAACTTGACCATATACATAAGACACACAATTGTCATGAACATAATTCATTTGAAATCATCTCAACAACAAATCAATAAACGAAAAAAAAAACATTTAAATCAATTCGATGACAAATATTAAAGTAAAAAATGATTAATGTTGAAAGTGATTTACCAAAAGTAAACATTGTCTCTTGCAATTCGGTTAAGCGAAAAACGAATCAACCAATGAGAATGGTTTTCTTTTCTCTTTATGGAAAACGCGTGAGAGAAAATCCCGGGTTAAAGTGGATCTCAAATGCTCTTCCCACTTGTTAATCTTGTTTTCCACTCTCTCTCTCTCTCTCACTTTCCCTCTCTTCCATTTAACTTTGTTTATTTAATTCACTTTCAAGATTAATTGTTCAGTAACTAACCATTGCTCCCATCGGTGTATATAATTATCCCAACGCTTAGCAATTTGAAAGCAAAACAAGTTGCCCAATCTCTCAGCGTGACTTTGATTCACTTTTTGTTCAGTTCTTTCAACGCTCTCTGATTCCTTGGTGATTGAATTTACAATTCTTTCAACTCTTCTTTTTAAATATTCTATTTATCTTAATTTTTGTGTTTGTTTAAATTTATATTTCTTAATTCAATTACTATGACTCGTGCAAATTCATCATCAATTGACTCCAATGGTAACAGAATCGATTCTGAGGGTAACCATTCCTGTGGTACTAAAAGTAACACTCGTGATGAGTCACAGCCTAAACGTGACTATTCAAAAAAGATTGAAGATGTAAGGTCACAAGTGAAGGGTCATTTCACCGAGAATCCTGACTTATATGATGCCGATGATCTTGAGAAAGTATTTACCAATGATTTCTATGTGTGTCGGTTTCTCCGTTGGTGCAAAGGTGATATCAAGAAATCTGTCAACATGATACTTAAATGCTTCCAATGGCGTAAATCATCTGGTTTAATCTATCGGAAACCCACTGATTTTCCAAGTGAATTCTATAAATCCGGTGGATTGTTCAACTATCAACCTGATCTCTTAGGGAAACCAACACTTTACATGAGAGCAAAGTTTATGCATAAAGTTGCTGAACTTGATGCTCCATTTAAAGATTTCATGGCTTATAAGATCAACGAAATTGACGAATCGTGTGGTAAAATGGCGTCTTGGACTATTATTATCGATTGTGCCGAAATTGGTTGGGCCAATGTTTGTATCGATATGTTACGTTACCTTATCTCAATTATGAGTAACTATTTTCCGTTGGGCTTGAAGCAGGTAATTGTTCTTGATATTCCTTGGATTTTGGATGCAATTAGGAAAATGATTTCTTCCATGTTGCCCGAAGAAGCTCTGAAAGTTGTCACTTTCACTTCGAGGAAAAAATTACCTGATTTCGTGGATCCAAAAAATTCACCGGACTTTGTTTGCGGCACATGTACAGTCCCTTATGACCAAGTTCCTTCCGGATGCAAATCTTTCGATGAACTAACTGACGATTTTTACAATTTAAACGAAAAACAATTGCGCAAATTGACTGATTTATATAAAAGTGTCATGTCTTAATGTGTCAATACAACGAAAAAAATTCAAACTGACCAGCAACATTTTACTTAAATGACCTTTTCCACCTTGGAGAAGCTAAAGAGAAAGATTGTAAATCTCTTGTAATGTCTTCCATTTTATTTTAACCAACAATCAAACTCAAATGATGAACAAAATGTTCAGAAATTTAAATATACAATCACACTGATCAATCGTCTATGATGATAAAAGTAAACACTCATTCGCAACAAAATGATTAAGATCTACAATTTATTTACTCTTAATGAAATCATTGACCATCAGAATTTGGCCAATTGAAGGTTGTGATTATTTCCACTTGTCCTTCGTTAACCTTGAGGCTGATTCCACCCTGAGGAAAGGCCTAAAAACCAGTCGATCAAGTATCTAATACTCAAAAGAATCAGTTAATTAACTAAGGGCAAAATTTTCCATATACTCATTAAAACCAAAGAAAATGGATTAGCTTGTAATTAAGAATTAAAATCCATTTAAAGCTCAACGATTAATGGTAATCAATTTTTCCATTTCTTCGGTAATTTAGTTAATTGCGATAAGTTTTTCAAAAAAAAAATTCTTCCAGTAATTAACTGAGAGATCAAGACTTTGCTGATTGTTTGGAAAATTGTTTTTATATTAAAATTGATTGTTGAATGACAATTGAAATTGTGAAGACATGAATTAGAAAAAAAGTTTTTCCATCTTAGATACAAAAAAATGAACATTTAACAAAGTGAATTACAAACGATGTTGATTAATTAATTTCTTGCTTTTTCCATTGTGATTTAATTAGATGATATGAGATGAAATTCAATCAATTTTGATTGGGGAAAAAAATTAAATCAGTTGATTGTTGACTTAGTTTTGTATTTCGGCTTCGGTTTGTAAGAACAATTTAAAAATTTAAAATCAAATGAGATCCTAATGTTGTGGTGTTTGGGTTAATTTTTTGTTAATCCATTTCAATTAGATTTGATTAACTAGAATCAGTTTCTTTAGGTTGACCACCAAGTCCACTTGTATCTGAATCTTCATTGGCACTTGTGGCCACTTGAAGACGGAGTAACATATCGGAAAGTGGGTCTGAAATCGGTGAGGATATTGTTAATCCCGGATAAGGTTGAATATCATCAAGTTTAATTGGATTAAGATTAATCAGATTATCAAATCCATTCTCATCGACAACTAGACCTGTTGTTGTCGTAGGTGTTGTAGATGTTGCATTCAGAGGTAAATCAACTGATTGTTTCCAAGGATAAGTTTTAATTATCCAATTAGTTGGATCTTCAAATGGACTTCTTAATCCATTTTTCTGTAATCCATCCCTGGCCGCTTGGATTAGATAAGGATGAATTGAGTAATTCCAAAGATCATTGAACCAAGATTGAGATGATTCCAAGTCAATGGGACAAGTGATAAATAAACTCGGACCTTCAAGTACAACAATTAAGTTAATTAGTTAATTTTCAGTGATTAAAATGGATTCAAGGGAAATGATTGGTATTGTTAATAATTTGGACTTTAAATTGTTTGAAAACATCAACAAAGTCGCGAACAACAATTAATTGTTAAGATATTGAAGCAAAAGCGCTAACGTACCTAAAGTTACATCAGATGAATGATGAACTTCAAGAAAATGATTAATATGATTCCAAACTTTTGGAATCCAATCAATTATGGTAATCATATTGGTTGGAATGGTTAAATCAATTGAACCAGAATTAATTTCAAAAGTGACCAATTTACGCCTCAGGTAACGGGATAAGAAACCACGAACTGGCTCCATGTGATTGGCACATAATAGCCATCGGAAATTGTGGTTTAATTGTAGATTAGGGGAACTTGAATTGCTTTGGCACATTGTGGCTATCATGAAGGGACTGGATTGTGAATAGAAAGAGAAACAATTAGTTGATCAATTTCCGAGATTAAGTCTCAATTTTACTTACAATTTTTTATTATGTGAAGTTGTGTTACCATTGAATAGATCATCAATTGAACTAACATGGTGAAGATTGTCCAATATGATAACTGTTGGTAAATCATTCGATGAATCATCGCATGATGATTCTAATTGTTCACCAATCGAGGTAAGATAAGATTTAAGTTCATTGGCTGATTTATGATCAATGTTGAAAGTTGCGATCGATCCCGGAGGTATAAGGTCAACTAGACTATCGTCACCTTCACCAGAATCATAGCTTCCTTTACTTGACCGATCACCTTTCTGAATCTTGACCACCAGATATTCAGCCAGTTTTGAGGCTAAATAAGTTTTTCCGGTTCCTGATGGTCCATAAAGGATTAGTCGCTTGTGCTCGTGAAGTTGATTAACAAATCTTTGGATTATGTTTTTAGGGATTAGCGATTCAAAGACAAACGATTCCAAATAAGATCTACAGCCTAATTTGATCATTGATTCATTGACAATATAACCAAATGGTAACAATTCCGGTGAAGATGATGAAGATGATCGTAAATTTCGTAATTGACGTTCTGAACCAACCTCATAGAAAGATATCGATTCCAGAGAAAGGCCAAGATTACGATCAGGATCAATTCGATCTAAATAGTCTTGGACTGTTTTTCGAACCAGAGCATCAAGAATTCCCCATGTTGTCTCTGGTGAAACGATCGCAGTTCCAATAATCAGACCATTACCAGTTCCATTATTACCATTTGGTGAAGGTGAACCTAAAAGGATGGACACTTTTCGTCCACCCTCAAGTAGAGTATCATCGAGATCAGTTAGTTGAATCGATGAATTATGAGAATGTCCTGAATGATGGTGACTATTATCACCATTTGGCGATAACCCATTGGCCCCATTTCCACCAGTACCACCACTTCCCGACCCACTGAGCACTGAGCTTTTCGACGAGGCCAAAGATTTTGTGATCACCAACCTTTGTAATCTATCATTGTCCTGTTTAAGTGACATCATTTCATTCCTCATCTTATTGACCATCTCTTTCAAATTGTCCAATTGATGAGCTGCTGTCAAAGCTTCTAACCTTAAATCAGTTAACGCTTTCTCCTTCTCTCTTAATTGTTGCTTTAATCCATCAACCATTTCACCTTCTAGATGATCAGGTCCATCGGAAGATAAATCTCTGTACGATTTAAGAGTCATCATCGGTGAACTAGGAACTGAGCAAGAATCAACCAAAGCACAACCATTTCCTCTGATAATATTAATCCCACCTCCCATTGACAATATCTCTGCGTCCGAAATTGACCCATGGCACTTTGAACCATTTTTCGATTTACGAAAAGCTTTGGTCAGTGAATTTCTCAGCCAACCCTTGGAACTTTGAACTGGAACACCCCCTTGAGAATCAATTGTATCAGCTGAGTATTTACGATCTTTCTTCCTTCCGCTGGTTCCACTCTTACTTCCGGACAGTTTGACTTCATGATCAGATGAACTGGACACGGAATCTTTTGATCGATGACGAGGTAAATGTGGTTTCAATTCTGTTGAGAAAAACCAAACGAAAATGATTCAATGAGAAACATTTATTCACTTTGATACGAAAGGTGAATTAATCGGAAGTTTAATCAATCATATTGAACAGAACAAGATGGTCAATGATTGATGACTTACCATCGGAAGTGACCGAAGCAAATGTGTGTCTTCGTATGAGAAGGGAAGACTTTTTTTCTTTACTCTTCTTTTCTCCCTTTTTTCCTGGTGAACCTTCACCAAGATCATTCGTATCTCGTTTTTTCCCTGAGCCATTATGATAAGCGATCTCATCGATCATAGTTCTAAGTCGATTCAGCTCTGCGTCTTTCCTTTCAGACATGGAAGTTAACTGTTGAAGACGAGATGTCATCGCTGATAATGATTGTTCAAAAGCAGTGACCATATGAGCCTGATTAAGATTAGAAATAAGATTGATCAATACCAATGAATTATTGATTAGCTGGATTAACTTACATTGGTGTTTAATTGAGATGTTAAGGTGACAACCTTTTCATTTGCTTGATCGAGATCACGTTTCAATTTACGAACCTCTAGATTGTGTTTGTCATCAACTTTCTGTAATTAGGAATTAAAATTATCAGGGATAGTTAAGATTTTTTTTCTGTTGATAATTTAAAGAGATCAAAATACTCACGGTGAAAACGGTTGCATTGGAAACGAGGGAAAGTGCCGATGAGTAAAGATCACCTTCTTTCTCAATTGCTTTTCTTGTTAAATCACTTCCAAGACTGGGACTGGACAATATTGACCCTCCTGAGCCTCGCAATTTACCTCGATTAGGTGTCATTGGTAATCGACTTGGAGTCGATGTGAGATCACTTGGATTGGTATGACTTTTGGGAGTAACAGAATTTGATCGCCGGGGATGGATTAAATTATCTCCATTGGATCCACCGTGTAATCGACTGTCACCCCTTCCTCCTTGAAACCCACTCCCAGAGCCTCCATTACCTTGAAGACTTTCCATACTTTCCGCTTCCGTCAATGCATTTCGCTGGAGTCCAAATCCATTTCTCTGTAACCATGGACTTAATATCTGACCATAGCCACTGTTATCTCGAGCTAACCATTCCGAAGGGATTTCCGATGACCCATAGGGCAAACTTGAAGGTCCCGAATTACCTGAATTTACATTACCCCCAATCGACCGAGGATTGCTCGACCCACCTCGGATCCGAACCGGTGAAGTTAAATAGGAATATTTACCATTAATATAATTTGATGCCGATGATGCCGATCGTTTGGACATCATGTATTCAGTGTCAGAATAGATTCCATCCGAATAAGAATAAGGAGATGAACCACTGGTGGAAGAAGAACCATTTTTACCCGTTCCTTTTAATCTTGAGCCCGAAGAATAACTTTTAACCTGATTAGGTATTCTTCCAGTAGTCGCTGCTGATGTTGCTCTTATAACGGCGATCGCTTTACTATTGTTATTACCGCTATTGGAAATATTTTGTGAATAAGGTGATCCAATTGTACTCGACCCACTCAGACTATTTCCAATATACCCCAAAGATGAACATCCTTTACTTCCGGGATATTTTAGATTAGACATTGAATATGAATCGTTGGTCAACTTGTTCCCACTCGAACCTGAACTCATCGCGATACCTTTACCATTCACCCCACCAACAGGTACATTGGACTGACTTGAAGGTGAAATTGTATTCGGTTTCATGACAATATGCTGATCATGAAGATACTTTTTCCACACAGGTAACTGTGAACTTGGAATTGAATTGTCTCTATGATGATGGTGACCGTGCTGATGGTGAACGGGATCAACCGATCGACCTGATAATGCCGATGATTCCGTTTGAATGGAAGAATCGGTTTTCTTAACATTGGCTGATTTCCTCGGTGACCTTATCACCTGACAGTGGATTGGAGTGGCCGGTGTGACCGGTTGATTAATTGTTGATCGATTCAAATCATTCGACATTGATTGGTTTGAATTAACATTACGATAAGATGATTTTGGGGATTTATGATGAATCGGTTGTTGTTGGTGATGTTTTGATGGGGAAGATGATAATTTATTCTGATGATGATGATGATTGGCACTCGTCTTATTTGATCCTGAAGAGATTATTTTAATTGCTGAATGATTCACAGGAATTCCTGGTATATCACCATAAGTGGATGAACTCAAGGATGAACTGGTTGTGGTCGCGGTGGTGGTTACACTTTCAGAGGACAATGAAGAAGTATCATCGAAACTGTAATACGATTTAATTAGAAATTAATGGAATTCACAATTAGAGAATATATCACATCAGGCAACAATTGGAATTATTGGAAGGAATAGATAGTAAATCGAAAAGATTAAATTGTTTCGATATCAAGAGAAGTTTAATTATGTTGTTAATGTTTTTCTGTTGTTATGGTTTCACTCATTGGGTTAGAGTCTTTTTCACTTACACATGGATTTTTGTTTCATGTTTCTTATTTCAATTAATCAATAAAAGCAAATTTATTCTAATAAATATCAAATGTTAACGTATAGATGTTCAATTGATAAGATAAAATAAAATTTCGATTCATTAATGGATAATTAGGACAATTAATCGAAAGAATTGACTCTGGAAAAGACTAATCAAAGTAAACATCACAGTCTAATAAACCATATTGGTATTTCAAGGAATGAGAATGACATTCACTTCAGTCTCTCTCTCTCTCTCTCTCTCAATCATCTCTTTCTTTCGCTTTTCACTCCCAGTCCTTCATCTTCATCTTTATCTTCATCCCTTCTCTTTCTATCATTCTAAGTCTCTCTCTTTTTATCCTCTTTCTATTTCCTCCATCTCTTTGCGATGCTTTTATTGTTATTCAATTGAGGGAGAAACTGGAAGATAAAGGGGAGAAGAGCAGAAGAGAGAGAGAGAGAGAGAGAGAGAGAGAGAGAGAGAGAGAGAGAGAGAGAAGAAGAAAGGGAAAGTAGGAAGATAAAGTCAACGGAATTACAGTAACCATCAATATCGATCCATTTTTTCATCTTCGCTCCATCCTCATCCTCATCTTTTTCATTTTCTCCCCCATCTTTCTGGCACATTATGTTTTCTCTTCCTTCACCATCCTATCATCATCATCATCATCATCTTCCTCCTCCTTCCACCCATAAAACGGACAAAATAAGCTCAATGCTCAACATGTAAATCACCTCGACCCTCACACACAATTTGATCAACTGCAACTGTTGAATGTATTGGGTGAAAGTCTCAACAATAAAACTTTCACCCATAAACTATGAAAATGCATAACCGGGAATCGGGAATGAGATGAAGAGGGATAAATGATGATAGGAAGACACAAAGAAATAGTAAAAAATGATAATAAATAAACAACGACCCAAAAAAAAGTAAATTTTATCATAAATTCAAATCTCCACAGCAACAGTTAAATTATAACAGTAATTTACTTTCTATTAGCAAACTACTACAATCATTTGCCTTTTGTATCATCCAAACAATATAACAAAAGATAATTGATCAAACAGCTGATTAGTAATGATAATAGTTAATGACAATACGATTGTCATTATTATGCAAATAACTATTAGATTGATCTGAACATGAAATCCTTTCATGTGATTTTATCAATAGATTGTTGATTTTCCAGTTAATCATATTTGCTGAACTGAATCTTGAAAAGATGGAGAAAAAATTTCTTCATATGCAAATAATTGAAAAGATGTAAATTTAATAACAATCAGAATCAAATTGATTCCATGAAAATCATCATGAAAGTGGATGATTAACATAAGAGGATTTCAAGTGTTGTCATCGGCAAAAGTTCAATTTTGATTCTAATTTAATTGAATCTCGAATATTATTTTTACATTTCAATTCATTCACCATTTTTTGGAGAAATCAATTAATTGATTCACTAAATTCTAACTTTAATTTAATCTTCCAAATTCATTTGATTATTTAAACTTTTTCACCGTTAATTTGATATTTAAGATCATTGTTAATTTCTTTGTAATTGATTAATTCACATATAACACAATTATCATTTTGACAACAATTTAGAGTAAACAATTAACTTAATTTTCTGAAATAATTGAATTTCCCTGTTTCCAAAAAAAAAAGGATTCAAATTGTCATGTTTAAATTTCATTCTGGAACTAAATTAAATTTGATCATATTTTAGTTTATTATTTATGAGTTTACTTTCAATCAGAATTAATGAGATGTAAACAAAATTTATAATTAGATTGATATTATTGCCATGGTGGTGAATATTCATGTTAATTAACTGAAAACTAGAAAAAGTTAAGAAATTAAAATTAACATGAGAGATCAAAGATTCTTGATTATTAAAACTTTGGTTAATTTTGAAATTCGTAACCAATGGTTATCCAGTTGAAAAGATGAATGTTAATTAGCTCAATTGAAGGAAAGTTAATTACGATTCTCGAATTGTTGATTAACTGTTCATGTAGAAGTTCATGTGAACCATTAAAAGGATAAATTGTTATTTAGTAATAATTTATCTCGACATTTTAATGGAAACTTATAGTAACATGAACTCATGAACTTATCTATTTGAACGTAATCACTGAACCATTGATTGGAGATTTAAAATAAAAGGATTCCAATTGAAACTGATTAAATCTCTTCCTCTGTGTTTACTTTGTCCATTTGATATTCAATTACCAATCATAGAAACAGTTAAACTGACCAATGGTCAATTTCCTCTATCTTATGACCTCTGATAAGGTGAATTGTATTTAGCTCAACAATTCAATGAACTTTCATCGAACCGTTTTGACTTTTTTTTTCATCCATTTTCTATACGATAATCAGGGGATTAATATTTAACAATGGAAACTTAATCATTTGTAGTAAATGTATTAAACTATAGAATAGCAAAATAATCAACAGATTTTTGCATCATAAAAATGATGAAGATGAGAAAAGGTAAATAATGAATGATGAAGGTGCTGGAAGGGAAAAAGAAACAAGTTATCTCAAATTCAGTCTACCATGATGGTGGAAAATGGTAATTCTCTCGTTGGAATTTTTTCATGGAAAAGATTCAGTTTCCTTTTCTCTATCCTCTTCCTCTTAGAGCATCATTCTGATTATCTTCATCATAATCATAAGTAACTTTTTCCAACTACATGTTTGCTCCTTGATGATGTTTCCTGGATTGATAGACCTTTTGCTTGGTTTTTTCTTCTTCTTCTATACTTCCATTGATAAATCATAGTGAACATTTTCATCTATCTCTTTTTTTTTGTTCTTCACTTCTTCTAATACCATCACCATCATCATCCTCATAATGTTGATATTTCAAGACCAAGTGAAAGAGGAAATAACTTTTAGAAAAGCAAAAGCTAACATGGTAACCAAATGAACGATATTCATCATCATTAAGCACCATAATCACAAATTCTGTACACGAAAGATAATCTCTTTCTCCAACAATGTCTACAATAGAAAAGAAAATAATACAAAGAGAATAAAAACTAAATACAATTGATAACATATACTCACCATTCATTTAACACAAGTAACAGAAAAGAAGAAATAAAAAAAGGCAAAGGTAAATTGAGAGATAATCAATTGGAATTATCATTACCTCTTTCTTTTCATTTTTTCTTTTTTGACATTAAATCTGTCACATTAAGTAAACAGAAAACGCTCAGAGTATTCACTAGCAAAATAAAGACCAAATTAGTTTAACAAACTATAATTAAAACAAGAAAACAGTCTAATTAAAATGCAAGACAATTAACATTTTGATTTAGAAAAGTGAAAAAAATTTTTCATATGATTTTCGTTGAAAGTGTCGCCATCTCTTAATATAAATATGAATATGGAATTTTTTTCAAAGGATTAAATGAATTTTAGTTTAATCTTTCAATTTTTATTAATTGTTTCTAATTGTTTTGGTGTCTGTTCTTGAAATTTAGATCAAGTTGGGTGAATTTTTCCATGTTTTCTGATCTGTTTTTAGTAAATGTTTAAAGTGGAGGTCATTTGGTTGGTGTGTTGGTGCAAAAGGTTTGGTTTGTTTAGTTGATTTGCTTACCTGTCCTCGATTGAATTGTTGTTATTGTCAATCATGTAACTGTTATTGGAATCACATTTTGGTCTTCGACATTTTCTTGGTGATCCTCCAGACGATCCTCGATAACATGGTGACCTTGAACAGGAGTCTTCTCGACGATGAGAACGATGGGAATGATGATTACCTGGACCGGTTGACGATGATCTTGAAGGTAAACGACAATTTCTTCGACCACAATCAGACCGATTTCGGCGACTTTTTTCAAAACAATTGGCCTGAGAACAATAAAGATCATTTAGACCATAATTACCCGTTTCATGGATTTTCAATGGTCCCAAAGGTTTCACCCCAAAAGAAGCGGTTGATAATAGTTGATCATCGTCATTGTTATTACCATTTTTAGTACTACCATTCTCATCATTGGAACCAATATTAACATTGCAATTATCTTCATCACTTTTTAAACAATCACCATTCAAATCAATGTTGTTCACTTGTTTATCATTGATTTCATTTACATGTAAATCAACCATATTGTTATTATTATTGTTCTCATTATTGGCTCGTTTTGATTGTAAAATTGGTGAAACCTTAGCAACACTCGGTTCACTTTTGATTTGCTGTTGTAAATTATTGTGAGATGAATTGTTATTATTATTATTTACCATTGATGCTGATGAACTTTCACCTCCACCTCTGATTCTTGAAGGTGATTTCTGTTCATTTGTAACAGTTGATGTACCTTTAACTGTAGCCGTTGGTTTAGCTGTTGAAGGTGATGAACCACTTTGATCTTTACTCATTTTCGCATTGATAACAAACTGATTAACATTTGATTTGGTTTGTACTTTGACACGAGGTAAACAGTTGAAATTACGATAACTCGTTTCATCAACAGTTTTATGTTCACTGGAAACAACATGTCCGGTAACTACAGGAGAGAGATGAAGATGAAGATATTTTCGATGCTCTTTCACCTCCTTCTCCCTTTTCTCCCGCAACTATTACTGCTACTTTTTCTTCCTTATGTTTTTCTCTCCCTCTCCCACCACCTCTTCCTCCTCCTTTTCCCTCATCTTCCTCATCATCTTCTTTATATTGTTTAGTTACTCTTTTCACTCTATACTTCATTGAAGGCGCAGGTATACCTGAGATGAGTTTCAACCGAGATGATCCTTCTTGATGAGCAGGAGACTGGGAATGATGATGATGTTTCCATGGTAATAAGGGTGATGATATGTGAGCTTGATATTGTTGTTGTTGCTGTTCAATACAATAAGTATTATGGTTTACAGTTGATGATAATGATGCTGTTGATGTTAGTGTGGGTGATGATAATGATGATGATGAGCTCGATACCTTATCAGTTGTTATTATTGTTGTTTCTTTCACTTTAACTCCCTTTGTTGTCATTTTTATGCTAACCCACAATTCATTTGGTTATTCAACCTGCAAGAATAAGTTTAGTTGATTGTTACATTTATTTATCACGACAATTGTCTCATATTCAGAGGTATTGGAATTACCAGAGTCCAGAGGAAATTTTATCAATAACTTTTACGGATTTTTCTTTTCCAATAAGAATCAACATTGGGATTTTCAGAATATCCTCTGATCACGAAATTACAATCCAATTGCAAATCTTATTATTCATTAATCCTGTAAATAAGTTGCAAATCAAAAAGACAAGAAAACGAAAAGATTAACAGGAATGACAAAACAATCGGATTAACTAAAAAAAAGACAGAATCAAATGTCCACTTGAATTTAAAGTGAAATCATTCAAAGTTTTAATCGAATGGACGAAAAAGTTAAATTGAATTTAGAAATCATTGCAACAATAATTGAATTGTTGCCACTTCCCTTTACAATCAATCAAATTATCAAAACTAAATCAAGGAGTAAAAAAGACCAACTCAATTTAACTAACCAAAAGATGAACAGAAAATCAATAATCCACCTTGAGGGTAACGGTAAACCTTTAAAAGGAAACAGTGGAAATAGATTCAAGTAAACATTAGATAAACGTGATTTAATAGGTAAGATGAGATGAAGATGATCAGGATATCCTCTCTTTTTTATCTTCCTGAGCAAGTTATTTTATCATCTTCATCCTCATCCTCATCCTCATCTCCATCTTACAATTTGATCAATATTTCAACTCCATTGGAAAAGCAAACATTAACAACAAGATTAACCAGAAAAACTAACCAGATAAAACAAAAGCAACAATTTAACCAGAGTGAAAAAACAACAATCATTAAACTGTAATCCAATTATCAACTTTTATAATCACAATTAAGCTTTAACTATTAACCAGAACTTTGAATGAACATTTCTCTGGAAATTAACTCTTCATTGATTACAATTTCATTCCCATTGAAAAGTTTCATGACTTCCAATTAAGTTTCTAGTTGGATTGTTTTCTTTTCCAGGTTGATGATTAATCCATTTTTATAAATACAATTTAAATAACGATAATAATAATTAACTCTAATTGTTGGCTGTATAAATTTCATCCTGAAACAATTGAGCAAAGTTCATTGTTAAGGTTCATTTTGAACTGAGAGCTTTTTTCTGATCTTTTCCTGTTCATCTTCAACAATACATGATAAAAATTCTGGTTCTAATCATCATGTTGATGAAAGTTTTTATCGAAAAAATAACAAAGATAATTCCAAACTCGTGAGAATTAATTTTGATAGAAATTTTCATGAAAGTTCAATAACATGATAAGATTTTCTGGAAAAAATGAAAATTTTCCTAATCTTCCAATTTATTCACAAAGATTCAAATGATAATAATTCAGGGAGAACATTTTGTAGAAAAAAGTTTAGTAAAGAATTTGAAATTTCATGTGAATAAAAAAATTCTGGATACCATCAGAATCTAAATTCTGGACTATATAAGCTGAATTGTGAATTCATTTCAATAATATCATTGAAAATCAATAACATATTCATTCAGGGCGAGATAAGAACATAAAATGAATTATCTGATAACTAAAAATTCATTGAATATTTTGTATCATTCTCAGATAACATTTCATGATAAAATCGCTTAAGGCAATAACTAAATTCATCTGATAATTTCCATCATGTGAATTTTATGAGCTGAATTCTGGGAGTGAAAATAAATCCCTGTTATCTTATTATCAGAATTCACGAGAAATTCAGTTCAATCAATTTTTTCCCACAAAATATACCAAATCAAATATACTAAGAATGTGAATCACATCGGTCACCGTGAATATCATGCTAATCATGATTAATTGTTTGCAATTAACTGTTGTTCAATGTTAATTGTTGACCGAAGCTGTTTTCTGTATTTTCTTGCTGACCTTTGCTGATTGTAACTAATTGATGGTAATCAATATATTGAGACTCATTAATTTATTTATATGTGTTTTGATTTATTATGATTAGTTTTTTTTGTTTTGATTTCTTCTTACAATTTATCTTGATTAACTTTGATTTAGTTTTTATTTCATCTTTGATTAGGTTGTAATATCATGGATGATGTTGGTTAAGACCGATGAACATGTTTGCTTTGATTTGATTGTTAAGATCATGATTCGGATTACATTTTTGTAATTACCTGAGGCATGATTAGTTATCATTAGGATGATAATTTCAATCAGAGTTGATTGTTTATTGTGAGAAAATTAAATCTACTCAACATTTGCTACTAATACAAATTGTGATTAACTAAATTACGCTCAAGGCTTAGGATTACTTTCTCATAATACAATCAATACAATTAAAGTATTGTTATCCTAATCATGTAAATAATATAAATCTATGGTTAAACAATCAAATCAACCGATATTAGTACATTAAAATAATGAGAAAGTAAAATTTAATCAGTCAAAAAGATAATGGATTAACTTACCATTAGATTTGTAGTCAAACAAGAATCACAATTAACTGGCCAACATATTGACTTAATCCATTTGAATGATTACAATTTATTCAGAAAAATTGATTAACAAGTAACATTAATTGTCTACCAATCATTTTACAGAATTAATAACATTAAATTTACAAATGACTGTCAATCATTTGAAGGCCAGGTAACAGTGGAGCTAAAGAAAACCTCCCCACCCTGTCTTCCTATCATCTTCCTCCACCTACAGAGAGAGAGAGAGAGAGAGAGAGAGAGAGATAATCGACCAGGTAATAGTAAGGAACCCAAATGAATGGATAACATTTGAAACGAGGGGAAAAAAGATCAATATATTTAAGACTAAAGGTAAATGCGTGTTTACGATTCGATTTAAAGTGAGTCATTTAGAACAACATTCCCCACCCTCTGCCACTTCCTCTCCCTTATAATCCTCAATTATCCTCCTTGAAGAAGCCCAAATAAATAAACTTTACCTATGTAATTATTTTGGTTACCTGGAAATTTAATGGAATAAAAATAAATTTTTTTTTTCGATACAATAATAATATCCGCTAAACCATCAAGGTCACAATTAAATTTAAATTGTTTTGGTTGATTGATTAACTACAAACAGATGATATCAATGTGATAACATATGGGAACTCCCTGATTAATTAATTTAATCGTAATCCATTTAGTCTTGTATCAACCTCATCCGTTTGATTTAGTGTTAAAGTCAAAATATTGACAATCCTCAGAGATTCATGATGATTTTTGCAAACATGATTTCTTTTGTAATCTTGACATGAAATCTCATCTGTATTGAACTGAATCATAAATTCAATTATACATGTTGATGTAGTGAAATTTTCATAGAGGGAAGAGGAGAAAAGGTTCGGTGGGTGAAAAATGTTCATCTTTTTGGGAACTTTGTTCATGGATATTTGTTCATAAATATGATTTTCCATGATAAACTTGCCTATTCATTTCTGTTTATTATTATTCGTGAATGTTTGTTATCAACTCTCATGGTTCAACTGATTTTAACATCTATCAGAACTGTAACTTGAGCTGTTCACTTGATGAAAAAGAAAGAAAAAAGTTCAGTTCTGTTGAGTTCGATAAACTTGAAACACGGTGAAAAATATATACACACATAAGAAACCAATTTTCACCGAGGGAATTGTAATTAATCCCTTATCATTTTGTATAATCATTTTTAATCACAATTATATTCATCATTATCATTTACCAGAACTATTATCATGATTAAACCTCAATGGATTCATTTTCATGATCATTTTATATAATAATAAACATTGAAATGGATTAATATTGTTCAGTGTCAAGTGGGTGTAAGCTTAACAACTGATTATCATTAATTATTTGTCAATTGCATTTCTTGATAATAAGTAAATTTTCTTGATTGTCATGATAATAATCAATGGAATATTAAATTATTATTTATTATATGATTCATTAATCAAATGTACAAAAAAATGCCGCGAATCAATTATACAAAGATCATGATCAGTTAACTACACTCTAAATTGGATGAAACAATCAAAAGTTCATTCTCTCCAAGGTTAAGAGGTCAAAAGGTTAACCTTGACCATTGAGACCTTAAATTCTAATGTAATTGTGATAAGGGATTAAATTCAACTGAAGAAAATGAAAAAAAGTTCAATTTAATTCCAAGAGCTGAGGATTTTCCTACTCCCGAGTAAACATTTTCACCCACTAACCTGAAGGTGAATGAAATGTAACCATGAATTCATCCATTGAATCAAATGGTATAAATGTTTCAATATCATTGATTATTACATGAGAAGTAGAAAGAAGGAGGAAATGGGAGGGACAGGGTGGAAGAGAGAGAGAGAGAGAGAAATGGATGAAGATGAGGAATAAAAAAAGAAGAAAAGAAAAACAAGAAATAATGGAAATAAGAAAATGGTAAAATGAGATAAATAGAAATGAAGATGAAGATGAAGATGAATAGTCGAAACTATTTAGATAATATTTTGTTTCTCATGAAGACGAAAATGCCTCTCGAGTCATCATCCATTCTCATCTTCATCTTCATCTTAATATTAATATCATGATGAAATTGTCTCCCCTTATCATCTTAATTGAGTCTCTCTCTCTCTCTCCCTTAACCCAAAAGGCAAATATTGGGCTATGATATTTTTGGGTGTTGGTTTTTGGTAATAACAATCATCTTCAATGACGATAATAATGATGAGACTCAAGATATCATGATATTAATCAGAATCATTGAGATGTGAAAAAAGTAAGAAAATGAAAATGATTCCTATTAACCATGAACTCTAGTTTCTTTCAGGGGAGATAAAGTTCATTGACATAGTTCAAGGTTTTTCCTTTTATAATATATTAACCTTTCACCTTTTAACTGCAACAATTAAAAATTAATTGTCACTTGGATATAAAGTTACTGATGTATGAGTTTTTTTTTCTGTACGATGAAAGTGATGAGGTGAAGGAAAAAGTTCTGGTTAATCAGTTGGATTTGATTTGATTGGTTGACAGGAAAACAAATTGAATCTATTGTTGATTGTCATTGATTTACAATTCACAATTTATTCATTTCCTTTCATATTCTTGATAATAATCAATTATTTTCAATAAATTGCTGAGCAAATATTTGTCACCATGAATATTTGGTGACACTTGGATAGCCAAAAATTTCAACTCAATAATCAACTGATTGTTACGGATTATTTTCTCATATTGATTGACATTACAATACATTTAAAGTGACACAATTATCATTCAGCTCATGATGATCATCATTTCAGATGAAATTTAATTTGGTTAACAATTTATTCATTGTCAGTAGTTAATTAGATTAATGAGATTCAATTGTTTTTCTTGTCTCACTAATTAACTCCAAACTTTTTAAATTAATTATCAAATGCAAATTCAACTTGATTTTATAAAAAAAAAACACAAACAATTTAATTATCAACTCTGGTCATTTGGGTAATTGATCAGTTTAATTCAAATTGTTCATCTCTTGTTTGTTAAAAGTTAATTTTCCTCATCAGAATTTGATTCTGAGTCTTTCAATTGATTAATCACTTCTAGTTGATTTCTTTGATTAGTTATCTTATTATTACATGTAGATGATTGGTAATTGCAATTGATTTATTATTAATCTAATATTAAACAGACTGAAAATGAAGATCGATAAAATTGATTAGCTGATCACCATGATTAGCATGAGGAATCTGATCAGAACTTTCAAATTGTCTAATCTTTAATTATTATCAACAGAATGGAAACTTAAATCCAATTAGTTGATCATCAGGTTATTTAAATTAATCCATTGATTTTATGTCAATCAATAGCATATCAGTTGATTGATGTTAATATTATTTACTCAGATTTCATCTGATTCCATGTTATCAAAGGATTAACAAGATATTGATGGTTTAGTAGTGTTTCTGGCTTAATCCCATTCATGGTAATAATAATAATATTGTTGGTGAATAAATTTATCGATTCCCAATGTGAGTTAATCATAAAATCGAGGAGAAACTGGATTAAATCAATTGTATCGATGAGAACTCAGTGTTTTCACCATGAAAGTGAATTGAGAAACATAAGCTTCACATTGTAACTTTGAAGGATTTAGATATTGACAATACTCACCTTAATTGTTACAGTTAATTGTTGGCGGAATCAACTGATTGAGTGATGAAAATTATGTCACCAAGATGAGTTACTTTTGTTTTAAAATAGCTTTTGATTGTAAACTCAATTCAAACAATTTAAAAATGGCAGAGATCCAATTGACTGTTAATATTATCAACAAATGATTAAACAAGAGGCACAAATTAATGTCACTAATTAAATGGTATGTAATTTAAGAGCCAACAATTAGTTGACATTGGAAAGGGCAAATTCAAAATAAAAGGTTAATTTAATGTCACTGATAATCAATGAATCTCTTGATCATTGGGATATTTAAATGGCAACAATTGATTAACTAATTTTCAAGAATCATCTTAATTTAATTGGAGACAATTTATTTTATGTTAATCGATACATTGGATTAGTTAATCAACAGGTAAAATGATTAATTTTTTCCTTGAAATTGATTGTTTAGTCTTGTGTTTGGTCAATTTCAATGTTGATTAGTTAATTGTGCTTTTCCATTGGGTACTAACTAATTGTGCAATTTTTTTCTCCTTTTTTCTGGTCAATGATTAAATATCCAATCTCTCTAATCAGTGCTAATCTTATTACTCTTTACAATTAAGTATAAAATCCGATCAAATGATTACAATTAAAACCATAATACTCTTTGACTTCTAGAGTTAGACATCTCTTTGCCTCCTTTTTGTTGATTATTTAATTAGTTCTTAACTAACACAACTTTAAAAATCTAATTTCCTTTATTTTAATTGTTTAATATTTAACATCTTCAAAATGAATTCATTATCACTGTTATTATCTATTCTAATTGTCTCAGCTTTTTCAGGTAAGTTAATTAGTGAAAAAGTTTAATTGATTAACTAATTTGTTTTTTGTTAATTTCATCAGTTGGTCAGTCCTGGTCAGCTAATTGTCACCTGAAAGAATTGGATTATTGTGCTGCATCTTTAATTGTTCAGCTTCAAAACCAAGGTAGATTTAATTTACAATTAATTTCTCTTTGATCATTTCTAATTGTTTACATTTTCCCTCTCTCAATTAACAGCAACTCCAACAACCGACGCAGCCATTGATTCATATTGTTCAACAATTAGAGATGCTCATGATTGTGCTTCTAATTATACGGCTAAATGTGCGACCTCCTTACAGAGAGAGTTGATCGACTTTGTCGCAATCGGAGGTGTTGCCGTCGTCAAAGAGTTTTGTACTCCTGGTAGTCCACTTCGAACCAATTATTTGGCAAATGCTAAATGTCTATCTGAGGCCAAAATCGAGGCTAAACGTTGTACCAACGATTTACAAGTAGCCGTTGAGGAAGTGATCACAACCTCATGGGAGAAACGAATTCCTCTTGGATGTTGTGCCTTCAACCGATTCCAAGAATGCTCCTTATCGATTGTCAAGTCGCGATGTGGTCCAAATGTTGTCGACTTGGGTCGTAAAGTGATGTCCATGACCACATCTCGAATACCCGAAACAGTTTGTCGATCTTTCCCGACCAAAAGTCCACTTTGTGTCAACATTTTACCGGCAACCGGTGAGACACCGAAAGGGAACAAATCAACCAGTCTTATAGCTCGACTATTTGCCACCGCCGTTGGTAATTAATTGTTTACTCGACGAAGAAAATATTTTATTTACAATTGTAATTATTTCAAGCGAAACTGTGATAATTGACCAATGGTCTTAATGACACGAAGATTCTCAGCAATTAAGAGAATCTTCATTCTAATAGATGTTTTTAATTAACAAAGAGGTAACTATTTACTTCCTCTAAAAAGAAGCAACAATTTATCAATAAAAATACATTTCTGACAATCAAATCAACTTTTGTCGAGTGACAATCATTTCAATTGATTCCGGAATTGATACTTTACTTTTGTCAACAAGTTTAATCATTTGAAAAGAGAAAAACAAATTGATTATAATTAATTTGCTCTTGGTAATAATTTAATTGCTGATTACGCAAACACATTGTGTTTCTTTCGAGTGAATCAATTAACATTGATTGTTGATTGTTTGAATGTTAACATCAATCACAATCAACTATTTCCGATTGAATCTTTTCAACCCAACGAAGCAACAATTAGATTAATCTACTCGTCATAATTAACATTTCATTTCATTTCCATTTCGTATTAATCAATGATTGTCTGTAAATAGAATCAACAAAAATTCCCCGAATGTATCATAATAAAAATGGAGATAAATGAGGACAATTAAGTGTTAATGGAAAAGTATGGTAATGAAAAAGGGAAATAAATTGCTATTGAAACATTTAAAGTTCTGCATTTAATTGAAGATAAATTATCTAGAATAATAAATATAATACAACCTAAAAATTAATTTTTGGTTTACTCGTTTTTGTTAATCATTTGACGAAAAGTTGAGATGGTTTGTTGTTTGTTAAGAATTAGGAGGAAGATAGAATTGAGAATGTTAATTGTTAAAGAATGAGATAGAAAATATGAGATTTAGAGCTTTGAGATGCGTATTAGTTAAATACGCGGCGATAAAATTAAAACACAATTAAGCAACAAGGTGATCTGATCAATGCTTGTATAATCTATCCATTGATTACCTAGAACAAAGAGAGTGAGAAGGGAAAACAATATAATAGCGATGAGAATGATGGTGATGATGGATGATGATGATGAATCAACAATTTTCATCTAAAAACAATCTTCTAATCATAAATATCTTTGATTCAAAATAAAATATTAATTATCTCCTTGCTTAAAGGATTGAGTTGATACGGAAGTTAATCTTTTAAACCAACTGTAAATGATAAACTGAGCTAAAGAAAGAAAAACATAAACATAAACAATTGCTTTCTATCATCTTATTTTTTTTTTGATTAGTAGTGTGATTGTTGATTTCTCGTTTCTTTTCTTTCTTTTTCTGTTTTTCTTTTATGAGTTGACTTTGCTTCATAATCTGGCTGAGAGAATCAGAAATAGGTAACCGATAAGATAATCTTTTGTCAATCTTATATCACAGGATGAGGTTTGCAGCTTTTCTTGGAACGGTCGTTCTGGGTGTTTGCTTTTTTAACAAAATCCATTAACTGATCAAATGAGTTTAAATAGCGGTGGGTTGTTTTTTCATTCTAATATCCTGAGAATGTTTGTTCCATGTGAGCCTTGTATTCCTTTTTATGGATAAATTTGTTTCCAGTAGCTGTTGTAGCAGATACTGGTCTCCCGGCGTATCTATTGAGGGAGAAAAGGTGAGAAATTAGGTTAAATTGTTAGAGATATATAGAGGTAATTTATCAGTTGATTATTAATTCTTACTTTAATTCTCTATTCTGTTGATCAAGATGCTTGAGAACTGAATGCATATGTGGTTCCATATGAGGCCAGAAACCTTGGTTTTTATGTTCTTCTTGAGACCAAATGAGTTGGGCATTTGGATATTTACTTATCTCTTCAGTAATCAAATCCCAAGGGAAGGGACATAATTGTTCAACTCGGGTTATTGCAACATCTTTGTCTAATCCACGAGCAGTTCTTTCCTTTATCAATTCGTAATAAACTTTACCGGTACAGAAAACAAGAGCTTTGGTATTTTCAGCATTTTCAGAAGCAGAACCCGATTCAGGGATAATTCGTTGGAACTCAGTTCCTTCATTCATTTCATCGAAACTTGATCGAGCATCGGGATGTCTTAATAAAGATTTTGGTGAGAAAACAATTAGAGGTTTACGGAAAGGAAGAGCAACTTGTCGTCGTAAGGCGTGGAAAATGTTTGCTGGTGTACTGCAATTAACAACAATCATGTTAACATCATGTAATTGACGATTAACAAAATCAACATCATTTATATATTCATCGGCCTGAATGAATGAATAGAAAGATAATTGATTAGAAAATAAAAATTAAGGTTAACATGGTGATCAAATGAATGAATAAAATGGAAACTTACAGGATAGATATTACCATCTGAGTTACATAATTGGAGGAATCTTTCAGGGCGAGCTGATGAATGCTCAGGACCCATTCCTTCCATACCGTGAGGTAAAAGAAGCACAAGTCCGCTTTGTCGAACCCATTTAACTTGTCCACTGCTAATAAACTGATCAATAATACATTGAGCTGTATTATTGAAATCACCAAATTGAGCTTCCCAGATAACTAATGCATTGGGGTTGGTCATTGAAAAGCCAAGTTCAAAACCAAGGACACCATATTCGGAGAGGGAACTATTACAAACAGTATAAGGCGCTTGATCGGGGTAGAGGTGGCAAAGTGGTCTGTATGTTGTCTTATCAACGGTTTGATGGTGAAGAACATGGTGACGATGAGAGAAAGTACCTCTTTCAACATCTTGTCCACTAAGACGAACATGAATTCCTTCTTTAAGGAGAGATCCAAAAGCCATTGCTTCACCTAAAGCCCAATCGGCTTCTCGTTTTGAGACCATTTCAAGACGAGATTTAAGGATTCTTTTCATAGCCGGATGAATCTTGAAATTTCCGGGAGGTTCAGATCCAAAAGCGGTACCAATGTGAGTTAAAACATCCTCCGAGACACCGGTTGGATCAGATTTGTATGGATGACGGGTTCCAAAGAATCCATGCCAAGGTGAATCAAGCCAATCTTTATTGTGAATTTTACTCATTGAATCACAATTTTTGAAAGATTCTTGTAAAATCTTTTCATACTTGTTTTTAACCTCTTCAATTTCATCGACAGTGCAAACACTTTCATCAACAAGCTTCTTACTGTAAAGATCAAGAACAGGTACTTGTTTCCTGATTCTGGTGTACATCAATGGTTGGGTGAACATCGGCTCATCAACCTCATTGTGACCGTTTCGTCGGTAACCGACAATATCAATAATAACATCTTTACCAAACTTGTCTCTCCATTCAGCGGCAACATTGCAAACATGGACAACTGCTTCAGGATCGTCAGCATTAACATGGAAGATGGGAGCATTGACGACACGGGCAACATCAGTACAATAAGGTGAAGATCGGGCAACCCGAGGATCAGTAGTGAAACCAATTTGATTGTTAACAACAATATGGATGGTACCATGTGTTGAATAATCAGCAAGATCGGAAAGGTGAAAAGTTTCATAAACAACACCTTGGCCGGCAAAAGCAGCGTCACCATGTAATAAGATTGACATGACTTTCTTTCCCTGGCTATCGGAACGGTAAAACTGTTCAGCACGACATTTACCTTGAACAATTGGATCAGAAGCTTCCAAATGAGATGGATTGGCAACAACAGCCAATTTTATCATTTTGTTAGTCATTCGATTGAGTCTTTCGTGACACATACCCAAATGGTATTTAACATCACCGGAACCCTTAATAAAAAGGAGAATTATGGAAAATCGATAAAATAATTACAAATTTATCTTTTTTTATGACGATATTATTAGTTAAAAATAATGTATCAACACAAACCTCATCATCCGGCTCAAGGGCGCTGAATTGGGCAAAGATTTGCTCTAATGGTTTACGGCAAACGTTGGCTAAAACATTCAATCGGCCTCGATGGGGCATTCCCATGATGAAACTTTCACAACCTAATTCACTTGATCTATCAATGATCGTTTTCATGGCTGGAATTAAAACTTCAATACCTTCGAGACCGAAACGTTTTTCTGAGACCCACTTTTTGGCAAGAAACTCTTCAAATTTGGTTGATCGAGTTAATCTGGCCAATAAAAGTCGTTTCTGTTCTCGGTTCAGATCCATAATATTAGGAGTTTCAAATTTACTTCTAAGCCAATTACACTGTTCAGTATTATTGATAAACATATATTCAACACCAATATGATTACAATAAACATTTTCTAACCGGCTGATGATCTCCCTTAAAGTTAAAACTTGATCTTCACCACCAATATAAGTGTTTTTAGGTAACTTAAATTCTCGATCCATGTCCCGTTCATCCAACTTATGGTGTCTCAGAACAGTTTCCGGTGAACTGGGTGCACCTTCAGATGTTTGTAAATAAATATTAGCAGAGGTAATTTCCAATGGATCAAGTCTAGCTGCTAGATGACCTCGAACTTGATAAGATCGAATAATAGCTTGAACCGAAAGATGATCATCAATTGATGGATCAGCAGTAGAAACAGTTTGGGAAGAAGCAAAGGAACCACCGCCAGTACTACCAAGTGCTCTTAAAGCAGCAGCTGAATTGAAAGCAGCTGTCGGGCTAGAATAGGCTTGACCAGGTTGTAATCCAGCACTTACACTCTTAAAAAAAATATTCCATGAAGGATGAACGGAAGCCGGGTCAGCCTTCCAGGCTTTAAACATTTCTTCCACATAAACAGAAGATGATCCATTTAGAAAGGGTTCTTGGGCAACCGAGTTTAACCTTCTAGAATTGAGACGCTGGTAGTTTTTAGATAAAACACTAAACAGACACCGATTCATGGTGGATAAATAGATGGAAACGGAGAATAACTAAATTAAATAGAAATAAATTAAATTAAACTACGAGAGAAAAAGAAAAGAAAACATTAACCAGGAAAAAACAGTAACAAGGTCACAATAGAAAAGCTTTTACCTTGTTAAGTAAATGAAGACAAATGTGAATGTTTACCTCATAACCAAAGGCAACGAAAGAGAAAAGAACATTTTATTTGCCTAGTGGACTAAATGGGAACTAATTTTCTCTTTTCTAGCGGAGAATTTGGATTTTCTCAGATTAACCCAATCTCTTAAATCTGGATTAGTGTTTTTTTTTGTTCTCATTAATCATTTTGTCAACATTATTTTCTCATTCATTTATTTATAGCTTCAATTTAATATTCTGACATTGATTTGTTTCCATCATCTACTTAATTTTAACCATCATTGACCAAACATTTTAAAGCTCAATCATATTACCATTGGTATTTGATTTCGGTTTTATTTTACTTCATTTTTGGATTAGTGACTTGGTTTCTAATATTCATCTGGTTGTGATTTGCTCTTTGTTCAAGTGTATTACCCCGAGAGTGTGTTTAAGATATCGTTTATTTCAGATATTAGAGAATCCTTTGTGAGAATCGCTGGTGGTATTTGCAAGTGTGAAAAAAATCGTCATTTTTGATCATTTTACTCATTGGATTGTGACTTTTCTTTTGTTTAATTGAATTGGAAATATTAAATTTACCTTGTTAAATTTTTCTCAAAATGGCCGATCTTCTTGGTTCTATTTTAAAAGCCATGGATAAACCTCCATCAACGACCCGTAATGATCAAAGAACTGCTGCAGCTAAAAAACAAGAGGAAGCGATGAGAAAAATAGCCGATGAAGAGAAAAGAAAATTGAAAGAATTCAAAGCGTCAATTGAGAAGCGGGTGAATGAATTCATTGCAGATGAATCTAAATCTTCTTTAAAATTCGAGCCAATGGAAAAAGTTCAACGGACAATCGTCCATGATGTTTGCGATGCCAATGGTTTATATGCTTCTTCTTTTGGACTCGAAGCCGAGCGTCACACTGTCATCTATAAACAAGATGCTGTTCCCTCTGAAGAAGAGTTGGCCGCTCTTCGGCGAGGTGAAATTTACGATCCCGAAAAAGCTGCATTGAAAAAAGTATTAGAAGCCAAAGAAGAACTTGAGTCATTGAAAAAGAAAAAAATTGTACCCGTAACCAATTATAGAGAAAAATATGAACACCTAATAGGTAAAGACACTGGTAAAGAAGCGGCAACCATAGCGAAACCCAGTGAACAATTTGGTTTGGTACCAACCGCCTTAAAACGAGATCAAAGGTCAATCGAGGAAGCGCTAAATGATATTCGGTCAAAGAAGAAACTTAGACAAGAGTTACTAGGAGCATCGACAAGTGATTATAATTCACAAGAGACCATTTCAACCTCAAGTGCGTCCAATGCTCAAGCGGGTAAAGATGAAGACGATAGTGATTAACAAGAAAATGAATATTCTTTGAGGATAATTTGTTTCAAAATAAAAAAAAAGATGACAATCAATTTCTTTTCAAGTAAAAGTAATTAGGTTTGATTTAATTGAAGTAAATATCACAAATCAACAAAATATTTACAAACAACTAAGGGTTTTTTATGTGTTTTCTGATTTTTCTAATCAGAAACTATTTATAGTTTTTCCACCAGAAAAGATGGAGCTATAAATCAATTAAACAACTAGAGGTTCTAATATTGATGGACATTTTTATGCCTCGTCTCGTTATAATGTCTAAAAAATGATTTACCCCATTCATAAGTGCTAATCATTATAGCACAAGCGGGAGCCACTTTAATTAATCTTGGTGATAAGCCTGCGAATAGACCTTTCAATCCTCTTTGAGAATATAAATGTTTGATTATGGAAACAGTTGATTTAGGTGTTGTCCTTGTATGATTACTTTTACCAACAATTAGGTTTTGTCCAATCTCAATTTGTCGATGTGTTTTGACTACATCGAAAGGTAATGTTATTATGGCTGCCACCGAACCGGCGATTCCACCACAAATGAAACTTTGAAAGAATGTTGGTTGAACTGTACAGTTTAACTTTCTTTTTAATCCTTCGTAACCGGCCCAGTAAAGAGCGGAGAAAGGTACATCACGAAGTATTGTTGGAACAAGACCACGATAAAGTGCTAAAATTCCTTCTTGTTGGATTAATGATCGTACTGCTCTTCCAATATCAAAATAACTCAATTTCTCCGATTGCATTTTAGTTCTTATCAATTCCAATGGACTAATAGTTACAGCGGCGATAACACGAGCACAACCGCCAGCAGTCATAGGAACCCAAAGTGGTTGATCTTGAGGTAATCTGCCACGGTGGAGGTTAATTCGAGCTCGAAGTTGATCATATACAGTGAAATATATAACAGTTGATGGAATAGCCATAACTCTGGAATAATTTAAAGGTAACAAAACAAAAAATCAAGTCTAAACTTATCATGAGTTTGATGATTTACATACAATGTTGGTGGTAATCCACTCCATAAACTAGTGATCCCTTCATTTCTGGCAATATGAACAATACCATCCTAGAGATAAATTAAAATGTCATGACAATAATTAATTAACCCTCTTTAAATAAAATCTAATCAAAATCTAAGAAAGAGTAGATTATATTCGGGATTATAAGTCTTGACTCTCTTCTTGTAGGAAATAAACTGACATAATGTATAAAGGATAAATTAATTACCAGTGTTCCTGTGAATGGAGCTCCACGTTTGAACCATTTAACTCTTTCGGATTGAGTCATTTGAACTGAAGCAGCTTCAGAATTTCCATTTCCATTACAGGTACAAATATGATCCATTAAACCATTACAGTAAAGGAAACATTTATTGCGAATAAATTCTTTCTCTCGAGCTTGAATACGAATTTTAACCACATCCAATGGTGTAACTAAAACATAGTAACAAATGAAAAAAAGATTATCATAACTGTAAACATAAAAATGGAGGAAAACAGATAAAAGTAAAATGTCAAGGTACAAACCAATCAAAGAAGTGATAATGGCACCGGTACAGGATGAAGCCATTTGCTGACCAGGAGTAATATTGAAATTTAGTCCATCAGACGAGCCCATCATTATGATTTATGTTTCTCAATCAATGAAAGGCCTTGAACGTTACTACGCACAAACAACAAACTGTTACAAGGGTTAGCACGTGCTTGGTAAATTCGCTAATGATTGATAATTTTTACATTGGAAGACTTGAGTTAACTATAAGATAGAAATAGAAGAAGATTTTAGTCAATGAGAAATTGAGATAAAGAAAATAATCAAAATTCATTAAGAATATAAAAAGTGAATAATAACCAAACTCATTTAGCTTTGAGATAACGATCAAAGGTGAAGAAAAGGAAACATTGACAAAACAATAACTTACCACCATTAGTTTATAATCGGTTTGATTCTTCTCACAAATCATAATCTTCTTTCTTTACTAAGTTAATTAGCAATATATTAATGACATATTATTAATAAATACTACAAAGTTGATTAGAATAACAAAACCTTGAAAATTTAAAGGATCGACATTTAATCAGGAGAAAGTGGAGAAAGTAAGGAAAAGAAAGAGAAAATGTGAGGTTACCATGGAAACGAAAGAAACAACTTTAAAAAGAGAAGCGGTTTTTTCAAAGAAAATGACGTTAAATTCAGAATTTATTTTTAATAAAGTGAACAATTTCAACATGGAATATGTTTTATCGTGAAAATTTTTATCGAGAAAGAAAAATCGAAATTCAAATTAAGAAAAAATGGTTTGAAAGACAAAATCATGTTTATCAGCTAAGTTTAGATGTTATTGTTGATCAAATTGTAGTTTTTCTCAACTTTGCTGATGACAATGAGTTAATCAGTCTGAGTTAATCAGACGACTCAAAATGTTTAGAAGACGTTTTGAAATCGGCAAGATGAGATTTTGGATGAATGTACATTTTAACGGGAAATTCAATGTCAAGGTCAAATATTTGCGCTATTCTCATAATGGTCAGTCTATTAATTACTCCATCGGGTTTCCATAGTTCACAGGCAAGTTTAACTCCATCGACATCTCGAACTCCCATGCTGATCAGGTAACGAATTGTTTTCTCTTGAATTCCTTTTAATCTCAGAGTTCGAACCCAATTGGCAGTTGGAACTGTATCAATAATCTGAGCAACAGTCGAACGAGTATCAATTGTGTTACTCTTTAATAGAGAGGTTTCAGAATAACTTCCAGTAATTAGACCATTGGTCAACATCGCATCGATTAATTTACGCAAATTAAGATCACAAGTAACGGCCAAAGAAACTCCCATTACACTGAAGATCGACTTGAAGTCTAAATAGTCCAAACTATTCAAGTGCTTTCGAATGGTCAACTTGGATAATTTCCCATTGATGGTCAAGGGATCTTCGTTTATGCTATCACTCATGTTTTCACAATAATGAGAAACTTTAATTTTAACGAATTAACTGAAAATAATGATCACAGGAAATGATTTATGATTGAATGATAACCACTAATTAAAATCCCGAATCAACAATTGGTTGACTCATGAGGTGGGAGGATAATCGGGATTAAGATTAAAAATGAAGCAAATTTAATGGATGAATACAATCAAGTAATTGTTTGCTTTCTGAAGGATTAAAATTAACAAAAAACCAGCCCAATTTTTAATTGTCAACATAATTAATTGATACAATTGTTTATTTGATCTAAATTGGTTATATTCACATTTGCAAACAACCACAATAAACACCAAGAAAAGGTTAATTGCTGTGAAAATAATAAAACTAATCAACTGTTAATTGAATAGAGAAACCAAATTAAATTGAGTAGTTAATCAAACAGTTGTAACAACAACAACAACAACAATCTAATCAAATTGTTTCCAGTCAATCGATTCCCAATCAGCATTTGACAATTAATTGTGTTTACATTTACATCAACAAAAACAGAAAAGTAAACATGATAAATGTTAAAAGATGTTGATGATCATGATGGTAATTAACTATTACGATGAAATTATCAATAGAAATTAGATTTGATTAAAAGCTAACAAACTAAATTGTTGAATGTATCATCTTGATCCAATCTAATTAAATTAACAAGGTAACAGGAAGATTTAAACAAAAAGGAAACGGATATACAAATGATAACATCTAATTAATTGAATAACTTTTCGTTGAGTGAAAATTTAAATGTTTCACTGTTGATACAATGAAAGTTATGATAATTGTAATTAGTTAATTGTCGGATATGTTTCCAATTGATTGGAGTATTTATCTACAATTGAAAGAGAGACAAACCTTTTTCTATTCAGTTTCTATTCAGTTTCTCTCTCTCTCTCTCTTTCTCATCATTTGTCTTCATCATCATCATCATCATTAATTCAGTTATATCATCTGATAATGATGATTTCTACCCAGATCATCATCAGCAGATGGTTAGGACTCGAATTGATTACAATTAACTAATTGTTGAATTACCTTCACTTGTGTTTCCATCGCCAACAGTATTGTTACCAACACGGAACAAGTTAATTGTGTGTTGATTTATTTCATGTTTCCTTAATTTTACACTTTTGCAACTAAATTTTCTTAATAATTTATTGATTGTTTTAAGTCTTAATTATATTTAGAAAAATGTTTAAATATTCAACTCTTTTAATTGTTACCATTTTAACACAATTTACTTTGATCATAAGTAAAACCACCGAGACAAAAACAACTACATTATCACCCTCATCATCTTCATCACCATTAAATCAATTATCTTCAAATATAACTACAAATTCAACAACAATCAACGATAATCATGGAAGCGCAAAGAAATTAATTCATCCATCAGATCAATTTGATCAAACAAATACAACTAATCAAATCAACGGCTCCGAAGTGACCAGTTTACCGAGCAAAATTCATTACGTTGATTTTAAATTGACTGAAAATTTCAACACTTCTAATGATTTCTATGTGGCTCTTACCAATGGTACCGATCAACCAGATGATCTTAATCCGGTTGAATCAACCAACGAAACAATTATCGATCAAGGTAAACATATGTTCAATAGTCTTTACAATAAAGTGACTAATCTAATCGATTACGATTCCGTGGATAATAATATTTTGTACAATTTGTGGATTCCGTTCATTTCGGGATTTCTGGTTGGATTGGCACTACTTGTGCTCTTGTGCTGCTGTCGCAAATGTTGCCGACGATGTCCATGTTGCCGTAAATCACATAAAATTAGTTTTAATCAAAGTAAACGAGGCTCGAAAAAGTTACAATCAGTTGATGATAATCGTTACCTTTTAGTTTCAAATCATAGTGATTCAGAAGGAGTTTAGTTAGTTGATTGTAATTCTTACATTTTGTGATCAATCAATTAATTGTAATGTCGTTAATTTAATGATGGTAATTCCGATTGACATTTATTGGTTTTGGAAAAAAAAACCTCAATTCATGGAAACAATTAATTTGTGTTAATCATTACTTTTTAAATCGTCATCCAAATCTTTCTTACCAATAAAGATAAACATTTACATGATTTAATAGTTGTTTCAATTGATTGACTTGATTTTACTTCCTATTAATCGCGTTAATTGACGCAAAATTAATTGATGATAATTATACACAAAAATGGGAATCTCATTTAATTTTTTAATCAAATTGATTAACATATTATAATAATTCTGTGGGTTTTTCAATTTACCATTTGTCTCTGTTGGTATAACTATCAATCGAATGGTAAATAATAATAATTGTTAGTATGCCAATTCAAGGCAATAATCAACTAACAAAGTAATAAAGTTAACTTACAATTAACTTTAATTGTTAGTAGACAGATAAAAAAAAGAGTCGATTAATATCTGAGGTCTTTTTTTCTGGAAGTTGAGTCGATCGATTATCTTTTTTTTTTCCTTCTTCTTATATTGGTTTATACAAAAGGGTCGTAACGTATTTCCTTCTGTATCTATTGGTACAGGAAAGCACCATGACTCCGTCTTTAATGGACAGAGCATAAAGATGATTCAACATGACATGATTAGGTTGTGGTAAAAAGGTTGGGTCACTGGTGGTCAAGGTCGGATTGTTAAGCATCACTTGAAGAAGGTGGGGAGGTAAAATTGGTGGACCAGCACCTTGATTGCCGCTTGATCCTCCGCTGTTATTTCTTGAGCTTCCACCGGCAGCAGGTTTGGGTTGCATGGAGGAAGGAAACTCTTGAGAATATGAGCCTAGAACAATATTAATGTTGAGGTAAAAGAAATTAAAAAAGAAGAAGGTTAGAATATATTTATGGTTATTTTCCTTTTAAAGGGAAAAAAGGATAGAAAAATCAGAGATATTAAAAAGAAAATTTAAAAATAATGGAGAGTAATTAACCTGGTGGAGATCCACTTAATTGATTGCTGTTATTATTCGCTGCCAGATCCATTGCAAGGGCTTCGAAAACTTCGAAATCGCTTTTTTTTACATTAATAACATTCTTGGTTTTCTCTTCATCCAAGGTTGCATTTGTATTTACGGTCTCATTACCATCCACAATAAATTTGTAATGATGAACACCCTGTAATAAGAATTGGAATACATTTTAGAAAATTCTAATAGTTTAACAATTAAATGAGCCAATAGAAGTACAAACCTCAGGCACATCAACAATGGCGATGAAATTACCATGACTATGGACCATTTTAATTGGTTTCCAATCACTAAACGTCCCTGAAATGAGGACTTCTTTACCTCCTCCTTCCCATTTGAATACCGTAGGTAAAGCATTTCCATCAATTGAGGTTCCTTGACTTATAGTAGATGTACGAGGTCGAATCTAATAAATGAACAAAAAAAATATAGAAATAAAGGAAGCAGAGAGTTAATTAAATCTGTATTATTACAGAGAAGAAGAAAAGAAAAGAGGGAGAATTAATTGATGGTGGAAACAAAGTTTACCTTATATTCATCATAACCATCATCTACACTGTAGTCGGTTGATGATTGATACAATAAGGGTTTTTTCCGTCCACCACCGACAAAATCAAATGATTTAGAATCATCGGCTCGAGGAGATGATGAGATATCTCGATGAGGATGATTAACACCATCAATGGTATAAAAGTAGTTACGGTCTCGTTTAACCTGAGATGTATTCGTGTTACCCATTGAACGATTAAAATGAAATCAACAGAACAAATTTAAATATCTCCAATTTTGGCCAAGCATTAACGATAAATAATAAAACACAAGTAAAAACCAGAAGAAAATGAATAAACGACAAAACAATTAACGGCGGTGAGACCAGAAAAAAACACTCATTAAATTAACGATAAAATCAAAGGCAGAAAGAGATGAAAATAAACAATCGACAATCAGCGCCACCAATTTACTTTCTTTAGGGTTTTTCTTCTCCAAGAGATGGAGCCACAGAGTTTCAATTCACTTGCACGCTCATTTGAAGTATCACATGTGTCAAGTTCAAATATTCTTTGTTTTTCTAATTGTTATTTAATTTTATTCTTATTTAATTGTTTAAAATTATGGATAATTTTGTAGAAAGATGGAATTCCAATGAAAAAGTGATCAATCAAATTATTAAATCTCTTGCAGTTTGTAAAGACGATGACAGTGAAGAGTCTGAGAATATAACAAAAGGTTAGTGGTTTGTTTTTTTCATTGATTTTCTTATTTTCTTAATTAATTTTTTTTCTGTTGTTATTTTTTCTTTTGATTGTTTTCTTTGGTTTTAGCTGCTGCAATAAAAATCAAAAAGCATAAAGAAAAATTGTTGTTGAATAAAAAAAAGTCAAAAGAGAAGAAAATTAAAGCTAAACCAAGTCCGGTTGTTGTCGCCGATGGAGCTTTGATTTTTTCCAAATTTGATCTTGTTCAACAACAGCAGCAACAAGATGGTAAAAAGCGACAATCTAAAGATGAGAAATTGAAGAAAAGGTTCAAAATGTTGAAAAAACAAGGGGAACGACTATCCAAACTTGTAGAATCCGGAGAAACTGATGTAGCTGATAAAATAAGAAATGAAAGCGCTTGGAGAAACGCTCTGGAAAAGGCCGAAGGTAATAAAGTTTTCGATGACCCAAAGAGACTACAAGCTTCATTAAAGAAACACAAGAAGACGAAAATAAAACACGCCAAGGAATGGGCTCACCGGAAGAAAGAAGTGGAAAAGGATAAACGGAAAAGACAAGAGAAACGGGAAAGAAACATCAACAAAAAGATTCTTTCAAAAAAGAAGAATAAAAAATCAAAGAAATAATTGAAACAAATTAATCAACTTTGGTGAATTTAATTTAGTTTTATTTTATTTTTGATTATTATTACAATTTACAAACTGCAAAATGTTGCAAATTTAGTTTTCCTTTAATTAACAGAGAGAGTGTCTTGCATTGATTACGATCAAAACAATTGTTTAACTTGATCGTTAATCCAAATTGATTGGTGATAATTGGAATGATTTTTGTTGACTGGATTGGATTAAGAAATATTGTTAATAGTCAACAATTAATTGTTGATTTAGGAAGAGTGTAAATAGTCAACAGATTAAAATGAAAAAAAAAGAATCAACAATCAACATGAATGAGTTAATCAAAGTTAATCATTTCTCTTTCTCTCTGATTGTCATTAAGATAATCAAATTTGTTAATTGTGATAACATTTGATACCTTAAATAATATATTGAGAGTTGATTGTTGATTCTTGTACATTGATTGAAATTACAATTTAACAAGAAATTGAATCTAATCAAACAAATGATTTGATTAATTACTTGATTATTATTATTTTAAAAGAAATAATTTAAATTTAATTTGGATGAGGTTAATTGTTAATGATTGAGAAACATTAACATGGTAGAAGCAAAATAAGTAAACGGGAAAGTTAATCAAAATTGATTGTTAAATTAATTTAAATGCTTCTATCATAATGTTAATTGATTAATTGGATCAATCAAATCATTAATGATTTAAGGTTATGATTAATCAATAATAATGATGATTATTATTAATAATTGAAGTGCAATTTTGGGACATAAAGATGACTAGTAACTAATAATAAGTTAATGAGTTAATTATTTGTCCAATCAATCGAGATGATTAGTTAATCATCACAATTAAAAGTGACTTTTACATTTTCATTTGTCCGAGAGGTTAAAATTTGATAACAATTACATGAGATCACTTTTTGCTTGTCCAATGTATGTTAATTATTTGGATTATAATAACCTTATTGCTTGATAATTATTAATTAGTTGATTATGATTAGTTGAATATACTTACAATCGTTATCATTATTAATATCATTAAGGGAGTTTAGTAGCAAGCAAATTGTATTCATTATCAGTGATAACAATCAATACAAATACGATTTTCATATTCAGTTAGTTGATTAGTTGGTTAGTTTGTTTTCTCTCTCTCGCTTGTCAGTCGATTAATCAATCAAGCATTAAATTGATGATGATTAGATTTAACAATCATCATCACCACTAATAATAACCATAGGGACCACAGTCTTTAATATCACCAGTCCGCTCTTTTCTGGACTTAATCAATTCGGGATTCACTTGTTTACAGTCATAAGCCCAGCCGATTGCGCTCATCAGGTCGATAAATGTTTTCGCTGGATTCCATTTCCATCCTAATTCACTGGCACCATAATCCCAGGGGAAAGTGTGGTGATAATTGTGAAAACCCTCACCGCCGGCGTACCAAGAGACCAAAGGGATTTCAGCGGCGTAAATGTTTTTATCATATGGACGACGTCCATACATTGGCATATGGGCGATACTGTTGAGTGGGCAATGAGAGACAATTAGTAAATCATAAAAGGAGATTCAATCATCTTTATCTATTATGTGATTACCTGGATGATGATTAAAGGTAAATACTTAGTAACAAATAATCAATTTCTAACAGAAATAATCAACGGAAATAATAACAAGTCAATGGCTATTAAAAGGGTGTGGACACAATCATATCCAATGGTGATTTTGAAAAATCTATTTTTCTTTTTTCTCTATTTCTAAACACAATTGATGAGCCACAACGTAATTCATCATCATCATCATCGTCGTCAGAATTTATCATCTCAGTTCAGTTTTTTATTCACAATCAACATTATTCCTTGATGATAGTAACAAAAAAAGTCATTTAGATTCTGATATTGGTCTATAATGGAATCTAAAACTGATCATATTATCTCATCGATTTTTTTTACTCTTCTCATGGTGAAGTAACATCACAAAAGGAAAACGCCCTTTGAATCTTAATACACTCAGAGAATCGTCAGGTATCAATTCTGGGTTAGCAAATTCACTTGGAATCATCATCATCAAGAATCAACGGAATTGTTGATATGGAAAAACAAGTAAACCAAGAAAATCACAATCAACTGCGTAAATTGTTGAAAGACGAAGACTAAACGAAACAATCAGTTGATTCCTTTCCAATGTTAATCTATATTAATTACTGTTGCATTAGATTGCTAACTTTCAGCTTCCATCTCTCTAATTAAGTCTTAATTTAATATTAATTGTCTTCTATAACTTGGCAAATATTAATAATCTCATGAGACTCAAAGATAGACTCAGTTTGTTTGTTAATAAGTTAAACGTAATTGTGATCAAGAATCCAGGATTCAATTAACGGTCACATTTGAACAATCAACATTTTATCAAAATTTAATTAAATTACAAGTATAACAAAATAAGGTAAGTTAATTGTAATAATTTCCTTTTAACAGTTTCCTATTAATAAGTAACAAAAAAAAACCAACAATAGAAAATAAGGAAACAATTAGTTTAATCATTGGATAGAAAAATACAATAACTCAGTTAATTGTTGGAATCTGAACAAAATGTAGACTTGGAATCAACAATCAAATACTAATATATAATTAAACGATTAATTAGGTTATATAGAAATGAAACAATCGAGAATAGTTTTCGATAGAAAAAATAAAATCTACTCCAAAGTTCACAAGAAATGATGAGAGATTTTCATGATAAAAGGAGAATTTGTTAAATGAATTTAACAGAGCGTAAATCAGTGAGAACTGTTATTATTAACAGAATAGAAAATAACTCAATTCTATCAATATTAAACTCACCTATTTACAAGAAATCCAGCATGAAGCTGAAGGACAAATCTAAGTAGACCAGGAATCCAGAATCCAATCCAATAAGAATCGCCCCAAAGTTTTGGTATAAAAGTTGGAATAATGAAACAGGATAATATAGTTAGAGGCATGTAGTATTTACGTTGGAATCGACAGACCGAATCGGATTCAATGTCGGACATGTCGATCTTTTTACCAGCGGCAATGACATCGGGATGCTTTTTACACATCAACCAGCCAATATGAGAGAAAAAGAATCCACGTTTAGCATTATATGGATCAGCATGAGTTTCGGTGTATTTATGGTGAACTCGATGATCTCTACACCATTCGTAGATAGGACCCTGTAAATGAGAGAGAGAAAAGAACACAAAAAATTAACTCATTTCAAGTTCATCTGATACATGAATTATTCAAGGAAACAGCTGATTAGTAAAATCAGATAATCTTTTAACCTTTAAACTAAAAGATTCTCATCATCATCAATCTAGATTATCACAAACGATATTTTCACTCCCGATTCTGGATTATAATTGATGGAGAAGATGAAAAGATTGATTAAACTGTAAGTTTAATCTTCTGGGGAAATTTTAAATTGTTTTCTCTACATTAATAATCCTTGCCTTCTATATTTTCACAATTAAACATAGAGATATAAAAGTTGATTGATTAGATTAAATTGTTATCTACGTGATTACGTGCCATTCAAGGTGTGGTCATCATTGGGATGATGAAGATGATGATTTGTTTAAAAATCTTTTTCTCTCAAATTACTTATTCCATTGAAACAATTGAGGTTCTATGATATTGAGACAATTTAGAGAGATAATATTTTGGTACCTAAATTGCGTGTTACAAATGATTAACTATTATCTCAATCATTGGAAAACAGAATAACAACAAATCAATTGTCATTGTCAACGAATACAAGGTGGAGTTGATAGTAGAGTAAACAATTTAAATACTAATACTTATTGTCATGATAATAATTGTTTTCTCTGCAACCATATCAAGTTAACTTAAACATCATCGAGGATTCGATCAATTAATTTGTAAGACAAAAAAACAGGACAATCAATTGAAAAAGATTAACATGTAACAGTAAATTATCACAATTAACTGAAAGGTTTCACCATCATAATCAAGATGAAAACATAACAAACATAATCTAATATAATCACAGACCGATAATCAGGTAACTAATTCAATCAGAATTAAATGTAAAAAGTTTTCCAATTATTTCATAATCAAAAGTAACGGTAATCCAATAATAAAGAGTTGATCAAGTTAAACTATTGTTAATTATGTTTCATGGAGATTGGTGAACAAAAAAACTCTGGAAAAAATCAACTAATTACAATTAATTGAAGCAGAAAATGAAGATTCATCGCTAGGAAGCAAAATGTTAATGATAAAGATGCAAATATAAAGGTAAATATAAAAATCAGATCATATTTATAATGAATAGATTTGGAATCGCCTAAGGGCAATAAATAGATGATAACAAGATGAAAATGTTAACATATGATTATCATTATATCAAAGTTGGTGAATATAATATTAATAAGTTAGTAAGAGGGAGAGAGAGGGAAAAAAAGGAAACTATCATAACATCAATAATGGATTCTGATGATTCTGGTTCATGTTCATGGTGATGAGATTCATCTTGAAGCTAAATTTTACTCTGGTACGTCAACGAAAAGGATCATCATCATCATCATGATAAAGGTTTGTTTTTTATTGTTATTCGTTTGAATAGATTTACTTTAGACTAGGAAATAATAACATAGAATCAAATATAATACATATTAGATAGAAAAAGCAAAAGAGGAAATAAAAATAACAGAATATAAAAAGTATGGTCTGATAACTTTCTGCTAAAATTGATGCTATTATTTTCATCATCATCCTCATCATTTCTGAATCATTTCCACAACTTTTGGCTATCAACGTTTCTTTTTTTTTGCTTGACGTTAACGATTCTTCAGAATTGGGAATTAGCTTCATCTACTTCTGTAAACTGATATTCTCAATGTTAACATTTAAAAGTAGGATATGATTGTGTGTGTTGGTGAGTTGATTAAGTGTTGGTTTATTGCAACAATTAAGAAAAAATAATGTCATTTGATTAATTGATTATCCATTAGGTTTTGTTGTCAACATGGATTCGTAATATATAATAATTTACATGATAAGGTTAACGAAGGAAAGTAGAGAAATGATCAACTCCCGAAATAGAATGAAATTTTTTGCTTCTCTTTACCTGGAGAGAGATGATGATGTTGTGAAAACCTCTACTTTTTTCACCAACCATCATCATCCATCCTAATCATCACCCTAATCACCCACTATCACTGTTAACATCAAACTGGTTAATCGTTAACTGTCAAGTTGATTGTGATCATGTTTTCAAATTGCAATGACGATGAGGATGAACAATGATGATGGCAAAAAAAAGGAACAACAAAAGTTCATCATTAGGGATTTTCAAATGTTTATGCTCAGTATCAACTCTTGGATATTGATTAGCGTTTAGACCTTGAGACAAAGAGAGAGAGAGAGAAAAAAATCATCTTGATAACCTACGATTTTCATCATGATGATGATAATTTTTACTGAGAGAGTCGTCAAGTCATGAACAATCATCAACATTATCATATTATCAAAATGAGAGACATTATCACAAAGATAATGATCAATGAGAAACAAAGACATTAATTAACATTCATAAAGACATTTTGATGAGGAAAAATATTCTGCCTAATGAATTGAAACAAATTAATGATTATGACAAAACTTAAATTGATGGTTAGCTAATTGAATAAAAAATAAATTGATTAGTTAATTGTTCTCATTACTTACTATATAAAGTGTGCAGTTAAAATAAGCCAGTAAAATCCTTAACGGTAACTTTGCCTTGTAGGCTCGATGAGACCATAATCGGTGAACGCCTGCCGTTGCCCCAAAACCAGTTACTATGTAAAAAATAACTAAATTGTAAATAAATAAAAGGTTAATTAGTTAATTAGATGAATGTTAATTAATATAATTTAATGGAAATCATAAAACAACATTACAATATTGAACAACATTACGATGAGTATAAGTTGAATCTTTAGTTTTTTTTTTGCTTTCTGATTCTGATTTGGTTAACAAATTAGCTGATTAATGAATTTATTTGATTATCATCGGGAAATTGTTGATTGTTAACAATTGATTTGATTTTTCTCTCTCTCTCTCCATATTATAATTACAACCAAGAAACTTGATTATTAACTCAATTAACTGCGTAATTTAACAATGATTAATGAAAACTTTAACCACAATAAAAGCGAATCCATTTTAATCTAACTTTAAATCATTTAAATTTCTTTCCATGATTAACTCAGTGAACTTTTGATATTAATGCTAATCATAATAATTATGTTTAATTTTCATGATAATAACTGTTTGTTCATGATAACCACGAACTGTTCAGAATCGTGATCAGAAAGCAAAGGGATGAGAGAGAAAGAAAGAAAAAAGTAAAGCAATGATATAATTATAAAGAGAGAAATAGAAATGAAATAATCTCAATCAATTGAGACACATATGAATCTAATGAATCAGTTAATTAATTGTAAACAAAGTAAATGGGAAAATAATTAAACGACAACAATCTAATCAATACAATGCTAAGACAATTTAGTTGGATAAAAAAAAGTACAATGTGAATGTTAAGGTTAATCAAAGGATTGGAAAACATTGTGTCCAAGAAGATGAACAAAGAAAAAGTTTCAATGTCAAAAATAGACTATAATTGATATCGATCCTTGATTTACAAGAGAGAGAGAGTGAAGATAAAGAGATGATAAAAGATGAGGATGCTGATGAAGAAAAGAAAAGAAAAGTTTTCTTCCATTGTTATATATAAAAACTATCATCATCAATATAAAAAGTTCTAGAACATGAATATAAGTTGAATTGATAACGAAAAAGTTTCAACATTAACTGGAGACTTTGAATGATGATCAAGATTGTAATCAACTTATCATTTGGTAACAAATCAGTGCAATAATAATAACCGTTATTATTAATATTCAACTATTTGGATCAAAATTTAATCTGATTACTTTGATTTACCATAAGTTAATATGATTTAAAATGCAAGAATCTAAAATTAATCAATGATACTCAAATAATAATTGAAAATTGAATCAATTGATTTAATGTAATGATTATTGGTTATGTAGTTTTTACCTACATTTTTCATCATGATAATGGTAATAATAGTTCTGGTGGTTATTCTGAAAATAACAATCAATTCTGTCTATCAGGGTTCTCATGTTATTTTAAGCATTTTGATTATCAAGATAAATTTGATGGATCTTGCAAATAGACATTGGATCCAATCATTTACTTTTCAACTAATAATAGCAATCAAACTACTCTATCAACAATTACGCTGACAATTTAACTATTATTTACATTTTTGGTTATGTATTAAACATAGTAAACTATGTATATCCATTGAAAAGTTAATCTAATCATTTGGTTGATTAATTGTGAACATTTTCAAATGATTAATATGAAAAAAAAGTTAGGTAATAACATATTGAAATGATAATAGTATTAATCAGTTGATTAACTGATTAGTTTTCATTACAAGATTTACAATTAAACTGTTAACAATATAGTGGTTGGATCTAATCAGTTTCATTTGATTACTTTTTAATCCGGTTAATCATGTTATTTAGTTAAATTCTCATCGATTATAATTATAATTGTGATTCATTAGAAGTGTGATTTAAAACAAAAGCTAATTAATTTTTCAGTTGTAATTTCATTGTTCTCAATCAGATTTAATCCTATTTTATGATACAATAGATTGTATTTCATATAATGATTAAGGATCAAGATAATAAACTATTTTTATCCTTACATTGAGGATTTGATAAATCATTTTGATTGTCAGTCTAATCAAAAATGATTTAGATGATCAAATCTATTTCCGTTTTTTTCCTTTATTCAGTCAAGATTAACATTGACACAATAATATTGATCAATCCATTGATCAGAATCTATTTTCATCTTCAAAACATGGTATCAATTGAGAAAACTTCAACTTAATCAATTAAAACTTGCAATCTAAATGAATCATCCAAAATTAAGATGACCAAATCATTGTATTGAATATAAAGTTAATCTTAAATGATATAAGAAACTGATTAAGTTTTCATCAATCTTTTATACCAATAGCATTACCATTGAGATTAAAGATGAAATGTTATAAACCTTAATTTACATTGACCAATGGTCATTGTTTTATCTATTAATCTGGATCGATACATACATTGTATATTAGCAAACCAATCGGATTATAAGGGATCATCAATTCACTGAAAAAGACTTGGCTCATCATCAAGATTATGAACATTGATGATGAGGAAAAAAATAACAACAGTAACATAATTAATTCATAACCAAGGTAAATATCATAATGTGTATTTGATACACATAAATGATAATGTGTTATGATAGTTTACTGAGGTAATTGAAAATAATCATCATGATATTATAACGATTTTAGTCAATCAAAAGTAGCAAAGTAAATTAATAATGACGTAAAGATGATATTACCTATGTTAATGAATACCCATGAAATAAACACAATCAACGTCAAAGGTAAAACATACACACACACACACACACAATCAACATATAACATGTAATCTAAATCCATAGACAACATGAAAGATATTGAATAGAAGAGCTAAAAATAGCAAGAAAAATTCATATCAAAAAAGGTCACAGGTTGAATGTTGACTCTATTGTTTGGCAAGTTTGTGTAATTGATGATGAATTGTGTGTAATAAATTAAATTTGATAAATTAAATTAAGCTTATTTGGGTCAGGGGGCGAGGAGAGTTGATTAAAACAAAGTGGGTGGAAGATGAGGATGAGAGAGAGAGAGAGAGGAAAGTGAAGGTTAAATATTCATTTTTATGAACATTTAGTCTTCTTTTACTGGACATAAACTGACCAACAACAATACGACACAACATGTAACATGATTACTACGTTGTTGTTAATGGTTATCATAAATATTGCATATTTTATATGTAATTGTATTAATTTTTCATCTATTGTTTGTTGTTGTTGTTGTTGATTTAATTGCTTTTATGATGTCTCATTAATTAACTTACAGGTGAAAATTAATGTTGTCCAAGATGCTTGGGTTAGACTTAACCAGATACCATATAAAGCACCAACATGAAGAATTGCATATCCAGCAACATAAGACCAATATATTTGCATATCCATCTCTTTACCGGAATCAGTTGATTTATTATTATTGTTATTGTTGTTATTTTCATAATTGTTGTTGGTTTCCGTTGATGATGATGATCTGTTGACCAGATTCTCGTTATTTGAGTTGATTGCTGACTTGGATGTTGTCATGATTCACTGAATATGATTAGTTATTATTGTCAAATATCAAATTATTGTAACCCTATTGTTGTTATTATTGATAAAGGAGCAAAAAATATTATATTCAAACAATTAATCACTTTTGGTAAGGTTTTTATGGTTCATTGTTTCAAATTGATTTTTCATTGATTGTCGTTTTATCATTCTTTTACCTTATCTTAATTAGAAAGGTAAATTGTAATTAGTTTGAATAATTCAACATCTTTGTCTTCATTTTGATACAAACATATAAACACATGAATATTTGTTAAAATGAATTCAATACAATAGTTACACGCAATTGTCTCGTTAATTGTTGTAATAGTGTTTCCATAATAAATTATAAAGTAAATGTGATTGGATTGGAAACGATTTAACAGTAACATATGATTGCGAATCAAATTTAAAACTGATCATCTGTATGTGCAAATTAAAAGTAATCACAATTATTGTAATCTAATCATTTCGACTCTCAATGATAAAAAGTGACAAAGATTAAGACTCACCTTAAATTTTGGTCTTTTTTTGGATTCAATTCTTAATTGTTTTTGGTTCACAATTGAACATCAATTGAAGCGATTTACATTAGCAGTTGATGAGTATTAAGATTTACAGGGTGATGGAAATCCGTTGATTGATTAACGTTGTTTACCCTGAAACCTCAACTTTTAAGTTGAATCATAGGAAGATTAAAAGAGAGAGATGAAGAGATGATCTTTTCAGAACCAAAAGGTAATCATGTAAACCAGAATCAACTGAATATCTAAAAATGAGATCACTTAAAGGTTGTAAATGAGATGAAAAGATGATGGGAAATGTCCAATACCTAGAAAGACATGGAAAGAGATAGGGAAACACTTAAAGAAGAAGAAAATAAAATGGAACAAAAAAAGAAAATAGAATATGAAAAAAAACCAAAGAGAATGTTTAACTTTCTCTTCTGTATCAAGGGGAATGTCTGAGAATGTTTTTCCTTTGTTGACTTTATTTTTTTCCTCTCGAATCGAATGGAAGATGATTTTGAGCACTAGAATACAGAGAGAGATAGAAGGAAGAAGACAGGGGAAGATGAAAGAGACGATGGGATGATGATGAGATTAATGAAAAGAAAAACCCATGGAAAGAGAGAGAGAGAAGGTAAAAAGATGAACCCAACAAACTGAGGCGGCTTAAGGTGCTGTTGATTATTCCTCTGAGAGAGATAAATATGAATACTTTCACATGGAAGAGAAAAGAGTATGTTATTAGAGAGAGAGAGAGGAAAAAGAAATGACAAAAGTGGGACTAAGTTGAGGTTCCAAGAAATGTGAGTAACATCACATGGAGAATGGAAAAAGTAATAACAATGAATTCAGAGGGAAAATTACAGTTACTTTAATAGAAAAAAACTCCAAGATCTAATCTTGAACTCGATACCAGAGAGACTCATGGACTCGATACTTCGCGGATTCGCTTGGATTTTTTTCCTTTAATTTAATTTTCTGTTAATCATTTAGAGTTTAATTTACTTTAATGATTAAGATTAACCCAAATTACCACCTCCTTAGTTCCATGTCATGAGGATTTCATTTGACTTTAGGCTTGGACTCTTATCCAAGTTTTAATATCTTGGAGTGAGAATTTGGGATTTCCAATGTTGGTACATTTTTTTTTCTCTTCATTTTGTCAAATCAAATTACGTTCAAATGATTAAATTGCAACAATTTAACCTTCCAATTGTAATTTAATTTAATTCTCAAGCATTTTCCATATTCTATTAGCTTAATCACATGAGAATATGGATTAGATTTGGTTGATTTTAATCCAGTTGATTTGGTGTAAAGTTAATTGACTTTCGAAAAGGAAGAAAAAATTTCACAATCTAATTAAATTTTGATTTAAATTTCGATTATTTTTTATTAAATTATTCACTCTTTTCTGATAGAAGGTAAGTTAACTAGACAAGTCGTTAATTGTTATATTTAGATTTTGTTAATTAGTCTGTTTATGATATTAGTATTCTCATTCGTTTCCTCTGGTAAATCTAACAGCAGCAACAATTAGTTGATTGTCGAATTTTAATCGAAATTTCAATAACCTTGAAGATGAAAGATAATTTGATTAACTTGTTAGCAATTAGTAAATCAATAATGAAACCGGTTATAATTATAAAAATTTAACTGTAGATATTAAAATAAGTCTTCTTGATTAGTTTTTTATTTTTCTTGATCAATCCAATGATTAAAAATTAATAAACAACAACGACAATTTATGATTAAGTCTCACGAAGTTGATAATGAATAAATTTTAATTGTTTAATAAATAGTGTTCACTCAGGTTAGCTGATCACAATTTGATTTGTTGTTGAACAATCTTGATCTCTTGATTGTCAAAGTAAATTGGTGATTTAAATTGTTAAAAATGATTGATAATCAAACTCACATTGATTCACTTTTACAATCAACTTACACACAGTTGATTAATACTGTTAATCATCACTATGATCAATCAATTGGATCAACTAGTTTATCTCAGTGGTTGTTAATGTCAATTGGACTGTTGATCAGTTTTAATTGTGTCCAAAAGTTAATTGCTTTCGTTAAATTTCAAAATGAAGTGTCATCATTACCTCATGAACCTTATAATCTAATCACTGGACATATTAATAATTTTGGAATCAAATTAACTACATTAACTAATTTGCCAGAAAAGGTAAGAAACAATTAACAATTAAACCTCCTATTAGATCAAGAATGATCAGAAACTAATCATTAAACTAAATTAACTAATCAGAAATTTCCTCAGGATATGATTAAATTTTCAACACCTTTTTAAATTTAATTGATTAATTTGGTTGTTCAATTAACTTTTGCGATTTGTTCATTTGCAATATACGATTAATTGTGACAGTTTTGATTAATCAACGTCTTCCAAATTAATTATTACAGCAATTATGACTGAATGTGAACGTTTATTTGCTAAATATCGTTCAACTGGATTAATTTTAGTCAAATTAATGTGGAAACCATTGTTAATTATTGTTAATCACTCCATCGTTAAGGTAAGTAATCAATACTAATCACATTGTTAAATCATTGTCTTAATTGTTAGGGTTTCCCTCAGCACAAGATAATTAACAACAAATATTTTCGAGCCTTTAATCATGATTTGTCCTTGATTGGTAAAAAATGGTAAATCTAATCAACTTAATAGTTAATTAATAGATAATCGTGATTGTTATCTATGTAAATTTATCGGCTAACCGATGATACCTTAATTATTGTAAATTTTAATGATGATGATGATGAGAGGTAAAACTAATTATAACGATCAGTTAAGCTTTAACAATTAGTCTTATTAATTTGTGTATTTCAATCAAATCAAGGTTGTCAAAATTTCAATACTGAAGGTCCTTAACAATTAAGAGTACTTAATACACCGGTGCAGCAATCAAGGTTAATCACAATCAAAAGATTAATCAATTTGATTAACCTGATTAAGAGGGAAGCAAACTTGTTTCTATTTAATAATTAATCAAATCAAACAATAAAATAATCAGCAAAAATGATTGAAATTTGAATATTTGATCACTAAATTGTAACAATTAACAGGCGATTGCGGCCAAAAATGGTTTAGTTGAACGAGGCGGACAAATATATTTACTTAAACCTTGGATTGGCAATTCTGTAACAACCTCATCAGCAATTAACTGGCATTCTAAGAGACGAACAGTTAATTTAGCATTTCATGCTGATTGTTTACCTGTGTACACCTCGATTGTTGAAAGGCAAACAATTAAATTCATCAAGAAGCTAAATGATGATGAAAATTTAGGAAAACCAATTAATATATCTCGTTGGGTTCATCTCGCCGGTTTGGGTTATATTGTTGAAATTATTTCGGGACAATTTATTGATTTTCTTAATTCTCAAGGAGGTCAATATTTTGATGATTTAGAGATAATTCAACAATCAAGGGAACAGCGTTTATGGTTCCCAATTTATTGGTCCGATTTAATTTACTCATTAACACCTTCGGGTTGGCGACATAAATCAGCGCTATCAAGAGTCCATCAATTTAGTCAATCGTTAGTTGAATCATCTTTACAATCAATGAAACAAGGTAAAGTTAATCAGGGTCCAGGTAAGCCGATTGTTGAGTTAATTGTTCAAAGCTATTGGGAGAAAGCGCAATCCAGTGGATCAGAAACAATTAATGTACAATCAATTCGGGAGGAACTCGATGGTTTAATTATGGGCACTTTTGATACAACTCCAAATGCAATTACATTTACATTGTATCTTCTTGGTAAGTTATAACAATTAACTTTTTCTCTTTTCATCTTAATCAATCAATTGATTGTGATCAAATTGTCAAAAGTTTTGGAAAACATTAATTGCCAATGATTAAGTGTAAACATTGTGACAATCAACAAAAAACTAATACAATTGTTTAATTGTAAACATGTTTATTTGTTTATAATGAAATATAATTGATTGAGATTGGTGAGATTACTTGATTAATAAACAAAACAATTAAAGAAATTAAGATTAGATTCTAATTGTATTATCAATGGTAGGAAATATACATGTATGATTAAGTAAAATTGGTGAGCAATCAACAACAATTAAACGTAAAAATATTAACCAATATAAAAGTTGCTACTAAATGTTGTAATTAAACAATTTTCTTTACAACAATTAAGGTTTAAACTCATCATACCAGGAACAATTATTTCAACAATTAAGTGAATTAGATGTCGATCCAAACACTGGCTTACCAAACACTAACGATATTATGAAAAGCCCTTATTTGGACGGAGTGGTCAAGGAAGCCTTGAGACTTTACCCACCGGTGCCGTTTGTCCAGCGACAGCTCGACACTGATATAACAATTAACGGTCAACTAATTCCCGCTGGTATGGACTTGACCCTTTGCCTTTACTTTCTTCATCGTGATCCTCAACTATTTCCGGAACCGGAATCATTTTATCCTGACCGATGGTTAAACCAACACGCAGACAACAATAACCAACCCTTACCTTTAACCTCTTACCTGCCCTTTGGCTTTGGCCTGAGGCAGTGTGTCGGCAAAAAACTTGGCCTAATTATCATGAAAATTGCAATCGCTCACATTATAATTAACTTTAAATTAACTTCATCTCAACCATTAACTTCATCCGATGTTAAATTATCAACAGCAATCATACCCAAGATCCCATTGCTGGTTAAATTGGAAAGACGTAAAGAAATCAATTGATTACAAACAATTAAATTAAAATACATTAAGATTTTATTACTCTATTAATTGTTTCATCATTTTTTTTTACAATATAATATTTTTAATCACATTTTATTTTACCTTATTGATCATTGAGTAAATTGGGATAAAATTTTTAATTATAATCAACACACAAATTGTGTAAAAAATTAAATTGTAAAATGTATATAAAGTTAATATTAATATAAAGTTTTCACTTCTAGTTAAAATTAATTAATCATGTGTAAAAAAAATAAACAAATGATTAACTGATTATTATAGTTGTTGGAGTTTTGGCTTTGTGATTTGTTTAAACGATTAAGATTTTTAAATTGTTTCCAATGTTATCGAAACAATTTAAAATGTTATTATTAGAACCAAAGATTTGTCGAAAGGAGAAGAAACGAAAAATTAACCTGAGAAATTAAAGTTAATTGTTGCAATCAAATTGTATATAAAGTCATTTGCTCAGCTCTCATAATTTGTTGATCAATTAGTTTTGTTTTTGTGACATTTATGATGATGATTATGATGATTGGGTGGTTGATGATTGATGATTAATGTAAACAATGATAAAACTAAATTGATTTCAAGTTAATTTAAAAGTCCAACGGAACCGGATATTCACCAGTTAAACATGCGACACAATGTCCGATTGGTTTACATTCATTGGTCATCTTTTGCCGCTCACGGACACCATTTTGAACGGACAATTTTAACCCTTCAACTGACAAGTACTTTAATGAAGCTGCACCAAGTGAATTAGCTAATTGTTCAGCATTCAAGTGATTAGCAATCAACTCTTCTCGTGTTGGTATATTAATCCCCATGTAACATGGATAGTGAAGGGGAGGTGAGGCTATACGGATGTGGACATCGTCCGCTCCAGCGTCTTTAAGAAGACGAACCAATTGACCGATTGTTGTTCCTCGAACAATTGAATCATCAATCAATATGATTGATTTACCTGAGAACAGGAAAACGCAATTGGATGGATAAGGTTAGTAAATTATAAGAGAATTTTTTGTTCTTTTTGGAGAATAAAAAAAAAATATTATCGAACCTTTGAAATTTTCAACCAACGGACCAAACTTTTTGGCCACACCAAGACGTCGTAATCGAGTCGACGGCTGGATAAATGTCCGTCCAACGTAACGATTTTTACAAAATACTTCAACAAAAGGTACACCAGACTATGGATGGAAAGATAAATAACAATTAAATTAATCATCGATTTAGGTCAACAGGAAGTGTGTAAACAATTTTGATTATAAGGGGCAGTTAATTGTTTACAGTTAATTATGATTTACCTCGAGAGCAAATCCAAGAGCTGCTGGATTTGATGATTCGGGCACTGGTGAAACGATATAATCTTTTGAAGGGTCAAGTAGAATTGGTGCTTCTCGAGCGAGTTGACGACCACAATTGACTCGGACTGTGTAGACCATTTGACCTTCGATAATGGAATCGGCTTTGGCAAAGTAAACATATTCAAAGATACAAAAGGCCGGATAATCGTGATTCGCGGGACGAGGGATAATACAAAGTGATTTGGGCTCCTTGTTACGTTCAAGTTTAACGATCTCACCCGGTTCGACATCTCGAAATAGGGTTGCACATATCGACGGAAATGAACACGATTCGCTGGAAACAACCCAACCTTCAAAACAATTAACAAATCATAGTAAACAATTAGTGGTGGTGATTTATTGGAGGAGGAAAACTATTACTTAATACTTAAAGTAAGAGTTATTAATGATTAATCTTTGATCAAAGTTTCATCTTTCGTCTTAATTGCTCTACCTGTGCAACTAACCTTCGGCTCGTTGGATATCTTTGGACACTCCTCGAGTATTACGATCTGTTGGTGGGATTAACATTCCAAGGGACAAAGGCCGATTACCGAATGGATCTCGAAGTGCATATAAACACTCGTTGTACATTACGATCAACGAATAGGATAAAGGTGTTAACGAGACAAAATGTTTCAATCGAGATAAAATTTCCTCTTCACTTTTTTCAACATCGTTAATGATTGAATTTTTTTTCTTCACTTTGGTTTTCGTTTGATTAACTAAATTGTTTAAATCAGTGGTTGTTGTTGTTGTTGTCTTTTTGTCAAGGGTATTGGTCATGTAACCGTTATTTTGATTATCTTCATCTTCATCCATGATCACCAATGATTGTTTAAAAGTTTCAAATTCAGCCGGAGGAGGCATTGAAAGACATTGAGTGATTAACTCGGAATCACTTCCAGTTGATAATCCAACACCTGAAAGATAAATGATTAAGATTAACTTTAATTAATTGATTTAAGTGGATGAAGTGGGGGAGAAATTGATTCAATTGAAACAAAAGAGTAAGCAGAAAATAATCAATTTAATATATTGATTGTTGATTAGATTTCTAATTGTTATTAATAGTAGAATCGCCCTTAGTACCAAATCAGAATACAAAGTGAATCAATAAAATGATTAATTTCCAATGAAACTATTGGTTAAATTACTTGTTAGAGAAAGTGATAATTATCAAGAGATGATGATGATGATGATGATGAAGGATGATAACAATGGCCTCAGTTGACTTTTAGTAATAAAATTATATCAATTTCTTGAGGAGATAGCACTTGAATTGTTGATGAAAAAAAGTTAATCAGTCAATCAAAATCAGTTGAATCTTTAACCAGATTCGGATGGTTAGATGATTTTTATCATTTAATTATCATGATATTTAATCATATTTAATATCTGTAGCATTTTCTTATCTTATTGTTGTTGGATTTGTTTAATTGATTATTTAATTGCAATAGAAATGTAATGACCTAGACCAATGACTGGGAATACCTTTTGATTAACATTTGTAAATTAAACAACAATTAAACAAATATCAACAGAGGAAAAAGTTGATCAGATTGAAGATGATGATGAAGAGCTGATACAATCTAATTTTCTATCGTACGATTATTATTGATTGATTGTAATGGTAACTAAACTTACAAGTTGATGATAATCACAAGTAAATTAACCACTTCAAGATTAATCCATTGAAAAATCCGTTGTTAATCTTATGAGTTAATCCACATGTTAATCCATTGGGGATTAATTGATCAATGAGAGTTAATTGGTTAATGTAATACAATAGTCAACTTACCGTTTTCCAAGATTGTTTGTCTTAATGGAGTTGAATTGACCAGTTCGCCGTTATGAGCGACAGCGATGGTCCCATAACTTGTGTGGACCACAAAGGGTTGAGCCAATGAAACCGAATCAGCACCTCCCATGGTTGAATATCGAGTATGTCCAATTCCCAGGTTACCTTTAAGCGATAACATTATCGGCTCATTGAATATTTGACTCACTAGACCCATTCCACGATGAACGGAAAAAGGTTCACTGGCGTATTTACATGTCACTATTCCAGCGGCTTCTTGACCTCTGGGAAAAGGTCAACTCATTAATAAACTTAATCTCATCTCTAAATCAAAATCAAACTACAGGAGTGATTTCACTTAGTGCAAATGGTTAATTTCTTATAAAAAAAAGGTGAACTAACCCTTTACCTTTTCCGAGCCTAATGACACTGGGGGAGACTATGGCTCTAAGTGAAATCACTGTAGTTTTAAATAGATACATACCTGTGCTGGAGACCGATCAATCCCAGGCAAATAATGTGAGCACAATCGAGGTTCGTAGGCCAATCGCCGTTAGTTATACAACCAAAGATCCCGCACTTTTCAACAAACATCGATCCATCCATATCCTGATCCTCCATTGTGGTCACTTCGAATTTTTTAGTTCGAATTTTCTTTTTTTTGTTCACTTTTAAAATTATTTTCTTTTTCCTCTTCTTCTAAATTTTACTCTTAGATTGACTTTTACTGTTGATTTAAAACTGTTTAGATGCCACAAGATGTGCTTTCGATGATAATCAACCAATCTAAGTAGTTTCTCTCACTCTATCAATTATATTTCTCTCTCTCACGCTCACTCACTCTCTCACTCACTTCTAATATCTATTTCTTAATCATCCCACCCCACAGTCTCTGTTGGGTGTTGATTAAACTTGTAACCAGTAAACACATCAATCGGTCTATCAGATAACAATAAATGAAATTATCTTCTCGTTAAGATTAATAGGAGAGATAGAAAACAGAAAAGGAAAGAGAATTAGAGAGAGAGAGAGAGAAAAGAGATGATAAAGTGAGTGAGTGAGAAAAAGAGAGAGAGAAAGTGAGTGAGTATTCTTGAAAAGAACCCGAAGATCTACTGTTTATCATTAACAGAATTTCCTTCAATCTCTAATCAACGTAGAGAATTTTCTTTCCAATTAACCCTAATCTCCAAAATTTTGATCACCTTTAATTGTAATCCAATTAACTCTCACCAAAAATGGGTAAGTTTTAATCACTTTAATCAAACACCTTAAGTCTAATTGCTAATCCATAAGGCGATGATATAAACTCACATGTTTACCTGTGTTGTAATTGAATCTTCACTTTCTATTATTCTATTTCCATATGTTTAAAATTTACTAATTATCTTGTTAATTGTTTACCCTAACATAGAGATCACCAAAAGTCAAATTGACAAATTAATTATCGCAGGTAAAACCAAAGAGGTTTTCAAGCTAAAAGGTGATAACAATTATGTTTTCGTCTACTCTAAGGATCGGATAACTGCAGGTAAGTCAATTGAGTAGATTGTTGCTTCCAAATCTTAACCTTGAATTTGTGTCTACATTTAATTGTATTCTTGTTGATTGAATCAGGTGATGGTGCTAAATCTCATGCGATGGAGGGCAAAGCTAAATTGTCAACACAAACAAATTGTGCCATCTACGAATTCATGACCGCCGCCGGAATTGAGACTCACTTTGTTTCCAGGGTTGCCGAGGGTTCACCCGATTGGGATCGTTCATTTATCGCTAAACAATGTGACATGATCCCAATCGAATGGGTTTGCAGGTAAGTTGATCAACTAATTAACAATTTAAATTTCCAACCAATGAACATTTCAACTTACGATTTACTGATTAGGTTATCCTTTTTTAATCCGATTCCTTTGTCGTTAAGTTTAGTTGATCAACTTTGTTTCCCTCATCAAATCTGATTACTTGTTTTTTTTTAAAGAGCCAACAATCAATTCTGATTTTTATCATAAACCGATAACCAATCAATATAATCATCATCTTTACGATTACAATTTATTATTTGATATTTGTGATGGATAGAACTGGAAAAAACAAAGATTCTGGTTTTGATTAATTGTCTTTATCGATAGATAATCATGAGTTGTTTTTTTCATTGATTTCTTTGTTTAATATCATTTCTTAAGTGTGTTTAATCATAATCAGTTGATCAGTTAGTAAATTAATTAACTTGAAATGATCAAATTGATTTATAACAATTTGTTAGTCTTTGATTCATTTTCCCATTTGTTTATCGCTTTATTTTTGTTGTTGTACTTGTTAAGATAAGTTTCATCGTCTACTTACAGATATATGATCAGATTTGATTGATTAATTGATTAACTAATATAACAATTAGAATAGATTTTTATTAGATAATTATGCCTCCTCAGTGGCTAATGATTAGCAAACTAATTGATCACTCAATTGGCTTACACCATTATGTATAATAGTTGAGAGATCTAGTTACAGAATTTGAGAGATTTAATTTCTCCTAAATTGTTGGGTTAAAATTAGCAATTAAGTTACATGAATCTCTATGGATTGTTAATATGATACAGTAATTAATTCAATTGTTGCTCCGTTGATTTGTAGACGAGTGGCCACTGGTTCGTACCTTAAGCGCCATCCTAATGTCAAGGAAGGATATCGATTCGCTCCACCTAAACTCGAAACTTTTTTCAAAGGTACAGGTCATTTTGTTTCGATTGATTATATTGATTATTGATCGATGAGAGTCAATTCTTTTTCTTTGTATCAATAGATGATGAGAATCACGATCCTTTCTGGTCCCTTGAGACATTGATCGAAGCTGGTTTGGTCTGTGGTGGCCTTAAAATCGGTAAAATTGAAGTTGAAGAGATGCTTCGAGTAACTCAAACAGTATTCGAAGTTATCGAGAGAGTTTGGTCAACATTAAATCATTCGCTTATCGATTTGAAGATCGAATTTGGTGTTATTGAAGAAGCAGGTAAAAAGAAGATTGTTGTTGGCGATGTAATCGATAATGATTCATGGAGACTTTGGCCTGATGGAGATAAACGATTAATGCTCGATAAGCAAGTTTATCGAAATATGGACAATTCAACAATCGACGAGGACGCAATTAAAGCGGTTAAAGCGAAATTTGTCACTGTAGCTGAGCGAACTCAGGCCTTATTTGGTTCAATGATTCCTAAACCTCGTGAAAAGGGTTTACCTTCACCTCCACCGGAAGTTGGAATCATTTTAGGATCAATGAGTGACATGGAACACGCAACCAAGATCAAGAAAACTTTGTCCTCGAAATATGGAATCAATGATGTTGAAATTCACGTTTGTTCAGCTCATAAATCAACTGAAGCAACTTTAGCCGTTGTCGCAAGTCTCATGCAATGGCCAACATGTCAAGTCATTATCGCTTGCGCTGGAAGGAGCAATGGCTTAGGTCCAGTATCTTCGGGTAACACGACGGTTCCCGTGATCAATTGTCCACCAATATCAGATTCGGCTACTCTTTCAAATGACCTTTGGTCTTCAATGCGATTACCTTCAGGTGTTGGATGTTCCACAATTTTGGGACCAGAAAACGCTGCGTTAGCTGCTGCCCATATCATCGCTAATCTAAGTCCATTCACTTGGGCTCGAATTCGAGCTCAACAAACTTACACAATCGTCAAGATGCTCCACGATGATGCTTCAATTGTTGCTTGAAATCATTTCTTATCAGCAAAGAAAAATACATTCTAATAACAAATTGTACGGGAAAAGGTTCTATCTAATATAAAAAAATAGTATTTTTACTTAACAACAATTAAATGGTTCCAATTAAAGACGAAATGTCCAAGATTTTAATCATTGGAGTTTTTTTGTTCTAATTTTTTCACCTTTCGCCACATTTCATGTTATCTTTTGAACATGGAAAACTCATGAATCAGAACATCTACTATCAATGGAGTTAATATTGATAATCAATTTGCTTTCTCCACAATTGAATTAAGTGATCAATTGATTTAAATGTTTTCTGGTAGATGGAATCACAACCGAGCCATCTATCGGCCGGAAAGTTAACCTGAGAGATACAAAGATCGGAATTTTTGAAAAGTATCGATTAATCGGATCAGTCGGACAGAGTCGAAAATGAATTGAACTTTTCGATTGTAATTAGAAGGACATGGAGAAAGATTGAAATGAAAGACTGAGAAAGAAAGAAACAATAATGAGTGAAAAGATTAAAAGAAAATAAAAAAAAAGGAAAAGAGAAAAATAAATAGAAAAATAAATAGAAAATAATCTTAATTAATCGTATATCGAAAAGATCGATTCAAGTTTAAATCGAACATAAAGTCAATCGGTATTATCGATTTTTAATCGAACTTCATCTCTTCAATTGGAGAAGAGAGAAAGAGAAAAAAAATCTTTGTTTAATTTAATTTGTTTTAAATTATTATTTAAAACTATTATTGTTATTATCATCATCAACCTCATAATCATCAACATCATAGTCATTACAATCATCAATCAACAACATCAGCAACATGGTGGAAGGATTTAGAGAAACTGGAATTGTTGAAAAATTATTACCCTCCTATGGATTTATCCAGTGCTGTGAAAGACAAGCTCGCCTCTTTTTTCATTATAGTCAATTTAAGGGTAACATTGATCATCTTAAACTTGGTGATCCTGTTGAATTTGAGATGACCTATGATCGTCGGACTGGTAAACCAATTGCCTCGGTGGTTGTTAAAATATGCTCTGAAGCTTTTCTTGGTGAAGAATTGAGCAGTGAGAGAGTGAGTGGTTTTGTTACCACCGAATTAGGTGAAGGAAGAGAAGGCCGAGTTGCTTATGAACATAGAGGTGAATGTTTCTTTCTTCCATTTACCATAAAAGATTTAGAAGATACTACACAAATTGTTAAACAAAATGATCGAGTCACTTTCCTGATTACTCCCGATAAAAGTGGTAACCTTCGTGCCCGAAGAATTGCCTTAGAGACACCAACCCCGGAACGTTACCAAGGTGTTGTATGTACTTTGAAAGATTCTTTTGGTTTCATCGAGAGAGCTGATGTGGTCAAGGAGATATTTTTCCACTCATCTGAATGTAAAGACTTTAAGAGTTTAACTCTTGGTGATGATGTTGAATTTAGGGTTCAGACACGTAATAATAAAGAGGTTGCCGTAAGAGTAGACAAACTTCCTTCTGGAGCTGTTGTATTTGAAGACATTTCCCCTGAAACAATCACTGGTCGAATTATCAAATTAATCGAACGTCACAGTAATCATTCCTCTAGCCGTCAACATTTCACAAGCAATAGCCTCCAATCGGGATCCGCATCTAGTGAACCTTTCCCCGGTAAAATAGTCTATATGGATGGCAATACTGAAAAAGAGATCTCATTTGGTGACAAAGATGTACGAGGTTATTACACTTTACAAGTTGGGGACACAATACAGTTTAATGTAGTCACTGATCGACGTGACAAACTAGAGCATGCAACTAATATTGAAATTCTTGAAGAGACATTCGAAAATTCTGAAGAAGCCAGAGAGCAAGGCTACATTGCTGCTCTCAAAGAGTCATATGGTTTTATCAAATGTCTCAATCGAGAAGGAACTAGAATATTTTTCCGTTTCGCTGAACTATTGGATCCAACTACAATTCCTAAATTAAATGAGGAGGTTATATTTACCATTGCTCCGGATCACTCCATGCCTGGTCGTTTACAAGCAGTAAGGATTAAATTTCTACCCGATGGAACCATTTTCAAAAATCTTTATGCAAAACGTAGTTTTGGTAATGATAATGGTGAAGATGGTAAAATGTCTGCCAGTTATGGAGGTGGTAAATTGGAATCTCGCTTGAGAAACGATTACGGCAATGGCATGGATTCAATGGACGAAAGTAATGGTAACTGTGAATTTCCTCTAATCGATTTGAATACAGATGAATCATCGACCACAGGTAAATCGTCTCTAAGTTCAAACGATTACCTGTCCAAAAGTGCCAAACCACGATTTGGGAGAACTCAAAATTCATGGTCTCACTTATTATCACAATTACCTATATCAATGACCTCCGATCCTTCAACTGACAATGATTATCATCATCATCCTCATGCAACCACATCCACAACTAATACCAATGACAATTCCCAATTGATTGATATATTTTCCTCTGTTGATGAAACAAATTGTGCACCTCTAATCAAACCACTGGAACCAGCTTTAATGAAAAACTCATCATTTACCCATGAAATTAATTGCAATGACAACGATCCAACTAAATATAATAAATTTGGAGACAATCAAAATGGATTAGAAAATAGTACCAATGGTTTCAATGGCAAAAATGGGGTCAAAACTGTTCAAAGAGGATTTCCTAAAGATACCTTTGGCTTCATCGAGAATGAGAACCATAAAAATGAAGCTTACTACAGGTAAGATTGATATAAAAAACGATTATTTATTATTTTCACCTTAATTTCGTGTTACAATTTCAATATCACCACCAAAACAAGACATTCCCTGTTGATATATATTTTATATTTGGGAATACTTAATCTCTGTTTTATCAATTTTATTGTGATATTCATTAGTAGTACTACATTTATGAAGTGATTTCTTTGTGATTATACTGTGGTACAAATTTTCATTATTTGTTTGTCTTTTCCTTTGGTATTGAAGAGTCAAAATGATGATAAATTTGCTAAGGAATATAATTCAATGATTGACTCTCATTGAATCTGTTACCTTTATCATCGACAATACTGTCCACTATCTTAATGAACTGTGCACCCAAAGTCCGATTAACAGAACTCTCGTTAAGATAATTTGGATTTTGTTCAGCATATTCAGTAAATGCTTGTACAATTGCAGCTCTCATTTGACTGAAAAACTCAGTTGTTTGTCGCATTATTTCAGGTAAATTGTTGGAAACTTCACGAATAATTGTATTTATAATTGTCTCTCTTATGGCATCAACAGGATTTTGATACTGAGATGGCCCTTGATCCTCTGTTAGATCATTATCATTTCAATTGGAACACTTTGTTGTTGAAAATTTTGTGGTGATGATTTAGATGATTGTTGTAAATTAGTAACTGCAATCAGTTTATCTTTGAGTCTTTGTAAAAATATCTCATCATCTTTATCGCTTCCAATCGATGATGACTTTGAACCAATCACTACACAAAGTAAAATTAAAAAACAAACAGACTCACAATGTTTAGTTAACATGATCAGTCAAGATTGGACTCAGTTAATCAAAAGCCAATAATTAATCTAATCCAGTCTTTTATACTTACATTGGGTGCCATTCAAATGAATCCATTACCACGAGTTACCATGACAATAAGAGGGATATGATCTAATAAACCTGTAATTAGTCAATGAAATACGTTAACTAGAGTCAATTTGAAAGGGTGATTGTTTGAAAGGCATAACTGTATCTCTAATTGATCCCATATCCTAATTATCATCATGATTGTCAAACCTTTGTAAACAAAAAACCCGTATGACTTTTTGGTACTTACCTTTTTCTTTTCTCTCTTTTCTCTTCTCTCATTTATCCCTCCCGATATATTTTCACAATTTCACTTTCACATCATCTTTAAACCATTGTAGTGATGCTACTATTAATACCCCTCGGCCTGAGAGACTTATAACTCGATTAAAGTCAATGGCTGTCGATGAAAATGTCGGACCAAAAATGGTTTTGGTTCGTCAACCTAAAGGTCCCGATGGATCCAAGGGATTTAGTGTTTCTCGTCAAGGAGGATCTTCATCTACTACTTACAATAATAATAATGATAAACAATAATAATAATAACAAATCAAATTGTAACAAATTGTAACTAAAAAAAACAACAAAAGACAAAAGAAAAAACAAAAAAAAACACCAACCACAACAATTAAGTAAACAATTAAACGATTGAAACCTGAAAATTATAATGTGATGACCAAAAACAAGAAACCTAAATGACGTAAAAATAGTTGCTAAGCAACGAACAGAACAACCAAAACAAACTCTCTGATAGTCTCTTTCTTTCTTTCTTTCTTCTATTTATCATCATCTTCTCATCCTGCCTTTTCTTCAATTCTTTTTCTTCGCTGTCTACTATTTTTACCTCGATTCCTTCTCTCTGTCTATTTATGTCACTGTGAATATTCATTCAATCTTCTCGTTCCTTTCATGTTGTTTCTTTTTCTTAGATTTTCACCTTTATCTTCATCATCATTCTGATCTTCCCATTTGGTATTTGTTTTTTCTTCTGTTTTTCTTTACCTGTTCTCGGATAAATATTATCTCCATCTTCAGCCAATCCTCTCTTTCTTTTATTTTCTGTCATTTTCTCTCTCACTCACTCAATCTCTAACTCTCTTCTTAATCTTCTTATCCAAATTTTAATCTTTCGATTGATCATAATCATGATAATTGATCTTTTTGTTATTCTATCTTAAACATCATCATCATCATCATCATCATCTTTACCTTCATCGAATCACGAATCAAGATCCAGTCTCAAACAAACATACAACTATTATCGTCATCAATCTTACCTCAATATTTATCTTCTGTTATGATTGTTACTCTACCTCTGTGACATCAGTGTGTTTGTTATCATCATCATCAGTCGATAAAAGGATAATACAAAATATAAAATAGATTCTTTATCAAGTATGAGTTCTATCATGAAATCCTCGAGCTTTGGAATAAATCCTAAAAAGAAACTCTCTACCTTTGGTCGAAGGTTAAAACAAGAAATAACCACTTCAGGTTCATCAACTGATCCCGATGTTGTTGCAATTAACAACAACTATGAACAAGAATTAATGATGAAAGAAACAGTTTCACCAGATGATGTGATTAAATTGGACAAGATAACCGAAGGTAAGTCTCTCTCTCTCTCAGCTCGATTATCAACATATCATACTAATCATCTTCCTCTACCTCATCATCATCTCCATTAGGTTACCTGTGTCCTCTTGAAGCCAATACGTACGACATTGATTTCACCCGATTTAAAATTCGTGACATGGAATCAGGAAAAATATTATTCGAAATATCAAAACCATCCGATTTGGTCGATGAAAGTTCACCCGAAGACTCAGATGAATCAAATGATGGTAGATTTGTCCGTTATCAGTTCAACTCTCAATTTCTTAAACTCAAAACCGTTGGAGCTACGTAAGTATAATAATAATATTGAACATTTCCCTCATCATCCACCCCCAATATCCATTTGAATAACATAAGATTTTCCCTATCATGTTAAACTCCCATTTACCTGAGTTACCTTGACCTCGTCTCCCTGGTTACATGATGAAAACATTGCTGATTCTCAATTGAAAACATTCAACCTTGATTAGTTTACATAGGTAACAGTTTTCAATCTCTAAATTAGGTTAATCTTTTATTTAGCATTTAATATGTTTAATTGTTATTTTTTACCTTGAAAAACTGGAAGAATCGAGTTAAATTCAATATGATTAGTCAACAATTAAAACTCAACTCAATTAATCATTATTAATAATAATACTTTGAATCAATAGCTGTTATTGTAAATCGATACATGAAACTTATATCATTAGGATGTTTCTTTTAATGTTTATTATCTAGTTCGATGTTAATTGTTAATTGTATTGATTTCATCTTATTATTATCATTTTCTTTCACCATTAGCTGTTAATCTTTGACAGAATTAAAAATCAATCGTCTCAAACAATTTAGATATTATATCATATGATATAAGTTGTGATGATTAATTTTCTGTGTCAAGTTAATTAATTGTTATTAATCAATAATCAGTGTTTCTTGATTGTTCAATTGATTTTCTTAACTATGAATATAATATAAATGATTATCGGATATAAAAGTTATATCAAATGTAAAGATTTAATTTGTACCATTGATATTGATTAACTTTCTCAAGGTCAAGGAATGTAAATGTATTACAATTAGAGACAAATATTAATTATCTTGCAATAGATTATTACAATCAATTGATTCTCAAGGTTTTGATTGTTTTTTTTTACTAACCAATAATCACCTAACTAAATCTGAACACACAATCAAAGCATATTAATGATGATCAATATTTTGAAGCTCAATCAACCCTCTATTATTATCACAATTAATTAACCTTAATTACTGATAGTTTTATCACTGATTGTATAATCCACGAAATAGGTTACATAGATTTCCACTAATCAATACATATGTATTTACAATTAATGTCAATATAAATACATAATTAACCCGAAATAATGTTTACACTTTGAATAGAATTAACCTTTTAACTCAATTGTAATTAATTGTTTCTCTTGATTGTTAACAGAGTTGAATTCACTGTTGGTGATAAACCAGTCAACAATTTTCGTATGATCGAGAAACATTTTTTTCGAGACATTTCATTGAAAACTTTCGACTTCGAGTTTGGTTTCTGTATACCAAATAGTAAGAACTCCTGTGAACATATATACGAATTTCCGACCTTACCTGTTGATCTTTGTAAGTATTCATATTTCTTTGTAATTAGTTAATAAAGTTGGTAATTTTCTCCTTCTTAAATTAATTAACTAATTTTCTCTTCTTTCTCAATTATCTTTAGGTGAAGAAATGATCAGGAATCCATATGAAACTCGATCTGATAGTTTCTACTTTGTCGATAATAAGTTAATCATGCACAATAAAGCTGATTATGCTTATACCGAAACGACTGATTGAGGAATTAACAATCATTCAATCACAATTTAAAAGATTATCCATCGAGGAGCGATTTTGAAAACAATTCAACACAATCAATTGGGTCTTGAATTAATCACTAATCATTAACCAGTCATCCAAAAATATTAGATCATCAAATTAAACGAAACGCTTGTAAATGTCAATCAATTGTTTTGATTGTGTTTTTTATATATCAAATTATATATAAAACAAAGTGATTTAATACCGATCAAAACTGAATAGACAATTTTAATTGTAATTCTGGTTAATTGATTAACAATAATCACAAGGTTGTAAGAAAAACCAAAACCAAAACCAAAATCAATTATCTTGATTATTAGAAAGTGAGATGATAATCATATTTTGTAACATGTTAATTAATTAACAACTTAAATCAAATGTAATAGTAATGAAAACATGCTCAATGTAATCAGAATTTGATTGTATTAATATTTACAATTACCTCTGATTATCAGTCATATTGTTCATCAAATTGTTCCCAGTGGATTAATTAAAATCACAAATAGATTAACATTTATTAACCCACTGATTCAGTTTATTGTTGCATGTTTTAAATGTCCACTGGCTGGACAATTAAATTTAATTCATTCCATTGTTATGTTTTTACTGCAAATGAGTAGCATGATGGTTGAGGCATTTTCTAGAAAGTTAAATTCATACAATTGTTCAGAATTAATTCTACAAATTTTCATTTAGAATCGATTACCATTGCTTTTGATTTTATCAACGAGTAATCATCTTAATCAATAATGAGGCGACCAATCATTCAAACGATTAGATTAGTTGATGAACAAATTGAATGAAAATTCGATAGTTGAATTTACCGCTAAACAAAAAGTTCGCTTCGTTGTTCCATCAACAGGTGGAGCTTTCAAAAGAACGTGTATTCGGAATTTTGTGAATTGATAAAATCTATTTAAAGTCAGAAAATCTTTAAATTGTTTCTTTTGTCTATTTCGTCAATTAACATGGCCAATCCAAAAGTTTTCTTCGATGTTGATGCCGATGGTGAAAATCTCGGAAGAATTGTCATGGAGGTAAGTGTTACTCTAATTGTAATCTTTTTGTCTTCCTTTTTCTACTCTTTTCTATGTACGGGTCATTATGCTGATGGCTCTGAGGAATGTTCCAGAGATGGAATTTAAAACAACTTTTTCTCTTCTTTGTTCCCCTTTCTTTTCTCTTTCTTTTCTCTTTCCTCTTTCTCTCTTTTCTTTTTCTCTCTCACTCGGTTCTTTATTTTTTATATACTTGCTAACATGTTTATTTCTTTTTGTGTTGAATCTTGTCCTTCTTTTCGTTAGTTACGACCTGATGTTGTACCAAAGACAGCCGAGAATTTCCGAGCTTTATGCACCGGAGAAAAGGGTTTCGGTTACAAGGGATCGTCCTTCCATCGAGTTATTCCTAACTTCATGATTCAAGGAGGTGATTTTACCAATCACAATGGAACTGGTGGTAAATCAATCTATGGTGAGAAATTCGCTGACGAAAATTTCCAACTTAAGCACACTGGCCCAGGTATTCTTTCCATGGCTAATGCAGGTCCTGGAACTAATGGATCACAATTTTTCCTCACCACTGTTAAAACCACTTGGCTAGATGGTAAGCACGTAGTCTTTGGCAGTGTTGTCGATGGCATGGACGTTGTCAAAAAGCTCGAAGGCTTTGGAACCCAATCTGGCAAACCCAAGAAGAAGCTCACTATCACCAATAGCGGTCAACTTTAAGCCCTAACAATTGCAGTAGTGATTAGAATATAGATCCACACACACACTAATCAAACCATCACCAAACCGAACGCAAAACCATAATCAATATTACCCCGTAATTAAAGAAACTCCCAAAACTCTTAATCTCATGTTTGAGATTAAATCCCCAGATAGAAACCCAATAGATTGAATTACAAACTTTGTTCAGGATCTTTTTTTTAATATCTTTTCACTTTGTCTCTCTTCCCAACCAAACACAAAATAAATAAACTTTTCAAAACCAAGAAAATGATAAAATCTCCAACTCATCTAATTAAACAAAACCTTAGATGAGTTTTCTTCATTCTAATCACCCCCACCAGAATCATTCTCTCAGAACAATCAATTAGTATTCTAAACATGATAATCTACTAGAGATTACGAGCAAGTATGCAAGCAATTGAAGATTAATTAATAGACACAATTAAAAGAATTGCAAAAATCACCAAACCGAATCATGAGTTATCTTTGATTCTCCCGCCGACAACTGATTCCACTCCTTTCAATTTATTTCCATTAATTTGTAATATTTTTGAAAAGGAAAACCAACTGATGATAATCAAGAGATTAACTAATTGTTTTAATCTTTTATGTGTAGTTAACGTCGTTAGTTGACAAGTGATTAAGTCTAAACGTTAATTTGTCTTAACCATTTCAAGGAACTGTAAATATAAACACAATTTTTTAATTCTACGTCAAAATGGATTTGATTTTCCATGAAAAGGTAAATTCTATTCTTTCTTTACTTTGTGACTCTTTCTTTTTTCTTGTTGTTTCTCTCTTTGGTTACTCTTATTTTTTTTTTCTTTTGTCCGATTGGTTTGGGTTGATTCCATCAGTTTAAATTTACTAATGATTCTGTTTTATTGTTTCTCCTTTTACAGCAAGAAGGTCAATTGTGTGCTAAGCATTGTCTCAATGCTTTACTTCAAGGACCTTATTTTACTGAATTTGATCTGGCCTCCATTGCGAAGATCATTGATGATGAAGAGCGACTGAAAATGGCAGAGGGTGGTGAGAACAGACAAGAATATCGAGAATTCATTGAGGTAATTAGAGAATAATTCAATTAATATTTTCTTTGTGTCGCTATTTACCAATTGGAGACTGGATTGGGTTTTTTGATACTCGTTCTGCCAGCTGACATGCCTTTCTCTTCGTGTACACTTTTGACTTTGGTCTAAAATTCAACCTTCTATGTTTAAATTGTTCAGATTAAGTTGAATCAACTGTATCTGTCAAACTTTGTAGATGTGGTTGATCTCCATCAGCTATTAATACCACACCTAATGGTTAATGGTAATTGAGACTAGAATATCAATTTACATTGTTTACTGAAACCGATCTTTGACTTTCTCTCTCTCTCTCTTTTCTGTCTCTTGTCATTCTTAAATTTTTTCGATTTTCTATCCTACCTTAGGGTCCTTCATTCAATATGGATGATAGCGGTTATTTTTCTATCCAGGTTCTAGCAAATGCTCTCAAAGTTTGGAATCTTGAATTGGTGCCCTTCAAAAGTCAAAACACTATCGCTGAAATCGCTCGTAGAGATCCTATGTAAGTAGACATTTCCATCTTAATATTTAATTAAAATGATTTTAACCTAACTTTTTTAATTAACTGGTAAAGGTCACAAAAAAGCTACATTTGCAATTACAAAGACCACTGGTTAACTATCAGAAAAATTGGACAACAATGGTTCAATCTAAATTCAATGTTGAGTGGACCTGAACTTATTTCCGACACTTATTTGGCCCTTTTCTTGGCGCAACTACAGGAAGAAGGCTATTCTATTTTTATTGTTAACGGAGATTTACCTTCGTGTAAATCCGACCAAGTATTATCGACTGTGAGAGTTGAACAAGCCGAGAAACCACATACCATTGCTGAATATGCCGATCGAAGTTCAACCGAAGCAATTAAAGGAGATTCTTGCAGTGGGGGTGAAGATGATGAAAGTTGTCTTCAAAGAGCGATCGCTGCCTCGTTAGAAAGTGAATTGGAAGATGAACAAAAACAACTTCAAGCAGCGATTGCGATGAGTTTGGAGTCGAAATAAATCCAACAGAAAATGATAATCACACGGAAGCATCTCTAATATTTACTATCCCTTTTTCATCAAATCAAATTTCTCAGTGAAAATCAATTACACTTCGAACGAGTTTATAAACTACTGTTACTTTTTTAATTTCTTTTTCTCATGTTGCATCAAATCTTTTTCTTAATTCGCACCAAGATTAACCATTTACTCTAAAATTTAAAGTCATCGAAAAATTTTGCATCCAATTGATTCACTTTTTTCGGAAAATTTTCTAAATTGATTGATTAGTTCGCGAAGAGGATCATGAATAAAATCAATCGATCCAAATACTTGGATTCTAATAATGCCGAAATCATTTTCTTTAAATTAACTAATTTATTTATTTTGCTTTATATTTGAAAGAAACTAATAGTATTTACAGTTGATTTAATATCATTAAAAAAACATAATTAGAACTCTAATGAGTTGATGTTCATCTTGAAGGAAAAGTACAATTGAAAATTGATTTTTTAGTTCGTCGTTAATATTGTTGATTGTAAAGAGACACTTCCGGGTGACTGATCGGGATAATCAAGGTTCAACGTTTTGGGAACAATTAATTCTGTGAATAGAAAAATAAAAAAAGTGGTAACCTTCGTGCCCGAAGAATTGCCTTAGAGACACCAACCCTGGAACGTTACCAAGGTGTTTTATGTACTTTGAAAGATTCTTTTGGTTTTCACTCAGCATCAGTTCTCGAATAAATTTATCTCCATCTTCAGCCGATCCTCTTTTTCTTTGATTTTCTGTCATTTCTCTTCTTAATCTTCTTATCCAAATTTTAATCTTTCGATTGATCATAATCATGATAATTGATCTTTTTGATATTCTATCTTAAACATCATCTTCATCGAATCACGGATCAAGATCAATCTCAAACAATCACAAACAGTGCAAACTTACAAAGAGTAAGGAGCGATATAATTAGTTAACAATTAAACTCAACTGAATTGATCATTAATAATACTTTGAATCAATAGCTGTTATTGTAAATCGATACATGAAACTTATATCATTAGGATGTTTCTTTTACTGTTTATTATCTAGTTCGATATTAATTGTTAATTGTATTGATTTGATCTTATTGAATCGTTATAATTCCGAGTAATCACTCAATAAAATTGGTAATTTTCTCCTTCTTAGATTGATTAACTAATTTTCTCTTTTCTTTCTCAATTATCTTTAGGTGAAGAAATGATCAGGAATCCATATGAAACTCGATCTGATAGTTTCTACTTTGTCGATAATAAGTTAATCATGCACAATAAAGCTGATTATGCTTATACCGAAACGACTGATTGAGGAATTAACAATCATTCAATCACAATTTAAAAGATTATCCATCGAGGAGCGATTTTGAAAACAATTCAACACAATCAATTGGGTCTTGAATTAATCACTAATCATTAACCAGTCATCCAAAAATATTAGATCATCAAATTAAACGAAACGCTTGTAAATGTCAATCAATTGTTTTGATTGTGTTTTTTATATATCAAATTATATATAAAACAAAGTGATTTAATACCGATCAAAACTGAATAGACAATTTTAATTGTAATTCTGGTTAATTGATTAACAATAATCACAAGGTTGTAAAACCAAAACCAAAACCAAAACCAAAATCAATTATCTTGATTATTAGAAAGTGAGATGATAATCATATTTTGTAACATGTTAATTAATTAACAACTTAAATCAAATGTAATAGTAATGAAAACATGCTCAATGTAATCAGAATTTGATTGTATTTACAATTACTTCTGATTATCAGTCATATTGTTCATCAAATTGTTCCCAGTGGATTAATTAAAATCACAAATAGATTAACATTTATTAACACCATCGATTAAATTTATTGTTCCATGTTTTAATTGTCCACTGGTTGGACAATTAAATTTAATTCATTCCATTGTTATGTTTATACTGCAAATGAGTAGCATGATGGTTGAGGCATTTTCTAGAAAGTACTAATTCAAAAGTCAAATCATTAATTGGGATGAAATTCTGACTTGATTATTATTCGACACTCACATAGACAGAGATACTTTTTCGAATAACGAAAAGATCACCAATAGTTGGACTAGAAACTGGACTTTCAATTCGTTCGAGAATCTCCAAAATCTGTAGAGAAAACGATCAGTAAAAATGTTCGACCTTAAGGTTAAATGTTATCGACTCACTTTGAGTTTATCTTCGATAGCGAATTGGCCTCTCGGTAGAATGTCAATCAAATATCCGTGAATCTTTTCCAGCTAAACAGAAAAGGAAGATAAGAATTATTTGAATGGACAACGTGTAGTGGTCATTGTTTACCACTTCAATGAACATTCCTGCTAAATAAACAGCACTGGAGATCAGAAAAAGTATCAATATGTCGAGTGAAATCGCAAAAATGGTCAGTTCGATGGGGAAACTGTAAACGATGAACAGAAAAATAAAGGAATCAATGAACAAAGAAACAGCAATAAACAGAAGAAAAAACATGTATCGTAAATTTCGAGCTGTATTTTCGAATTCGTTGAGAAATAACTGAGTCGATCTAATCGTGATTCGAAGAGAAGATGCACTGGTAATCGAAAAGTTTTTAGATCGAAAACTTGACCATATTTCGAGTAAGCTTGATAATCGACAAATGTACAGGGTGATAACTGCGAGTATGTGCCCACCTGCGTTGAAAACATACGGAGAAACAAAATGTAACAAAATGAATTCTGTGCAAATGAAGAAAATGCTTAGGCCAAAATACAATTTATCGTGAAAAAAGATCGGATCAATGAGTCTAGAGATGATAATTGTAGCACCAATACCAAGAGTAAAAATTTGATCACTCTTGGAACATTGGTAACGATTAATGTAAATGATTTTCTAAATATTTTACACTGATTATCAGTTAGATTTAATATTCTACGATCGAATCCTTTTTGTTGAATTGTCCGAAATATCGAGACCAATTTAAGAAACCCTGAGCTCTCCAAATATAAGATATACTCTCGAAAAATTGATAGTCCACCGATCGCGAAACAAAGTTGCGGTAAAATGATCAAGTTCAAGGGTTGTCCATGGAAAGGATTACCTAGTAAAAGTTGTTTCGATTCATCTTTCAACCAAATTGCACCAAGAAAAGCTCGAACAATGGACACAACTATCACAATACGAATTATGATATTTTTCCAATAAAAACCTTCCAATTCGTAGTTAGTCCGATTTTGGTCATAACCCCTTCGAGTGAAAAGTAAATCACGAATCAGTATTTCCAATTTACCGATAATATTTACTACATATTGGTCATACTCGTGGTCATCGGGTAGTCCGATGAAATATCTGATTCGATAAAAAAACTTTGACCTCAAGATTTGATTCATATTATTTACTATTGAAACCAATGAGAGTTGATTGTTGTTTACTTTTTTATATCAAATTCACAGTTTGAATGATTGAATAAACTAAAAAACAAAAATCAATTTCTTATTGTTTTTTAGATTTGATTCAATTTATTATCCATAGAAACAGATTAATGATTTTTTTTTCATTATTTGATTACAATAAACACCAAGATGAAAAACTTAAATCATCAGATAGATGAATTTGATTAATGTAATAATTACTTTTGAATCGCAACAATTAACAAAAACACAAAACTTGTAATCTAATTTGAATAAATTGAAACAAAAAACCAAATTAAATAGTTAATTACAAGTTTTTATAACAATACAATCATGAAAATGAATATGAATAGGTCAAAGGCATGGTGAATGATTAATTAATAATCAACAATTTGATTGTTTCACTTGATTGTTATAACTCAGGTTAACCTGATAACATCAACCCAGATTGATTTAGGTGTGTTTACCACAACAACCAATCAATTATTATTAAATGTGATTATTTATGATATAATATAGTCTACAATTAATTGGATAAAACATGAAATCAATTTTTAATTGTGAAAAAAATCTCAATACAATCAGAAAATTTTGAGCAAAAAAATCAAAAGTTTAATTGTATTATTATCATGAAATGCACAGCATTTCATGGGGAGGGAAAAGTTTATATTACAAAACAAAGCACTAGAATTTTGGTAAAAAATTAAATTTGATTGCAACAATCAAGCAAATCAAGATCAGAGTCAATTAAAAGTTAATTATTTAAAGAAAGTCAATAAATTAGTTTGATCGTTAAAGGTGAAGCACATGGAAGGTGATTGTTGTATTTGTTTTAATGAAAAGATTCTGACTAAAATTTGGTGATTCAGATGATTAGTTAATTTTTTTCATGTAAAGGAAAGTAATTTACAATTAGGCTTCTCCACGGGTATTAGTTGGTTTAGTTAATCAGTTGACTTGTCTAAAAAAATCAGTGGATAGTTAATTTTACCATCGTTTTAGATTCACTGATTGTTGGTGTGATTCAATTGTTGTTAACACTTTACAATAGAGACACAATTTCAACGTGTAGGCTTTTGATTGTTGTAAATGAACAATATAAACACTGAATCGTATTAACTTGAAATCCTTACAACAGTGACAATAGTGAAAACAATATAAGATGTTTTCTGTTTTTTAATTGTTGTGATTTCGCATCTTTTTTGTTGTTAATTGTTTCTCAAGGATCATTTTAATTTCGCAGTAATTGAACCTTATCTGTAGCTATGAGGATACGTTTGGGCGGGAACACGTTTTACCGAAGGTTGACTCGAGGAGTACCTTGAATTAGGTCGGAAATCGCTTTCATTACCATCGTTAAGATGTTTGGCCAAGGATGAACGAGATCCGTAGGTTGATCCGTGAACGGGAATATTATTATTCGCGGCCCAATCTATTTTGTAGGGATCATAATCTTCCAATTCAGAAGCGTCTTCTTTTTCAACTACTTCGGTTTTCGTACAGGTACAAGTTAACGAGGTACACAGGAAAATGTTCACAATTAACATGATCAACAATAATATTCCCAAGACAGTGGCAAGTGTCACCAACCACGGAAAACGGGATATATTACACTCTTCGTTGTACCGAATATAATCAAGAATATCTTCACCAGGATCGACCACATAAACTGTTGTACTTGCCAGAATTTGCATCACATTAGAATCTGGCCTGATTTTGGAAACTATTGGAAAAGAGATTAACAATTTACATGAGATAAACTGATTTAGAATAAGCAATTAAATTACTCACTTGAACTTCTTTTAATGAAAGTATCTTCACAATCAATGTTGAAATTACAGCCTCCCTTGCAAAGGAGGACAGCGCATTGAATGAACACCCTATTGGTCCCTGGAAATTTGAACATTGACTTAACTGTCGCTTCAACGGTCGATGTTGAGTTAACATTGTAATCAAAGGGTGAGATTACATTCTCATCAACTGGACACCCGTTATGGTTAATTAGATCAACTTCAGTTGAATTTGTTGATGAAAAAGCGACACAATTACGAACGTACATTCCGTATGTTGGATCGGGATTACTGATGTCCACTTGAAGTTTATAACGATTTCCATGGATTAATCTACGACTAGTATCATGTCCACCTTCATTTAACAGTTTAAGGGTCACTCTGGATCGCTGAGTTGACCTTGAATTAGTTGAAAAAGTTTGAGAACAAGCGATTGAATAATAACGATCAACGGAAAGTTCAAGGTCTCGATGAATACGAACCGCAATGGTGACCGCTCGATCTTCATCAATACTCTAGAAAATAAAGGAAAAAGAAACAAATTAATTAACTAATCACTTTCTCTTTAAGCTTTTGTGTGTGTTATCATTTCGTGCCAGTTGATTAATTGTGAATCAAAGTGAATCATAAACAATTAAAAAATTCAAGGTTCACTTTTAATTGTTACGATAAATAATCAAAAGCCTACACATGAAAAATATTTCAAGTTACAATCTTAATCATTTCATTGTTTTAAATTGATTGTTGAGACTGATGAAGATGTTAATTGTTGGGATAGGCGTTGATATTACAAATTACCTTCTTCCTTGATACATAAATATTGATGATGATACTCAATAAAATTAACTAATTGACCATGAGAAAACTAATTACAATTTAAATTAATTCAAAGTTTTATTTATAATTTATTTTTTTTTTACGCCATTAAAATAAATCGGGAACAATTAATATGAAAATTTCAATGTAAAACTTATATATTAATATAAAATCATAATGATAATAATCAACTGATTGTTCAACAATTAAATAACAGGAGCTATTAGATCAACAATCAAGATTAAATTTAATTTTACTCTACAGAAATAAATTGGTCTAATTGTTCAAAAGGATAACAAAGAAGACAATTGAATTAAAATTGATTCACTTGACAGTAATTATCCGGTTTTCCTGATTATTAATTTGATTGAACTAATCAACTTAATCACAAACAGAGTTTCAATTGTTGACCATTGTCCATTTTTTTTTCTTTAAAATTTAATCTTAATTGTTTGTGAAATTGACGTTAATCCAATTATTTGAATCAAGAGATTGCTTTTGTTGATTACTTGATTAGCTTTTTTGATTAATCTTAATGATAATCTGTATATACGATTGAATTGTAATAATAACAATCGTCAAGATTATAATCATGATGATGAGAAGCACAATCAACTTGATTAACAATCAAGATTCAAAGTGATGAGCAACTTTACACAGAATCGTGATCAGTTAGTTATCATAATTATAATTCTTAATGATAATAAGAGTTATTAAATTGCTGGAAAAGCCTAAATTGTTGATTAAAAAAGAGAGATGAACAAAAAGAAGTTAATTTTTTTCCTTAATTTAATTAAGCTGATTGTTGTTGATCTACAGGTCGTGATTAACAACAATCAAAATGTAATGATAGTAGTTAACTAAAGTCAAAGAAAAAAAAACAATTTAATAAATCACAAAATCCTTAATCAATTGATATTGAATTCAAAGTTGATTAACCTAATATACAAAAGGTATAATCACAATTAATTAGTCTAATTGTCAACAATAACAAAAATGATTGTCAAAATTGCTAATCAATCAGATTTTTTTGTATTGATTTGTAAAAATCATTGATTAATCAATCAAAAGTTGATTAACAAAGAAACAATTGATTGTTAAGTTAATTGTTAATGGCCAGTTAACTGACCGTTTGATTGTTAATCAACACTCTCATCTGTTCACAGATAATCTTAATTGTTACAGAATTGATTGGATAAAAAAAGGGAAACAAGACCAAAGACAATTAGTTAATTTTTTTTTTAATTACTCGGCCCATGAGGTTGGGGCTCAGGCCGAGCAATTAACCTTGATTAATTATTGTTAAGCCAACAGCTGGTTAACAATTAATTTTTTCATGTTTTAATTGTTCATTATTATGAATTGATTAAAGTCTTGTTTACATAAAATTAACATGATCATTATTTCAATGGTTAAATTGTATTGATAATTAATTGACTAATAAGCTTAACTAATCAATTGGAAATTATTATTAACTTAATTGTCAAAACTGTTTCACTGGATTGATTTAATATAATTAGTTAATTACCATCTTTGATTAATCTCTTTTTTTCTGACTAATAGACACAAATCATTGATTATTAATCAATGAAGGCTGATTTTTACAAACATTTAATCATAATCATCATAAACAATACGAAATGATTAACAAATAAATACTGATTAGTTAATCGTCAAGGTTTTAGTGTATTAAGATTTAAAGGTTAATCGACCTACATTGATTGTTAATAATTAAGTGTGTAAATATTGTTGATTATTATGTTGGTGGTTAGTTGATTGTAAATAATATCATTAACCATGAATTACTTGGTAATCAAAAGTTAATTGTAATTATTACGATGGTTGAAAGTGACTAATTTGTACATTGACAAGAAAATAATAAGAAATTTGATTCAAATTGTGGAAAAATATTTAATTGTGATGATTAAAAAATTCATGTTAAGTGTTAATTATTACAAGAGTAGTGAATGTCCATCAAACAATTAACATTTTTACGGCTAATTGTCTTTGACAATGACAATTAATTTCTCAATTGTAATAAGATTAACATGATAACATTATGAACTTTTTGTCTTTTTCCTTGATAATAGATTAAAGAGTTAATTGTGAACAGTTAATCCCTTTGGATTACGATAATTAGCTCAACTATTTTAATCTATTAAAACCATCAAATTAAGATGAATTAATAAAACAGACAATTAAATACTGATTAGCATACATTAAGAATTAACAATCTCTCAACTACAAAAACAACAATTAGATCAAAAAACTTTTATTCTTAATCATGTTGATTGTTGATTGAATAAATATCATGATTAACATAAACTTGGATGGAAACAATTTCTTGATTAGTAATTGAACAATTAAACAAATATCCTGAACACCTAGTTGATTAACATAACGAATAAGTTGATGATGATAATTGGACCACTTAATTGGCTCAAAAGGAAATTAAAATTAATTGATTAGTTTGAATTAAATTATCTTATAAATTGTGATGATAAAATAATTACTATTGATTCGTTGGGTGATTTGTCAAATTTTGTGATAATTGATTGATTTAATTGTGTGAGTGTGTGAAAGTTTATTAAAAAAGGTTAACCTTGAGTGAGAGATAATCAATTGATAATCAAAACGATAACCTAATTGTTGTTGGATTTAAATTGAAATTAAACGAAAAGCTAAACACTCAATACTAATCAAATGACCATTAAATGATTAGTATTTACATTAATTTGAAACAGTTTATATTAAATTGTTGTAATCAACAAAATACTAAACTTGAGGCAATTTGATTGTATTTCATTCCTGTTGAGTTAATTAACTGTAAGGGAAACATTATTATTATGATTTAATCATAATGATTATGATGATGATAAAGAGAATGGGAAATGTTAATGTTGTTGATTGTTGTAACCTTTTTGTTGATTGTTGAACATAAGTTGACCTGAAGATGGACAATGGTCATTAACAAGTTACGATTAAACAACCAGCACCAATTAAATTAAAACTTTTGACAATAATGATTAACTTTTTCACACAATCATTTTCTCTTGTTTAATCAAAACTTGACTTAACTAAATTAACTCAACAATTTAAAGGAAAATAAATTATATTATTTATATTTTACACCAATGATACAATTTATGATTGTCATGGATTAAGATACTAACAATTAATGAATTTTTAAATTTTTTTTCCTTAAATTAAGTTAATTGTTATAATTTAGTTATACACTAATAAGAAATAGAGACAATTAATAAATTGAAATAATTTGGTTAAGTTTGGGTGAATATATATTGAAACAATTTAGGTTGGACAGGAAATCTTATTTTGGATTGAGAGACAAGATTAATGACAATTTAAGTTAATCAGGACTATTGTAATTAAAGAAAGCAATTGAGTAATTAAGATTAAAATATTTTTCTAAATGTGAATGCGAAAAAAAGTGAAAGTAATTAAACCGGTAATTCAATGAAAAGGTAAGTTAATTGGACTTAAGTCTAATTCAAGTCATTTGATATAATCTTCATCATCGGATTAAGATGATTATATCTTAATAACGGTTAGAACATAACAATTAGAAAGGTGAGACTGATAATTAAGTGATAACAATCAGAAACAATGAAACAATTGTAACAAGATAACGAAAGGGAAAAGTTTGATTAGTGTTTTCGTTATGATTGATGTTAATAGATTGATGATTTCTCGTTAATTACCTTGTGTCTTTCGACACCGCAAAGTTTTCATCCTCATCACTCGCCACTGCACTTATCCTTAAAGTGGTGTTAGTGCTTCCGGTTCCAAAGACACGGCAATAGTCCCGTTTACGAAAATCTTCTGTATGAATGACTCCATAAAAGGGATCCAATGTTAAGACATTGATGATCATCATCCCACGTTCACAACGAGCGTTAATGGTTGGCTCCCATGTGGATGAATCCTCCTCGGCGAAACCCTGAAAATCAATGTTTCAGACAAATTAATTACTCACAATCTAAGAAATGAGAAAAAAATTCCAATCATAAAGCCATCGTCTTTGAGTTTACAACCACATTTAATTTACTCGCGACGATAATGATAATCAATGAGAGATTAAGTTAACCCAAAGATAATAATCAATGTCCTCTCATTTAATTGGTGTTATCTTTTCAAATGCCATCCAATTAGATTTATCTTTGACTAATTATCAGTAAATTAAAACTGATTGCAAACTCAAAGTCGATGGTTGTATGATTGGAATTGGAAAAAAACATTGTCACAATTGAAAAGAGACTTGAAAATAATCAGCTGATGAAAATTTTCTCACAACAATTACTTTGTATCAATTTTAGAAGCTCAGTTATCAGGCTGAGCAATTAGATAATTGATCAACATGATAATCGATTAATTCTGTTGTAACAATCGATGAATATTTTTCTGATAGAAAATTAAAAATCAATATAAAGATTTTTCAATGTATAGAAAGTTAATATTTTCCAAACAAGATCAATTAGTCCAATGGTTCAATTATAATCACAAATTAGTAAACAATTAAAGATGCAAATGGAAAATCAAACTATCAATGGATTAGATTAATCCGATATTCACTTGACAGCACTTGGAAATATCTTCATCTTTAGGCCTAACAAGACACAGAAAACGATAAAGTTAGATCCAAATTGACACCGAAGATACAAGAAAAGGAGAGAACAAAATTGACCCAAAGAGAAAATACAATCAGGATGATTAATCAATGAATAATTAACAAGAATTAACTTACATGGTGGATGAATGATGATAGAAAAAGGATAAGAAAAGGTATTAAGGATGAGAAAAGGTGAAACTTGTAAGATAAAAAAGTAAACATCACATTTAGAAAGTAAACAAAAAGAAGATGGAAAAGTAAAAGTGAAAATGAATTAAAGTGAAATCAATGATTTCCAACGTTTCTTCATCTGAGTTGAACACTTAAATGAATGAATTTTAAAGAACCGGTTTCATTATTATCCAGTCAACATGGAACATGTTTCATGGTGGTAACCAGTTTATACGAAACTCAATGTTTACCTAAAGCAAACTTTTATCATCTTGTTCATCTTTAGGAGCCATTTTCTTCCTCTCTTATCTTCATCTTCTAATCATCATCATTATCCAACAATTGATATTGTCAAAATTTCTGATTCAATATTCTGATTACCTTGACATGTTTCATCTTCTTAATTGTGATCAGGGTTTTTCGCCGAGTAGGATTATTAATAATCTTTCATGTTCATTTTTTACATGGGCCGAAGTTTTTTTTTCTTCTTCATCAACAATTAGTAAATTGTTGTTAGTTAATCGTGGGTTGGGTACGATTATATTGTAACGATTGATAATCTATTAACATTGGATTCCTTTTATGGTATAGTTGAAAACTTTTTCTTCAACTTAATCACAATTAAGATAGAGAAATAATCAATTTTTTTCTTTCTCCATGATAACCGGAAATTCAATTTTCAATGGTAACCTTGATTTCCAAGGTAATCAGTTTTGATTAGCTTGATCATCTTGATTTCACGTTGATTATGATCAGTTGATTTTATTATTATTTTCTGTTTTTAAGTCTCAATCTTTGCTAATGATCAAGTTGATGACCAGTTAATGATGATTATCTTTATGGATTCAAATTTGTTATAATTGTTTAATTGTCATTGTATTGATAATCTTTAATCTGATCATTATTATCAACATTTAATTGTTAGTGGACATTTGATTTTAATTTTAACATGATTAAGGTCAAAATTGTCATGAAAGTATTAAAATAATTTACTAATCATCTTTTACTTTTTGTTTAACTAATGGTGAAGTTGATTGTTAATCATGATTTGGTTATTATTTAATTAAACTTGTTTACTATTTTAAGTCGTTAGTAGTTTAAATGATTTCAGTGATTTTGTCATTACTGATGTTAATTGTAACTTGACAATAGACTTTAATTGTTGGTTAAAAAAAGGTTAATCTGATTAGATGGGTTGAAACTATGAAAACAATTAAATTGTTAACATTGTTAATTTTGATTGATTGAAATCATCAGATTGTGAAGAGTGAGATTAATTTTGATTGAGTTTATCACAATTCAATCAACAGGTATAATTAGTTGATTCTTGTTAAAGTTAAATTGAAAAGTCAAAAGTATAAAAAGAGACCAATAATCAATCAATTTGATTCAGTAATTTTAATCAAACCATTTAGAGAATCCTATCACAATTAAGATATTGTAATCAAGTAGACAATTAAAACTTACACTCAAAAAGAATTGTTATTTTAGCTTTAATTGTGAAAATGATTGGATAAAACTTAATTATCCTTAATTCAGTCAATTAGTTGGCAAAGATGATATACTTTTAATCAACAGTTAAGAGAATTGGAAAGATTTTCAATGTTTAACAATTAATCATCCAATTGATTGATCACAAAACTTGCACCTTAAAAACTAATTGTTAATCCATAAGAAAAACAATTGGAATAAGTTGATTGTTTGAATACTCAGTCTACGATCAACTAATTGAAGTAAATATATGAATGAGCCAAAGAGAAAGTATAATATAAAAAAGTCTCTATTCTGTGCACTTAATTGTCACAATTAACTCACTTGACTGTAAATCCAATGGCGACATAATCTTGTTGTCATCCGTTAACAAGCAACGTTACCCAGGGATCGTCCGTCCTTCAATGATTATCATCACCAGGAATCATCATCAAAACTGGATGAGGGAAAAATAAGAAACTCAAACAGAGGTAAAAATGTTGATTAAGTTGATGATGATTCGGATAAAGAGACTCACTACTTCAGGGGAGGGTTGATTGTGGTGGTGGTGGAGGTTTAACTTGCTTAACTTTCCACCACCACCACCACCATGATGATGATGATGATGATGGGTAATCAGTTTTAATTGTGACTGTTTCCTTACTCTAATCATTTCTTATTCTTGTTTCTTTTTTCAACCAACAGTCACTATCTTATTGTTTTGCTTGTTTTCTTGTTGATTTTGTTTAATCACTTCTCTTATACTTGTACTTGGGATTTAAATTGTTTGTGTTTGTATTTCATAGTAATCAACTGATTGTCATTAGAAACAATGGTTTATGATGAGGTAAACAACATCCTAAATGATCAACAATTAGAATCCAAACCAACTTATTTAGGGTTTGATTTCAGCACGCAACAGGTAAGTCAATTTCTATCATTGCAACAATTAGTATTTACTTTTTTTGATTTTATGATTATTCTAATTAATATAATCTTATTGATTGTTTGACCACTTCACTAATTTTTCTGTTAATTGTTTTACATTAGTTGAAAGCCATTGCCATTGATGATTCATTGGAGATAATTCATCAAGCAATTGTTCAATTTGATTCTGATTTACCAGAATTCAGGTAAATAATTTATTTTAATTTGTTATCGTTGAATTTTCATTTATCATAATGATTGCTATTAATTATGTTCCTATTGATCAACATGATTGATTATTGATTGTTAATCTAAAACTGATTACTCTAAGATTATCCTATTAATATTAATCAGTTTAAATAATTAATCAGGTGATACATTGTATTGAATTTTAATAGCAATTAACCTTGATTAGGTAAAGATATTTCATATTCACAATCAAAATATTGATTTGAAACAATCAAATTTATTTTTAAATCTATCATTACAATCAAGATGTTTTCTCACAATTAAGTTTGATTGATTTAATCACCAAAACATTTCCAGGCTTCTACATTTCAACAGAAATCTCAATTACGATTCAGTTAAATGTCATTTTAATTCAATGCTCAAATACAATTAACTTTTGTTAACAATCACGTCTTGTATTCAATTACGGTTTTGATAACTCTCTCTCTCTCTCTCTCTCTTGTCTTTCCTATTGTTTTAATTGTCAAATGATTGACTGTCTCTTTTAATTTGAAATCATTTACCTTTGAACCTTTTAATGAACCAGGACCCATGGAGGTGCCAACAAGCGGGAGGGAGGCAATGAGGTGACTGCACCGCCCTTGATGTGGGTTAAGGCCCTTGATATGGTGCTTGAGAGACTGAAAATTTCTGGCCTTGACTTTGGTACCGTTCAATCAATCAGTGGAACAGGTCAACAACACGGGTCCGTTTATTGGAGAAAAGGTTCAAGGGAAAAATTAAAGAACCTTAATTCAGCCAAATTCTTACACCATGAACTTCAAGATGCTTTTGCACTTCGAGATTCACCAATTTGGATGGACTCATCGACGACGGAACAATGTAATGCTCTTGAAAAAGCGCTTGGTGGGCCTGAAAAGTTGGCAGCGATAACTGGATCCCGAGCCTATGAACGATTCACTGGATCACAAATCGCTAAAATTGCTTCGACTCGACCTGAAGTGTACAATTCAACCGAGCGAATAAGTTTGGTCAGTTCGTTTGCTGCTTCTTTATTTCTCGGTGATTATGCTCCGATTGATCTATCTGATGGATCCGGTATGAATCTTTTGGACATTTGGTCGGGCAAATGGTCACAAATCTGTTTGGATGCGATAGCACCTGAATTACGCACTAAATTGGGCGATGAAGTCGTTCCAACGGCCACAGTGGTCGGTAAAATTTCAAGTTACTATGTTGATCGATACGGTTTCCCAGAGAAAACTTCAATCGTCGCATTTACTGGGGACAATCCGGCTTCTTTGGTGGGTATGGTTCTGGACGAAGGAGATATTGGTGTTAGTCTGGGTACATCAGACACGGTCTTTCTCTCTCTTCGAAATCCAAAGCCAACTGTCAACTGGCATATTCTTGTCAATCCAATCAACCCGTCTGATCATATGGCCTTATTATGCTTCAAAAATGGTTCTCTAACCCGAGAAAGAATTCGAAATGAAACAGCCGAAGGAAGTTGGACTATCTTCAACGAACTTATTGAATCAACACCTCGAGGTAATTTCGGTAACATTGGTTTTTACTTCGATTGTACTGAAGTTTATCCTCTAGTAAAAGGAGACTTTCGATTCAATAAATTCAACGAAAGGGTCGCTCGACTTTCCAAAGAGGTCGAAGCTCGAGCTTGTATTGAAGGTCAATTCTTACGACTCCGTCTCCATGCAGCTTCTTTAGGATATACTGAGATTACCGATTCCTGTATAAAAGTGACCGGTGGAGCTTCGGCCAATAAAACTCTTCTTCAAATCTTATCCGATGTTTTTAACAAGCCAGTTTATCGACAAACAATGGCCAACTCAGCCTCTTACGGAACCGCACTAATGGCCAAATACGGTAAATATCATTTATCCTCACAAATTACCATCGATTTTCGGCTTTTACCTTTACACTAGCGCTTTTCCATCTCTCATTTCGCTTTTATTTCAATTATTTCTCTCATAAAGTTATTATTCTTATAATTTCTAATTTCATTTTCTTTCTATTTTCCACACATCCCCTTTATCCCCAACCCACTTCACCCTTTCATCCATCAGCTTTGATCGGAGATAAAATAAGTTTCAAAGAGATGACAAGTAGCCTGAAGATGTTCAGCTTGGTTTGTGTACCATCAAAAGACGCTCATTCCATTTACACTCCTATGGTTGAAAGATACAAGATTTTGGAAGAAAAAATCAAATCAGAATCAGAACAATAATCTCACATGAAACTGAAATTGAAACTAATTTTCACCTTTTCTTTTAAAATCAACTGTACGAAACTGTATCACACTTGATGTTTTTCAGCAGAAAATGAAACCATTCACATTTTTGACAAAATTAGTTGACATTTATTATCAATGCAAGAAAAAAGCAAAGCTTATTTTTATCCTCTTACACTTTGTACCAAAAAAAGACAAATAAATTGATAACAATTTAAATTTGATCACTTAAATTATACACTTATTGAAAATTGTATCAAGTATTTTAAAAGTTGTTGTGAATCACAACTTGTAAGGGAAATTGATTTTCTTAACTTGATTGAATTAATTTCGGGTAATAAATAAACACTTTAAATGAGGTAAACATTGACTGCAATTAAAAAATTAATCAATACGATGATTTGAATTGTTACTGTTGAGAATGGGGATTAATTACTCCAAGGGTTTGATGATATTGACCAAGTATCAGATGATGGAGGAAGTGAAGACGGAGGAACCATTGGACTTGGAGCTGGAGCCGAAGCGGGAACATGAGTTAATAGTGGAATCGTGATTGGGATTATTGTTTGTTTGGGGGGACTTGAGATCGGAGGCATCATCATTGCAGGCGGAGCGGGTGCTGGGACTTTAATTATCTTTGGTATCTGTTGATTAGCAAGGAAATCAATCAATATAATTTGGTTGGACAAATTGAATTTATACTTCTTACCTCAATAGCGACATATTTAACTGGCCTTGGGGGACAGTGACATGTCGGTGAACTGCTGGGAACTATTGATTGTCCCCAACCCGAAGCACTGACCATTAGATCAGAATTTGCCTCAACCAAACTTGAGAGTCCATCGTTAATTGTGACATTGATGATTAATAATCCAAGGCAAAGGAAACTTGATATTAAAAGTTGAGTGTGATTCCAACACGACCAACGAGCAGATATCATTTGGTAATTAAAATATTCACACACTCGAAAGAAAATTTAATCAATTGAACTGATTTTTAATGTTGATAGAATCAAGTGCAAATTGTAAATGATTAACTGAAAGACATTTGTAATCAAAAGTTACATCTTGAAACGTTCATAGTATCAACTCTTGTCAATACGTTTGAATAATCAAGCGATTAATTTAATTGTTAATTTTAATCTTTCCATAAATTTTCCCCTCATCTTTTAACACCATTCTAATCAGATATTAATAACATATTGAAGGGATAAAGTTAATCTGCTTGGATTAAGATGAAAGAGATCGTTCAATTAAAACCAATTATTTTTAGTTTCCTTGATGAGATTTCAACTTTTTGGTTCTTTCCATTTCTTTTCTTTAGATGAATTAAAATAATAATAAATAATCAATGAATCACTTTCCATCTAGTAATTGTTACTACTGTTGTGGTTTCCGTATTACATTGTATTGTATTTGTCATGGATCTGAGTAACTCGTTCATCTGTTTTATTAATAAAAGGCTTTCTCTTTGATTGTTCAATATCGAGGAAATAATTGCTTATCCTCCAATTTTTGTCTGAGCGAAGCGAAGACTTTACTTCAAGAAACCTAATTTTCTAGGGACGAGAACTAAAAAACGACAATTCAGATCACTTTGATTTCTTCAGAACGGTTTTGTATATAATATGAGCAGTGCTGTAAAGTTTTTGAGAGAGATTGGCCCGAAATTTAGGGAAAATTTTTGCTGTTAGATGGCGAAGCTTTTAAAAGTGTTGCCATCTAATATTACCGTTATTTCAGAAATTTAAAGAGAGAGAAAGAAGAAGAAGAAATTGAAAGAGAGAAGGAAAGAGAAATAAAGAAACTGAATGAGAGAGAGAGAGAAATAAAGAAGAAGAAGAAGAAGAAATTGAAAAATTAATTATTAATATTTTAATTTATTAATTTAACATTTGACAGATATTCGTCCACTTACTCCATCTTTCGAGTTTTTCTCTAAGCTCCAACAAAAGAATTTTTATTTTTATTTATCAACGGTCCCAATTTCTAGTGATGGACGATCATCAAGTTTCGGATCGATCGAAAAGATCGATCAAAAAATTGAAAAGATCGATCGATCTTCGATCAAATTTCTCTGCTGATTATCATCCATTTTTGAAACGATCAAAATTTCGCGCCACCAAATGCGAAAGAGAAATTATTGTTCTTACTTTTTCTCTTTCTTTTTTCTCTGTCTGCAATGATCGATCTTTCAACAAAAGTGATCGATCAATTTTTTCTCAAAAAAGATCGATCGTGATCGAGTCATTTACTCGGATCGGTCCATCACTACCAATTTCTGTTAAAATTGTTGTTTTGTTCCCTTTTCCTATAAAGTTTTGTTTTGTTTAATCAACCCGACTGAATTAATTTCTCCTTTTTATATATTTTTTTGTGAAAATGTCTCAAGTTGTGGAATTTTATTCCGAAGAAAAAAGATTGAAATCTTTCTTTGAGAAGTCATGGCCTTTGGCTAGTTTGAAGCCACAACAATTGGCCAAATGTGGTTTTTTTTATTTGGGTGATGGAGATCGCGTTCAGTGTCCATTTTGTGGGATCGTCATCTTCAATTGGCAATCTGGAGATTTACCAATTTTTGAACATAAAATTCATTCTGGTAAATGCCCATTCATTAATGGTCGTGATGTTGGCAACATTTTTATCGATGAAGATCCAAGGGAAATTTATAATTTGTGTGAGAGTGAAGATGTATGTGGATTCACTCACATCTCTCCACCTGATCAAAAAGAAGAAAAAATTATTCAACCTGTGATTGATCCTGTGGATGTGAAGGGTATCCCTTTCAAACCTCCTCAATCAATGGAATTCATAACTTATGATTCCAGGCTGGCAACATTTAAAGATTGGCCCATTTCGAAAGTCATTTCTCCTGCACGGTTGGCCGAAAGTGGATTTTTTTACAAAGGCCCAGGTAAATACAAACTTTATTATTTTTTTTTATTTTATCTTATTAATAATTTTTTCTTTTTTAGTTGTTGACTCTCGTAATCAGCATTACACGGACTTTGTTTCCTGTTATCATTGTGGGATCGCATTGTGTCAATGGGTTGAAGGAGATGACCCATGGACTGAACACAAAAAATTCAATCCTGATTGCTTTTTTGTGAATCTAGCGAGCCGTCAAGGTTTCGCCACAGAAACATCACTCTCACAACCACCGTCTTCAGAACCACAGCCACAAGATGAATCAACACAATCATCATCATCATCAGAACCAAAACCAGAATCAAAACCAGAACCAAAACCAGAATCGAAACCAGAACCAAAACCAGAACTAAAACCAGAATCAAAACCTGAATCAAAACCAGATCCAGAAGTAGAACCAGAGCCACAGGATAAAACAAAACAATCAGAATCAGAATCAGAGCCAGAGCCAGAACTAGAAAACAAAACAATATCTTCAACTACAGCTACATCTCAACCCAAACCATTCATCCCATTTACGTGGTTACCAAAATCTGAATTAATAGATTTGACCTGTAAAGTGTGTTTGGATTTGCAAGTGGGTGCGACATTTTACCCATGTCTGCACGCATCTTGTGCAGTATGTACTTCATCAATAGCGATTTGTCCAATTTGCAGAGCTAAAATTGAAAGCGTTGGCAAATTGGACACAGAATTGTCTAAAAAAAAAATTTCTTTTTATGTATAAAAACTGTACCCAATTGATTTTATGTTTATTTGTTTTCTAGAATGGAAATAAAAAATCTGAAAAAAAAACCAAATCATTTGGATGAAAGCTAAGGCTCAAATCCTGAAATTTACATTTCCAAAAATGTCAACTTCCGTTATGGAGAAAAAGGAAAAGGAAAAAAAGAAAGAGAACAAATTTGTTCCTTTGAAAAGATCAACAAGAGATTCGTTTCCATTTTGAAGAGAAACTTGTTTTTCTCTTTCTCTTTCTCTCTCTTCTTGTTCTCTTTCTTTTTGTGTTTACTTTTCACTCTCAACAATCTCCCAACATCATCTTGATAAATTCTCTCCCATAATTGAGATAAAACTTGAATTCTCATATAAAAGCATCCGAATGAATCATGTCTGATAATCAACCGAAAAGACCACCGAGAATGTCAAGAACAATGAGTAAAGAATCATCGGTAAGTTTTCATTTTTCTTTTCTTTTTTCTTTTTTCTTTTTGCTTTTCTCATTTTGTCTTGTTTTCTATTCTTTTTTATTTACTCCTCTCTCACTCTCTTTCCACCCTTAGACAGGCCTTTTAATGTCCGTAATCAGATCGTTGACTGCGAGTCGAGATGTTGATGAAAGGGACCGAGAAAAGGCCAATCTTGAAAGAGACTTTGGCGAAAGTGATGGTCGCCTTGATCAGCTGATTGTTACTCACCATTCGGATCTTACAGCGGTCATGAATGCCTTTAGTAAGGTGTCGACAGAACTGAAGAGTTCCAAGGAAAATTGCAAGAACATGAAGGAAAACCTGATTACATGTAAAGATCTGTTGAGGTGCAAAAAGGACGAGTTGCGGAAATTGTGGAAAGAATCAGTGGAGAACCGCCATGTGCTCGAGCTACTCAGTCAAGTAGAAAATGTGACTCGAGTGCCGGAAGAAGTAAACGACCTTGTGGACAAGAAAAAGTACCTGCAAGCGACTCAACTCCTAGTTAATTCGGTCTCTTCCTTGGAGTCCAATTTGCAACATGTCGAGGCCTTGAAAGAAGTGAAAGCCGATCTGCTGTGTAGAAAAGACCAAATGTACAACATGTTGTTGGACGAAATTCACCGGCACATTTACGCGAGGTCGACGGCCCATTTGGTGAAAAAGTTCAAGAGAACGGCCTCTGAGAGACGAAAGGATGGACCAACCGGTCCGTCACGAAAAGTGTCGATTGCCGATATTCTCTCGCCGACTCTTTACTTGAGCTCTTTGTCTGTTCGCCGTAAGTTGGTGGTCATCATTTCACTTTCTCTCCTTCTTTTCTTTTTTCAGTCAATAATTTCTCATCTCATCTCTTCTCTCTTCCGTTCTTAGATCAAAGTCCTAATTTGAGTTCGCAAACAGACGTGGCCGAGGAAACGACGAAACTAGAGACCAATGAGAGTCAGTTGGACATCGAAAATGATAGTAAACAATTCATTGGTTTACTAGTTGATTGTTTGTGTTTATTGAGGAAAATTCCAGAGGCAGTCGAAGTGATCAAAGATCGGATGGAAAAGGAGCTCGTCAATTTGGTGAAACGCACTGCTAGGGAATTGATTGCTACTGTTAACCAGAGCAACAATTGCCATTCCAGTGGAAACAACTCAACTCTGATCAATGGACCGACTACTGTTTGTTTGAGGTGCTCGTTGGTGCTAAAGGATGAGGGACATCGATGCTATTTGCTGCAGGAATTGTTCGAACTGTTGTTCCAACAATTTCGAGTGGTGGTCTCGTTGCATGAGACCATTTTACTAGTGTGTCTCAAAGCGAGTTTGGCCCAGTGCGAAGGCTCAGTTGGCGAAAGAATCGTCTTCTACAATTCGTCCGATATTTGGAACAAAATCCAATCAGTGTTGCAAATGGTCGCTGATCTCTATCTGGACATCAGTGGGGCGAATGCAATGGAAAAAAGCATCGCCGCTGCTTCTCAGGACAGTAAAATGTTGGCCCATTCGACCACCTCACTAGCCGATCTGAACAGCTACTTTGTTCGCAAACGACCTGCCCTAAGTGTCTCTGTTGGGAGCAGTTTCCACAAGATGAAGAAAACTCCCCTCTTCAAATTTGACTCTTCCTCGCATGCGATGAGTCTGAACGCCTATTTGCAAGAGCAAAAGGAAGCCATGAAAGAGAAGGCGGAAAGAAGCGGTGGGAATGCCATGGACTCGATCGACTTGTCTCTCAGTGACACGGAACAATATCTGGTCTGTGAACCGGCGGCAGAAAACATCGTCGTGTTTTTCAATCCACTCATGAGGTTCATTTGGGACATTGACGACCAACTCAATCTGGAAGAGGGAAACCATTGTCCACTTTATTCCTACCTGATCAGTTGTGTGAAACTTTTCTTCAATCAAATCAAGATCGATCTGGACCGGATACTGGACACGGCCAACAAAAGTCTGGATGCTTGGAGAATCGTCTCAGACCCCGACACGATGAACAAACTCAACCAAAGTCGACCCATTCTCCAAAGTGCTCTGGTCGTGGAGAAAGCAGCTCAAGACTTGAAGAATCTCATCTTTGCCCTTCCAATGTACGCCGATGAATTTCTGACCTTCATCTGCAACCTTTTGTCGAGTTTCAAAGAGTCTTGTTCATCGGCCTATCGGGGGATAGTCCAGCCCGAATCGGAGGACAAGCGAATCATCAGTGCGACTTGGGCCAAGGACGAGGATATCAGTAGATTCTTGAAAGATTTACCCAATTGGCCGGTGCTCAGAAACCATATCGAGAAGTGCGAGGTCGCAATTTAGGGTCGATTGGATCATCGATGACTTTTGACGAGTCTCCCGAAGTGATTAGACTGCGAAACAAGAAGGAATCGGAAATTCTGGCCAGCAATTTGACCCAAGACACATTAATACCTAATCACGAAATTCTGTCCGATGTCAGTCAACTCAAGTCGTTGGGACAATTACAGGAGAGCCTCGAATGGCTTGCAAGTCACATATTCGCTTTGGCAACAAGTCTCTCCAAGTCTCAAGCTCAGAGTGACACTCATGGGAGTCTATTGAATCCATCGACTAATCAATCTAATCAATCTAATCAACAAATGAATCAACAAAAAAGTCAAATTGATGTGATCAATTTAGCTGATGTTTCCATTGCTGCTCTTAATCAGTTGGGACGAGAGTTCGAGGAGCTTTCGGAAACTTGTCTATTGGTGTTGCATCTCGAGGTGAGAGTTCACTGTTTCTATTACCTGTTACGTGTGACCAAAGGCAACTTTGCCCCTGGAATCGATGCCCAAGAGCCCGATGTCGAGGTGGTCCAGTTGAACAAAGATCTGTCCAGTGTGGATGAAGCTCTAAGTTTATCATTGCAACAATGGAAATTGAAATATGTCTTCGAAGGGGTTTCCCATTTGGTGGCGACAATTTTAATCAACAGCGCGTCTTCAATTGATCGCATCAATCACAATGGAGTCAAGAAAATCTGTCGCAACATTTTCGCAATCCAACAAAATCTGACGAGCATCACCATGAGTCGAGAAGTTGCTCTTGACACAGCGAGACAATATTTTGAGCTTTTCTATTCTTCCCCGGAAGAGATTCTGGCCTTGATCGAGGAACGGGGGCCGCAATTCAATGGCCAAGAGTATTATAATGCGATGGAACTTCTTCATCGAAGTAGCCCAGGTCGAGATGCGAATAAATTGAAGGCCAACAAACATCGATTGGAAGAAATTCTCAATGAAGCCGCTGTTTCGGTCTAATTGTGACAATTACTTTTTTTCTTTTCTTTTCTATTCTATTGATATTTACTTATTCAACAGTTAACTAGTCAAATCTTTCTTGTTATTTAACTACAAAACAATCAATAGTTTTATTTGTATAAATTAAACTTGTTGATCACTAATTGTATTTTTCTATCAAACATTTAAAACTCCATTTTATTAAATTATCTTTCCAACAATTAATACATTCCACCGTTATTTCAGTGTTAATCATTATGTTAGGTTTAATTACAGAAATGAAAAATTGAAAATTGAATTGTATTAAATAACCATGATCATAATGATAATCGTAATTTTAATCAAAAAGCAAATTTTTACAAATAATGAGGTTAACCACTTGTCTCATTGTTAAGATAATAAATTAAATGAATTGAATTTTCACTATTTGCGTTTCTTGATTATTTTTCTGTTTTACAGTTTACATCACTGATTTTGTATTAAAAATCCTAAATGGTTGAAGTGAATTTTTTTTGCGGTGCATAAAACTCTTTATTTTATATTATGAGTGTCGATTCACCATTGGAACCGACTCTTGTTAGGTTGAAGTGAATTTGTATTGATTGGAAAACACTGATTAATCTTGGAATAAGAAATCTTCGAAAAGAATGATGGGTACCTGGTTAGGTTAGGTTAGGTTAGGTCGTTTGCAGAATCTGCATATTCATTACCAGCGCATCCCAGTTGATGGGGATATTAATATCACGCCAAAATCATCCGATTAGAACCACCGCTTGGGCTTAGATTAGGTTAGGTTAGGTTAGACCCGTTGAAATTTCCATAGAGTTGCAGTATCAATGTGACGCCAAAAGAACCCAATTAAAACCGACGCTTGGGAAGCGTTGAGAGAATGACCCGCTGGCATTTCCATGCTTTCACAATGTTGAATTAAATGATCACAAAAAAAATTATGTACTTTGATTCGAGACCAAGGAACTGATTGAGTAGAAACACGTTGATTAGATGAAATTAAATTCATCATGAAAAATTACAACCGTTGCGTTAGAAACGTAAACAGCAACTGACAAATTTTTTTAAATTTAAAGTAACTGATTTTGTTGAAGCGCGCGACCAACGTTGCTTTGTGATATTATAATCTTTTGACTTCATGACTATGTTTGCAAAAATTTCTAGTTATCAAAAAAACCTTCAAATGACCTTCAAGTGCGTTCTATCATGAATAACCTTTATGACATTGACCTTGAAATATGACATTTGAATATCGGTCAAATTTCCATAGACGAAATATGGACCCTATTGGTCAAGTAGTTTTTGATTAATCGTCAAAAGAAACCAACAAAGTGACTTAATTGCCCTGTACACTGAGTCACAAAATGACAAATAAAGACAAATTTTTAATACATTAATTGTAAGTTGATCAATTTAATCAAGAATTTTAGTCATAAGTAGATAAGGTTATTTCCCGACCTCGTGATTTTATCAAGTGTAATAATTACTAATAATATTAAAAATCGTCTCAAATTACGGAAAGAAATTAAGTCTTGACAATTCAGACAACTTTCTTTGCATTTATTTCAGTCGCTAGATGGAGTATAAAGTATAACGAATCTTTTACTTTCATTTTGACTAGACAAGAATAATATTGAAATTTATGTAAAATTACTAACTCACATTAGAGTGACCTTGGGGGAGGCGAGAAGATCAAACGATATATGTCCGTAATCCAAAAGATGACCTTTAGCTCACTCAAAGTTTGTTTTTCCCCACCCTACACCCAATCACCCTCTCCCTAAGTACGATATTCGCCACCGGACACTATGAATTTTAATTTATCGAAGCCTCCCCTGAGGTCGCTGTATAATTTTGAATCTGAACATGTGATTGAATGAAAACATGATTTTCTAGATGAAAATGATTCTTTTATCTGTCAAAAGGTTTGTATCTTTTAGTTTTTATAACTATCGTTGTCTTTTTAGTTCCTCTGGTCACTGGCCGATCACCTGTTCTTTTGATCATAAATGTACATTGAATTATTTCAAAGAAATTGAGAATCACTGGAAACCCATTTTGGACAGAAAATGGAAAATTTATTCTCAAAGTGTCGATCAAACTTCACCTAATCATAAATATGTTCTGGCCATGTTTCCATATCCCAGTGGATCTTTGCATCTTGGTCAGTTCATTGTGACTTTTATCAGAGTTTTGTATCTTTTAGTTTGGTCAAAATATAATCTCAGGATTTGTTTTCTCTCGTCCAGGTCATGTACGAATCTACACCACAAGTGAAGTTATGGCTCGATTTTTAAAGTTACGAGGTTTCTCAGTGACGAATCCAATGGGTTGGGATTCTTTTGGACTACCTGCTGAAAATGCCGCTCTTGAAAGGTCCTTCAGTCCAGCGACCTGGACTTATCAAAACATCTCTAACATGGAAGGTCAAATCAAAAGTCTTGGTCTATTTGTGAACTGGAGGGAAGCGACGTCCGATGCAAGTTTCTATCGATGGACACAATGGTTGTTTCTTCAATTATTTAAATCTGGTTTATTATTCAAATCAATGAGTAGAGTTAATTGGGATCCTGTTGATAAAACTGTTCTAGCTGATGATCAAGTTGATGCCAATGGTTTATCATGGAGATCAGGAGCTAAAGTTGAAAAACGTTTTCTCCGACAATGGGCTGTAAAGATCAGCGCTTTTCATGAACAACTTTATGATACCAAAAATATCGACATGGACAATCCATCCTGGAAAGAGCTGATCGCCAATCAACAATTTTTTCTCGGTCAACCAGATAGTTTTATCTTTTATTTCCAAACAAATTCAGATATACTTCCAGTTTTATGTGATTACCCTGAGTACCTAAAATCCCATGAATCATACGTAGCAGTTAACGATGAACACTGGATTACTAAACAATCATCTCAGAAAATTATTAATCCACTAAATGGAAAAGAAATGAAAATCGTAATCCTGCCCGATGATAAGTTACCTCAAAGTGGTCGAGCAGAAATCATGAACCCAAATAATGTTATTTGTGAAGAAACAAGAAAACTAGTATTGGAAGAATGTAGTAAATTAAAGTTAGGTGGTTATCGAACCTCGAAACGAAGTCATGATTGGATAATATCTCGCCAACGATATTGGGGCACACCAATTCCAATTATTAACTGCCCGTCTTGCGGAACTGTTCCCGTTCCAGAATCTAACTTACCGATAGAATTGCCCCCTGTTAAAGATTTAAATCGACTTTACTGTTCGTCCAATAATGATGGTGACAAAGTTACGAGTCGATTAGAATCTGTTGCGCCAAACGATTGGTTGAATGTTTCATGTCCAAAATGTGGCAATCCAAGTGTTCGTGAAACAGATACGTGTGATACTTTCGTCGATTCTTCTTGGTATTATCTTCGATATGCAACCGATCCACAAGATAGTCAACCCTTCAACAAGGTTGCGAACACTAAGCCAGTTGACATTTACGTCGGCGGAGCGGAGCATTGCAGAGGCCATTTACTTTATGCTCGATACATTTATTACTTTCTCAAGAGTAAAGGATTTCTAGAAACTGATTCATCCGAACCATTTGATAATCTCCTCTTTTTGGGCTATGTTCTTGGTCGTACAATAAAATTGAACAATCGATTTGTAACCGAAGATGAATATCAACAATTAATCGACTCGGGTACCAACTCACCTGATGATTTCGAAATAACCTTTGAAAAGATGTCCAAGTCAAAAGGAAATGGTGTTAATCCAATGGAGCTGATTAACACTTATGGTGTTGATTTGACTCGAACCAGTTTACTTGGTTTTGGTTTACCTCGACGAGAACGTGAATGGCATGGAAGTAAAGTCGAATTTGAAGAAATTTTTGTTCTAATGAGACGTTTGTTTCTCACAGTTGAACAATTTATCTACATACGCGAGGTGATTAGTGAGAATCCAAAAGGCCCAGTGATTAGACGTTTCATGCTCACTCAAAATATCGAAGAGCAACAATTAAATAAAACAATTGATAAATTGAACCGCGAAAGGAAGAAAACAATTGAAAAAGTAACATCGGCGTTCGAGAATATTCATCCAGCGCTTGGTATCAATATGTTGAAAAATTTTCTATTCTTGTTAAGAAAAAGTGTCCTCAATTTAGAAACTTGTTCCAATATTGAATTCGAACGATGTTTGGGTGATACAATCATCATGTTCGGACCAGTGATACCTCATTTAGCTGAAGAGTGTTGGTCAGCCTTTTCTAAATATGCTCATCAAACTGGACATAAAAAATATTACGATTTCGACGAATTAGTTATGGAGCAAAAATGGCCAACAATTGATTAGTCTCTTGAAATAGAATAACAATTAGTCTTGATTGAAGTGATAATTTGTTTTTTACTTCAATTTTTGTAATTTAATTTATTGCAATCAAAAGTGATTTTTGTATAAAAGTGTCAATTAAAAAATAAGATGAAAATGAGTAAAGTACATGATAAGATTGATCAATGAATTTAATAATTATAAAATTTAATTTAATTCTAATTATGAAGTATTAACATCAGGTGAAGGTGTATTGAATTCATTATTATTATTATCTGGTTGGTTGGTCTCTGATAATGGCGATGATGAAGATGATGATGTTGTCGATGGTGAAGATAAAGATGAAGCTGAGTCCATATTGTTAATTACTTCTGAAGTTAATTTATTTGGATTATCGCCACCACTGATTTCTTCTGTTACTGTTGACACTGTGATTGTTGGAGAATCAAGAGAATCAGAATCAACAATTATGTCTGAATCCCCATTTTTATGTTCAGCTCTTAATTCCGAATCAGGGATCGGAAAACGAGTAGTTAAGTAATTATCTTCGAGCTCAATTGTAGTTGTTTCAGCTGGAGATTCACCATTAGGAACAATTGTTGTCACCGGTTCTGGTTGTTCACTATTAGTATTGGCAGAGTTAATTGATTCTTCTGATTTACTCTCGGTTGAATCAATTGGACTATCAGGGACATTCGGAGCCTTTGGGTCCATCGATACATTAATTTCTTTCTCTTCATTATTAGTTGATTTATCTTCAGATACGGTTTCAGGTTTAACAACTATTGTGGTCACTTCATTTTCTGTCTCTGGTGATTTTGGTGAATCTTGATCAGGTTCTGAAGGTGAAGATGATTCAAGTGGATTATCATTAACCATCGATGCAGTTTCTTCAATATTCGGGTTTTCGGAAGAGGAAATGGGAGTTTCACTCGATGTATCACCAAGGGGCAATTCAGAAGAGACAATCGGCTCATCGGCAGGTTTAATCGGCGCAATTGAAGATGGCTCATTATTTGATAATGTCGTTGCCTCGACCGACGATGAAGTTGATGAAGGTAATATTTGGAAAGTGGATTCACTAGAACCTGATTGATCAATTGATTTCTCGGTTGTTAAAAGTATTGGAGTAACTGAGGCCTCTGAATTATCATCAGCCTTTGATTCAGTAACTGATGAAAGTGTGATTGGTGAGCTCGTTACATCAATTTCCTTCATATCTGGTATAATTGGATTAATCGGTAAAGTGGATGCTTCATTCAAAACTTTAATTGTTGTGACGGCATCTTTGATCATCGGTGTTGTTGTAACTGTTGATGGTGAAGATGCTTCCAAATTGATACTAGATGTTGAGGGTTTATCTGCTTCTGAAGTGGATATTTTAACAGGTTCGTCCTTCGCTAAAGTTGAGTAACTGTTATTGAAAGAAAAAGTGATCAAATGATTAAAATTAAAATAACGATCAAAGATTCTTATAAATCGCACAATGAACACTTAAAAACAATATACATAATAATAGACAGATCTAGAGAGTCATAATCAAGATTATGAAAATCTAATTTTGTAATTTTAATACAAGTATCAACAATAGATTAATTAAAAATCAATCAAAGTTTTAAGCATTAATTAGTCAACTCAATGAAAGTGTAATTAATTCTTTGATTTAATTGTACCTTAATTGTAGCTAAGTTTAGATGAGCTATACAATGTTTCGTTTACTTTCAAGATAACCCAGAAAAACCTTGACCAGTAGGAAGAGGGTCAAGATAAACAATCAACAAGAAAACACAATTAATTAATTTAATTGACGTTGAAAAATCATCTCGGAAATGAAAAAACTTTGGTAACTTCTCATAATAATATTGCAAAAATTTTGTATAATCATCTGTTCATTTTTTTTTGTATCAGGAAGTCACATCAATAATTATGACTGACAATTTAAAGATAAATTAGTAAAGTAAGAGTTAATAATTAAGGTTCAATAATTGAATTAAATCTTGTGTTTTTATTCAAATGATTTATTTCCGGTCTGATAATGAATTTTACAAGCTTCTAAGATGCAAATTAATTGTGATTAGTGTCCTAATGGCTTTCATATAATAACCTAGCCCCATGGGCCCTAAAGCTTTAATCGTTTTCAAATAATGAATAAATAATGAATAATAATCAACATGAAGTTGCTTGAGGGTAAATCATGAAGATAAAAGTTGATAACAATCAACAGGGAAGATAACAACTTTATCACATCAATAACAATCAAGAACTATGATAACTATCACTGAATATTTTCACTATCAACAGCAACACTATGGGAAAGATTGATGATTAACACAAAAGAAGGAAAAATCAATTTGATAATAACTTAATTTAGATTGATGGTAATGATGACAATATTTGTGAGCCTTGATTGTGAATGATAATGATTAAGAAAACATGATTCAATAATTATTAGGGAAAACAACTACTTGGTACCAAATGTTTAGTTCCGTTGCATTAGGTTAACCCTTTTCAATTTTGTTTCAAAAATAAATTCATTTGAATGTTAATCATCATGATCATCATTATCTCCATCAGAATCATCATTAAGAATGGACATTATCATTATTATAAACTGATTATCATTGTAGATTATAATTATTTCAATGTCAATTATGTACCAGATACAGTGAACCGGTGAACCTTGAAGCATTAACATTACAAACGAAACAATCAAATTTAATTGTTCCCGAGGATCTCTCGCAATTAAACAAAATAAAGATGAAGATGATTACTATATTATGAGTGTTTCTAAATCATTTCTAAATCATTTACCATCTGTCATCATGATCAGGAAGTGGATACATTGTACTAGGTTAATTTGCATAAAGTTAAGACATCAATGATTAATTGTTATTATTGTTTTGTTTTTCATCATTGTAATTAAATGATAAAAGACATGCTTTCTCTAGTGGAAAAGTTTAACAATCAAAGTAATATTATTATTACATTGAGAACAATGATTAAGATGAGCAATTAATTTACTTTTAATCTATGGGAATTAAATTTTATCTTTCAAATAATAAAACTTTCGGGAAGCATTGAGAAAAGTTCAAAAGACTTGAACAATTAAAACGATTCTAACAATGTATAACTAAAGTAACAAATATTATTATCATTTAACAATCAGGTGATATTGTTATTAAAAAATAATCAACTGGTCAGATGATTGTATCAATTGTATTGTATGAATATACAAAAAAAAACACAAACAATCAATTGAAAATTGTTGTCATTGGTTAACTAGAAAGTAAGAAACTGAATAAACAATTAAAAGTATCTTTAGAAAGGTAAACTTGCCAATGAAATTAACTGATTGTTTTGAAATAATGTCATGTATGAAATTGCGAATAGTAATAACGATAAAAGGAATTACGTTAATTTAAATCATCTGTTGCCAGTTTTTGCTAAAAAAAATCTCCAGCAAATGATATTAAGGTAAGATAAGAGGAAAAGATTTCTAATTACCAATGATTAACATGATGGGTAATAAAAAGAAGCAAAAAATTGAGATTCCAGTCTCAATCTCTCTGATTGTGTGAGTGTCTAGTGATCAAAATTGAATACACATTCTGAGAAAGTGAAAACCTGACCCTAAGAAATGTTAATATACGTTCCTTGACCTTCTCTGGATCTCAAGATTGATTGATAATTTATCTGAATCTTACTTGATCACTAATCTTTTTTATTCTTTCACTTTTTCCTTATTAGTATTTATAAGGAATAAGTTAGCTGCTTAATAAAAGCTCAAAAGTTGGATGAACTGAGAAGACAGAGAAGAGAGAGAGAGAGAGAGGAAGATAGATGAAGATTTGTTGATAGATAGAAAAGGGAAGAGGAAAAGTTAACAGAAGTCATCATTTCTTCCCAACAGTACTTTTGATAAAACCACTAATATTTATAATGATTGATAATCCGCACGTAGTGTGTATGTACTTACATGATAGTAGTTGACGGGGAGGGTGAAGATGATGTTGATGACGAAGATGCTGGACTATTATCTGGGCTGACAGATGTTTCCTCTTTCATTGAGGTGACCATTGATGTGGGAGTGATTGTCGTAGTTGTTGTAGTCATGGTTGTGATAAGTTTTGTTGTAGTAGGAGGAGGAGGAGGAGGTTGTGTTGATGATGGAGGTGGAGTAGCTGTAGAAGTTGTTGTAATTGGTGTGATCGGTGGAGAGGTCGTAGGTGAAGCCGATGTTGTTGACATGGTTGTGATCCTCGTAATTGATGGTCTCTTGGAAGTTGTTGTCCAGAAAGGTGTCTCAGGTTGACAATGGTCGTACCTGGGACAACATTCATTTGGTACATATTCGGGTTCACAATCAAATCTAAACTTACAATCAGCGAGGGCACAAGTTATCGAGCTTCCTTGACAGTAACACGAGTAACAAGGACTTTCAGCATTGGGTATATGATCACCATCGTTGAAAAATTTTCCATTGTGTTCACATCCTTGAGAAAAAAAAAACAATTGAAGAAAAAATTAAAAAATCCGAAAAGAAATTTAAAGGAATTAAACTAATTAAACAAAGAAAACAATCAATCAATCAATTTGAAACATAAAAACAATACAATTAACTTTATACACAATTTACAGTTAATTTAAATATAATTATTATTCATTGATGCAGGAAAGTTAGAGATGGAAAGATAATTAAAGTCTAACAACAATAGAGTTAACAATTAACTCCAAAAATTAGAGGGAAAATGTTAAATGTTGGGCAATACAATTAAAAATAGAAAGTCGATTGGAAAGCGAAAATGATTAGATAACAATAACTCACCGCATTGATATTCTGGACAACATTCACCTTCCCGGCGAATCGCCTTACATCCTGGTTTCACTTTGCACTCTCTTAGCACACATGAGAAACCCGGAGGTCTACATTTACACGATTCACAGGGATCATCCGTTGGAATGGGATCACCGTCATGATAGATTATACTGTCAACAATACATGCTATCGAAATTAGAGATAATAGAGAAAATAGTAAAATAAAAGAGGAAAAATGAAACAAAGAAAAAAATATCAATTGTGAGAATTATATTTAACATCAGGTTAACATGAATAAGTCAACATTTAATTTCTAAATAGAAAAAAGTTGAATAACAAACTATTACATTTCTATTGAAATTATTTTGGATAAAAATTAGAATAGGAAGCTAATTAATTTAGAAAATAAAAGTTGGGAATATAAAATATTCGGTTAAATAATTTTTCTTTTACCTGTTTCATTTGCTATGTAAGAAAAGGCTCTTCTATCTCGAAATAAAGAAATCGGTGTTGAATTGGAGGGCTGGAGAATCATCCCAATCACAACAAGAAGCACAATTAACATCTTTCAAAAGTTGGTTGTTGATTTAAAGTTGATTAAAAAGACAAAATTATCGAAGAAAAAACAAAAAGAAATATCAAAAGTAAAAATACTAGACAAAATTCATAAAAATTGAATAACAAGGTAAATATAATCGTTTGAGGGAATCAAATTGTCCAATATACTTAATTGTAGAACTAACAATTTAAAAGAAGAAATCAAACTATCAATAGAATGATGAAGAAGAATAATAATAAAAAAGTTGTCAGAACAGCAACTAGATTCCAACAAATACTGAACAGATAATGAGAGAAACTTTTTGTTCACTGACAAGGTAAACAAAAAGTGACGGCAGTGGGAGAGGGAGAGGAGAGGAGAGGGTTTCCTTTTCTGATGAGTCTCAGGTGATGCACTGCAATAGGTGGAAAGCGAGATAAAACTGACAGGTAATGTTGAGATCAAATGTAATCTTTTCTCAAGCAAGAAAAAGTTCAAATGAGAGAGACCTTCTTGTGATCATTAATCTCATTCATAGTTAGAGCTCAAGGTTTTAGATTCAACCTGTTTGTTTATTGTTTCCATGTTTACAATTAAAGGTAATTCTTTAAGCGCTTTTTTTGATTCCAATTTTCATTTTAATTTTAATTGAAGAAAACTAATCAGATGGATTAGAGATTAATTATCTTCTCAATATGGATTAAATTCCGATTTTACAAAGATTTTAATCTTTAACGTTTTCCTTTTTCCATGAAATTTAATATTCGAAGGAATTTTCATTTTTTTTTTTCCATTAGAAGTGATTTTTCTTTTCTCCGCTTGAGGCTCTGTTGTTTCTCTGTTGGAACCGATTTGTTTTGATTTTTTCTCTATTAACATTTTCTGTTCAAAAAATTAATTGTATTATTTTTTTGTCGTAATTAATTAATTATTGTTAACTATTCTTCTTGCTTTTGATTTTGTTAATTACATTAATGGTTTATCCTGTCTGTTAATTAATATATTCCTGTGGCTAGAATCTTGTGTAATATATTTTACATTTTCATTCTCTTGATTGCTTTTCTTTTGTTTGATATTTTCTTTTTTTTAAGTGTTTTCATTTTCTTTTATCAGATCTGATTGTGATATCACGATTTGGTTTGATCTATTTTGAGCTTTTCATTTTTTTTTGTTAAATTTAAGCTTTTTTGTTTCTTATTGCTTTCTATCCAAACTATTTTTTCTCTATTGTTTCTATTACCATGATTCAGACACCGACAATCAATGCTTCTTGTCAACCTGTGATAATGCAGCAAGACATGACAACCATAATGTTGCCTGGCACTTCAACCAACGCTGTTTACTATGGGAACATGGATTATACTAACAATTTGACCGCCAACAACAATGTAAACCATTATAACGAGGTAAGTTTATTCATGAGTCACTAGTTGCTGATTCTCCATTTACTTTGATTATTTTTACAATCAAATGTGGTAGATAGTTTTATATCTGCTAAATTTCATTTGTTCAAATCTTTATTTTATTCACAGGCTCAAGGCTCTGAAGAATCCAATGATATCGTGAGTCAAGGTGCATCACAACAATCTAAAAAAGGTTCAAAAGCTAGTAATGTTTTACCTTTCTGGGGAAATGAGAGGACTATGAATCTAAATACTTTACTTTTAACCAATATTAAAAACAGTCCCTACTTCAAGGTCAATCTGTACTCTTTGAAAACTTACCATGAAGTTATCGATGAAATCTGGAATCAAGTAAAGCATATGGAGCCATGGGAAAAAGGATCTCGACGGGTAAGATTTATATTGTCCATTATTCGTTCAATCAATTTTAACTGTTCTTTTTCTTTCTTTTTTGCTTTTGCTTTTTCTTCAGGTGAGTGGCCAAACTGGAATGTGTGGATCCGTTCGTGGAGTCGGGGCTGGCGGTATTGTTTCTACTCCCTTTTGTATTCTTTATAAATTGTATACCCTTCGTTTAACTAGAAAACAATTGATGGGCCTTATAAAGCATAAGGACTCGCCTTTCATTCGAGCACTTGGATTCATGTACATACGATATACTCAACCACCTTCATCTTTTTGGGAATGGTTATCTCCTTATCTTGACGATAGCGAAGAGTTTGATGCCAAAGCTGGTGGTGGACAAAAAATGACAATCGGGCAAATGTGTAGGCATCTTTTGGTTAAACTTGAGTGGTTTTCAACTTTATTTCCAAGAATTCCTGTTCCAATACAAAAAGAAATTGAGACCAAACTTAACGAATACGACAATGGTAATTGGGGTGATGGAGGAAACAATTACGAGGATAACGAAACATATGAAGGAGGAGGAGAAGAAATGGTTGAAGAAGGACCAAAATATTACGACAATGATAATAGCAAGCCAGCTCGATCTTACGAAGAAGATGATGATTACAATAGTCGTGATAGGAAAATCAAATATAAATCCGAAAGGAAAATGAATCATCGTTACAGAAGCCGCTCTCGAAGTAGAGAAGACTCTTCCAGGAAAAGTTTCGATGAAACCAGAGGTAGATCTCGTGCCTATCAAAGAGATTCTCCTAGTGATAGAGTTAAAGAAAGATCATATGACAGAGTGAGAGATAGATCATTAGATAAATACCGACTTAAATCTCCAAAAAGATCACCTGATAGATCTCAAGTTCGATCGAGAGATCGTTCTAGAGATCGATCTTTTGATCGATCAAGAGACCGATCAAATGATAGACGAAAACGTCATCGTTCCCATCGATCTCCTAACGATAAGAAAAGGTCTCGTGAACATAAACATAAAAGGCGACATTAAATATTTTTGTAATCTCAAATCCAATTGTAATTTAACGCCAATCACTTCATAGTATCTCATCAGATTGCTTAAATGTACAAAATCATTACTCACGGAATGAAATAAACACCAATTACAATTTGAATCACTTTTACAATTTTATTATATCCATGATAATAGATATTAGTTAATCAAAAACGTTATCATGTTCTTATAAACCAAGAATCAAGGTCATCGCCGTGTTGCAATTTTATCCATATTAAAGCCTAACAATTTGATTACATTTGCTTAGACTAAATGTTCTTTTAATGATCATGAACTGGTCAAACTTTCATTGATTATTGATCACTTTTTGTCCTCCTTTTTGGCCAATGGTTGGCCCTTTTCTTTTCCACGAAGTTTCATTCCCAAGTTTCTCTCCAATTTAGCGAGAACTTGCTGATTTGGAATGGCTTTGCCGCTTTCATATTCATTGACAACTTGCACTTTCTCACAGATTTTAGTTGCAAGATCTTTTTGAGTCCATCCTTTTTCTTGACGACCTTTTTGGATCAATTTTCCAACATCAATGCCAACCGTATTATGGTGAAGATTTTCAGTCTCTCGGTCCAGTTTAGCAGTATTCAAGGTTGTTCCGTGCTGTTTATTAGTAGCAGCATTGAATTTCTTTGAAGTCTCAATAGGTATTCCTTGTTTCTGAGCAGCATTTATGGCCTTACTTGTTTTCATAGACACTGGTTTAACTGGACGCTTTCGAAGAACAGTAACTGTATCCCAATCAGAAGACATTATCGATACTCAAGATAATACAAATTAGCCTGCAGAAAATAAAGAAGAAATCTTGTAAAGATAATTTGATACAACAAAGAAAAAATAGAAGAGCAAATTAAACAAGTACAGTAGTTACAGAAATATCTAGAAAATCCGAAAACAAAGAATCCAAAACGAAGGCAGTTAAAAACTCACAAAGGTTTAAGGAAAGAAGTTAGTTGATTTACTTACAAGAAAATGAAAAAAGACGATTGATAATAAAGGCAAATGAAATCGTTACAAACAATTAATTCTTTGATTCAGATTGAGTTCAACAAATGAGGATCAATGAGATTGCAATTAAAGAAAAGAAAACAAACAAACAAAAAACTCGAACAAAAGAAACACCAGATGGCAGGACAATCGATTCGCTTTTTACGAGAAAATGATCGATGAGAACCGATCAATTGGAATTATGTCTTCTATTTCGTAACGAATTAAATGATTCGAGTTATGAAAGACGTTTATGACCTTGAGCTCTCTACAGTTTTAGTCGTTCTTCAACAACTAAATCCATTATTATGAAAGTAGAAAAGCTCGATGGCGAAATTGATCTTCGGACTTTAGATCAGAATTTCACTTCAACACTTAACCTTCTCATCGGAAGTGAGTGTTGATGTCGATGTTTTTTCAATAAACTTTATATTCGCCTAAAAAATCAAGCTAATTAGCTTCATAATTGAATTTCGATCAGTTTTAATGGATTTTATTTCTGTATGAAGAATAAGATAACATCTGATCAACGAGCTTTTCGGGTTTTCTCCCTTGGTGACGCTCTTTAAAGTTTCAGAATAAAAAGAATCATTTTAATGTTTATTTCTATTGGTTTCCGTTGAATTAAATTTCTCAAAATCAGTGAGCGAGTTAATTGCTTAACATTTTCTTCAAAGTTATTTTTTAATCAACCGACATTTACCATTATCGAAATAAACCAATTCTAAAGAAATTAAATTCTAAACCTGAAGGCCTCAAATCTGAGTTTTTGTATTCGTATCCGGATTTCGTTGAACATCAATTGGTTCTTGGTGTGATTAACCTGTTCAATTAATAAAAGAATTAATTAATTTAAATTTATATCAATTAACGACGCGACTGTGACTCTAAGTAATTGACTTTTCTTCTCAATTCAACTGCTCTCTTTGAATATTTTACTTTCTGTCAAGAGATGACTCTCAGCACAAGGAATAAGAAAACAGTTTAATTTGTTAATTTCTATCTTAAGCCATCAAATCATTTAACTAAATTGCTCATCCCAATAAGACTGTGATTCTCTCAAATTGTAATCAATTTCTCATCCCAAATCAAAGTTCACTTGTTACACTGATCGCTTTTCATTATCTGACTTATTCTCTTGTCACAATCTCATCTGTTTACCTATTGTCAATTTGTCTGTTCACTTGTAAAGAGAAAATCTCTTGGTTCCAATTTTGGAAAATTTCATTTTCTTTATTTGTTTACTTGTTTCCATTTTCTCTTTGATACTATTTTTCTCTTTCCAAAAGTTACATACTCTTTCCAACGCTTCAAATTCTGCTCTTTGCCTAATCTCTTCCTTCTGATTGATTAGTATTTTCGCTTTTCTTCTTCATTTCTCTCTCTCTCTCTCTCACACACTTTATTTTTCCTCCTCTTTTTCCATTTAATCATTGGGATAAATGAGTGATTACGATGCTCAAAAAGACGAAATTCTCGCCATTAAGAGTATTTTTGAAAGTGATAACCTGTTTGTCCATGAAGATTGTCGAAGAGGTGTTTTCATCGCCAGTCCAGTTCTACCCGAACCTCCATTGATCATCACCTACTCATTGAAACGTAAAGATAATGGATCATTGGACAGTTTCTCTATTGATTATCTACCACCTTTTGAATTTCAATTTGAATTACCTGATTCTTATCCATCCAAAGATCCACCGAGATTCTTATTAAGCTGTGAATGGCTTTCAGGTCAAGATTTGCGAAAGGTTTGCGCTCGTTTGGATAAACTTTGGGATGAAACGCAAAGTGAAATTCTTTACCAATGGTTTGACTTTCTACTACACGATTTAATCAATTTTCTGGAGATCAGGTCACCATACAATATCACCACTAAAGTTCTTGCACCGATCGTGAATAATTACAGAGGCGGAGAAAAAAATGATCCCGATGGCTCAAAAACCTACTCACGCAACACCAATGGAACAACATCAACAGAAGACTCTAAACAAAAACCAATTAATGGTCACTCATCATCAAAATCCAACTCAAGTTTACATTTACCAGGAAAATGCCAGTGGCGTCGTTTACATAATTCACCAGGCACAAAATATTACGATCGACGTGGCAGATTTATTCGCTTGGGTCCAGGGTTAATTGAACGAATGAAACGCTATGACTCAACTAAAAGAAAAGAGCGTTTTGAGAATTCTAAAATCGAATGTGGAATATGTTTCTCATCGTTTTTTGGCATTGATACCGTTGCTTTCGGCTGTGATCATTACTATTGTGCAAATTGTATCAAAACATATCTGGAAACTTTAATCGCAAATGGTCAAGTTCACTCACTCGTTTGTCCATTTGATAAATGTAACAATACAGTTGACCCAGAGATGGTTAAAGTTCTGGTTGGACCAGACTTATATCAAAAATATGATTCTATTCTACTTTCATCAGCCATTGGTAATCTCGGTGGAATCATCTATTGTCCTCGTATTAATTGTCTTAAACCAATAATAACCGAACATGATCCGGATATTGAGAAATTGGTCCATTGTCCATATTGTGACTTCGCCTTTTGCACTTCCTGTAAGATGACCTACCATGGAGTTGATCCATGTAAATCTTTTGCTGATGAAGATGAGAAGATATTTATTCTTCGAGAATATGATGAGGCTGCACCTGAAAAGAAAAAGCTCATGGAAAAAGAATATGGAGAAAAGTTCCTATTCCAACAATTACTAGATTTTAAGAACAAGAATTGGCTAAAAGACAATAGTAAACAATGTCCCAGTTGCGCTTATTCAATCCAAAAGATCGACGGATGTAACAAAATTCATTGTTTCCGGTGTAATTGTAATTTCTGTTGGCTTTGTTTAGCTAAATTACGAAGTGATAATCCTTATCTTCATTTCCGTGATAAAAAATCTCCTTGTTTTGCTAAATTGTTTGAAGGTGTAATACAAGATGAGGATACCGATGACGATGACGACGAATGGGAAGAAATGAATGAAGATTTCTTATTCCAAGATTAATCAGTATTTTCCAATCAATACAAATTCACTTCAACCATTTAGGATTTTTAATACAAAATCAGTGATGTAAACTGTAAAACAGAAAACTAATCAAGAAACGCAAATAGTGAAAATTCAATTCATTTAATTTATTATCTTAACAATGAGACAAGTGGTTAACCTCATTATTTGTAAAAATTTGCTTTTGATTAAAATTACGATTATCATTATGATCATGGTTATTTAATACAATTCAATTTTCAATTTTTCATTTCTGTAATTAAACCTAACATAATGATTAACACTGAAATAACGGTGGAATGTATTAATTGTTGGAAAGATAATTTAATAAAATGGAGTTTTAAATGTTTGATAGAAAAATACAATTAGTGATCAACAAGTTTAATTTATACAAATAAAACTATTGATTGTTTTGTAGTTAAATAACAAGAAAGATTTGACTAGTTAACTGTTGAATAAGTATAAATAGAATAGAAAAGAAAAGAAAAAAAGTAATTGTCACAATTAGACAGAAACAGCGGCTTCATTGAGAATTTCTTCCAATCGATGTTTGTTGGCCTTCAATTTATTCGCATCTCGACCTGGGCTACTTCGATGAAGAAGTTCCATCGCATTGTAATACTCTTGGCCATTGAATTGTGGCCCCCGTTCCTCGATCAAGGCCAGAATCTCTTCCGGGGAAGAATAGAAAAGCTCAAAATATTGTCTCGCTGTGTCAAGAGCGACTTCTCGACTCATGGTGATGCTCGTCAGATTTTGTTGGATTGCGAAAATGTTGCGACAGATTTTCTTGACTCCATTGTGATTGATGCGATCAATTGAAGACGCGCTGTTGATTAAAATTGTCGCCACCAAATGGGAAACCCCTTCGAAGACATATTTCAATTTCCATTGTTGCAATGATAAACTTAGAGCTTCATCCACACTGGACAGATCTTTGTTCAACTGGACCACCTCGACATCGGGCTCTTGGGCATCGATTCCAGGGGCAAAGTTGCCTTTGGTCACACGTAACAGGTAATAGAAACAGTGAACTCTCACCTCGAGATGCAACACCAATAGACAAGCCGAAAGTTTCGAACTCTCGTCCCAACTGATTAAGAGCAGCAATGGAAACATCAGCTAAATTGATCACATCAATTTGACTTTTTGTTGATTCATTTGTTGATTAGATTGATTAGATTGATTAGTCGATGGATTCAATAGACTCATGAGTGTCACTCTGAGCTTGAGACTTGGAGAGACTTGTTGCCAAAGCGAATATGTGACTTGCAAGCCATTCGAGGCTCTCCTGTAATTGTCCCAACGACTTGAGTTGACTGACATCGGACAGAATTTCGTGATTAGGTATTAATGTGTCTTGGGTCAAATTGCTGGCCAGAATTTTGATTCCTTCTTGTTTCGCAGTCTAATCACTTCGAGACTCGTCAAAAGTCATCGATGATCCAATCGACCCTAAATTGCGACCTCGCACTTCTCGATATGGTTTCTGAGCACTCGGCCAATTGGGTAAATCTTTCAAGAATCTACTGATATCCTCGTCCTTGGCCCAAGTCGCACTGATGATTCGCTTGTCCTCCGATTCGGGCTGGACTATCCCCCGATAGGCCGATGAACAAGACTCTTTGAAACTCGACAAAAGGTTGCAGATGAAGGTCAGAAATTCATACATTGGAAGGGCAAAGATGAGATTCTTCAAGTCTTGAGCTGCTTTTCCACGACCAGAGCACTTTGGAGAATGGGTCGACTTTGGTTGAGTTTGTTCATCGTGTCGGGGTCTGAGACGATTCTCCAAGCATCCAGACTTTTGTTGGCCGTGTCCAGTATCCGGTCCAGATCAATCTTGATTTGATTGAAGAAAAGTTTCACACAACTGATCAGGTAGGAATAAAGTGGACAATGGTTTCCCTCTTCCAGATTGAGTTGGTCGTCAATGTCCCAAATGAATCTCATGAGTGGATTGAAAAACACGACGATGTTTTCTGCCGCCGGTTCACAGACCAGATATTGTTCCGTGTCACTGAGAGACAAGTCGATCGAGTCCATGGCATTCCCACCGCTTCTTTCCGCCTTCTCTTTCATGGCTTCCTTTTGCTCTTGCAAATAGGCGTTCAGACTCATCGCATGTGAGGAAGAGTCAAATTTGAAGAGGGGAGTTTTCTTCATCTTGTTGAAACTGCTCCCAACTGAGACACTTAGGGCAGGTCGTTTGCGAACAAAGTAGCTGTTCAGATCGGCTAGTGAGGCGGTCGAATGGGCCAACATTTTACTGTCCTGAGAAGCAGCGGCGATGCTTTTTTCCATTGCATTCGCCCCACTGATGTCCAGATAGAGATCAGCGACCATTTGCAACACTGATTGGATTTTGTTCCAAATATCGGACGAATTGTAGAAGACGATTCTTTCGCCAACCGAGCCTTCGCACTGGGCCAAACTCGCCTTGAGACACCCAAGTAAAATGGTCTCATGCAACGAGACCACCACTCGAAATTGTTGGAACAACAGTTCGAACAATTCCTGCAGCAAGTAGCATCGATGTCCCTCATCCTTTAGCACCAACGAGCACCTCAAACAAACAGTAGTCGGTCCATTGATCAGCGTTGAGTTGTTTCCACTGGAATGGCAATTGTTGCTCTGATTAACAGTAGCAATCAATTCCCGAGCAGTGCGTTTCACCAAATTGACGAGCTCCTTTTCCATCCGATCTTTGATCACTTCGACTGCCTCTGGAATTTTCCTCAATAAACACAAACAATCAACTAGTAAACCAATGAATTGTTTGCTATCATTTTCGATGTCCAACTGACTTTCACTAGTCTCTAGTTTCGTCGTGTCCTCGGCCACGTCTGTTTGCGAACTCAAATTAGGACTTTGATCTAAGAACGGAAGAGAGAGAAGAGAAGAGAAGAGAAATTATTGACTGAAAAAAGACAAGAAGGAGAGAAAGTGAAATGATGACCACCAACTTACGGCGAACAGACAAAGAGCTCAAGTAAAGAGTCGGCGAGAGAATATCGGCAATCGACACTTTTCGTGACGGACCGGTTGGTCCATCCTTTCGTCTCTCAGAGGCCGTTCTCTTGAACTTTTTCACCAAATGGGCCGTCGACCTCGCGTAAATGTGCCGGTGAATTTCGTCCAACAACAAGTTGTACATTTGGTCTTTTCTACACAGCAGATCGGCTTTCACTTCTTTCAAGGCCTCGACATGTTGCAAATTGGACTCCAAGGAAGAGACCGAATTAACTAGGAGTTGAGTCGCTTGCAGGTACTTTTTCTTGTCCACAAGGTCGTTTACTTCTTCCGGAACTCGAGTCACATTTTCTACTTGACTGAGTAGCTCGAGCACATGGCGGTTCTCCACTGATTCTTTCCACAATTTCCGCAACTCGTCCTTTTTGCACCTCAACAGATCTTTACATGTAATCAGGTTTTCCTTCATGTTCTTGCAATTTTCCTTGGAACTCTTCAGTTCTGTCGACACCTTACTAAAGGCATTCATGACCGCTGTAAGATCCGAATGGTGAGTAACAATCAGCTGATCAAGGCGACCATCACTTTCGCCAAAGTCTCTTTCAAGATTGGCCTTTTCTCGGTCCCTTTCATCAACATCTCGACTCGCAGTCAACGATCTGATTACGGACATTAAAAGGCCTGTCTAAGGGTGCAAAGAGAGTGAGAGAGGAGTAAATAAAAAAGAATAGAAAACAAGACTAAATGAGAAAAGCTAAAAGAAGAAAGAAATGAAAACTTACCGATGATTCTTTACTCATTGTTCTTGACATTCTCGGTGGTCTTTTCGGTTGATTATCAGACATGATTCATTCGGATGCTTTTATATGAGAATTCAAGTTTTATCTCAATTATGGGAGAGAATTTATCAAGATGATGTTGGGAGATTGTTGAAAATGAAAAGTAAACACAAAAAGAAAGAGAACAAGAAGAGAGAGAAAGAGAAAGAGAAAAACAAGTTTCTCTTCAAAATGGAAACGAATCTCTTGTTGACTGATGATCTTTTCAAAGGAACAAATTTGTTCTCTTTCTTTTTTTCCTTTTCCTTTTTCTCCATAACGGAAGTTGACATTTTTGGAAATGTAAATTCCAGGATTTAAGCCTTAGCTTTTGTCCAAACATTTTGTTTTTTCAGATTTTTTATTTTCAATTCAGAAAACTTGAATCAATGAGAGACAATTTTTAAACATAAAAAGAAATCTTCTTTCAACCAATTCTGTGTCCAATTTGACTACACTTTCAATTTTTGTTCTACAAATTGGACAAATTGATATTGATGAAAGACAAACTGCACAAGATGCGTGCAGACATGGAAAAAAAACCCACTTGCAAATCTAAACAGATTTTGCAACAAAGTTCTTCAGTGTTTGATTTGGGTAACCATGTAAATGGGATGAATGGTTTGGGTTGAGATGATGAAGTTTTTTGGTTTTCTGGCTCTGGTTCTGGTTCTAACTCTGATGATAATTTTTCTTTTGGCTCTGGTTCGGGTTCTGCTGATGGTTCTGGTTCGGGTTCGGGTTCTGCTGATGGTTCTAGTTTTGGTGATGGTTCTGGTTCTAGTTCTGGTCCGGGTTCTGCTGATGGTTCTAGTTTTGGTGATGTTTCTGGTTCTAGTTCTGGTCCGGGTTCTGCTGATGGTTCTGGTTCGGGTTCGGGTTCTGGTGATGGTGATGATGCTGCTGTGGTGCCAACTAGTTTTAAATAAAAACAATTAGGATTAAATTTTTTGTGTTCAGTCCATGGGTCATCTCCTTCAACCCATTGACACAATGCGATCCCACAATGGAAACATGAAACAAAGTCCATGTAATGATGATTATGAGAGTCGATGACTAAAAAAAAAATTATTAATAAGATGAAAGTAAAACAATTAGGTTGAAATTTACCTGGACCTTTATAAAAAAATCCACTCTCGGCCAACTTTGATGGCGTAATTATTTCCGAAATGGGCCAATCCTTAAAGGTTGCTAGTCTGGAATTGTAAGTTACAAACTCAATCGATTGAGGAGCTTTGAATTGAATATTCACAGGATCATTCACAGGATCAACCAAAGACTTTAATTTGATTTTTTCAACCTTTCTTCAGGTGGTGAGATATGTGTGAATCCGCAAACATCTTTACTTTCAGTCAAGCTATATATTTCCCTTGGATCTTCGTCAATATAAATGTTTCCAACATCACGACCATTGATGAATGGGCATTTACCAGAATGAATTTTATGCTCAAAAATCGGTTGATCGCCAGATTGCCAATTGAAGATGACGATCCCACAAAATGGACACTGAACGCGATCTCCATCGCCCAAATAAAAAAAACCACATTTGGCCAATTGTTGTGGCTTTAAACTCGCCAAAGGCCATGATTTTTCCAAGAAAGATTTCAATCTTTTTTCCTCAGAATAAAATTCATTAGTTAAGGACATTTTCACGAGAAATAGATAGAAACAGATAGAAAAATATTAAATTACAATTTAGTTTATTGAATACAAATTTATAGGATACATTATTAGTGTAAAATTTACATTACAACGGAAATGAATTTGGGACCGTTGATAAAGAAAAATAAAAATTCTTTTGTTGGAGGTTAGAGAGAAACTCGACAGATGGAGCAAGTGGACGAATCGCATCTCTGTCAAATGTTAAATTCAATTCTGTAACTTGAATGTTCATCACCAGATGATAATTAAAAGTTAATTGTTTGTTATTTATTTAATTGTGGAAATGAAATTCTCAGATGATTCGATTAAACAGCCACAAGGTAATCGAACTTTTAAATTAATCTTCTGTGCTGGAGGCATATTCGCTTGTTATGCTTACTATGGTCTTCAGGAAAAAATGTAAGTGTTTTGATCGTTAATTGTTTTTCTTAGATTTTAATTATTCGATTCTTTTCATAGAACACGATCCAAGTATGGGCCTGATGGAGAAAAGTTTGTCTACTCAATGTGTTTGGTTCTCTGTCAATGTCTTGTAAATGCTGTTTTAGCTCAAATACGTGAGTCGCTTTTGCTTATTGTCTATTGATTCCCTAATGTGACGTGGATTAATCAACAACTATTTTTCTTTTTTCTTTTCTCTGATTAAAGTTCTTTTAACTATTATGAGGCAAGGAAAGGACTCTACAAGAACCTCATATTATGCCTCTGCATCTCTCACCTATCTCACGGCGATGGTGTCAAGTAACATGTCTTTACAACATGTCAATTATCCCACTCAGGTGGTTGGCAAATCGTGTAAACCGGTGCCCGTTATGGTTCTTGGTGTTTTGGTCGGAAGGAAAAGATATCCCGTCTCTAAATATTTATTTGTTTTAACGATAGTCATCGGTATCATCTTTTTCATGTACAAAGATAAACCTTCCAATTCGCTAGCTCCGATAAACCGCTTCTAGGATGGGGAGAAATACTCTTGGTAATTTTTCTTAACTTCGTCTTGAAAGTCATTCGATGAAAACCACAAATATCTTAATTCTTGTTTCATTTCTTGCAGTTGCTGTCGTTAACATGTGATGGTTTACTTGGAGCTATTCAAGAAAGGATGAAAAGTGACCACAAAACTCAATCTTGTCACATGATGTTGAATCTTAATTTATGGTCTATACTTTACTCTACTTTAGCTGTGCTAATCACCGGTGAATGGTTTCAATTTGTTAGTTTTATTAACAGATATCCATATGTAATTTACAATATTTTCTTATTCACAGTCATGAGTGCAATCGGTCAGGTAATTAGAAACATTTCATTCACCAATTAATCCTATCAATTGGAATTGATGATCTCATCTCTTTTCTCTCTCTCTCTTCTCTCTCAGGTATTCATTTATTTGACAGTAGCTGATTTCGGACCTTTACCATGTTCCATTATAACTACAGTCAGAAAGTTTTTCTCTGTCATTGCTTCAGTCTTTCTCTTTGGTAATGCTATCACAGCTCGTCAATGGTTCGGATCTGCTCTTGTGTTCATAGGCTTAGGTTTAGATGCTTTTTACAGCAAATCAGCTCCCAGGAAGAAGTGATTCCCTTTCATAATCGTTAGCTTATTGGCCAGCAGCTAAATTCAGTTTTTAGGAATTGGACGATAAGCAATTAAATTGTATTTCCTCGATATTCAACAATCAAATAGAAAGACTTTTAAAATAAATGAACGAGTTACTCAGATCCATGACAAATACACAATGTACAGAGCAAATTTCAGCGGCCTCTCATTACCAAAAAGGTTTATTTCTTATAAAAAAGGTGAACTAACCCTTTACCTTTTCCAAGCCCAAAGACACTAATCCTCTAGGGAGAGACTATTAAATTGTTGTTGCTCTAAGTGAAATCCTTACTGTAATATTATTTATTAATATGTGGATGTGAAAAACAAAAAGAGCCATTTCTATGATTGTGAAATTTTTTCAAAAGTAAATCGAAAATCATTTTCATTGTTCAACCTCTCGTATGGAATCACTTTTTTTTAATACACTTTTTGATACTATTTTTGATTCAAGAGGGAATTGGATTAGCATTAATTGGTGCCATTGGTTCATGTTGAGCATAAATAGCATTGCCAATGGTGTTGTGGATATGAGCAAGATTTTCTTGCCATTGTGTCAAAGTGTCTCGAAGTTGTTGCCACTGTTGTCTTCCAAAAGTCCGATGAATGGTTGAAGTGACTGAAACCTTCTTGTTAACTTGATCAACTTTTGCCTTTAATAATTTGGTTCTTAGAACTGAAAACAATGATTGTAAAGGATCGAAAATGAAAAAAAGTTAGAAAATGGAAAAGAGAAATGAAAATTTCATCTCAAAGTTGGATAATATAAACTTACCATCGATGACAAAAGCTTCAACGTCCTCATCTTTTAATTGCAATTCTTCCTTAATTGTTTGGAAAGAAAGCTCCTTTTTGTTCTCAGCAATTTGCATGAAAGTTAACAATCTCATCTTATGCAGATTTTGTTCATGTGACAAACCTTTGAAAGAGATGAAAAAGAATTAAAAACAGATCTTATCCAGTATTTTTACGAGTAACGTGAACAAAAATCACAATTTACCTAAATTTTCAATCAATTGTTTATGAGAATTGTAGAATTTGATATATCCAGTAAGCTTGTCTGAGACAAAGATTAGGAGAAGATCGTGAATTGATTCGCCTTCGAGAAACTTAACAGGCTTCAATGCTAAAAGATGATCCATGAGAAAAGTTTTTGGGTCCGAAAGAAATGAAACTATACAACGATGTGCATCAGATCGAGCTTGAGATGCAGTGGCCTCGGTATAAGTTCCTAACAATTCAATCATGACTTTTGATGCTTCATGGCTATTTTCCTTTGAGAGAACTTCATGTAAAAGTCTTAAGAGTTTTTGCACCTTATCAAGACCAACACTTTCCTTATTGTACATTGATCGAACCTTGTTCAAGTCCTCATAGACCAGGTCAATATGACCAATACTGCCGGCGATTTTGACAAGACTTAAGTAAATATCATAGTTAAGGCTTGGATTAGCACCAGTTCCCTCGAAAAGATTTTGCAAACTGAAAGAAAAGAGCAGAAAATTTAGTTTCAAGTGTCACTAGAGAAGCTTAAACATATTGTGGGTGAACAACATATTGAAAGGCAACAGCTGAAGCTTTTGAAATGTCAAAAACGAACTCACATTTTAATGCTAATCAATCCATCACTGGGATTTGCAGTTTCAACCAATTTGGCACAAAAAGCATTGATCAATTCACTACAAACTGAATCAGTTTGAGGTACTTGAATAAGCAATGACACAATACTATTGAGAACCGATTGTTTATCGGAATCTTTTTCTTCCTTGAAACATAGATCACAAACGCTAATAATTTGCTTTAGATCTTCATAGAAACCATCTTCATCCGGTTTAACCAAAGAAGCACCAAGACTATTGAAATAGACACGAAGCTCTTCACACTGTTAACAATAGAAATAAGATAATGTCAATGGTGAAATAAAAGAGATAAAAAATAAAAGAGAAAAGAACAGAAAAGACATTGAAATACAAGACAATTAAACCACTTCTATCATAAAGAAAATCAAATGTTTACCTGACCAAGTTCCTGGATGTCGGTGAATGTTGGGATCATGATGAATAATTAAATTAAAACTCTAATTGTTGAGAAAGGTGAGAAATTAAATTCACAACAAATTCTTCTGAAGGCAAAACGTGGCTCCGGCTTATAGATGAAACAAATCTCGCTGCCACCTGTCGAAACAAAAATAAACGAAAATGAAGAAAAGGTCAACACTTGAGAAGTGTGTAAACTAGTGACATCTACCGGTTAGAAAATCAATAATCATGAAAATCGTATTTTAATTAATCTTCACTTTTTTACTTTTTAAGTTTTTATTTGGCAGTTAATTAAAATAAAGTCAGGTTTCAAAGAATATTGAAGAAATACCTTTCTGATAAAAGAGTAGTTTTGAGATGTATCTTCTAAGGTTCGAAAACCATTGTATGAACAAAAAAAGTTTCGTTCGTAACTTAAACGAGTACAAAAGTATAAAAGTGAACAAAGTTGAGACCTCTTTCGAATTGTTAATCCATCAATAATTAGTAAATGGAATAACAGAATTTACCACTTTGTTTGATTGATTATTTTGATTCGATGAAAATGAATAAAATACTAAATCATCAATCAATTGGCTGAATCGATTGTCGGACCTTTTTGTTTGTATTACATCAATCGCTTATCACAATTTAATTGATCGTCTTTTGATCTGGATTAATTAATAAATAGTTACCTAATATTGATCCATTATCATTATGAAGAGAATTCTATTTCAAACTTAAATCTAATTTTACTCTTTTTCATTTGGTCTTTAATCCGAATCTTGTTTATCTTTTAATCTATTTTTCGTTATTTTCTCAAACAATTAACATTTCATCATTAAACCTTTTGATTGTATAGAGAATAGGAAAAGTAGCCCTCAATTTAACTGAATTTATATTTGCACTCTTGTGATGGTCAGTTGATTGCCCCATTTAAACGTTATTATTACTAATCATAATTGCTGATTTCTGCATGATGGTAAAGATTATCAACTCGATTGCTTTATAATAATATCAAGAAACACCTTCATCCATGATTAGAAATTTTCGTTGATAGAATCGATTCATTTTGATTGATTTATCATTTTCTATACAAAATTGTCTATTCATCAAAGAAACAAACAAGTTAATCATCATTTCAATCGTAATAATTTAATACTATTAATAGATTTTCGTTTTCAGGCCAATCAAAAATGATGGTAAATGTATTCACCCATGTTAATAATTGATAACAATTTAAGATGATTAGTAATGACAATGAGGGATTTCAATTGAAAAGAAAATGTGAAACCACCCAAATTGATCAAATAACAATCTCTATTGAAAGTTAATCAGTCAACTATTAATGAGAAAATGTAAATATTAATTGTGAATGCGAACTGAATCTCGGAAGTAATCACTTGAAATCCATTTTATCGAGGCCATTCCGGTCGGAAGCCACTTGATCACCTTATTAGTTTCCCGTATCCTAATCATCATCATCATCATCATCAACAAGATTATCGTAATTTTAATCACAATCTTGCTCTCCTTTTCAACTCATCACTCTCACTACTATTCTGGTCAATTAAGGGGCTGGTTAACAACTAACCGGGAGCCATTAATAGCCTGAAGCCAATTTCAGTATAAATTAGTAAGTAACATCAAATCTTTACTCATTAATATTATGAAGAAAACAACAAAATAGTTTAACCAACAAGTAAGAGTAATTATTGAATCAATTGAGGTCTATGAGAATCTGAAACTTTTACATTCTTCCTGTTGATAAATGATTCCAATCAAGTTTCCAGAATCTAATCTTTTTCGTTACAGTTAATTTTTCTTTTTAATTCTTCATCTCAATTCAAAAAAATATAATCACTCCAATAACATTTAGTTTATTCGTCCTCTGATCGTTGAAACAATCAGTTTAACAACAATCAACAACTTTTATCATATTATTTCAACTCGAGTCCATTATTTTTTCCTTTGTGATCTGAATCAACAAAACAATCAACAATGAAATTAACTCTCATTTTCACCTTAATCATGTCAACTTTACTCGCCTTAATTACCCTAAGGCTACCTAATTGCTCCTCATCAGCAGCGATTTTGGGTAAAAATAGAATCTTCAAGAATCGGCCATTTTTTTCACCTCTGGTAAACCGGAAGACTTTCATTTTTGCTTTTCCAAAGGTATATAAATACAAACCTGGTGTTAGGCTGCTTGGTTAAATTGTTAATCACTAATTGTTCCTACTCAAGTCAAGTGAACCATCAGATTAATCACTCTCTGTAATCCTCAATATAATCACCATGTTAATCTCACCTCATCTTGAGCAACATCATTCATCTGGTAATCAACTGATTCACAATTGGTAAGATTGAGATTTAGATCTTGTATTTTTTTTTTCATATACTTTTTATTATTAATTGTTAAATATTTTCTCTTGATTTTTTTGTACAATTAATTGAACTATAATCATTTATTCTGAAATTATCTCCAAACATAATTATTTGTGATGATCAATGAGAAATAAACTCAAATCAATTTAGAAATCGTTGAAAATCATTATTGCGTTTTTTAAATTATTGTCTGTGGATGTAAATAATCATCAGATCTATTAATGGATAAAAATTGTGAGCGTTGAGAATGTGAAATACTAATTACAACTAAGCAATTAAATTAAACTTCAATACAAATTGAAAATTAATTACTTGTAAGGTAGACAGAGGAAGTTTTCAGCATTCAAATGTTGATAGTTAAATGATGATTGTCTTAGTTTTAATTTGAGATGAGAGGTTTTGATTGTTAAATTTTCGAAGGCTGGATTCGGTTAATATCGTGAATTAATTAATTAGTTAGCTTTAAGGCTGTAACCAAGTCCTTGGACGAAAAGACGAAAGGCTTCGGCCACTTTTCCAGGCTGTTCTTCCAACGGCATACCACAATCAGATAATTTCATCCATTGGGATGATTCAGGATTCAAACGGGAATTCATGTAAATCGTATCCTCTATATGAGGTGAATGGTAACTGGTCATCAGAAGGGCTGGACATCGGAAATTTTGACTGGGTGACCCTCTGACCAAGCCAAGATCTGAACGTGCTAAATAGGAACCAATGAAAAGAGCCAAATTATGAGGATGAATGTTTTTCTCTGAGAAATAAGATCGAAGTTGAAAAATCAAATCTTGATTTCGATCCTCATCAATGACACCAAAATGGTGCCATAAAAGATACTCGGTGACAGCGGCTGGTGCCAGTGACCCAAGGCCTGAAGTGTCCAAATTTTTAAGGTAATGAATATTCAAATTTTGATAACCCCATTCGGACCAAGAGGCCACGGTAGAAGTACAATCGATCAGGAACAGGCCATCAACGAAGTCGGGATAACGAATAGCGAATCGAGATAAAATATTGGCTCCAGCACCGACTCCCAATCCGATGAAGTGACTTATCTCGAAGTGCTTACAAATAGCACCAATTTGATCAGCCATGTGATCCATAGTTGGATAATTAAATTCATCGCTTAATCGAGGTGATTTATCCTCTTGACCAGGAGCATTTATGTGAATAACTAAAAATTAAGAAGATAAATTGGTCAATTAAAAATCGAATTTAAATCTTTCCGTTTCAATACAAGAATTACAGAATTAAGATTAAAAATAATATCAAATGATTAGTAATAGATATTAAGTTCAATGTAATTGGAAAATAATTGATTGGATTCCAAATTATTGATTAGGTAAATTGTTACCTCAATAAACATTAACTTTACTTTGACTAATGAATAAATCATCGCTATTTAATCATTTTCTTATCATCTCTGTGACCTAAATCACTAAGGACACGAAATGAAAAGACTATGACCTGATATTGATCAGAAAATTATCATGATTGAGAATCAGATTAAAATAAATTGGCAGGAGATTTAGGATTTTATCAAATATTAGATGATTTTTTGATCTAAATCAAGGAGATTATCAATTAAACATACCAGTAAATTTGGATAGAATGGATTGAATGTCCTGATAATTGAAAAAAGTTCTGAAACTTGATGTACCATTAAGACCAATATCATGATAAGTGATAATTACTGATTTCTTAGGTGAAAGATCAGCTCCTTCCTTGGAAACTTTAATCACTCCGTACATGGTTTTAATTGCAATTAAATTGGGCACGAAACTTAGACGATGGAAACTTGGATCACCCAATTCAACATCTTCGAAAGCTCCTTTACTCATTGTGATGACGATTTGTTGATTGTCACAGATGATTAATAACAAATAGCAAAAATAAACTTCCTATTGATGGATAATCGTTGGAGAGTTTAAATTGGTAAATCAAATTTATATTCTCGTAGTTGATTGAGGTTAAAGAATGGAAAATAAGTATTAACGGTTAACCAGCGATTATCCAACAAAAAAGTAACAGATCAACACCACAAAACATGATGATGATTATAAATCGTTGATGATGATGCTCAATCAATTGCTCCCAATTTGATTGATTAAAATGATGATTTAACGATTTCCAATATTGTAGACCCAAAGAATTTACAAAAAAAGCAGAAACAATAAAATGAGACTTTTTCTAATAATTATGTTCTAATTTTTTAAGTACAAACAATTAAACTGGTTGTGATTGTGATTCAATTAAAGAAAAAATCACAATTATTGATTGAAATAAAATAAAAACGATAACAATTAAGATAATTTGACCTTCCAAAGCATTAAGTAAACATTGAGATCGATTGAGAGAAAGGTTAAACTTGGAAGATTAATTGTTAATTATTGTTAGATTACTGTCGTTTTAATCAATCATAATGATCATTGATATGATTGAACTGAAGACGAATTGTAAGAATTTAGGTGAAATTATTTAATCACATTGAATGAATTGTCAATTAATTGCCACACAAGTAACAATACAAACGATCAACTCTTTTTATTTACAAAGACATTGAATCTCATGCGTTAACTTAACCTTTCCCCTTTTGTAATTCAACCAATGATTAAGATTTGATTTTGGTAATCGAATTAAGCTCCATGTTTAAATAAACGATTAACTAGAATCACAATTTACTGTAGATTAAAGGATTGAACATTGAGTTAATCAGATTTTCCCTTTTTTCTAATCATTAAATCTGAAAGTGATTATTATTTGATCCCATTCAAGATTATTGATTGTCTCAAACAACATTTGTTTCTGAATAATTTCTTGTAATTTTAATCCTCGTTTCCTGATTCGTTCAGCTTTTTCCGTCACAAATTCCATGTCTTTTTTCAAATTGTTCATTTTGGTCAGATAATGAGTCGATTGATTAATTAGATTCTCGATTTCCAAAGGTTGAGTAAATTCAGAGAAACGTGAATTCTCTTGATCCAACATTTCATTGAGAGACAATTGATATTCTAACAGTTGATTAAATGAATGAGGTACTTTCACAGTACCAGCAATGGAAACGGCATAACGAGCAGGGGAGACTAATTAATTTAATTAATTAATCTTTTTGATTTATTGATCGAAATTCTGACTGCCATCTGGTGGTAGAAAAGCCAAAAAAAGGTAAACATGTGAGAGAATTTGTGTTTACACTGGCGACATCTATTGGATGGAAATTAGTGAAACTGTTAAGCATGGAAAGTGAATTGTTTTTAATTCGTTTGACCGTAAATCGTTTGTTTACCTTTTTTACTCAAAAGTGAGACTAATTAAGTTTTACTAATTTATGGCTCAGGCTATTCGCCTGTGCCCACTGGTGGGTCTTGTATCTAGAAGAGTCACACCCAACACCAAATGGTCACTTACTCTAATTAGACCGAGAAATTTTTCTACAATCAATAATAGTAAATCATCTAAAAATGATGTTAGTCAATCTGAAAATATTCGCTACTGGGAAACATTTGAAGCTGAACTTCGACAATTAACTCTCATTCAACGGTACAAGAAAATGGCCAAAGAGTTTTGGTATGTTGGTATTCCTGTAGTTGGAGTAACATCAGCCCTTTGGTTAGCATCATTTTATCTTATCGCTGCAAGGTAAGTAATAAACAACATCTTTTCTTAACTCTCTTTCTCTTATTAATCTCTTTTTTCTTCATCATCTTTTTTTTCTCATGAAAATCATCTTAATTCTCAGTGGATACGTTAAACCTTTGGTAGCTAAACTCCGTGACTATGGTGTTCATGAAACTATCGCCAAAACCTTGGAATCTGAAAAAATGGGTCCTCTTGCCATCGCCGTTATAATGTATAAATTAGCCTCCCCTGCTCGTTATGCCGTTTCCATTGCTGGTACTGTGAAAGCGATCAAATTTTTATTAAAACGAGGATTGATTAAACCAGTACCTCCAAAAGACAAATTGAAAGAAATAGTTTTAAAAAAGGTTTCTGGTAAAAGTAAAACACCATAAATCCAACAAGTTTGGGGATTTTACTTATTTTTTGTAACCAGTCCAAAATTGATAAACTCTATTAGTTTAAATCATGTACAGTTTCTGTTACCCGAAAATCAATTGATGGTCATCATGTTCCCGAAACAAATTATCTGTTGACTTAAATTTCGCTCCTAAAGTATCAAGTATGAAATACTTGTAGTAACAATATATTTAGACTTGTGGATCATCTGATTGTTTACATTTTTCTTTTATTTTGTTAATGAGAAAAACATCAACTTCTCCTATTCCTTTTTTTTTCGTAATTTTCTTCTTTCAAGTGAGAGTCTCAATTGATTATCTAAGGGATAAAATTGTCAAACCAATAACATGGAAGAAGAAAATGAAACCAATGATTCTCTTTCTCTTCCTCTTCCTCTTCCTACTTCATCATGTTCATCGAAAAATTTACCTCATTCATTTAATCAACTGTTAGAATATCAATTGTCTCTCAATGAAATGTTGGATCAAGAGAATTCACGTTTCTCCGAATTTACTCAACCTTTGGAAATCGAGAATCTAATTAATCAATCGACTCATTATCTGACCAAAATGAACAATGTGAAAAAAGACATGGAATTTGTGACGGAAAAAGCTGAACGAATCAGGAAACGAGGATTAAAATTACAAGAAATTATTCAGAAACAAATATTGGAAAAAGAGATGAGAAAAGATCAACAACTCCAACGGGAAAAACAACTCGCACCAGTGATAATCGGTAAATCGGCCAAAAAGTGAATTTCCCAGTTCGATCAAATTGTTATCCATTTTGTTGAATAAAATCAAATAAATGTGATTCTTATTTATTGTACGTACGAGACAATTAATCTAATAGATTATTCATTTGATTGTTGAAAATTACGTTTTCTCAGATCGTCATGTCTTCTTAGTCGACAATTTGTCAACAATTAGAATTACAATGTTGGAATTGATTGAGTTTTCTGATCATCTTGGAAAAGATTAAATTAAATCCAAGTGTAACAAATTGGATTCTCTTCCGTTGCTTTTTGCTTCGTCTTTTTGATAAACTCTTCACCCGCTAATCGAAGGTCATAAGCGAGTCCTAACCAAGCAGCGATATCGATGAAAATCTTTGAGGTGTTGATTGTTTTACCTAATTCACTTATGGAGTAATCGTAAGGAAAAGTGATGGAATTGTGATAAGCTTCACCGGCGGTGATTAACTGCATGAATCCATTGTCAGCAGCTGATATTTTCTTATTATAAGGCCGTTTCCCGACGGTGTGACAAATGCTGCCCACAATTCCGTGCATATGTATTACCACGAATGATTTGGAACAACCAGCAAGAAATGAGTTTAATAAACTTTCGTTCCAGTAAAACTGGAACTGAAACTGGAAAATAAACGCAAAAGAATGACCATTGGAACGTAATATCTGTTGATAAGAACAATCAAGTTAATTGTTGTCGCATCACAAATTTGATTACTCGACAATGTATCAAAATCAATCACACTAATTGCTGATGTATAAATTACTCAACTTTTATTGTTAATCAAGATGATTTAAGTGCCGAATTGACTAATAGACTTAAACGGAAATTTTTTAAAATTTGATTGTTAAATAATTCAATTGTTGATAGCTGTTAATTGTTACATGCTAACCTATCACTTGGATAAAAGTTCATATAAATTATGAATTATTCTCAATCATTTGTTTCAATTTGAATTGTCATGAGCTGAGATTCATAAAACGGTAAGTGGAATCAACTTTTAATTGGTCATCAGAATCAGAAAGATTCAGTTTGACACCCGAAACTTTGAAACAAACTTTATACCAAAAAGTTGATATTTTGTCTTAACGATCATCTGATCGTAAGTAAAATTTACCCCAATAATTAAACGACAATTAACTTACTCCAAGTCCAAGTGAGAACCATAATTAACCATGAATGTGTCCAGAATTCAGCAAAAAACTGATAGATTGAAATTGGAGCGACATAAAAGAAACCAAGTGCCAAGGAAGTTTCAAAGATCAGATGAATCCACTTGATCTCATAAACAATGAATTTAATTAATCCTCTCAATCCACTTGAATTTATATTATCATTTTTTGACTCCATCGGCAATTGATCACCATTAATATCGGTCGAGCCATTGATGATTAAAACTCCTGTCGGTAATGAGGCCGATGTTGATTTCGTGGTAGCAATACTTTCATCGTTTAAATTGTCGTTCGTTGATTGTTTTATATTCAGATTGTTATTCACAACTTCATTACGATTATCTGTTGTAGTTGGGATGTCTAATTGTGATGGAGGCATTTTAATTTGATCAATATTTGAAAAAAATCTTTCACTAATTGTTGTCAATAGTTAACAAAGGTAAATGAATTAACACTTTTAATCAAAAGAAACAAAGATTAAAACTATTCATCTGATGAAGTTTAATCAATGTCTATTTTACTATTGAATCAAATTCAATATTGAATGTTCAATTGATGTTTTGCTTTTACTCAAATGTATTTATCCTCAGTGTATTGTAATTAAGCTTCTTCTCTTACTTTTCATCTTTCTCTCTTTTCTCCTCACTCACTCATTCCCTCTTTCTCTTTCTCTCAACATAAAAAAGTAAATAGGTTTCTCTCTTCATCATCATCATCATCATCTTCTTCTTCTTCTTCTTCATCTTCTCCTCATCACCAACATTCTGGTTATGTAATCTAAATAGAGAGAAGAAGCAAAAACCAACCAGGACCAAAATCTCCAAATATTTATAACATCATTTCTCTCTCTCTCTCTTTTTACATGAACCACAATTGTTCATTTAATCCATAACATCATCACCATTCCTTACATTAGTTTTACTCATCATCAGTGAAAAAACAACAACAATAGTCATTTAAAATTCTATGTATGTTTTTCTGGATCAGTGACTTATTTTAGTGGGAAAAACAACAGAAATCAACCCTTACCATCCAAAGGAAACAAATATGGTGAAAACGGGTGACAAGTGAGTATTTATTTTCTATTTGCTATTGTTTTTCTCTTCTAATTTCTATTAATCAGTTGAACATCTGATTAGACAATACTGATTGTTAATAATCCATCAAAAATTGTTTCATGTAAAAAGAAATGTTTATTTTCAATGTGCCTCAAGTATGTAAACATTCAATGTATTGTCTCTTCAATAACAATTCAACATCTCATTTGTTATGTTCCATTTTTATTGATTTTTTTTTTGGTGTTTCCATTTTGTTTTTGCTCCATTTTAATAAATTATTTTCTATTCTTTTTTCTTTTGTTCTTCAAGAGTTGAATGGGTTGAGATTATACCCTCAAAATCAGGTAAATTAATGTATGCAAATCTAAAGACTGGTGAATGTTCCTGGGATCAGCCGAAAACATCTCCTAACATCAACATCCGAAGGATTAATGATCAAAGTGAGATATTTTTTTATTTCTATTCTCTCTCTCTCTCTCTCTCTCTCTCTCTCTCTCTCTCTCTCTCTGATCACCTTTGTTGTATTGATCGTGAGTTTTTATTCTAAATTCACTAATGTATCAATATAATACTTTTTACAACTCATTGTTCGCTTCCTGTCTCTCTATTGTTAGTATCCCATAAATGAGAAATGTGTCTTCATATTTTCCTCCATTATGTATCATCAACTGGTTGGTGTTGTCACACTGAAAATGATTCTGATGTTGACATTATAACTCTAAGCTTGATTCACATTTTATGTATTTAGATTCTGATTGAGGTTAATTATTCTTCTTTCCCGTCGTTGTATGTTGACTGGGCTATTGATAATATGATAGAGAAGAAGATGATAAGCAAAAGAAATTAATGCATTAATGTATCTCTATCTCTCTCTTATGCCCTCTTCTCTTCAAATGAAACAAGGAAGCAAATTAGAGCTGAATTAGATCGGCTTTTTTGTAATCTAAGTTGATTGTAGAATTGAAATCGTAAACTCAGAGATGATGAGACCTAAATAATTTAATTCATCCTTTTTCTGGGTCGCGACAACTTAATTTAATCAGATACATTTTTCCCTTTTATCTTCTATTACATCTACTGAATTAATATATATTTTTTCTGCTATTATTATAATATCTTTTTCTCTTATTGAATTTCTATTATAGCTCAACAATGGTGGGAACTTTTTGATGTAAAAAGTGCTCGATTTTATTATTGCAATGTAAATACGTCGGAAACAAAGTGGCAAAAACCTAAAGAAGAAGGTGTAATCATTATTCCTTTGGCCAAACTTCAATTATCGAAACAAAATACTCTTCCTCCAAGTGACGATATTAATTCGGAGAGAGTGGACAATTCCACTCAGACCAATAGTTCATTCATCTATTGTTCTAACGCATCAACTCAGACCTCACCACCAACCGGTACAACGACCACATCCCATCATCATATTCCCCACCATCATTCACACCATTCGAGACACTGTTCATCAAGCCATGCACATAATCACTCAGCCATTTCTGAGAGGAGTTTAAGACATTATCTATTAAATGAGGCTCGTTTTGCTGGCCTCTGTTACAATATTGACGATAATTATTATGAAGGAAGTGATGAAGAAGAGTATGATGGTGAAGCTTATGAAGGTAACTAAACAATAAATTTTACTTGACAATTAACTGTAGAGTGTTTTGATTTACTTTCTCTTAAAAAATTTTCATGAAATGAATTCAATGTAATCGTTTTACTTTCTTACTTATCTTTCTCACTTTTTTCTTCTGTCTCTTTTTCTCAGGCTCTTCAGATGAAAGTTATACCGATAATTGGGATGCGGATGACGAGGACAATAATGAAGGAGAAGAGGATGAATATGAAGAAGAAACTGACGAGGAATCTGAAGATGTTATCGATGGCAGGTCATCATATCATCGACGTGATGAAACCGATACTAGTGATTACTATGAGACTTCATCCTTTGTTTACTATAAAAAATCAGCATCTTTTACAAGTGGATTGGGTTCATTAGATGCTAGTGAGAAAACAATTAAATCAGCTGAAGATAATAACACTGGAACATTGGACATTGTTAGAGCAGAGAAAAGAAAAACAAAAGATAAATCATCTGAGACTCGACACAGTGAAACAAGTGAAAAGATATTACGAACAAAAGATCGAGATGAAGAAGGGAAAGTTCGTAAAAAGGATAAGCTGAAAGAGATTAAAAAGGAAGATAAAGAAAACGATGACACCGAAACCAAACCCGTGCCTCCAAGAAGAGGGATCTCTCTTGATTCGTCGATTATTCAAGCACAAACCAATGAACAATTGGAGAAATACGCTCGTGAAAATATTAAACGTCACCTTAAAAAAGGTGGACTTAATCAGATGTTAAAGCGACGACATTCACTTAAGGGAATGTTAATATGGACCAAGTTTTCAATCAAACAGCCAATGATTGCGACCTTAATGAACGACAATGACCTTAAACAAGAGGCAATCAATTGTTTTAAGTTAATTCAACAGTATTGTGGGGACAGAGGAAAAGGAAATACCAAAAATGTTGGTACTAAGACAAATACTCTAGTTCGTAGAGAGGAAGTAGCTAAAGAATTGATCACTAAAGGTGTGGTTAGAGGACTTTTACTTCGTGATGAGATTTTTGTACAACTTTGCCGTCAAACAACTGAGAATCCATTAGATGAAAGTTTACAATTAGGCCTTGAGTTGATTGCTCTTTGTCTCTACTACTTTGGCCCATCACAAAAGTTTGCACCTTACCTGAGCTCCTTTTTAAGTAGCCATAAAAGTGAATTTGCACGGAAAATTTGTCTCAAAAAGTTAGACAATAAGATGGAATCACTGGGTGGATCAAATAGCTCCGTTGGTGCCCATTGTCGTAAACCAGCCTCCGTTCAAGAGATTTCCATGGTAATCCAGTCAATTAAACGAGGTTACCTGGGCATGTTTGGTGAATCTTTAAATAATTTAATGACACTTCAAGGTAACTATCTACCTAAAGATTGGATTCAAGTGACTTTAAGTGAAACTATTTTACGGTAAGTTCAACATTCTTTCAATTAACATTGCCCTGTTTTCATTATGACTTAATATGCGTATCAGCAGCTACTTGTTGATTTATATTTTGTTATGCAATTATTTTTGTGTAGGTTTGTTTAACTTTTGTGTGTAATTTCATCTCTCTCTCTCTCTCTCTCTCTCTCTCTCTCTCTCTCTCTCTCTCTCTCTCTATTAAATAAATTCAATCTTGTGTAGTTTGGGTGGAGCGGAACAAGAAGGAATTTTTCGTATTGCTGGAGATGTTGAGGAAACAACTATGCTCAAATTGTATATCGATTGCCTTCAACCAGATAAAGAGCTGGAAACTGATTTTATCGTTTTGTGCAACAAATGGAAAGGTATTCTTTGCCATGAAGGTGATGTTAACCTGGATGTCAATGTATTTGCCTGTTTACTTAAACAATGGTTTCGAGAGCTTCGAGAACCTGTAATTTATAGCTTTTATCAGGAAGCTTTACATACCTGTGAATCGCCTTCAAATGCGATATACATGGTTGAGAAAAAGTTACCCGCCATCAATAAACTGGTCATTGGTTATCTAATTCGTTTCTTACAAGTTTTCAGCGCCAAACAGAATGTTGATTTTACTAAAATGGATGAGAACAATTTATCAATGGTTTGGGCACCAAATATACTTAGAGCTCCTCCAAACAGTAACACAATGCCAACATCTAATTCACCTAATGCAACTTTAATCTTTGAGAATACAAGGAAGGAGATGACTTTCATCAGAACTTTGATTCAGTATTTGGATACAAGTTACATTCAAGGTGTAATCTAGTCACAAGTCGATACGAATGATGAGAAATCGACCTTCAATTTCATCAAATTACATGAAATCTTTTTTTCTACTACATTAAACAAGGAACAATTTGTAAATTTACTTGTGTGTGTCTCTCTCTCTCCTACTAATTGCATGATATTGAATTGATTTTTTTTTCACCGAAATTCGATGAAAATTCATGAAAATGATTTTGCTTCTCTCTCCAACAAATAAACAAGTGAACAATTTACTTGTCAAACATTCAGGAAAAAAGTAAAAGCTCAACAATGATGATTATCAAACAAGATTACCTGGAGATGGTGTTGAAAATCAATAAGGAAATGTCACAAAAAATGATCTTCATCATATCTAATCAACTCTCATCTTATATCATCATTGGTCAATCGTCTCTTGATACACACACACACTAATACATTTGTCTAAAATGTTTTAAAATGCTGATTTATACAATCAATTAACTAATTTTTTCCCTCTCTATTCTTAATCATCTGGTTATTTGGAGATTATTTTGAAGGAGCCAATTTACTCTCTAGATCTTTTTCATCATCATCAATTGTCAACAATTTATCATCAACATTCTCATTCTCATTCTCATCATTTGAATTTGCATTTTGAAAAACAATCACAGAAAATCATGTTAATCAAACCAATTCTGGGTTCATGATTATCTCTCCTTTTCTCATTAATCCATTTCTATCGTTCTCATGATAACATGATTACTCTGTGATTAATTCACTGATTGTATTTAATTAAAATTTGTTTCAAGTAAACAAAAATAATAAATCTCCAAGCAGATTAATTTAAAAAATTTATAAATATGAATATAAATAAAATATATATTAATAGTATTGCTGCTAATCATTTGTCATCATTTTGATTACGATTTAAATTGTACTGTGAGAAATTAAATTAATGGATCTCACGATTATTGTGATAATCATAGAATACGTTAATTAGCTGATGAACCGTTAGAATTAGTTAATTTAACTTTATGCCTTTTGGTGCCAAGACTTAATTGTAGTTTGTCATAAATTGTTGAATATTAATTAAGGTAAACAATTTGATTTTTCCATCATTTTTAATGACAAACTAAGAAAAGTTTTCATTAAATTGTTTCATGTTTAAAATTAATTGTAATTTAACTACCACTTGATGATCAAAATCAAATGATTAATTGGTGTGTTTACTGATTAAATTGTATCTTTGATTGTTTTGATAATCAAGAAACTTTAACTTGTATATTTGTCAATTGATTGTAATCAGAACATTGAGTTAATTGTTGAAGATATTTTTACAATTAGTTAATAGCTTTTCAAAATTGTTTGATAATTAAAATTGTAGTTTCTTTTCACATAAAAACTTATATTGTAATTTAATTATGCACAGTAATTAAATAATCAGCAATTAATGTTTATCAAATGTGATGCAATGGTTATAAATTACTAATAATATTACTAATTGAATGATCAATTAGTTGAAACAATGAATTATTTCAACTAATTAACAATCATGACTGTCTAATGTTTATTGTGTAGTTTTGATTAATCATTAATTTCAGCCTAACAATCAATCATCGCAATAATAAACAATTTGATTTTTCCATCATTTTTAATGACAAACTAAGAAAAGTTTTCATTAAATTGTTTCATGTTTAAAATTAATTGTAATTTAACTACCACTTGATGATCAAAATCAAATGATTAATTGTGTGTTTACTGATTAAATTGTATCTTTGATTGTTTTGATAATCAAGAAACTTTAACTTATATTTGTCAATTGATTGTAATCAGAACATTGAGTTAATTGTTGAAGATATTTTTACAATTAGTTAATAGCTTTTCAAAATTGTTTGATAATTAAAATTGTAGTTTCTTTTCACATAAAAACTTATATTGTAATTTAATTATGTACAGTAATTAAATAATCAGCAATTAATGTTTATCAAATGTGATGCAATGGTTATAAATTACTAATAATATTACTAATTGAATGATCAATTAGTTGAAACAATGAATTATTTCAACTAATTAACAATCATGACTGTCTAATGTTTATTGTGTAGATTTGTTGATTAATCATTAATTTCGAGCCTAACAATCAATCATCGCAATAAATAATCAATTTAATTGCAAATTCAAGATCATTATCCTTATCAACTGCTTAGTTTCTTAAATTAATTAATTAATTAATTCTTACAATTAGCTAACAAAAGTGCCATCTAATGATTAATTTAACAATTAGCTTTCAATAGTTACTAATAATTATCACTTGTAATCATAATTAACTGAGTTTTATATTAAAAGTACATAAGTGATCAAACTAATTGTTGATCTTGGGGATTTGCTTCGATGAATCAAATGGTCGGTACTTTGGTTATCATTTGTGTGCATCGTGTAAGGCTTTTTTCCGTCGAAATGCCGATAAAAAAGAGGTAAGTCTTTAGTCGTCTTCGACTTTGTTTTATTTCAGATTTTGATCACTGTTCGTTTTTTTCGTTCTGCTTCCCATTCAGAAGTTCATCTGTACTTTTAATAATAATTGTGAGATGAATAAGATCACAAGACGTCATTGTCGCAAGTGCCGATTGGAAAAATGTTTTGCCATTGGAATGAAACGGGAATGGGTTCGATTTGAAGATAAAAGAGTAGATGAAGGGAAGGACAAAGAACCCGTTCCAGGTACATCTGGTTACATTGGCACTAAACCTCATCACATCTCACGCAGCAGTGAATCAGCTGATGAAGATGATGCCGGTGGGAATAGTGAAGGAAAGAAGTTATCAGCAGTATTTGATAATCTACTTGACGATCAAACACTTCACGGACTTTTAGAGGATCTTGATGAACAAACTGTTTCACTAATTTCCATCCAATAGATGTCGCCAGTGTAAACACAAATTCTCTCACATGTTTACCTTTTTTTTGGCTTTTCTACCACCAGATGGCAGTCAGAATTTCGAATTTAATAAATCAAAAAGATTAATTAATTAAATTAATTAGTCTCCCCTGCTCGTTATGCCGTTTCCATTGCTGGTACTGTGAAAGCGATCAAATTTTTATTAAAACGAGGATTGATTAAACCAGTACCTCCAAAAGACAAATTGAAAGAAATAGTTTTAAAAAAGGTTTCTGGTAAAAGTAAAACACCATAAATCCAACAAGTTTGGGGATTTTACTTATTTTTTGTAACCAGTCCAAAATTGATAAACTCTATTAGTTTAAATCATGTACAGTTTCTGTTACCCGAAAATCAATTGATGGTCATCATGTTCCCGAAACAAATTATCTGTTGACTTAAATTTCGCTCCTAAAGTATCAAGTATGAAATACTTGTAGTAACAATATATTTAGACTTGTGGATCATCTGATTGTTTACATTTTTCTTTTATTTTGTTAATGAGAAAAACATCAACTTCTCCTATTCCTTTTTTTTCGTAATTTTCTTCTTTCAAGTGAGAGTCTCAATTGATTATCTAAGGGATAAAATTGTCAAACCAATAACATGGAAGAAGAAAATGAAACCAATGATTCTCTTTCTCTTCCTCTTCCTACTTCATCATGTTCATCGAAAAATTTACCTCATTCATTTAATCAACTGTTAGAATATCAATTGTCTCTCAATGAAATGTTGGATCAAGAGAATTCACGTTTCTCCGAATTTACTCAACCTTTGGAAATCGAGAATCTAATTAATCAATCGACTCATTATCTGACCAAAATGAACAATGTGAAAAAAGACATGGAATTTGTGACGGAAAAAGCTGAACGAATCAGGAAACGAGGATTAAAATTACAAGAAATTATTCAGAAACAAATATTGGAAAAAGAGATGAGAAAAGATCAACAACTCCAACGGGAAAAACAACTCGCACCAGTGATAATCGGTAAATCGGCCAAAAAGTGAATTTCCCAGTTCGATCAAATTGTTATCCATTTTGTTGAATAAAATCAAATAAATGTGATTCTTATTTATTGTACGTACGAGACAATTAATCTAATAGATTATTCATTTGATTGTTGAAAATTACGTTTTCTCAGATCGTCATGTCTTCTTAGTCGACAATTTGTCAACAATTAGAATTACAATGTTGGAATTGTTTTATTATGTACATTGTGTATCAGAGTTTAATTAGAATGAAATTTTGTTGAAAATCTCTGTTGTATTAAATTGGAAGTTGTAAGAAATATAAAAGATCAAATTTGGATACTAAAATGTTCAACTTGATTTGAATTCTCTGAGTTTTCTGATAATCTTGGAAAAGATTAAATTAAATCCAAGTGTAACAAATTGGATTCTCTTCCGTTGCTTTTTGCTTCGTCTTTTTGATAAACTCTTCACCCGCTAATCGAAGGTCATAAGCGAGTCCTAACCAAGCAGCGATATCGATGAAAATCTTTGAGGTGTTGATTGTTTTACCTAATTCACTTATGGAGTAATCGTAAGGAAAAGTGTGATGGAAATTGTGATAAGCTTCACCGGCGGTGATTAACTGCATGAATCCATTGTCAGCAGCTGATATTTTCTTATTATAAGGCCGTTTCCCGACGGTGTGACAAATGCTGCCCACAATTCCGTGCATATGTATTACCACGAATGATTTGGAACAACCAGCAATAAGAAATGAGTTTAATAAACTTTCGTTCCAAAGTAAAACTGGAACTGAAACTGGAAAAATAAACGCAAAAAGAATGACCATTGGAACGTAATATCTGTTGATAAGAACAATCAAGTTAATTGTTGTCGCATCACAAATGAATTCGACACCATAATCATTATGAATTAAACTCACTTGTGTTGGAACATCACAAATGGATCTTTCAAAATATCGTCATAACTTATATTCTTGACCTTTTCCCGATACTCAGGGTGATCTTTAAGCAATCGATATCCGACCTGAGCAAACCAAAAGCCTCGATTAATATTTTGAGGGTCACCATTAGTGTCCAGGTATTTATGATGAGCTCGATGGTGTTCAACATAATGATAAATGGAATTCTAATTTCAAATTGAATAAAGTGAACGAATTAAACAATTAACTGGTAATTTCAATCGAAAGTGACCTTTACCTCTGCTCCCATAGTTTGCATAACAACCAATAGTAACTTTAAAGGCCATTTGGCTTTAAACGCGTGATGTGACCATAAACGATGAGCGCCAACACTCACACCGATCCCACCACAAGTAATTAAAGCGAAACCTAATTTCAAAATGGTAAACAAGACAAGGAATCAATTAATTAAGACGATTTAGCAAATTAAATTGTTTTTCTTTGCTATATTGATCAATCTAAATCAATAATCTCTCACCTCCCATTGTTTGTCATTAGCTTATTATCTGAATAACAATTAGCGATATTACTAAACAACATGTTGAGACCAATTGATGTTAATCAGTTAATACATTTCGATTGTATCATGATGATATTAATTGTGTGACCCTTTTGTTATCAATTGTGAAAATAAGGTTACTTTCAATTTAACTGGTCAAGCTAAATTAGTAGTGACCATTTGTTTGTTTCCTGTTGATAATTTTGAGTGATTCAAATGACCTCAACTCGATATGATTAACATTTTTTTCACTATTATCATATTAATTAACCAGAATCTCATGTTAATTGTGACAATTTCCCTGTAATCATCAACCACACAATGGGATAGGATTCTCATTTTAATTAATTTCAACACTTTCAACAAGTATTAACCTTTAATTGACCTTAACTTATTAATGTAATTAATTTGATTGACAAATGTTGACCATGTTAATTGCATTGTTTGATTCTGGTTAATTATTTGTGTGATTATCTATTATTTTGAAACTTTGTTTTTTCATAATCAACAAATTACTATGTCAAGATTTCCTTGAAAATACAATTTGATTGTTAATAATACAAATATATTTGTAAATTAAATTAACTCTATTACTACAATCAATTTGTTAATATCATTATTTTGACACATTTTTCACAATTAACTTTAATTTTCCATCATCGTCATCAAATTTGACCGCAAACACTGATTATTAATCAAATCACTATAATCTAATAAATTGTAAATTACAATTTAATAACAATCGAAAATATAAAATCATCTAATCAAATACTAATTTAGTTAATTTGATTGAATTAAACAAAAACATACAACGCAATAGTTACATTCAGATTTTCCTTATTTAAAAGTTTTCCAACAATTTATTTGATTATAATTTTGACAAAATTGATAATTAATCAACTATTATGATGAAACATTATCATAAAGATCTGTAAATATTAATGATAATTAATTAATTTGATAAATAATTTAATTCATGTGAGTTTAATGAGCTATAAAATTTGATTAGATTTTCGTAAACAATTAAAGTTAATTGGGGGTTTGATGAATTAACAGAATTACAATTAAATTTGACCCATAATTAACTTGTAATGAAAGTTAATCAACCTAGAAACTTAACAATTTAATCCCTTTCAATTAGATACAAACTTTCAAACTCAAAGTAATGAAAACAATTAAATGATTGTTGATAATGATTAACTGATTAGTTTGAATATGTTTAGATATAGATTTTTAATTGTTTCCTGAGTAAATGAAGGAAATAAGTTAATTGTTGGCCAATTTTCATCCGCTAAATTTACAATTAATTACTGACTAGGTTAAGTTGGGTCAATTTTAATCTACAACAATCAACATCAACAATTCATTAAATCAATTTGAATTTGTTTCTTTATTGTTTTCATTAATCATCTTAATTTTATTTTGTATTCGTGACCAAGATCATCCTGAAAGCTGGATATCAGTTAATTGTTAACAAAATATTGTACTTAACTGAATCAAACTAATTACTAATGAATAACTAATCAAAATAAAGTCTTCCTATTGTAGTCAATCATTTTAACAACAGTTAATATTTAATCATCACAATAGTTTACAAGTTAATCAGACTCACAAATTTATTACAACAGTTGATTATTAATCAACGTTTTCACCTTAAGCCCTCATTAAATCAGTTAAATTTGTCACTTAGATGACAAATTAATTAATTTCATCGTTAATTATTCAATCATTACCTTCATAATTAACTTGCCAAACTTTTATCAATCAATTGTGATCAGAGGTTCAATTGAGGTTATTGAACAAGAACAACTTCTTGATTGTTGTGTAAGTGATAGTAATTGATTGTAATTAGTTTTCCGTCCTAACAATATAATCCAGTGATTAGTTAATCTTGAAAGGTTACACGTTTTTTTACAAGTTAATCAACAAGAAATCGAGTAACAATTAAATCATAACCCTCGTCTGAAACTAAACTTATCACAGGCAATTGAAAATCCAGCCAGTAAGTTTGCGAGCAATTAGTTAATTGTCTCAAGTCTGTAATGGACAAAGATGAATAAAAGTCAATTATCTTGACAAATACAAATTGCATAATTGACTGTTAACATTAATTATCATTAAATCAAATATAGGATGATATTAATTAGTGATTTCAATTGATTTATTTGCAACAATTAACAACATTACAAGTGAGCTGTTATTATTATTACTACGGTTTAATTGTTCACAAAGTAAATAATCAAATGTCATACTTGATGATTTTATCAAATGAAACTGTAATTTGTCAGATTAAATAGTTTTAAAATAATAACAATTAGCTGATAATAATTTATGATAAGATAAGCATTTATCTAAATTGTTGAAACTCATCAAATCAGAATTCATTAATCAATTGACCAATCTCATTTCATTAACAATCAGTAGAGTAATAAAATATTGTTACAATAATTTGATTACTCGACAATGTATCAAAATCAATCACACTAATTGCTGATGTATAAATTACTCAACTTTTATTGTTAATCAAGATGATTAGACTGCCGAATTGACTAATAGACTTAAACACCAATATCACAAACGGAAATTTTTTAAAATTTGATTGTTAGATAATTCAATTGTTGATAGCTCTTAATTGTTACATGCTAACCTATCACTTGGATAAAAGTTCATATACATTATGAATTATTCTCAATCATTTGTTTCAATTTGAATTGTCATGAGCTGAGATTCATAAAACGGTAAGTGGAATCAACTTTTAATTGTCTAATTGGTCATCAGAATCAGAAAGATTCAGTTTGATTCCCGAAACTTTGAAACAAAATTTATACCAACAAAGTTAATATTTTGTCTTAACGATCATCTGATCGTAAGTAAAATTTACCCCAATAATTAAACGACAATTAACTTACTCCAAGTCCAAGTGAGAACCATAATTAACCATGAATGTGTCCAGAATTCAGCAAAAAACTGATAGATTGAAATTGGAGCGACATAAAAGAAACCAAGTGCCAAGGAAGTTTCAAAGATCAGATGAATCCACTTGATCTCATAAACAATGAATTTAATTAATCCTCTCAATCCACTTGAATTTATATTATCATCTTTTGACTCCATCGGCAATTGATCACCATTAATATCGGTCGAGCCATTGATGATTAAAACTCCTGTCGGTAATGAGGCCGATGTTGATTTCGTGGTAGCAATACTTTCATCGTTTAAATTGTCGTTCGTTGATTGTTTTATATTTAGATTGTTATTCACAACTTCATTACGATTATCTGTTGTAGTTGGGATGTCTAATTGTGATGGAGGCATTTTAATTTGATCAATATTTGAAAAAAATCTTTCACTAATTGTTGTCAATAGTTAACAAAGGTAAATGAATTAACACTTTTAATCAAAAGAAACAAAGATTAAAACTATTCATCTGATGAAGTTTAATCAATGTCTATTTTACTATTGAATCAAATTCAATATTGAAAATGAATTCAGTTAACTTATCATGAACATGAAAAAAGTAACAGGAAAAGAGATGATGAGAAAAAAAGTTCTGTCCGATCAGCATGATGATAAGTTAATCGTTACTGGACTGACCACTCAACGGACCACCTTATAAAATGTACATCAACCTTCAATTGTATTCAACAAAAACATCATCTATTTAACCTACAAACAATTAACAATTGAAACAACTTAAAGCTAATTCAATGTGAACACTAATTATTAATATTTTCACCATCAATTGCTTGAATTTAAAGATCATATTAATGAATTAATGTTCATCCCTTGTGTTTAATTGTTGAGATATTTTAACAAATTAGACTAAAAATAAAAAGTACTTCGGACTCTTATTCATTTCGTTTGTCTGTGTAACAATTGACTGATTGTTGCAATTAGCAAATTGATTCAACTGATTGATATGAATATTCAATATTAATGATCCCATTCAATTTCAATATCACCAGAATAGATCACAAAAAACGACTCTTTTAATCTTGATCATTTCAAGATTTTTATCATTGCTGCTTAGTAATTATCGATTATGAAACAAATGTTGATTGTTGATTTATTTAGTTCAGTTAATTTGTTTTACCATGTAAACAAACAACCATTACTTTTTGTTTATAATTGTGCAAGAGAAAGTTTGTTAATTACATTTGATTGGTAGAAAAGTGAACAGATAATTTATAGATTTAATTACAGGTCGAAAAAAAGTAATTAATGATTTCTGTTGATCGCCGGGAAGAAAATCTTATCCAAATGATTCCATGCTTACCACCTAAGGTCCCGTGTCGGATTTGCTTCGATGAATCAAATGGTCGGTACTTTGGTTATCATTTGTGTGCATCGTGTAAGGCTTTTTTCCGTCGAAATGCCGATAAAAAAGAGGTAAGTCTTTAGTCGTCTTCGACTTTGTTTTATTTCAGATTTTGATCACTGTTCGTTTTTTTCGTTCTGCTTCCCATTCAGAAGTTCATCTGTACTTTTAATAATAATTGTGAGATGAATAAGATCACAAGACGTCATTGTCGCAAGTGCCGATTGGAAAAATGTTTTGCCATTGGAATGAAACGGGAATGGGTTCGATTTGAAGATAAAAGAGTAGATGAAGGGAAGGACAAAGAACCCGTTCCAGGTACATCTGGTTACATTGGCACTAAACCTCATCACATCTCACACAGCAGTGAATCAGCTGATGAAGATGATGCCGGTGGGAATGGTGAAAGAAAAAAGTTATCAGCAGTATTTGATAATCTACTTGACGATCAAACACTTCATGGACTTTTAGAGGATCTTGATGAACAAACTGTTTCAATCGATGAGAATTATCAACAACAACTTGCAATGGAAACCGATTCGATCTTTCAAACTTGCTCTCAGCAATGTTTCAATTTGGGTGATGGAGCTTGGAACACGTGTGACGATGCTTGCTACTTCCATAGTGCACCAGAGTATTTCACCTCAACCTCTTACATTACCAATTGTGAGAATCAAGTTTGTTCAGGAATCTCACAACAACCTAATCAATCCGATGAGAAACCATGGGCATGGAAAATGCACCATTTGATGATCGCTTCCAATTTTATGCCGCTCAGTTTTCGCACTGAACTTTCCTCCCCTCGAGTTACACTCAATCACTTGGAACAAGAAAAACTCGACGAATGGGTCAACGTCTCCACGTCCATTTGTAACATTTCCGCTGGCGATTTCCTGAAGCTCTTGATATCCCAGGATTTTTCAATGTCATCGAATGTTGTTTAACTAGATTAGTCCCTTCTCTTAATACAGTCTCGACTTTTGAGTCGCTATCAATGGAAGATCGAATGTGTCTCATTAAGAGAAACTTTGCCGATATTCTATTGTTCAGAGCTACAGTTCTAATCGACATTCAAACAGAATCACTTCAAGTTAGTTCGAATTCAACCGTCAAGACAATTTTCCATTAATTTGATCTTATTGTTTTCTTTTAGATACCAAAAACACCCGTCGTTCTACAGCTAAGTGGACTTCGTAGCTTCGCAAGTTCAACTTATAATGCCTACATAAGTTTCATGAAAAGCCTGAGGCCAAACTGGCGAACCGACACCAAAGCAAATATGCTCGTTATGGCTATCATGTTATTCAATCCAGACACACCGAATTTGCAGAATCCTGACATTATTAGGTCGTAATCCGGTTTCATTGATTTCGGTCTTGATCAGTCTAACTAATTGTCTATTTCTAATTACAGGCTCCATCAATTCAATTATGTTTACCTGTTGAAACGTTACCTTGAATTCCGGTGCTGTTTATTTTGTAACTCTCGTTGTGACTTTTATGATCTAATGATGAAAATTGGTGAATTTCAAGAAACGATCCACATCCGGGAAAATATCATCGAACTGGCCTTTCAATTCCGTGAAGCTGTTGGTCCACTTACGAGTGAGATATTGGGATTTTTGTGAGATCATTTTGTCGCCATCTTTTCACTTACGATTAATCGTTAATTATATTAGTAAATAAAAGTCGCTTTCTTTTTGGAAGTGGTCAATTTAAATGCTACATTATTAAGTGAATTTGTAAATAAACGTAGGTTTATAATGGAAGAAAAATATTCTAATTGTTGAGATTAAATTTTTAATTATTCTATTAAGCATCTTGATCTTTCGTTCAGGGTAAGGTAAATTCAAGGAAAATAATAAAATGAACAAATTAAATAGTAATTATGAAATTTAAAAAGTTGATAATCGATTTAAAAAAAAGAATTCACGTTGAGGGTGTTAAAAGAGACGATTAATTAAATTTTTAATCAAAAGATCTTTTAATTCAGAGAAAGTTAATTAAATCAGAAAGAAAGAGAGATCTGTTTGGTGGCAATCAGCAAATAGGACAATTATGAATTGATGGTGATGACAATTTAAGATGAGAGTCAATGAATTAACTTCAAGCTTTTTTGATTGCGAGGAAAAGAGAGAGAGAGAGAACGAAAAGTTTAAAATCTTAAATAGTTTTTGTTCTTGTTCATAAATGTATCGAGTGAAGACCAAAATTTGAGTAAATTGGCTCGATCTAAATGTCGCTTATTTCGAGATAATTGGATTACTTCTACATTCCATTTGGAGACATTGGAGTCGAGCTTCATTTCGTCCCATTTTATGTGAAAAGCTTTAATTCTGGAAAAGATGTCAACTGGATTTCCCTCCCAAGGCCAACCTTTGAATTGCCATGCAGGTCCTTGGACGAAAACGGCTACAACCCTGTCCCAATCTCCCTCACCTAATTTAAGGATATTGTTAATCACTCTATAAGGTACCGTTGTAATTTCACCTTGTTTACGGCGTTGGATTAAAATCTCATTGTCTCTTGGCATTTCACCGGCGTTACTTTCTATGAATTTAAGGTCTTGGAGTATAGATTTAGCATTGGCAAGAGTTATCAATGAGGTTGTTGTGGAAGGTATAATGATGATTGGAGTTTTTGAAGTTCGTTTTTTACCAGCTGATCCTGGTGACTGGTTCATTACTGATGTCATTGGAGAAGGTATAGAAGATAATACTTTTGATAATGCAGGAGTTGATGGATGATTTAATCCTGGACTGTTTGCACTGTCATTCAGATTACTATTTGGTCCAATATCTGTTACATTTTTAAGATTAAAGCCGTGATAAGATCCTGTTGTATCGATTCTGAATTCGTTTGATGGTGCGCTGCGATTGAATCTTTCTTGATCGTATCGATTGTACTGTTGGGTTGTCATCATGTTTGGAGGTGGCATATTAGGGTTCATGCTATTTCCACCCATGGGAGTACTGTTTGGAATTCTTGAAACCATTTGATTCATATTAGAACCATTCATTTGACTGTTGGAATATCCAGCTCCCATTGGAATATTTCCTGGTGGTTTTCTTTGGTTAATAGCTGATGAGCCTTCTTCTCGAACTTTAATTGCTTGAATAATGGGAAAAATTGATTTGGCAAAATTCTGAAAAATATGAACATAAGAAACAATTATTATGATTGATATAAAGATAGTAATTGAAGCAGTTTAGTAAGATGAGACCAACCTTGCCAGTTGATACCAGAATGGTAGATCTGTTCCTCCAAACTCTTTCTTTTGATTGAATTTCTCGAGTAACACTAGCATCATATTTGAAAAGAATCGATGAAGGTCCAGTGAGAGAGCTTGTTGGAGCTGCTGTACCAGTACCGGTCAAAATAGCTCCATCTTTTTCGAATTCATTTTCAGCATCAATAATTGTCATTCGCTTTTTAGCCATACGTTTAGCCTATCAATTTATAGAAAATAGAAAGAAAAATAAATTAATAAAGAGTAAACTTAATATATAAATAAACATCATATTCTGTTTACCTTGAGAGAGGCAATTTGTTCAAGAGTCAAAGCCTCTTTGAGAGAAGTTGCTGATGAAGATGCTGCAGAACCGATACCTCTCAGACCGAGTAATCCTGCCGCTGTTTGACCACCAGCAGCATCGATTAATTCCGATTTTTTGATTTTAGGTGCATCTAAACGATCTGAAAACTGTTTCTTTGCTTCTGTTAAGAAATGTTTGCTATCAACCTTGAGCTTCTTTGGGTCACTTTCATTCTCATCTTCTGCAGCCTCTGCTCCAGTTGAATCACCAGATCCAAGTTTACCTAAAGATCCAACGGGTCCTTTATCATCATCTTTACCAAATTTAGCTTGAATCTCGTGTAAAGGTATTGGTAATTCGAGTGGCGCACTTCGATCAATTGATTGTGAAGTAGCTGATTCACCAGTCAAATAAGCGAGCAAATCCTTACGATCAGGTCTTCTGACAACAGGAACACCTTGAGCTGCTGCTTGTCGAACATATGCAGGATGTTGCATCTCTTTATTTCGTAAGAAAAAGTAAAGACATTCCAAGGTATAAAAATCTTTATTCGGTCCATCTCGAGATGATCCATAAGAAAGGTAATTTGTTTTAACATTCTTGGGCCAACAAGATTCACCGAAACAAATATAGTCATTTTTCTCAATAATATCCTTTTTGCTAACATTGTACTGTCGAAGAAGAGATAAAGGATCAGCCATAGTAGAATTATTTTAACTTTAAATTAACACAATAAGCCACAAGAGCAAAATATAAAAGAAAGAAAAATCAAAACAAAATTAAAACAATCAAAGGATGTAACAATTTAAGCAGAAAAAAACTGTTTCTTAATGTTGATGGAATCCAAAGTGAACTTGGATTCGAATAATATTTCGGATCCAAGCTTCAAATGGTATATTCGAGGTGTTATACTTTGCTTTTTAACTTTTAAAAGCTTTCAAGTGTTCAAGCTTAAACTAATAAACGATTAGAATTTATTTTTTAACCATTTTAATCAACTAATTAAAGTACAATTGAGACAAAACGAGTGACCAAAAGTTGGATCGACTACTCGGTATCTAAGATATTCGAGTAATGGATTCTAGTGCCTTCGGTTGCCAATGGCAACCGTTTCTGTCCATCCACAGTTGCATGTGAGTCTAAACCTGTGTCTCTTTAATTGTTTATCATTTGATTTATTTTGTTTTTTGTGGTTTTGGTTTAATTGTTACGATCATGGGTAAGAAAGTTTATGCCTTGAATAAGGCTGAAGTTGAGGCTAATCGAAAGGCTAAAGAGGAAAGAAGGAAAGAAAGGGAAAAGGTCGGTGCTCCTAAGCAAATTCCTCGGACCATTGAATCAACACGTGAACCTGATGATACTTGGGTTGATCCTGAAGATGAAGAGGTTAAGGAAGATGCAGCTTTGGATCCTATGGCTAATTATTTTGCTCGAAAGAGAGCCTAAAGTACTTATTACGACAACTGATAATCCGCATACGAAAACAATCAAATTTTGTCGAGAGTTGAAACAATCTTTGGAAACTGCTGAGTTTCGTTGGCGGAATCGAATGCCCATTAAACAGATGTGTAAAGGTTTGTTTCTTATTTTTTTTTGTTAATTTTTTAATCTCTTATTAACTTTTTGGTTCTTTTCTTACAATAGCTGCTTCGAAGAGAGATTTTTCTCATATTATCATAATCAATGAAGATCAAAGGAAACCAAATGCTCTTCTTTTAATTCATTTACCTAAAGGACCGACATGTTTCTTCAGATTATCTTCTGTTAAATTTTGTGAACAGATTAAGAATCGTGCTAAGATTACCAAACATAGACCAGAGGTTATCATGAACAACTTCAATACAAGAATTGGTCTTACAATTGGTCGAGTATTGACAAGTTTATTCCATTTTGATCCAGAATTTCATGGTCGGCGTGTGGTTACATTCCACAATCAAAGAGATTACATCTTTTTCAGGCATCATAGGTAAATGACTTGACTTAATTAATTGTTAATAGGTAAAAGAATCTAATCACAATCCCGATTTTTCAGGTATCAGTTTAAAAATGGACAGAAAGTGGCTCTTCAAGAAATCGGCCCAAGGTTTACGCTGCGATTAAAATGGGTTCAAAATAGTACCTTTGACACTAAATTCGGGGAATTTGAATGGGTCCTCAAGGTGAATTATTTAATTGTTTTCATCGACGATTCTTTATCTCTAATTGTTTTTTCTCTTTTATCATCAACAGAGACACGAAATGGAAACTTCAAGGAGAAGATTTTTCCTTTGAATTATTTTTATTCTGGTTTAATTTTCTCTTATTGTTCAATTTACAACCTGTTTAATCAATTAATACACACAATTTTCCATAATTAAATTGTAAATATTCAAATGATTCATTTCTTTATCATTCGCGAATCAAATGTGAGATATTCTCATGTTTTAAGTGAAGAAGTTAAATGTAAAGGTTTAATTGAATTTTGATGAAAATCAAGTTGATTGATTCCTGATACAATGAAGAGAAAGAGCTTAATGGAACAAATGTTTAATGAGGCTTTAGAAATCAGAATAGTATCTTTGTATTTTTCATGCAATAATTAAGAGAGAATTTAAGATTTCTAATTAAATTATTGCACTGGATGTTGAAAAGCTCCAGTCGATGAAAATGTACAGCGTAAGTCTGATGAGAAGTTACCCAATTGAAAATATATAATTTTTCGATAATATAACGATTGAGAGAATTAGTGAAGGTTGTCCATAGAGTTGAGAAATTTTTTACTAAACTAGAAACAGTTACATTGGCTTGTTGAATCCTTTCTTTTTCTTGGTCTTCTCTTTCTTGAACTCTTTTCCTTTCAAATTGGTGAATGGATCTGGAGTTTTACCAGTGATTTTGAAGCTTGAATCTCCTCCAAATCCTGAAGCTCCATCAACCTTGACTCGTCTAAAAGGTGAAGTCTTCCTTTTCTGACTACCTGGAGTAAAGCTCTGAGGTGAGTCTACACTTTTGGCCTTACCATCGGGTTTTGGAGTGAATTTGTTTCCTGTTGCTGGAGTTTTAACTTTCTTTTTGGGTTCATCATCAGAGTCTGATTCACTCGAATCGGAATCTTTAGATTTTTTAACTGGAGTTGCCACCTTGGGAGGCACTCTTGTTGTGACATTTTTTTTGGGCTTTTTACTTTTTTCATCACTGTCATCATCGTCATCCTCGCTTGAATCGGAATCTTTTTTAGCTGCGACTGTCGGTTTGGCCTGAACAGGGGTTTTGGTTATTGGTACTGGTTTTTTAGCTTTCGATTTTTTTTCATCTTCACTTGAATCAGAATCACTATCATCTGAGCTTTCTTGTTTTTTAGGTGTTGCTTTTGCATCAGCCTTGGCAGCTACTGGTTTGGTTGGCTTTTTCGCATCTTCTTCATCGGAATCGGAATCGTCACTTTCATCATCATTGTTAGCAATTTTTTCGGAGCTCTCGGATACAGATTTCGGTGTGTTTTTACCAGTTGGCGCAGCTCCTTTAACAGCAGTTGGCTTTTTAGCGGCAACAGTAGCAGGTTTAGCTTTCTTGGCATCATCCGATTCATCATCTGAATCAGAATCCTCAGAGCTTTCTGCTTTACCTTTACCTGTGGCTGGTTTAGCTGTAGCGGTATTAGCAGCAGGTTTAACTGGAGATGTTACTTTCGGGGTGGTGGTTGCTTTCTTAGGTGGTGCTGCATCAGAGTCAGAATCAGAATCATCCGAATCACTATCAGCCTTTTTGGATGCTGCTGAAGGGGTCAATTTAGCTGCAGTTGATTTAGAGGTAGCAATGGTAGGCTTAACAGCGGCTTTTTTTGGAGCACTCTCCTCTTCAGATTCATCAGAATCGTCAGATGATTCTGCTTTCTTAGAAGCAGAAACAGGTGTCGGTGCGACTTTAACTGGTGATTTAATGGGAGATTTAATAGCTGGGGCAGTCACCTTGGGCTTTTTAGTATCCTCAGAATCATCAGAATCAGACGATGAAGATTCTTTGGAGACTGATGGCTGGGCACCATTATTCGGTAAATTACTCTTTGCAGTTTTCATCTGCTTACCAGCCAGATTATTCAAAACAGCTTGTACTGTAGCTGAGTCTGCTTTCGATTTCTTAGGTCCTGGTCCATTGCGCATCGGGGATAAAGGCCGCTTTGTACCATGAACCAAAATAGAACCAATGACAAAAGCCAATTGACCAGCAACATTAGCACTCACCTCTAATTTGGCCGCTTTTCGGAAAACTTCAGCGGCTTCAGGGTAACATGCTTTAATATAGTTATATACAAGGATATCTTTCTGTTTTTGCTCAGACATTTTGGAAACAAAGTCAAGTCAGTGATCAAAAGAAACACAGCGATATGAGGTAAATTATTAAACAGAAAACGAGGTAGAAAAGGGAATTAAATCAAACTAATAAAAAAACCACGAATTTTTATCAGCAACATTAAAGAGAAGCTCAAACGCATTTAACGAATTTTAAAAATGGAATCAACAACGTGCATTGAATTTCCTTTTCGAAAGTGGCTCCATCTCTCTTCTTTTATATCAACTATTACTTTCGAATTTTTTTCAACTTTTTCTCCCATAGCAACAGATTTTTTTCGCAATGAGAAAAATATTCTGACTGTTGAGTGACAATTAACTGATTCTTTTAAATTTGTGTTCTTCATTTAACTTGATTTCTTTTTATTATGGATAATTTTGAATACAATGACTATTCAAATTATTCCAACCAAGGGTTTGAAGGTGTTTATTCCCAATCTTGGCGTGAAAAAGGGAATGATGATTCAGTTTGGCAAAAACTAAATGAACTTAAAAAAGATTTGGTGAGATTTTTGAGAAAACATCCAGATCAATTTGAATTCCAAAAGAATTGTACTTTCGCGATCCGGGAAAGGGTTCTATGGCTGCTTAACCTTTTTATGAATTCTAAGAAACCGATTGGCATTTTAACCCGAAGCAAATGGGGTAATGTTCTTCTTGACGAAAAATTGGGTGTCCGTTTGAAAGAAGATATTGAAATATACAACCTCATTGGAAAAGAGAAAAGGGGTCGTATGTTGGCCCTTCTTTGTAGAATTTTTGTCAATATTAATTCTAATGATTTCGCTACTAAAAGGTAAGCTAATTAAAACTCTAAACATTTCTCTTTTTAATTCGTTATTCTTTTCTATATCTGTCCTTAGAGAGCTTTACTATAGAGATAAAAAAATTTATGAAAAACAGGCCAATTGTGACTCTTCGATTGAAGATCTATGTTGTATTACCCATTATTCCCGAAAAGAATTACATATACTCTCTTGCCCAAAAGGTTCAATCTATGGTAGAATCGAATACAAGTTGGACAATATCACTTACAACTGTATGGATTATAAATATGTGAGTTATGCCGTAAACCTGTATTGGTTTAATGTAATACTAAATTACATAAATTTCATTGTTTCCAGGGTTTAACCATATCTCCAGATATGAACGAAATGCAGGAAATTAAAACTGACGCAAGGTTCATTTTAGTAATTGAAAAAGACGCTACTTTCCAACATCTGCTGACCCGACGAGTCGTTGATAAATTTCCAGCTATTCTCATAACTGGTAAAGGTTTTCCTGACGCCGAGACAAGACGTTGTGTCAAATTTTTATCAACTAAATTGAAAATACCAGTTCTTGGATTGGTCGATTGTAATCCATGGGGATTGGAAATATTCTGTATCTATCGGTTCGGCTCCTTGGCGATGGCACATGATGCCATGCATTGTACTGTCATGCCTTCAAAATGGTTAGGACTTTTACCAACAGATTTGGTTAAATTCAATATATCTATAGATCAAACGGAAGAATTAAACGAAAGAGATTTAGCCAAGATAAACTCACTTAAACGTCGACCTTATATCACACAGAACAAAGCGTTATTGGATGAATTAGAGTTCATGTTGAAGAATAACCGTAAAGCTGAACTTCAAGCTTTAGTAAATGTTGTCGAGACTTATCTTCCAATCAAGATAAAAGAAGGCTCTTGGAAATGAGACCAAGAAAACTAATAATTTTTCATTCCATTCTACTGAAAATCAAAATTCAATCAATTCAATTGAAATTTATGGACATTAAAATAAAAGTCAAGAAAAAAATGTTAATTACTGGATTTATTTGATTTGATTTCTCTTTGCACTTTAGATTAGCTTGTTGACAAGAATTTTAATACAAAATGTGAACTAGTTTGGTAGTCGAAAGCGATTTGATGATTAATCCAATTCAAAGGTGAGAACAATCATCTTGTTATTTTGATTAAAGGCACTTGAGTCAATTGTTGTATTGCTTCAAAATTATAAATGTAACGACCGATTAAGATATGGCTTTGATTTTAGTAGAAATCAATTGACACTAAATTAGTTTTGATTTTAGATCAGGATAAAATGAACTCCATGGAATCGATTGGCACAAAGGAATAGTCGCTCTTTCACATTTATAAGATTTTCTTATTGAACACATATCGTGAACTGTCCAGAACTTTTCGAGTAATTCTAGTGACCATTCAATCAGCTGTTTTCCACTCTTCATGGAATTAATTGTTGCTTGATTGTCCAAGTTTTGTGGGTCAACACGAAGCTGAAGAAGTCGCTCAACTGCAGTGAAATTGTGCTGCAAATATTTTCCTTCAGCGGGTCCATTGTGCAAAGAAGCGGCGGTTAATTCATCTAAGAAATGGCCTTTGCTGAACACGTTCGGTAGAACAAGGAATTTAATCTCAGCAATTGGCTTCCATTTATAGAGAATAAATAATTTCCATTCTCCTGGACGCAAGGGAAGATTAAAATTGGGTTTATGGTAAAGACTAGTAGTCTGATCGTTATTCTTGACCGTTTGTGGCCATTCAATTTGAACTTCGAATGATCCAGCAACACGTTCAACAGGATCGATCCAAACAAAAGAAACAGATAAATTTGTCTTCCCATCAGATGACCATCGATGATTTACTCCAATTTCGGAAAATGGGTTTAAAATACAACCGAAATTGCGAAAAATTTGTTCCTTCATATCGAAATCACTACAAACCTATGAAAGAGAAAATAAATTATCTGCTTATTGTAATTTAAATTTAAGAACTGGATAGTTTTATCTCACCTTAACAGAGACTAATTTTAAATCTGACCTTATTTGGCGATTAATTATCTTGAAATTATTCACTGGATGAGAATAAGTTTCATAGAGATGAGTTGAATCCAACTCATTGTTGGAATTTGTAAAGGATACAAGTGAACCCATATACGAATCATTCTCGAAGAAAATGTGACCTTGTTTGGCTTCGATTGATGTGAATATGGATTCGAGTGAAGGTTTAACACTGTGACAAAGCTGATGAATGTGAGATGAACTAAGTAGTGAAAGTAGATAATAAAAACTATGCTTAGCATCATCATGAATATCAAACTCATTGTGATAATCATTTTGCCAATATTTATCGAAGCTTAATTGGCCTACTTTTCCTTTGGTTTTTGATATTAGCATCTCAATTCGGTTGATAATCTCTTGATTAACAGCGGGTTCAAATTTACGAGCAAAAAACAAGGGCTTTTCTAAGCTGTCCACAATCGACGATATGACGATATTGACATTTACACCCTTGGCTTCGTCTCCAGTTGGTCACATGTAGATTATTATCAATGATGGTATCACAAAAAGCACTATTACGAAGTACAGTGTGGAAAAAAGTCTAGGGAGAAAATGGAAATTATTAGATTTTAATCAAAGGTTAATTAGTTAGTCTTTCTTACTTCAGCAGGTAAAAGAGTATATTTGAAGAAAACACGTAATCCTCTGAGTAGATCATCGTCATTATCGACAATGTACTGACAAAAATCTCGAGTCAATGCTACCCAATCGCTTCCACCATCGACTTCGATTCCAGAGGGAATCTTACGATCCCCTAATCTCCACATATGATTTTCACATTGATGGAAAGTTTTATCTAATCCTTGTTTTATCAGAAATCTTTGAGTATCTTGACCATGAGATTTAACAAAGTTATGACCATAATTGAATGAGAGAAAATTTTCCAATTTTTGAAGAGATCTATTGAAAAACATAATATGAATGTGATTAAGTTTTTCTTCTGATTTTTAGCAAACAAACTGATTGACTCACTTTATTGGGAAATCGCTCTCACTGAGATTTATAAGGTAGTCCCAATTCTTGTATTGCATCAATTCAGTAAAACTGTTGATCAGCATTTCTAATAGACTAGCACCTCCCCAGATTGTAGAGAGACGGTTTCGAGATAATTTAACATTTGGCAACGTTTCTAATGGAAGAAGCTCTTTGAAAAGATAATCTTGACGCTGGAATGATAAGAGAAATCAGATCAGTCATTAGAATCCATTCTAAAGACTACACTCCATAGGAGAGGAAAAAACTAACCTTATCGATATGTATAAAATAAGTATGTTGATGACTGTAAATTGCTTTGATTAGTCTAGTGATTTGGCGCACAGAGCGACCATTAAATGTCAATACGAATGCGATCCGAACGGATTTGGAGTGTATTCCTGAGTAATTGTTAACCGAATCTTTTTTCTTGATATCTGAAAAGAAAAGAAAACAAAATTAAGTAATTAAACAACTATTGATTAGCTAATTGAAGCATACTTTGATATGGACAATATTTTGGAAGATTTTTAGGAAATAATTGGCCAGATTGCATCTGACAAGCGACATTAGACAATTGCTTTTTACAATCAATTGTTTTGGCTCTATTAATGGCGTAAATGGCATCTTTGACAACGATTGAACAATTAGGAATGAAGCCTAAACTTGACAAATCCAACTTAGAATTAGTTTTGACACTGGTTAATTTATTACCAACAATTGTTGAACGATGAGATGATGACTGAGATTGTATGGAATGGTCAGTTAAACTGGATGGTCTGATTAATTCATTTCTCCTCGATGATTTAGCTGCTTCACTAGGTAAATACTCAGAGGAAACCCTCTGTAGATTGGGTTTATTCAATTTCTACAAAAAAATATACATTAGCATCTATATAAACTCTTTGCTTGATTGTTCAATTAAACTATTAAGTATTGATACTCACTTTGAATCTTCCATCTTGTAAAAATTGTTCTTCAAACTGATTAGAAGCATAGAAAGACAAGGCGAGGAAAAACTGAATCAAGAGAATTGTCAATGCAATGAAAATGAATAGCCCATATTTCCTAGAATATTTGTGCATCCTACAGAGAGGCTGTTAGAGAAAAGAAATAGATAATAATAATCAGAATCATTTAAATAAAAGAAAAAGAAAAGAAAATAACAAATGATTTACCTTAACATGGGAAAAAGGAAAAGGTTAAAATTGTTTACCAATAATATTCTCAGTGGTAAACTACAATTAACATGTTAGGAGCACAATTTATCCCAACCATTTGTACAAATACGAAATAATTGAGCTAACACGATGTCGAGTTAACTAAATTAATTAAAAATCAATAATTAAACGATAGTAATAAAATGTTGATAAAAGTAAAAGAATTGAAAATGAAAATGAAAATAAAAATAATGGAAAAGTTGTCGAGCCTTCGCCAGATGGCGTTGGTGTCGTTCGATTTGAAATTGGAATTCAAATTGAGATCAACATAATTAAAGATTCACTTTTGTGATTACAATTTATTAGTTGATTAATCATTTGGCCTTTCTCTCCACTTATATTAATATTTGTCTCGCCAACAATCAGTCTAATTTTGTTCCAATTGTTTCAAATCAATGAGACAATCATTTGAGAAAAGATTTTGTGATAATTATGAGATTAGTTAATTACAACAAGTGATTGTTTTGTTTCGCTTTTTTTTGTTTACTTTTTTGTTTCTGTTTTTTTCACCTTTAATCACCATGAGTTTCTTGATTCCTGAGAGTCACTTGGAAATTATCGAAAGTGATCATTCAATTGAAAGTGACTCCAATGAAGTAAAGTTAAATTCTCGCCTCATCTCAATGTCTCATGATTTCAGTGGCGATTGTGATGATGACGAGGGTAATGTTATTGTCGATGATGATGATGGTGATGTTACTGATCTATTTCAATCAAGTCAAGTCAATTTAATTACAATTCCGTCCAATGGTAACGTAATTCAAGTGCCTTCTAACCTTTTGGTGACATCGGACAACAGTTTGATTCTTTGTCTTCCTCCAGAAGGAATTACCTTTCAAGTACAATCAACATCACCTCTCGATTCATCATTAATGGAAACAAATATCCATGAGATTTATGACTCATCTAATTTTAATCAATCTTCTCTTTCCTCTTTATCTTCTTCTCCTCCTCCTTCTTCTTCTTCTTCTTCATTGTCATCGTCATCATTATCTTCACCATCATTTACAACTTTAACTCCGATCACTTTTCCCGATTTGATAGAAAAATCAACAACCGTCTTCGGTGAAACAATTGAAGTCTCACCAGAAATTCAACTGGAAAAAGCTCAAATTTGGCACAAAGATTCACAATTAGCGATTGTTGCTCTCGCTGCTCTCAAGGCAACAAACAATTGACTCTAATCAACTAATTGCAATAATCTATATCCATATTAACCCACAAATCTATTTAATACATCAATCACTAGTATTTACAATGTAAAGTCTTTAGAATAGCCTTTTAAATTTTGTTCGTTTTTGTCAATTTCTAGCCAATTCTTGGCAGTTTATGAATCTATTCTTGTAACAGATTATCTTTATAATGGAAAAGTAATTGGAGGCAGAATTTTCTGAGAAAAGTGCCCCAATAAAAAGAGGAAGGTAAATATGACAATTGGAACAAAAGTCGATTCAAACAAAGAATTGTGAGTTCTATTCGAACCAGAGAGAACACTGCTAGATACTTTCGAAATTCAAGTTCGATGATTGATGAATCAATTAAAAACATCTCGAACAGTCCGACTGATAGAAAAGTGTTGACACAAAAATGAAATAAAAATTTGATATTCGAAAGGCCAATGATCGTCTCTTTTTATTTGATTGGTCACAATTACGATGGTCAGTTAATGGAAAGCATTACTTTCAAAAACGAAACTGATCTGACGATGAGAATTAACAAAATCAATTAATTCTCAAAGTAATTAGATTTCATTTTTCTCAAATGAAATTTGATGTAAAAACTTGATTTTGACCTGAGTTCTAACAGAGACAAACGAGCTTTTGCACGAGTCAAGAAGGTTAATTAAAATGGAAAAAACTGTAATTAGAAATTTTCAATTGGTTCAAAATCGATTGATGGAAATGTTTTCATTAATCTGTTATCATGATGATTTGATGATTGGTTGAATTCATTGATTTCGTTATTTGGAGGGAAAAATTAATTATTAGAATGAAATTAATTGATATGATAAAAGAAATTAAAATGAGTAATTAGCTATAATTAGCTAATACATGTATATTTTTCTTTATTGTTTATCGACTTCTAATATCAATGTTAATAATACTAGTATAATAATTATGTGGTTTACAGAGACAGTTAAGGAAAACTTTAATTGCCTTGTAATTGTTTTTGGTTGAAACACAATAAATGCCAATAAAAACACTGAATTTTTCGTCAAACAATTAAATAAATGATTAAATTAAAAGCATGAGTTTTAACGATAAAAATGAACAATTAAAACAAAAATATGACCAGAATTTTTGATTGTTAATGTATCGTAATTAAATTAAGAGATTTCTTCATTATCGGTACTGAGAATGACTTCAAATGAAAATGGTTGGAAAATGTATCCATCACCTTTATAGAATTTGCTTTGAAATTCAACCCAATGTAATCTGAGAGCATGAAGGAAAGCGCTCAAACCCTCCATGAGTAAAAGAACAGCGACAGTTAAACAAGCCCATGCTGCGAAAATGAAATACATTGTGAATCCTCCAGCGATCTTTTCACCCGTCAGACCAATTCTAAGAACCATATTCCATAGGACTTCACTCAACTGAGCGTGAGCCAAACTTAAAGCCCAAAGTCGAAGGTAAGAAGCGGTATGGGAAATGGATCCTAAGCAACATTCAATTGTGTGAATAATCTGATGGATGATTATGTCTGCAAGATCAAATTCAGCATCATGTCCTAATCCACCGGTAACTTGAGTATCAGCATTTTCCATGGAAACTGAGACTTCACCTTCACCATTGTAATTTTCACTGTTATTAAAATTTAAAGCAGCCATTCGACGAGCGTCATTTTGTTTCTTGAGAAAATAGGGTTTGATACATAACATCCATGGAACACAAGCAATGGCGACCATCAGGAGAACAGTTTGGAAAAATTGTTGCCCCCAGTACATTGGTGCTAACGAACAAGGAGCATCGGGATACTTGTAGAGAAACATGTTGATCAGTGTGATTAAAAGTGATGGGGCACATCCTGATTTCGAGGAATCGTATGAAATCCATTTGGATAAGATGAGAATGTTGAGATAACCAAAGATGGATAAGAGGAAAATAATTTGTGGCACAAATTCACACAGGATATTGAGACGATTATTAAAATAACGATGATTGTAGAAACCAAGGACAATACCAAAGACCATTTGACCAACTCCAAGAAGAACAGAAAGTTTCATCTTATACGAATTCAAGAATAAGATTTTATTTCCAGAGACTTGCCAAATTGGATCCATACCAAACCAATAAGGTGAACCTGAAAATTGTCTCTGTGGGTCCAACATCATACTCTCCTTGTAAAGACCTTCCTTGGGTAATGGTGATGCTCTCCAAGAAGATCCAAAGAGATTTAATGATTTGGAGAAAATGTCATTATAAATGAGACCAGTGTAGATGGAAAAGATTCCCATCAGAAGGATCAAGTATCTACCTCCGAAGAAGGTGTTGAATATTTCATTCGATTTGGCCTGAACGGCGATTCCTTGCTCTTTGAGAACCATCCAGAGAGCGATAAGTGTCATCAACAAGCCATGACCTGCATCACCGAACATAACAGCGAACAGAAATGGAAAAGTAATTATAGTAAATGGAGCTGGATTAATTTCCCGATAAGCTGCAACTCCATAGGCATTGACTAAGTTTTGGAAACCTTGAGTATATTTATTGGTTCGATTGAATGTTGGTGGTATTTCTTTAGTGTCCATTCGGTTCAAAATCGACGGAACAGATGATCCACTTCGATCTGTTCCTCTTCTCAATGCTATATGAATTCGTTCCATATCATCGACTGGACACCAGCATTCAGCGATCAAACATTTTCGGGTAAGATCCAAATTGAACATATTCAATGTTAAATAGATCGCTTTGATTTTCCTAACTTTAATAATCCAATTTTTGATATGCTTAGCAGCAGCAACTAATACACGATGACGATGTTCAGTTGTTTGCTTGAGAACGGTGTTTAATTCATCAATTCGAGCAACAACACCAGCAATCATTTCCCTCCGATCAGCTGCTGTTTCTGGACATGGATAAAGAGTTGCCCTAAATCCTTCACAAATCTTTTTAACTCGAGATTTTAATTGTTCTCCTTGAAAGAAAATAATGAACACCGATTTGTAGACATTATCACCGGTAACTGGATCTTCCAATGGTTTCTCAATTTCGGCCTGACGTAGGAAGACATTACCTAAGCAAACTCTCCATAACATCCGCTCAAAAGCAGGTAAACGCTCTCGCAAGATAACACCAGCTAAGAATCTAGAAACAGAGTGAAAATTGATATTTTTAACAGTTAAACGAATGTTACTCATGAGAAATAAACTTACCCTAATTTCATTTGTGCTTGTCCACCAGCTCGTAATCCCTCCTCTCCAAGAAGTTGAGTCGATTCGTCACCCATTCCAGTTTCTTGTATCTGTGATATTTGACTTTCACAATCAGCTTCATATAAAGTACGGTAGCTCATAGATGTAGGTAGGGAAGTGAGTAAAGGAGGGAAATCGGGTGCAATCTATGCATTCGTGGGTTGTTAGTGCAAAGGTTGACAGTTAACATAAGAGGGAAAAAAATAAATCTAATTAAAACAAGCTACTTACAAAGAATGAGAATCAAAACAATGAACATAAAATTCAAAGGACGAAATATAAAGACAGGAAAATGGTGACAAGACAATATAAAGTTTCATTCGATAGAGCAAAACGTTGGTGCAAAATAAGCGGGTAATGAACATGCAATTAACTTGTTCAGTGTCTGTGATAAATTGATAATAAATAAATAAAAAAGGTAGATCGGTAGATCGGTAGATAAAGTGGTATCGATTGAGGATGGTAGAAAACGAAGCTGATAAATTAAAATAGAAGAAAATTTTACCTCATCGAAAAATTGTTGAGTTTTTTTGAGAATATGTTTCAATTCAGTTAATTCAAGATAAGTTTTCTTAAGAGCTTCAGCATTAGAATTAACTTCTTTCAATTCGTTTTCAAGTTTCTCGAATGTTGTTTCCAATTCAATCATTTCTCTTGGTAATGGAGCATCAGGAATATCTCCCATATCTGATATTGGAATCTCATCTTTTTTAATTTCCTTTTCAAGGACTCCTGGAAAATAAAAGAATATCATCAGAATAGGAAACAAAAGAGAAAGAAATTTAGATGAAATAGAAAAGGTTGATATTAAATAATAAAAGATAAATAAAAAAATTTTACTAACTCAATTTTCTTTCCATTTCATCACAGCGACGAACCTCCAATACAAATTTCCTTTGGAATGCATTAACATCCGGATTAAGCTAAATTCGGAAAGAGAGAGAAGGAGAGAGAAGGAACAAGCAAATAAACAAAATGAATTAGTGAACATGATGTAAATTGTAATTTACAACATTTACTTACATCACGAAATTGTACTAAGCCTAATTCACCAAGTTCAGCAACACATAAATAAGCAGCTTCAGATTGGAGAAACAGTTGACAGAGACTCATTTCTTCACTACGTAAGAGAGAACCCATTTTGATTTCGTGTCGAAAGACACCTAACAATCACCAATAGAAGAAAAAAAAATGACTTCACCAAATGAAACAATAAATTAAACAACCGATTCAATAATTAACCAAATCAAAACAAACAGATTGACATTCGGATGAATCAGAAGAATCTACTTGTCTGAATCTGATTCTAACTCTTTGGATGTTACGAAAGGAAATAAGATTCACTAGTCGTCGCTTCATTTATTTATCATGTCGAGTTCTGGTTTCAAGGTTTTCAATGTTCATGGAGTTTTCATCATGGCAAAGAAAGGGAAACCATCATTGAGACAGAGAGAAGATGATAAAATGAAGATGTATATTCATCTGTGCATACTCAGTGTACATGTTATTATACAGGTTGGTTGAAAAAGATTCCAACATTTTATTTACCAAATGATTAACGTCAATCTACCTGTTGTTGTTGTTTAATAAGCGAGAGAAATTAACAGAGAACCTAATCTTAGACTTCACCAAATGAAACAATAAATTAAACAACCGATTCAATAATTAACCAAATCAAAACAAACAGATTGACATTCGGATTGAATCAGAAGAATCTACTTGTCTGAATCTGATTCTAACTCTTTGGATGTTACGCGAAAGGCGCCAAATACAATTTGAGAAAAGAAACTAATCCAAATAAGATTCACTAGTCGTCGCTTCATTTATTTATCATGTCGAGTTCTGGTTTCAAGGTTTTCAATGTTCATGGAGTTTTCATCATGGCAAAGAAAGGGAAACCATCATTGAGACAGAGAGAAGATGATAAAATGAAGATGTATATTCATCTGTGCATACTCAGTGTACATGTTATTATACAGGTTGGTTGAAAAAGATTCCAACATTTTATTTACCAAATGATTAACGTCAATCTACCTGTTGTTGTTGGTTTAATAAGCGAGAGAAATTAACAGAGAACCTAATCTTATCTGAACAATCAATTCTAATTGTGATAATTGTCTATTTCCTATTTTCTCACCTGATAAATTATATATTTCTCAACAATTTAACACCAAAAATCGTTTTATCCATTTGTCTATCCAACGTATTAATAAAAATCATCTTGTAATTTAAACATTCATCTCTGTGTGTTAACAATTAAAACTATTCTAATCTAATTACTGTGATCACTATGGAATCAGGTAAGTAAATTGATTCTAATTGTCAACTAGGTTCATCTCTAATTGTGAATTTCAATGTTCCATTTTGTTATTCCTCATCAAATGGATTCTCCTTCATCACTCATACTCATGGATGCAGAAAAAGATTACAGGGAGAAGCTTCTTCGTATGGTTAAAAAAGAGGTAACAATTAATTAATTGATTCTTTGATTGTAATTAATTATCCATCCAAATCTTCATTGACTTTCCATGTTAATTGTTATTCCAATCGATCAATTCTGAGTAGCTTATTGTTTGGGCTGAAGAGTTGGATTTGGAAACAATTAACTTTTCCATATGGTCATTTGTTGTTTGGACTTTGCTAATTTAATATTTTCACAATTATTGATTTGATTGTTGATCAATTTAGGTGCAGAGATCAATTTAACTTTCTCTTCAATTTTAATACCATTAAATTTAATTGTGGAGAAAGAGATACAATTAAAAAAAGTGTCAAGTTTAATTGACTAGAAATTAATTGACGAAAATTTTATTCTAAATTGTAATAATTTATATTCTAGTCAATTATAATTTATTGTTTTCTTTCACAAGAAGATTAAATATAATTTATTTTAATTCAGTTTAACAATCACCTTAATACCTTTGAATTGAAAAAAAAAATACAATCAAATGCTTAAAGAGTAGAAAACAACAATTTAAATATAAGAAATTAAATCTATTTGAATGACTGATCAATTAGGAAATAAGAGTAGAAATCTAATCATCTCTTAATTGTTATTGATTAAATTAAAGGTTAAACAAATCATGGAGGAAGCAGTTACCAGAAAATTTGTCCATGAAGAGAGCAGCAGTATAACCTCACTTTGTGGTAAGTTAATTAAACGATTGCAATTAAATTGTTTCACTGATCACAAATTTGATTGAAACAGTGGCTGTTGATGCTTGTCTTTCCCATGGACTTAAAAGACGAGCCCTGGGGCTATTTAAAACCAATTCAACAACAGCATTGTTACAAAAAGTTGCCAAAAATTTTGAACCAGCAGCAATTGTTTATAAGGCTGTTATTCAAATTGAAACCTCCGATCCAAGCAAGTGAGTGTAACAATTAAACTAATCATCTTTATTATTATCATAATTGATCAACTAATCAACCTTGGTGATTAACCTAATGATTACTTTTAATCATCATGTGATTGATATTCACGTTTAAATGTACAACTATCATATTGATGTATTATTATTATCATTTTGGATGAAACTTAATTTCAATCATTAATTTGTACCTTAAATCATTTGCTCTTACAAAACTTGATTAATTTTTCATTAATTTGATCTCACAAATGATCAAATCAAATGTTTCCATATGATTATTATTGTTGTTAAATCAAATAATCAGTAGCAATCTAATTTACTAATCACCAGGGAATCAATTTTGGGTTTAGAGTTAAAAAGATTTCCATTGATCGTAATCTTTATCATTAAATTAGATTAATGATGATTAAAAATTATATCAGTTGATTAAATTGTTGGAAATTTAATCTGTAACCATGATTGATTCAAATCCTTTAGATTTACAATTTAAATTAAAAAAAAAGTTAACTCAGTTTCCATTGATTATCAACCTTTTTGATACCATTGGGCAATCAAAAGGGAAGAGAAATATCAAGAAATCAATGAAAATGATTTATAATTGATTTTATTTTCTTTCTCTTCTCTTTCTGGTTATTTAATGATCACCAATTAAATGATTAAATTATAAACAATTAAAAGACGAACCTCTTCCAGCAGCGATAGTACCAATCAGCTACGAAACAAGATAATCACCAACAGTCCGACCAAAACAGCGCGTTACCTTTGGATACGAGTCGCTTTGTTTGAGAAACAATTAGTGGACATCGTGACCCATGTGGTCACTAATCACCACCAGTATTATGAGAAAGAGGCTTTGGTTGCCGACCCAGTGGACGGACAAATACTGGCCTCTCTTTTGGTCGGTCCTTGTGCTCTCGATTATTCAAAGATGAAAACTCAAGATCACTATTGGACTGATCCACCAGCCGATGAATTAGTTCAACGTAATCGTTTGGTTAATCCAAATTCAAATGGCCCATCGACCCCACCAGTGGGTAGAAAACCTTTAGGTTTACCCTTTCGTCGTGGACCAATCAGCGATTCACGAATATCATCTTCCTCTGATGAAAATCTCCGATTATCTTCATGGTCACCAAGAGATTATGTTGAATCTTTACACCAGAATTGTAAGACTACTTTACTCTATGGGAAAAACAACGTTCTCATCCAACCAGTGAGTATTTCCTCCGATTTATAATCAATGAGATTCTTGTTGTCAATCGTTTCAAATTACACGAAATTCATTCATAAATAATTCAATTCATTTACCATTGTCGATCTTTCAATTAAATCTCAATTTCTCTCTCTCTCTCTTTCTGTATTCAATAGACACTTAATTGTTTGATCAAAAGTGTATTAACTAACCCACATGATAATTAATTTGGTTAATTTACTTAAAACATTATCATGAGTCTCAGTTTAATTACAAATAATGTATTATTTGAATATATGATGAGTTCAATGTCATCTCTTGATCAATAAGGTTTTAATTATGATGATTAGTTAATTAAAACAATGATAATTGACTTTGTTTGTTTTCTCATTGATCAATTGAATTAAAGCTAGCAAAATGATTAGTATTAATTATGTTAATCTACTTTACAATAGGCTTAAAAAATCAACTATCGAATTCAATATTGTAAAAATTAAATTACTGCCATTGAAACAATTTACTAACAATCAAGAACTAATCAACTACATCCAATAATAATATTAACAAAATGATAATTTTCAGTATCATGATTACCAGTGATTATAATAAATGAGAAACTATTGATTAACTGAATCTAATTTGCTTGTTAATCCATGACAATCAAAATCATCACATTATAATTACATTCAACTCTATATTCTAGTAGTCTTTTTAATTGTATCTTTGTTTCGTAGTCATTACAATGTAATTTGAATTTACAATTTAACTCTAATTGTTACAGAGGGAAAATCTAGAAGCAATTCCTGGTTATTTATCACTCCATCAAACTCCAGCAGGATTAGTAATCAAATGGACACCTAATCAATTAATGAATGGATCAGCAAGTCTTGGTGAAGGTTCACCCAACGAGAACACAACTAATTCAACCTCAACCTCACAATCAACAGCAACAATTAACAATATAAACACACCAACAACAACAACAACTTCATCTTCAACAGCTCAAGATAAAAAGTAAGCAATTGATTTAATATTATGTTGGTTAATTGGTTTGATTTACTTTCATTTGACCTAAAAACAACAACACAATCAAGTTAATCAAAACAAATCATCTGAATGGGTTAATATTGTTTCAATTTCAATCAATAGTTTATTTTAGTTTATCATTTATATTAACTTACCAAAAGATTTACATTTTTTTAATCAAATTGAATTTCATGTATTGTTATCATTTGTCTTGATTGACAATCAAGATTAACTATTATATTGATCGTGATGACAATTTAATTCAATATGAGATGCCCGCTCCTTGAGATTGATTATCAACTGATAATGATTGTGACAATATTGTTATAATCATACTGATTTGATTAACCCAAAAACAAAACACAAAAAGTAATAAACTTAATCTGATCAACTTTAGTAATGACAATCAGCAATCAACAATCAACACGATCATCAATGGTTTTGTTATTATTGATCTTGAACCATCTTAAATCAATATTAATCATTGGGAATGATGATGTTTGTAATATTAATAATATTTATTTTTTGCTTTGCTTGACAATTTAACCAATCAAACAGTTTAATTGAATGTAAACAATCAACATTTACATTGGTGATTAAATTAAATTTACATGGCTCCAAGGTTTATCTAATCAATTTCTCTCGCCAGCAATTAATTATAAAGGTTTGATTATATTAAATTGTGGGTCTAATAAATAAACTTACAAAGAGCTAGATTAAGATCAATACTTACAATTAAGTTGATTGGAATGAATTTTTTTTCCAACTGAATACTAATAGTCAACAATTTAAAAATATTCATAACAATTTCATTGAAATTAATTCTAGATAAATTTGAAACACAGTAATCAATGTATATTATTAGATGTTGATACATTTTGATTTAGTAAATTGTTGCAGTTGATTAAATTAGTCAAGCATATAGATGACAAGACAATCTTAATGATGTAGAAAGGCAAAAATGGAAATGAATCCAGAACTTATTTGAAAATTTCAGTTTTATTGTTTCAAATTCTGGATTCAGTTACATGATAACAATTGAGAATACAAGTTATGGAGCATAAAAGGTTAACAAGACAAGAAAAAACCAGGTTACCGAAAGATTTACAGTCGAGTTGAAAAGTTTCTGCTTACGCCTACATGAATAAATGGAATACACAAAATACTGAGTTTTCATAGGAATTTAATGAAAACCCGGAAGTGTATTTGTTATATCATATTTACCTGGGAAACTGGGAGGGAATTGGTATTATTACAACTGATGATGGTGATAAATGAGAAGCAAAATAACAAAATTAAGATGATCATCTTTGTGTATCAAGAACCTCATCTAATCAATTATTGAATGTAGATAATTATATGAAGGTTTGTATTATTAATCAGACACTTAAATCATTACGATGGTGGTAACAGAAATTGATTAGACAGTTGAGCAATTAAACCATTGAAATTGTAAACAATTGGTCCTCGAAACGTATTTCCAATTGTTGTTTATTTTGTTGAAATTGATCAATACAAAAATGACCTAATGGGAAGTGACCTGTTTGATTGCGTCTCGAAATTTGTAATTGAAACAATTTACTTGATTGTTTGGATTAATATCCGAGTAAATATTGTACCTGAGGAAAAACAAAAACAGAACAATAAGTTTCATATTATCTGTTTTTTTCATATTCTGTTGATTTATTTTATCTCTTTTCTAAATTACATTCATCAGGGTGGAGATTGAAGTTCTGATCTTCGTCTTGAGTATGATTCTGATCCTCGGTGACCTTCTGACATGGAAAAGAAGATTTTCTGTTATATAATCTGTTCTTTCATCATGAGAAGTTTGAGTTTCTGGTTTGCAATTTTGTAGAGAAAAAAAAGTTCTGAGCTCCATGAAGATTGAACTCAATAGACATAGAAATAGACATTTCAGTGAGCATTCTAACTCCCTGTGGTTATCATGGAGAAGATGGAAAAGAAAAAGAAAACAAATAGTAGAAGAAGAGAAAATATCAGAATATTTAACTCGGTGAAGGAAGAAAATGCTCAACAATATAATAATATGAGACATTGAAGAATCAATTTCTCATGAAAACGTCATGAGTTGGAAATTCTAATAAGAATTTGATTCCCGACTCTTCATTTTTTCTCTCTCCCTGATCATCAGAATTTCATCCATTGAGAGTATTCATCATGATACATTTCTAATGAAAACCAGTCATAGGAAAATCGTCACAACTGAATAATAACTATTAATATGTTGGAACTTTTTTCCTTATCTGTTGATGATATTCATTCCTTCTGGACATGATAAAATTGACAATTGATCATGATTATAATTCACCATGATTAATATCAAATGTTCAATGAAAACCTATTATTAGTTCATGGACTCAATTGTCATTTCGATTCAAATTAAACTCAACACCAATTTCCATGCAAGAAAAAAGTTCTGACAGAATTTTTTTCCTCCTCTTCTCAATCTTACAAAACATATTAAGAGATAACTAATCATAATGTTCAAATATTGAATTGACAATTAAACTTCATCCAAAAATTTAATTAAATTGTATTAATACATTTTAATAAGAAAAAGTTTCTTCATATTCATTGTTTATTCAAACAGTCATTTCTTTAATTGCTTGAGTTCAGCTATGATTCAGATCAAGGATGAAAATCAGACAAAACTAATTAATTTCTCACTAATTTTTTTTGTTACGTTTAAAACTGAATTAAAAGTGATTAGGCTGAGAATTGATTTTAACTCTATCAACTGTTGCTCAGTTATTCAACAATTAAGTGAAAATTTAATCACATTTTGTTTGACTAATCATCTTAGATCCAAATAGTAATTTAGTTTAACATTGAAGTGATTTTTGTTCATTACTAACAATCAACTAATTGTTACGAGGGAAATAAATCTAACCGAGTTTTTGAATGGAAAAGTTATTAAAAATTAATTATTCACAAATCGTAATTAATTTAAATTATATTCCAAGTTTTGTTACATTCAAATGGATCGTGAAAAGCTATTAACAATTTATCTAAATTGACAATTAACGACAAGCACAACTTATTAATAGCAATTCATATTTATTATCAAAATCATAGATATATAATGTTACCAATATTAGAAAGCATTTGAAAATGAATAAAGGTTTGATTCATTTTCTTTTATCACCAAATCCATGGTGAGATTACTGAATATTCATGATGAAATATTGAATTCAATTCTCAATATAAACATTGGATCGATAATTTAATACAGAAACAAGATTGATTATCATGGAAAGATGAAGATGATGAATCGAGATGAAGTTCCAAAGATGATAAAGTCTCTGTTTTTATCATGAAAAAAAATTCTTTTTTCAAGAATATCTCATTATTTATCCAATTCTATTCAGAAAATGATATTAATCATAATGATGAAAATACCTGTTGTATATTATTCCCATTGGAAGATAAATTCATATCCATTAGTTAGTAATATTTGAATCTTATCATTAATGACCATGTGAATGATTAGCTTGATTGTCATGTTTAATCAGGAAGCTAATGGTTAGCTTTTTATATTGGTTAAATTGCAAGTGATTAATCCTGGTCAATTGTTGATTCATCCCAAAGATTATCAAGTTTTGATTGTTGAATATTGTTGAGATTATTTTATCAACATTTTCCAGCAGATTAATGTTGATTTTAATGAGATCTAATTAAATCATATCTTAATCATAATGACTCTAAACTAAACTTCAAATGTTTATTTTTTATCAAACTTTCAATACTTGTTATTAATATTATTGGTCAATTGGCTATTGTTTTTTTTTCATTTAATCAGCTGATTTAGTTCAATTGTTTCCATTAATCAAAAATTGATAACACAATCATCTGATTGTGACTTAAATCAATACAGCAACATAATTCTAGTCTTTAATATTGATTATCATCAGGTGATCATAGTTAATAAGTCAGATTGTTGATTCAGATAAACATTAAAATTAAGGGTAAACAAGGATGATTAACTAATCAAATTGTTGGGGTAAAAATGTCAACCAGTTTAACTGGAATTGGATTAAAATGAAATGTCAATAATTGCTATGGAAAAATTAATCCACTAAATCGTTATTCCTATTGATTATCTTATATTAGCATTGAACTTACTTGTATTTGATTTGACTATCAGTTCAAGATGATCATGAAAAGTAAACTTAATTGTTGTTTTTTGCTTAAATGGTTTGACTAATCATTTTGAATCTAATTGTTTAATTACAGTTTCTGGGACTATGCGATGACCGTTAATGTTGAAGATATTGTTTATCTTCATTGTCATCAACAAGATTCCTGTGGAACCGTTGTACTTGTGGGCCAAGACGGTGTCCAGCGATCACCGATAAGATTTCCCAAAGGAGGTCATTTGTTGGCCTTTTTATCGTGTCTCGAGAATGGACTTGCCCCTTATGGTCAAATGGTTCCTCCACTTTGGACACGAAAGGGAAAAGGTATTAGACTCATTTCCATTTCTCACCAACAATCCTTTTAATTGTTTATCTTAATTTGCTTTGAATTTGATTAATTGCGAAAACTTTGGTTCAACAATTAACATTTTCATTGATCATTCGATTACTAAATTGTGATTTTACTCTGAAACGTTGATTGATTATCTAATTACTTTGTCTTTTCTGGAGCACCTAAACTGTTAACTCTATTATGACAATCAAATTTAATTAACATGGGAGAGAGTGAGAGAGATGATTTAATTAAATTTGTAAACATGACATGAACGACAAACAATCTAATGATTATTTGATGCCTTAGGTGTTAATTGCTTTTATTAATACGAAATTGTGACAATTACTTGTTGCTTGATATTTTTTTATCACGAATACAAAAATTCAATACTTTACTATAAATTGAATTGTAATATGATTTAATTGAATTGCAAAGTCTATTCCTAATTGTCCATCAGGCAACAATTGTCACAATGATAGTCAACATGTAAGAATGGAGATAAATATTTAACATAATTCAGATTCTTAACAATAGAATGATAATAATAATGAAAACGAAAGATATTATTAGAAAAGCATATTAAGCTTAATTGAAAAATCGATCATCATCTAAACCAGAACAATCTAATAACTCGATTACTTGGATAAGGACAAAGGTGTAAACGAAAATGATGATTTTGAGCATGATCACAATTAACCTTTTAGAGGTTGATCATCATCACCATCACCATCATCATAATAATCATAATCATCTTCATCCTCATCCTCATCCTCATCTTTATCTTTGATCATCTTACATTTGAGTAGAAATCGAGTCAATATATTTCATGGCTCTCAACAAACAACTCAATCAAATTAATGTTAACCTTTGGAAAAGAAACAGAATTAAATTCATAACCACTAATCATAACACTCACTTTCCCAATCCTTTTATCATAATCTTAATCATTAACTAAACAATTCTCATCAATTTATTATCTTATTCATGATCTTTAACATGATAATTTGAATAACAAATTTAATATCTTCATTAAACTTAATCTCCCAACTAAAGTTTTTGCTAAACTAACTTTCAATTTCATCACCTTTCACTTAATTCATGGTTAAATTATTGATTATGGATTAGATTTAGAGAGCAATCAATTTTAATCTGATTACATTGTTAATTGTCATTCTTTATTGTGATCATGAAACAAAAGGGTCCTCATTAGTTTTTGTTGATTACCCTCTTTGTTGATGATAGTTAACAATTCAATTATTATTATCAAGTTAAATTGATAAGTTTGACATGATTAAAACTACACTCAGGTTAATTATTATTGCCATTGATTTAATCATAAATGTCTAGGATAATATTAAATTACCGTTAATCAGTTTTTCTCAAAAAAAAACGAGCTAAAAGTTACTTTAACAAATAGGAACAAAGGAAATCAATACAATGACAATTATCGTTGATTGTTATCGTAATTTATTAATCATTTTTTTCCATCTTAAAGACTTAATTGTTGCAGTTTTATGTTTCATCTTTGTTTACCTGAATCAACAACCTATCAATTAATAATTTGATATCAGTTTTTTGGGTTTTTTTCATTGGATTAAGTTAATTTATTTTAATCTTTTGTTTTGTTAAATTGTGACAAAATTTCAATCATATTAAGTTAAACGTCTTGAATTAATTACAATAACAAGTAATGTTAACTTATCTCCAGGGTAATTGAGTTTCCATTTTGTTGAATTTTTAAGTAATAGAAAAAGTTAATTGTTGTCAACCGTTGATTCTGTCTCTTTGCCTGATCGTTGCTGTCTCTTTTTCTATTGATCAATCCTGGCGTCTTTTAATTGTCTTAATTGTTTATCTCTTCCTTTACTAATTGTAGGTAAAGTTTTCCCAAAATTGAAGCGTAAAAATCACCGAAATATTTACAATGCAAGTAAAAGTGAATCGGGCTCATCTTCAGAGGAAAATGAAACAACTGATTACGTTTTCCGAATTGTGGCCTCATCCGATAAACCAGAGACAATTTGTAAGTGTTAATTGTTATGCTAATTGATTAATATCTAATTGTTTCCATTTACATCTTTGTAAAGCTCAAGAAATGTTCGACCCGAAAACAACTAAATCAAGCTCATTCCTATGGAGAGCTCGTAATGGTCTACAAGATAAAACTGCTTCTAATTCATCTTCAACCTCATCAACTTCATCAACAAGTAAATCGCTAAGTGAAGACAATACAATTGACGTTAATTCAACAATTAAAACTATTGCCCCTCAACAATCAATTCCAACTGATAAATCTATCAAGATACTTTGTGACACGATGAAAAGACAAATCATTTCTCGAGCATTTTATGGCTGGTTGGCTCATTGTCGACATTTACGAACCGTTAGAACTCATTTATCGGGCTTGGTTAATGCGATTATAATTCCTGTAGATAAGCCAAATGATGCATCAAAAGGGTTGACCAAAGAAGCATGGGAATCATTTCATGATGATAACGGACGAATTACTAATCCAGATGAATTAAGACGATTGATTTATTATGGTGGCATTGATCATGATCTACGTCGACAGGTTTGGCCTTACCTTTTGGGTCACTACGAGTTTGAATTTACTTCAGAAGAGCGGACTGAACGTGATAAGGATGTCATTCAACATTACGAAATAACAATGACCGATTGGTTAGCTGTTGAGGCCATTGTCCGACAACGAGATAAAGAGATCATGGCTGCTAATTTGGCTAAATTGTCATCAGAATCAAACAATAGTACAGAAATGCCGTTGATTGGACCTAAAGAGACAAACAATTGTTCAGGTGAAGTTTTCACTGATTTTTCTGATACTGAAGAAAGTGGTGATGACGCTGGCGATAAAAGGACTGATAAATCAGCTGGTAAACCAGGTAAAGAATCAAAATCATCTGATAAAATTAAGTTAACCTCCAGGGGACGATCAGTTGATTCAGTTCATGGTGAAGGTAAAGGTCGACGTAAAAAAGTTAGTCCAAGAGACTGTTTAAAGCGACAACGGCAAATAGGAAGTGAAACAAGTTCAGGTCAAAACATAGTTATTACTAATCCGTCAGTTGATTTAACCCGAAGTTACAAATCAGAGGAGACGATTAGTAAATCAGATAATTTAGAAAACGATACAACCGTTAACGATGACAAAGAAAACAAGGACTCGAATTCAATTAACGATCGAAATCTCGGTCTAGAACCAGGTTCGGCTTGCATATCACCAGCTTCTTCCAATGGCGGAGTCTATCCGGTAATTGTTACTTTTTCTTCAATCGAATTTCAATTTTCACCAACTGAATCAGAACAATAATTGTGTTTTCCTTTTCTCTGTATCTTTATCAAGAATGAATTACTTGATCTATTTTCCTTGAATATCCATCGAATCGACAAGGACGTTCAACGATGTGATCGTAACTATTGGTACTTTATGAACAAAGAAAACCTCGAGAAATTGAGGAACGTAATGTGTACCTATGTTTGGGAACATCTTGACCAGGGTTATGTCCAGGGAATGTGTGACCTTGTAGCACCTTTATTAGTTATATTCGATGACGGTAATCTGATGATTGTTTGATTCTCAAATTGTGATGATTAATTACAACGATTCTTTTCAATTTTAGAGGTAAAATCTTACAGTTGTTTCTGTGAATTAATGAAACGCATGGTTGCTAATTTTCCCCACGGAGGTGCAATGGACACTCACTTCGCGAACATGAGGTCACTAATACAAATACTGGACAATGAGATATTTGATCTAATGCATCAAAATGGCGACTATACTCATTTCTATTTTTGCTATCGTTGGTTTCTTTTGGACTTTAAAAGAGGTAATTAAATTGTTCTCATTGTTGTTTATTGTCTTTAATCATTTGAAATCATTTCTTCCGGTATCAGAATTGCTTTATGAGGATATTTTCAGGGTCTGGGAGGTCATTTGGGCCGCTAAGTTTGTCGCCTCAGCTCATTTCGTCCTCTTCATCGCTCTCGCTTTGGTTGAATATTACAGAGACATTATTTTGGAAAACGACATGGATTTTACTGATATAATTAAATTTTTTAATGGTAATTACAGGTAAATCTAATCTAATTTAACTCTTGAAATTGATTTGTATTATTTGTCCCTTGAATCTGATAGAAATGGCGGAGAGACATGATGCTAAAGCCGTACTTAAACTTTCCAGGGAACTGGTTCTACAAATTCAATCGTTAATGGACAATAATTATAATTATAACTAATTACATGAGATTATTTGTGTAAAACTAAATCTTAATTTTCTTGCGTCTAAATGATTTTAACTAAATGTCTTTTGATCTTTTATCTAATTGATTTGATTGAAATAAAAATTTCTGTTATTTCTGATGTTTTGTTTCTCAATTCTAATTATTTCAATCATGAATACAAATTGACCAGAACTGAGTATATTCATGGATGCGACTCTAAGGTAAAGTGTTGACAACGAAATGGGTTTTTGTAAATCGTTGCTGGTTTCGGACGATTAGGACCCGATGTAAATGTCAGAATTTTTAATGAATGTTGAGGTTGGATATTCCAAGTGAGTGAGATTAAATTATTGTTTATTAAGTTAATCAAGATAATCTTGATTCTTTCGATGGAAATAAACAAGAATCAAGGTTTAGATCAAGTTTGATTCGATTTTCCTTTTCAAGGTGAAAATTGTGATCAATTTGCTCTTTAATTGTTTTTCTAGTCAATTAACTGACTGATTGATCTGTTTACTATCAAAAACCAAATGAGATGCTCAATGTAACGAGATGATTAGAGATTATTACATGAGGAACAATTCAGACATTAAGAAAGATCCTGATCGATATACCAAAAGTTCATGAGACTCACATGTGTTGTGTGGATAAAAGCACCGGAGGTGATGCATGTAGAGGAGATTCGGGTGGGGCTTTGATGTACAAAAAGGATGGACGATGTTACGCCGCGGGCATCGTCTCAGGTGCTTTCGATGAATGTGGGGACCCGAGAACTCCCGGATTCTATATTCTAAGGTGACTAAAGATGCTCAATTCTGTGATTATTGAAGGAAAGGCCAATCAAATATCCGATTGGAAAATTTGTTCAACTAAATGAGAAACAATTGATCTTTCAAGACAATTAAGTGACTGAAACGTTGATTGAAAAGGAAAGAGATTAACCAAAATTAGCGCTTAAACTGAAATTCTAATTTTGATCCGATTGAGTCTTTTTTTAGATTAACCGAGTTTAGGAAATTCAATTTATTAATCAGTTCGGATTCAACTTTATAATTGTACTTTATTTTGACTCTTTCTTAGATATGACCTCCGTTTTAACTGTATCAACCTTTGTTGAAGGTTACAAAAAGTATTACAAATTATTAATTTCATTACTTAGATCAGTCTATTGTTAGTTTTATATTTGATTTTGTTTATGCATAAATTAAATATACTTTGTATATTTGTGGGTTAATATGGATATAGATTATTGCAATTAGTTGATTAGAGTCAATTGTTTGTTGCCTTAAGAGCAGCGAGAGCAACAATCGCTAATTGTGAATCTTTGTGCCAAATTTGAGCTTTTTCCAGTTGAATTTCTGGTGAGACTTCAATTGTTTCACCGAAGACGGTTGTTGATTTTTCTATCAAATCGGGAAAAGTGATCGGAGTTAAAGTTGTAAATGATGGTGAAGATAATGATGACGATGACAATGAAGAAGAAGAAGAAGAAGAAGAAGAAGATAAAGAAGAAAGAGAAGATTGATTAAAATTAGATGAGTCATAAATCTCATGGATATTTGTTTCCATTAATGATGAATCGAGAGGTGATGTTGATTGTACTTGAAAGGTAATTCCTTCTGGAGGAAGACAAAGAATCAAACTGTTGTCCGATGTCACCAAAAGGTTAGAAGGCACTTGAATTACGTTACCATTGGACGGAATTGTAATTAAATTGACTTGACTTGATTGAAATAGATCAGTAACATCACCATCATCATCGACAATAACATTACCCTCGTCATCATCACAATCGCCACTGAAATCATTAGACATTGAGATGAGGCGAGAATTTAACTTTATTTCATTGGAATCACTTTCAATTGAATGATCACTTTCGATAATTTCCAAGTGACTCTCAGGAATCAAGAAACTCATGGTGATTAAAGGTGAACAAAACAGAAACAAAAAAGTAAACAAAAAAAAGCGAAACAAATCAATCACTTGTTGTAATTAACTAATCTCATAATTATCACAAAATCTTTTCTCAAATGATTATCTCATTGATTTGAAACAATTGGAGCAAAATTAGACTGATTGTTGGCGAGACAAATATTAATATAAATGGAGAGAAAGGCCAAATGATTAATCAACTAATAAATTGTAATCACAAAAGTGAATCTTTAATTATGTTGATCTCAATTTCAATTCCAATTTCAAATCGAACGACACCAACGCCATCTGGCGAAGGCTCGATAACTTTACCATTATTTTTATTTTCATTTTCAATTCTTTTACTTTTATCAACATTTTATTTCTATCGTTTAAATATCGACTCTGAACTCAAGCGAATTCATCGCATAAAATTGAAAAAGCAACAGTGATGAATTAACAAGAAAAGATATTCAGGGAATATTATTCCCAATCATGATTGGGTTGAATTTCAATTTACCTTTTGTGGTGACAATCACCATTAAAAGATGGAGACACATTCATTTTCCTATCGATTTTGAATCAAAATTTTTGATTAGTAATTTTAATTGTCTTTTTTAAAAAAAAGTTTTTTTAGTTTGAAAAAGACTCGAAAGGAAAAACTTTAATCAATCTGGAAATAGTAAAAATATGAGACAATTTAGTAGATTCATTATGGACGAAAAATATTCATTATTCAAAACAATCCCCTATTGATAATTGTAAATACAAAGCATTTAATAATTTAGTCAAAATTTTGGGAAATTAAACCGACACTTTACCTTAATTTTGTAAATTGTTGATAATTACTATCATTTGCTTGTCTCAGAAGAAGATAGACAGAAGTATGATTAACTTGCAATTAAGAAAACTAAGAATGAAGTGATAATTGAATTAAGGAAGAGACATTGTAATGATTAGCAATTCAGTTTGAGAATTCACAACAACAACAACAACACAATTTAACTGTAAGAAAATTGATTATAGATGATTGAGAGGAAAATTACAGTAAATTATGTAAACGAAAGATCGAATACAAGAAATTTTCATAGACCAAAGTATCAATTTAAATTTGATTGTTTACAATTACTTGTTTATCATTTTCTTACCTAACCAGAAAACGCAATTAATTTTCTTGTTACAAAAATATTCAGGTCACTTATCGCTCTCACTCTCGGTGCCTCTCCCATTATATATCATTATGATTATCATCATATTATCATCGTCTAGAGACTACCATCCATCTCGTCCAATAGATAGTAAAAGTTGACCTGAAAAATATTCTTGGGAAGAAAATGAGAAAAAAAAATATATAATCAATTATTTCATCTTATCATTGGATTGAAATTTCCATGGATTTCTGAGTAATGAGGGAAAAGGGATTTAGATTTTTATGAAGAAAGATAAATTAACAGTGTTAATCGAATGGATAATCAATTTAACTACAAACCAAATACCTGGAACCATTAGAAGATCATTATTATTATTAATTATTACCAATGTCAACAAGAGCTTCAAACTGTCAGAGCAAAAGCAACTTACAATTGACTCTAAACTGCAAATTACATCTCACCTTACCATCATTATCATCATCACCTTTTCCCGCCTAAAAAGAAAGAAACAAAAATAAGAAGATTGGAAAATATTAACAACATTGGTAACTTGTTTTGCTTATTTTTTATCGAACATTTTTTGCTTGTAACATGTTCAGTTAATGGAAAGATAGAGGAAAAAAAGATTAAGATGAGCAAAAATTATGCTTCCGAACTCGCATAGACCCTCATCATCATTTTTCGGTCTTTCTTCATCATCTCTCTTCCTCTTTCTATTTTTCTGTCTTCACTGTTACTTTCTTTTTAAGAGTTCATCTTAAAGATTACCTAAGAGATACTCTTCTCTCAGCGGGGAACCTGAGGCCAGTTTTCTTAGACTTTCTTCTTAATGTATTTGTCTACGCCTAATATAAAATTATGAAAAGTAGAGAGAAAAAAGAGATTGTCAGAAAGTAAATTTACTTACCTTTTGTTAGACATTCAGGTAGAGAAGAAGAAGAAGAAAATGAAAATGATGATGATGATGATGGAGGAATAAAAAGCCCAAGGTCCGTTGTTTTTAATCATCACGATCAAAACATGTAGAATAAAACGAAGAAGATACAACGTAGAAAGTGGGTAGAGAATGAAGGAGGAGGAGGTTATCCAGGTAGAGAAACAGAGAAAGAAAGAGAAAACGAATAGGCCCAAAGGGAATATTGCGACCTGAATTTGACACAATTGTATTTACCATAATAACCAATGAAAGAGAAATTGTTCCTGATAGTAATAACAAAGCGAAATAGAAGAAAATTAACATTAGATTGATAATTAAAGTTGCCCCTTGTGAAAAGCCTCATTATTATTAATAAAAAAAACAGAAAAATAAGGATAGAAGAGGATAAACTAATCCCTCTTGAAATTCACTCTTTGTACTTACCTTTAGCCAAACCGATTTAGTTTCTTTATCCCTCTCCATGTGTCTTTCACTGCACTATAATTATCCAACTAAATAATTATCCAAATCAATTAGAAATCGAGAAGAAGCTGATGTTTAGTAACAATTAGAGTTCAATTCATTTCGAAGAGATTTATTTCTACGATTTCACAGAGACAAACATGAGGATCACATTAAAAGAATAGAAAAAAAAACGATTAACATTTTTCTCTTTTTCTTTTCATTTGAATTTTTGGTTTTTCTTTTTGTTCTATTCTCTTTTTTCCCCTTTTCCCCTTTCGGTAGACATTTTGACTCAGAGATGTAAGAGGTCAAGTAAAGATCGTTTTTTAATCCAAGTGATCAGTTAATTATATTCTTTTTGTTTTAATTCCAATCCAATGGTCACTTGTTGGTCATTTTACTTAAAAAGACAAGTTTCACTTTCTGTTTATTGATAATTTGATTAGAATCCATTTTCTTTCAAAGTGATGTTAATCTCTCGCACCAAGATTAGTGAAACAAATTCGTTTTTTAAACATTCCAACATTGAATTTGTGATCATCTTCATCTTCATCATTAACATTATCATTAACATCATCATCATCTATCTCTCTCTTGAAACCAACCTTAAACACCTTAGGTTAAAGGTAAGCAATAGTTTGTATACATTGAGAGACGAAGGTAAAAAGCCCGGTAATAAGTTCACTTTCTTTTCTCTCTTTCACTCATAATCCTCTTTCTTTCTCCTCCTTATTTTTCTTTCTTCTCTTTCTTAAACCGGTTTATCTGGTACCTTCTCTTTCTTACCTTTCTAAATTTTTCTCTTTTCCCTCTTTCTTTTCTCTTTTTCTTTCTTAGATACTTTCTTTTTTGGCTTTTTCTTCGTCTTCTTTTTTCTTTCACCAAACAACAACAACAACATCAAGATTTCCCAAGAAAGCTGAGAGTCCAAGCTCACGTTAACACCGAACCGATCTCATAAAAGACTTTACTTACCTCAAGTGAACAACAGCAGATAAACAACATCAAAATCTTAATCTACCTTTTGGTTTAAATAATTATTTCTACAGTTTCCTTCTATTCTCTCTCCATTTCATCAACATGCATGATACTTGTTACTTGAAACTGAGTTAATTGTATCTCTTTTTAAAACAAAATCTTTAATTTTGTGCAAAAATTTTCCCGTTCAAAAGACAAAAAAGAAAAGTGAATTCTTTTTTCTTTTCATCAGGTGTAAATAATTGGAGAACAAAAAATTTTGGTTAACCTCGTGTGGAAATTGGAACTTAAGGAAAGAGATAAAGGAATATCTGTGTTATTCTATCCTTCGCCCTAAGGGCTGGAAACAATTTCACCTTAGATCAAAAGTCAACTAATTAGTGGTAAATCTAGTGATAAGATTATTAACTCTCTCTTTCTTTTTTTGTTCTCTTCTCTCATCTGTTTTTCTACCTTTCCATTGGTTATTGTGTCTTTTTCTAGTTAAATCTTATTCATATCTTTGTGCTTGTGTCTTGTGTTCTCAATCATTAACCCTTTCTCTTTCTTCACATCACGATGTTGGTCAATCTAATTAAGTTATTGTTCTTTGTGAACTTAATTGCTTTTTCCAAATTCACTGTCAACTGTCAACTTGATTCCATTGAGGAATCTGTTCCAACCACTACAAGTGAACCTAATCTATTGGACTTATCACCGGGCACATCAACTTCAACTACCACAGTTAAACCATCGACAGTCAGACAAGGTAGAACTCCATCAACACCCTCATCCCCATCATCGCTAATACCTTCATTTAAATCCTCAACGACGACTACACCTCAATCGGACGACATTGTGACATCTACCTCAAAACCAAATGTTACTTCAACTGAATCTAGTGAAATTGATCCAGAAAATCGTAAAGGAGAAGCAGAAATCGATATTGAAAATGATAAAGAATCAGAAATAACATTACCAGTAACTGTGAATCCAAGTAATCTTGAAATTAAGAAACCTGAATCGACTGAATCACAAAAGAATTTATTCTTAAAAGTGAAGATAAATTATTAGAAGATCCAAGTGATCAAACTACTACAATACAACCAGAGAAAATAATTGCAAAAGTATCAACATCAGAGGAGCTTGAAAAAAGTAACAATGATAATTCATCTAGTTCATCTACCGAATCGTCCACTTCGACTACGACTTCAACCACCTCCACAACTACAACTACAACAACAACAACTACATCAACTAGTAAACCAGAGATATCACCACCTGATTTCCTGAATGACGAAGAACTCGTTCCAAAAGATAGTCCTGATAGTCGTGAAAGTCGAGCTAATTCAGCTCTTCGAAATGGCCATGAAGGAAAGAAGGACGAAACAGAAGATAAAAAAGAAGAGGAAGACGAAGAAAATAAAAGTGAAATGAAAGAATCATTGAATAAGCCCGAGGGCTCATCGTCAACCGGATCAACCGAATCGTTGTCTTCATCTGATTTATCCTTTGATTCGTTTGATGATCTTGATTTAGGTAATCTTACATTACCAAGTTTCGAAGAAAATTCTGTTGTCGATCTTCTCCGTGGCAATGATTCTGCCAATGAAACACCATCGTCTCAGGATAAAAGTTTTTCTGTTGAAGGTTCGTCAGGCTCTGGTTTATTGGTTCGATTGTTTCAAGGACCAGATCGATCTAAATTGCCTGTTGATTCAAGATCTGAAGATATCTATCGCTATCTTTCCGGAATAGTTGATAATGAGACCTCGGTAATTGGTAAATCAATCTTACCTCATGTAATCCAGTTAGGCTACAAAGTTCATATCGACGGGAAATGTTCAAAAGCAATTCTCGCGATATCAAATGGAGTTAAAGCTAAACGTTCATGGGCCTTCCAATTTTTAGATTCGTATGGTCAACGAGGAGATGGCTTTTTGGCTGGAACTTTGAGCTCTCTTGGTAATTTTGACCAATGCTTACAAGTTCGAGCAAGTGATGATGCCATTGCGGAAGAAGACGAATTCACTGGTAAATACTGTTTAGCTCATGTCAAACCACCACTTCCCGAACCACCGAAAGATCAACGGGCTCATTTCAAATCATCTTTATTCAATTATGCTGGAACTGAACTTGAAAATACTTATCTCGAGGAATGGGGTTCATTTGCTCAAGAATTATATTCAAACTCTTATACCGTAGGGATGTGTATCCCTTCAGTTTGCCAATCTAAAGATATCGCCAAAATACTCAATGAATTGGCAACTCCATTTAATTTCACGGTTTCCTTCAATTCTCGCTGCACACCAGAAACAAATTATTGGGAAGCCCAATCCCCACCAGAATATGCCATATTCATCTTGTGCCTCCTTGGACTCATGGTGGCTTTTGGAACATCATATGATTTGTATATTAGGAAGAAGGAAGAAAATTGCCTTGGACGATTATTTGCCGCTTTCTCCAGTATTTCTAATACAAAGGCACTTTTAGGCCATAACAAGACACCAAACGAAGCAAAGAAAGAGAAATTAGCTAAAGAGAGACAAATAATGGCTGGTCAATCACTCTCGTGGATTCATGGACTCCAGTTTCTCTCTGTTTGTTGGATTATAATCGCAAATGTGTATCAACTTGGTGGCTTACCAATCACATACTTGCTGAGTAAGTGCAATCAAATGTCACCATTGTGTTTTCAGATGGACGAACTATAATGTTACTTGATGAAAAGAATTAAATTCAATTATTTAATAATCATATTCTTTAACTCGGTACAGAAAATTTGCACATGGACTTTCGATCACAAGGAGGATCAATCATGTTCCAATTCATTTTAAATTCATGGGACTACATGGCTGAACTTTTCTTCCTTTTGAGGTAAGTTGAACAATCAAAGGACAATTTAATTTTTTTATTAAAGATGAAAAGTACATCAGTCAATTAAATGGATCAAAGATCTTGTTTTTAAGGTTAATTTGTGCAAAAGCAATGAAACAATCAAAAGATCCGTTGCTACTTAGGTCCGTTTTTACAGCTCTATTTGTGTGAATCAATTTAACCACTTTAATTGTCGACGATAACAAAGACTATTTAAGTCAAATTTTTCAGGTAGTAGACCGATAATATGTGATATTAATGTATTTAATTAGTCTGATTTATAAGAAAATCACGGATCACAATTTAGTCTTTCATTATCTATTGTGAATCTTTATATAATTTAACGATTAAGGATTTTAATTTAGTTACTGTTAATGACTTTGAATAACAATAAGCCGGATTTGATAATCTGATTGAACCTCTTTCATCTCTCTTCAGTGGATTCGTCTTTTGTCTTGGTCTATTGGGAGCTCGAGAACGTAAACGTTGTCCAACCTTTGGCCGCTTCTTTATTCGTACTTGGCTATCTTATGTTCCTTCAATTATTGGTATCATCTTGATTACACTAATCGTCTTCCAATGGTCATGGCAAAATGGTCCTTCCTTTAGTAGAGCGGAAAGATTAATTGTTGAACCATGTAATCAAAATGGAATCGCCAATATATTTTTATTCAATAATTGGTTACCTATTAATCAAATGGTAAGTTAATTATGTTTCTTAATTTCCTCCTTTGTTTTTCCAATTGTTCATTAAAACTGTTTTCAATCAATATCTGCGATAAAAAATTGCATCATCTCAGAGGTAACAGATCAGTTAATTACTCTAACGGTTAATCTATTCGGATGACCGATCAAGCAAAATTTAACCTCTGTACTTGAATCTTCATTACCAGACAGGTAAATCTTAATTTCCTGTCTAATTAATTTTTCGATCGAAAATCTTAATCACATCTCTTACATTACATTTTTAATTACTTGATAATAACTAAACTGTTATCAAGTAATAAATGTTTAACCCTTATAATTAACTCAATCATAAAATTTTGTGTTGATGTATTTTGAGTTATCCAATTAAGAATCATCCAATTGTCATGGTCAGAGATGATTCAAATGAATCAATTTAATTGGGGAAATCTTACCAATCATATGGAAAACTATCGATTGTGTAATGGTAATGTAATTTAACCAATTGCCTCAGGGGATTTTTTGGTTAAGACAATCAACAACCTTGAATAATAAATTATCATGAATTTGAAGACATGATATCAATTGACCTGATGTGATGATGATCAACTTTACGATTTGATTGTCAGTTGATTAGATTTAGAATAGACTAGTACTTAAAAGTCAATGTGGTTAAATTTAAAAGTAATCTAACTACTGATTGTAATTAACTTTCAATTTTTCCTGGGAAACTTTTCCCTTTCACTATGAACTTTTAAACACGAAACTCAGTTGTTAGTATGAAAAGATGTTCCCAAAATATTCACAATTTAGCTTCAATCAGCAACAATCAAGGTCAATGTTGTGAAGGTGGTTAATCATCTGCATGTTAATTAGTTATTTCATTTATTTATTTATTAATTTATTTAGCTTCAACAATTAATACTTTCAATCACAAGAAAACCTGATCAGATTGGCTCAGGTCATCATCATAATCATGGACTGGATCATGATAATTTACTGATTAGTCATTTAATTAATTTGTTTATATCAAATGATGAAAATATTTTCAATTTCAAAGTTTAAAGGTAAAAGTGAAACTGAAAGTGTATTTTGACACCAAAAAGGGTGTGAGTCATTCAAAAGACCAGTTTAATTGTTAATTATAATCATTTTAATCACGCATATAAACAGCCAAGGCTAATCAATTTTTAATTATGTCTTAATTGTAACTATCAAGCTCTAAGCTAATTGTAAACATTTAGCTTTTACCTTTTATCTTTTAGCTTTTATCCTTTTACTTTTTATTTATTTACTCATTCACATAATCAAAGGTCAGTTAGTTTGATTACCAAGTTTGTTGATGCTTTCAGTTTATTTATCTCACCAATAGTTAATTTAATTAACTTGCAATACTAAATAGTAACAATCAACAGATCAGTTGTAACCTCTAATCAATTAATTGTATTTACGTCAGTTATTTTATCAACAAGATTCATTGATCAGTTCAGTTCACTATCTAACTGTCAACTACACAATAATACAATCAATTAATTAGTTAGCTGACTCTTGGTCTAAATTGTCATCTTTTTGCCCTTAGGACTTTTTATTTTTGTATTAATTGAATACACGAAACCATTGCTGATGTTATGATTCAATAAAATTACCAACACGGTACAATTAGCTATCGATCACCTTAGATTAATTATCAGTTAATTATTGGACAGCCATTGACCTAAAATTTATTATTATAATTACATTTTTATTTGATTCTCTGATCTGATTTCTTACCTAATAATCTAGATTAATTTTATATAAGAAAATTAAATTTCTCATTTACACACCCTAACAATTAAATAAAGTCAATCACAATCACAGATAGTGAATTTTTGATTACATTGGATTGAACCAGGTTATTGTTATTAATATTAATCAAAAAGGTAAAACAATTTTAATTAATAACAGTGTGAGAAAAAAAATCAACATTAGTAAATGAACTTTTGGACAACAATCAATTATCAATAGTAATGAAATTTTAGTCTAATTGTTAACTCCACAATATTTACGCAAGAGCTAAATCTGATTGACGTTATTAACTTAAAATCCCAGTTTAAGTTAATTAAATGTTTACAATTACACTTTTCTCACAAAAATTGTAACAAGGAGCTCATCGACTAACATGAATGCTAAGCATTTATTTATCATTTTCGGTTTCTAGACTTGTTGATCGCACTTGCGATCTTATGATCAATCGTTTCATTTTTTATCAATTGATTACTTATCTCTTTCATCTCCTATTAAGTGGCCTTACGATCACTTTACACATTTCCGTTTGCCTTTTTTTCACTCTCTCTGATACCGATTCTCCTCATGAAAATTCTCTTGTCTCTTCTCTTTTGATTAACTTAAAAGTTAATTAAAGCGAGAAGATATTATCAATTAGAAAGAGAAAAGGAGATGGAGAAATTCTGAAATTTTTATTTCCTTATAAGATTTTTTCTATCATTTTTGGTTGGTGATAGTTTTAGATCTTGAGAAGCTACTAATGGTATATTTTGTATCTTCGTAGCGCTTGAGGTTCTTCAACGTTACCATCAAAATCGTGAATCGTATTAATTGTAGTGTGGTGATTATAAAATTATTTTCCAACGGCCTCTTGCCGTTTTCTTTCATTAATACCAAGGCCACTCTGAGGCCAAATAATGATGATAATAATAACGTTAACGATGAGGCGAATCAAGTAATTGTTTCAATTAAATCATTTCGAGTCAATTACCAAATTCAGGCAGGTCAACACAAAATTACATGACCAGTATTCAAGAAAACTCGTAAATCTTTCTAGATTAACCATCATATTGGTAAATTCATCCTTGATCATTATTCCCCAAGATGATCAATTTAAATTCAGTAGCATCAATAAATTTTACATCTACACAATTATAACCTTAACTGTCGGTATCAATTATAAATCAAATTGTTACAAACCTTTGATTATCTCGATGTTGATTAATTGAAATTTCCTAAGGATTAAACCAATTTGTCTCTAAATTAGCAATTAACCTTTTTTCCATATTATTTTCCTTCATTATTGAAATCGTTACATCTTTAATTGACCGTGTTTAATTTTTAAAATATTCTATTGACAATCTAAATTGTTATTTACTAGCTGTTTATTGTATGTTGATCATACATGTATGTATGATCAACATACAATCATCACTTTCGTTAATTGTTATTACTCACATGGGAAACAATTCCAGATGAAATGCTAACTCAGAGTAATCTAATTGTTGATTTGCTTCAGAATTTACGATCAATAACTAAATTTATCATCTAAATCATTTGAATGTTTTGATTTATTAATTGTCTTATTTTGACAATTCTACTCAATCAATCAACTAATTCTTTCAATTTTTTCTCTACTTACAGTGTTTACCACAAACATGGTTCTTATCTGCTCTGTTTCAACTTCAGATCATTGGTTTCATGGTTATCATGTTAATCCACCGACGACCTGCTCTCGGAATCGCCTTATCCCTCCTACTCATTTTACTTGGAATCGTTTTACCTGGTTTATTTACTTATCAATATAATTTACCACCAACAATGCTTCTTAATAATCCAAACATGCAGTTAGTATAAATTGCTTAACTAATCACTATAATATGGATTGAACTTGATTAGAAATTATTATCTCTCAGTGTGTTGATTAATCAAGGAAATTAACAAATTATTCAAAGTATTAATAATTTATTGTCATGTGAAATCAAAGGGAAAACCATTGGAATCATTTTTCTTTCATCGAAAAAAAAGAAACTGAATGAAAAACTTAATTACTTCAAGATGAATATGATAATATTACTAATAATCACCTAATCATTAGTTAGTTATTAGATAATACAATTAATCGCAATTGAATGGGCAGGTCAAGTTCATCAATCTTATAGTTCTCATCGTAGGCGATGATTTGTTTGACTTACCTGGAAATTAATCAATCGATTGCTTTTATTTTATTATAATCTCTTATTAGGAATTTCTATTTCCATGCTTTTCTGAACTTTTACTTTCCATGAACATATAATAATCTATTACTATTATTGTTACACAATCTTTATTTTATTTTTTCCTTCATCTTGATTCTTGTTACCAATGTATAATAGTTACTGTGAATACTTTGATAGACTCACCTTAAGATTAACCTGAACACTGAGAGAGATAATTTTTTTTCTCCAATTCAATTTATCATCAAGGAAGTGATAACAATGAAGTTGATTGTTGGGTTCATCTTATTGATTGTTTTCTTTTCTCTCTTCTTCCAATGTTAACAGGCAGCTACGAGATGACCTTTCAATTCAATATTTTGCAACTTATAACCACCTCTCCTCTTACTTCGTGGGCCTCCTGTTGGCTTATCTAATTTACAAGAAACCAGCAAAACCAATACTAAACAAGGTACAAAAGGATAATCTCAATCACTCAGATCTTTCACCTATCTCATTATTGTCATCATCTCTTATCCCTTTCATATAAGTTGTTGATGTTAATTTCATTTCAAACATCTAATTTAATCTTATTCTTATTTCTTTTAATTCTTTAAGGGTCTTCGACTTGCTATTTGGATTGTTCTTGGTGCCATAAGTTTATCTTCAATATTGATTACCTGTAAATGGAATGGATTTAAAGAGATTCCTAATCTAACTTCATCCATCATCTACTCAGCATTACACCGAATTGCTTTTATTTCATTCTTTGTTTGGCTTATCCATCAATTTACATTTAAACAAGGAGGTAATTAACAATCGTGAATAACAAATTAACAATTTATGGAAACAATAATTTAACAATAACAGTCTTTGATTATTGTCCATTCAAATTGGAATTGATTTTATCTTTGATAATATTCACTGTTTACTTGGTATTTGTGTGTCTCCCAAGCCTAATCATAGCAATTACAAGCTAAATTTGTCTGCGAAAGAAAGTCAAATCTATTATTAATGGTCAAACACTGACCATTATAACGGATTAAGTATCTTTTTTCAATTCCGTGTCTTTGTTACTATTTAAATGGCAATTGAAAAATGGTTATATCTTGTTAACGTAGTTAGTACAGTATAATCAATAGATAGGAAAGATTAAAATATTCAAATGATCAGCTCAAAATTTTCAACCTCCCTGTAATATTGAAGGTATGATAACAAGATTGATACTGAGGTTAAAAAACACAGGTAAATGTTAACAAGTATCACAAACAAAAGGTAGATTCCTGCAGAGGTTTCACCTTTAGTAGCCATAAATTTACCTTTCAGGTAAATAGTAAGTTGAAAAGCTTTTAAACTGACCAATAGATATTGTGTTAAATTATAGGGTTGCATTTTTATGATCATTATTGAAATTAACAACCTCAAATTAATCGTTAAATAATAATAATGACAGGTCAATGTAATAGTAACAGTAACACAGGTAAAAATGATACCAGTTTATTTTTACCTGCCCAGTTGAAAGGTATCATTATCACAGAGGTTTGGTCATCTATCTTTGATATTTTCAGTGATCTTTTGTTGATAAACTCGTTTTGAAACTAAAGGGTCAAAGGTGATGCCGTTGGTAGATAATGTCAACCTCTAACTGTGATTAGACTAACCTATTTTTTGCTCAATAACAATGACGACAATTTAAGAATAGGCAAAACCCATAGATCCCAATCACTATTTTCTTGGTACTTTAAATCATTTATCACAATCAATCACAATTGTTTCAAATTGCTGACCGATAACAATTGACCATATTTTGCTATCTTCATTTAGCTTGAGATAATTGATTGTTGAGTTGAATTTTCCTTCTTAATTCTTGATTAATCATTTATCTTTGTATTGTTGTTTCAATTATGATTGACAATGTAACCAGATTGGTCTGAGAAGCAAACCATTGATCAGCCATTGATTTTTTTCTTTCTTGATAACTAATTGTAATTGTCTTCTTGTTGATTGTTTTATTCCCCATTCTCTCAGGTATGATTGGATCATTTTTGTCTTGGAAAGCATTTAAAACACTTAATGGTCTCAGCCTTCAAGTATATTTGATACATTTAATTATTATCTGGAACTTTTTCCTCACAAAACGTGATTTAGTTGATTATCGTAACTTTGAATTGGTACGTTGATACATTATAATTATTTAAATCTACTATTTGTACTTTTCTACCTGTAATTTACTAATCATATATACGAATCTCACTTATTAATTTCTTCATTTTTTTATTTACTAATTCAGACCATTACATCATTTGGCATAATATTGGTCAGTCTATTTTGTGGTTATCTGACCTACCTGTTGATCGAGGCTCCGTTTTATCAAATAACCACGGGTTTTGTTAAATGCCTATTTGGTTGTGATCTTAAATCACGTCTTCGTGAATATGAAAATGAAACTGATGGTAATTCAAGTGATCCAATGAGCGAGGAAAAGAAAACAGCTCCAGAAGAATCCATTTGTACCGTTGATGGAGCGACTTTAGGAAACAGTGAGGTTCGAATTGAAATATCATTACCCAAGGATGAAAATTCTGCTGAAAAACAAGCCCAACAATTAACCACAGAATCAAAAAATGATCAACAGTCAGATCAAGAACAAGTTCCTCTCCAAGATCAGCCTCAGCCTCAACCACAACATCAACAGCAACCAAACGGAATCAACAACAATGGAGTCGTTATTAGACTCTGAAGCAATAAAATGACAGCGAAAATTTGTCCACAATAATGTAAAAAATCATCATCTTGGCAATTTAATCATGTCCATCCAATTATCAAAATCTAAGTGTGAAATTGATTATTCAGGGAAACTCTGATTCCTGATGCAATCTGATTCTTTTAAAAAGGTTACAATACTCACAATACTCACGTTGATAATGTTGAAATTTAATCAACTTTTGAATGGACACAGAGGACAAACAATTAATTAATGGCCCAGATCATCAATTCCTCACCCATTTATCTCAATTCTAGTTTGATATGAACAATTTTTCACTACAATTTATTTCCACTATTTTCTCATCATTTTTTATACATAGATTTTATCTCAATTTTGTATTTCAACGATCAACCAAACAAATTGAAAAATCACAATTCATCAAGACATTAATCACATCGGGAATGTGATTATGAAGTATTTTATTGTTTCAATCAATTAATTTTCATTAACTCACAGGACAAATAAAATCCAACGTGATTTAGTAAACACTATTAAGCGACAATCAACAACAATTATCTCTTAACAATTGAATCAACGTAAAAATTATTGTAACAAATTTCATTATGAAAACAAAAATGTGAACCACCAAATTAACTATTTTGTTGATTTGATTTAAATTGTGAAATAAAAGATAAATAAAAAATAATCATAAATCACTATTAAAGTTTCTTAAAATGATTCAATCAACATTAAATTGTAAACATGATTAACGTTTAATATCAAATAAATTATACAATAGATGAATAAATAACTGTTACAAAGTTGATTGATAATCAATATTAATCAAACTATTAAGAGGAACCAAATTAACATATTTATCATGTGTAGCAATTAGTAAATTGTTGAATATCTGGTGAGATGATTTTTCATCTTCTCATAAACTTTTTCATCAATGGAATGAGACTTGACATAATCAGCTAAACTCGGACAAGAGGTCAGTCGATCATCGGTTGAAGGTGACACGAGACCATCCAGATAATCAGGGCGATTCTCGGGATTGACCATTGAATATAAGGTCGGTCGATCGATGAAAATCATTTTCTTCCACAAATATTTGGGGAAAAAGTATTTAATCACCTGAAGAATCATTTTGAATCCAAATGACATATCGAGGAAAGCGATGTATTCAGCTGAAGGTGGATACTTGCGGGTGTAAATGTCCAGTATCTCCTTCAACAGGGTGATATCAACCTGAGCTCCTCGACAATCAAATATGATTGCTAATCGTTTACCACACTTGATAACTGAGTTTCTAATGGTTTCACATGACCAAAGGAAATGTTGAATTACCAATGGATGCAATTCCTTTGGTCCCGGATTAACGGACAGTTGAATGAAAAACAAGGGATGGCCTGAATTGTCAAATAGCCCGTTGGACATGAAAAGTTTAGTTGAATGAATTTCCCGAGGAATTGAATCAATTGTCAGATCAAGGATTCCATTTTCCCGTCGCCATGAACAATGAAGCTTCAATGATTCAAGAGCTGAATTAACTTTCCAATCATTTGATTCGAGAAATAAAGTTAAACCCAAATCACTATTAGCGAGCAATTTAATATCTCGAGGATCATATTGATTACTTTGTGTAATCGTTTCTAGATTAAATTGTTGCTTCAACTCTTCAAGTTTAAACGATTGACGTTCATCCTCAGTCTCAGGTCTGTTTAAATTGTTAACGAAACAAAAAATGGAAAAACAAAATCAATTAATCAAGGTTAAGATGAACAGTTTAGTTGATTAACTTGTTTCAACGTTGTTTTTATCATAATTAAAGGTCATCTTAAATTGTTTTGAGGTTTGACCGTTTGACCGATGAAATCTAATAAACCGAATCTTGAATAAAATTTTCATTAATAATCACTAAAAAGTTAATCAATAGTAATTAATTTAAGAAACAACAATATTGTAAATCTGTTGACACATATTCAATTGTTGTCTCTTCTTAATTAAACACCACAATTAATTGTTAGCAATGGTTTTTGACTACTTTCCAATTCCTAACAAAGTTGTTGAGCTAATGAATTTGAGGATCAATCAAACAGTGAGTTCTAATTGTGATTCAATCGACTAATTTTCAATTATTAATTCAATTGTTTCAGTTGGAAAACAGCTGATTCTAATTAGTTTAATGATTGTGTGAAAAACTAATCAGCTACTATGGTTATTAACTGAATTATCTGAATGACTAAATAACTTTTAGGTTTAAATTAGCTACTGATTAGTTCAGACAAATTTCATGGTGAATCTCAATGAATCGATCTGATTAATTGTAATCAACAACAGTAGAGTTAAATCGTAAAAGACTTAAAACTCCAATCATTCAATTAACAATAATCAAACCACGAAACGATTTTTAAAACTGACGATTTATGATTACAAGTAATGATTAAATTGTAAGTAAAATTAACAAGAAAATAAACACTGAATTAGAAATTTTGATTGTAATGATTAAAATGAAGAGAGAAAGTCTTACCTGATCAGTCCAGAATTACCATCATGAAAAGCAGCATTTACCAGGAAATTCATGATTCAGATAACAATCAGAAAGTAACAATTTAAATCGCGGCGTAAATAGTTTTTAAAACTCACAGAAATTAAGATGATCAATGTTGTTTTAGTTGGAAGTTATTATCAAGTGATATTCATGAAGCTTTCGTCTCAATATATTGAGAGTGAGGAGATTGAGGTGGGAGTTGAAACTCACAATAACAAGAAAACCTGATCAGATTGGCTCAGGTCATCATCATAATCATGGACTGGATCATGATAATTTACTGATTAGTCATTTAATTAATTTGTTTATATCAAATGATGAAAATATTTTCAATTTCAAAGTTTAAAGGTAAAAGTGAAACTGAAAGTGTATTTTGACACCAAAAAGGGTGTGAGTCATTCAAAAGACCAGTTTAATTGTTAATTATAATCATTTTAATCACGCATATAAACAGCCAAGGCTAATCAATTTTTAATTATGTCTTAATTGTAACTATCAAGCTCTAAGCTAATTGTAAACGTTTATCTTTTAGCTTTTATCCTTTTACTTTTTATTTATTTACTCATTCACATAATCAAAGGTCAGTTAGTTTGATTACCAAGTTTGTTGATGCTTTCAGTTTATTTATCTCACCAATAGTTAATTTAATTAACTTGCAATACTAAATAGTAACAATCAACAGATCAGTTGTAACCTCTAATCAATTAATTGTATTTACGTCAGTTATTTTATCAACAAGATTCATTGATCAGTTCAGTTCACTATCTAACTGTCAACTACACAATAATACAATCAATTAATTAGTTAGCTGACTCTTGGTCTAAATTGTCATCTTTTTGCCCTTAGGACTTTTTATTTTTGTATTGAATTGAATACACGAAACCATAGCTGATGTTATGATTCAATAAAATTACCAACACGGTACAATTAGCTATCGATCACCTTAGATTAATTATCAGTTAATTATTGGACAGCCATTGACCTAAAATTTATTATTATAATTACATTTTTTATTTGATTCTATGGGTTGATTTTCTAACATTCTATCTTGTTCCCCCATTCATCTTCATCTTTTGGTTTAGCTGGATCATAAACGGTTCTAAAAGAAAAGGAAATAATCATTAATTATCACAAATAACTAAATCTAATTCAATAATAATGCAAAAATTACCCTTTAAATGCTGGTTGGTTATCCACAAGGCGCTCATACCAACGGAAACGAAGTGTTTTTTTATTGACCCAACGATCTTTTACCTCTCTATAAATAATTGGAGAGGAACATCCAACAAGCAAAATAGGCCAAAGAGCCATTTCAATAATTGAACAATTAATTCACTAGAATTTATTAATTAAACCAAAAAACACCAAAAGACATTAAAAAAGGTAAACAAATAACCTCAAACCAACGCGAACTCTATCGGCGAGATGTACAAGTAAAGGCAAATTCTTTAAATTTCCAAAAGCGGTTGATCCGAACGAGATTAAATTTAATCAATGGTTTCAATTAAAGAAAATTACTCAATTCAAGTTAACCTTGAAAACTCGTAATGAATTGATAATATTAATTTTAAATTTCTTCCCGACAGTTTGGTGAGATTCAATTGGGAACAAAAAAAATCACAACCAAGACAAAGGTGACTCGTTGCAGGGGGAGAGATGGAGCCACAATCGAACTAGTTACTCGGCTGTGTTTTGAAAGATCCAATGAACACTTGAGCCTTCAGCCTCAGTCGAGTTAACTAGAATTCGACTGACTGTAACTGCTCAGTTACTTGGAGAACAACTGAAGACACAGTCGATTTTTCCGACTGGCAACTGAGCGACGGAATCGACTGACTTTGGGCTCTATATCATTTGTCTATATTGTTTTGTTTATTAACTGTCACTGTTGAAACTGAATTGGTTTACTATTAATTTTATTTTGTTTGATTGTTTGATTGTTTGAATTTATAGAAATGTCGGCCCGAAAGAAAGTATTATTGAAAGTAATTATTCTCGGTGATTCTGGTGTTGGAAAAACATCTTTAATGAATCAATATGTGAACAAAAGATTCAGTAATCAATATAAGGCGACCATTGGAGCAGATTTTTTAACAAAAGAATTTGAGATTGAGAATCGACTTGTGACCATGCAGATTTGGGATACTGCTGGACAGGAGAGATTCCAGTCACTTGGTGTTGCCTTTTATCGTGGTGCAGATTGTTGTGTTCTTGTGTTCGATGTGACAGCGCCCAATACCTTTAAATCATTAGACGCCTGGAGGGATGAATTCTTAATTCAAGCATCACCCCGTGATCCTGAAAGCTTTCCATTTGTTGTTATTGGTAATAAGATTGATCTTGAGAATCGAGCTGTTACCTCTAAAAGAGCAGTTAGCTGGTGTCAGAGTAAAAATCAGATTCCCTACTTTGAAACATCAGCCAAAGAGGCGATTAATGTTGATAAGGCTTTCCAAACAGTTGCCTCAAATGGTTTAGCTCAAGAAACCGAGATTGACATTTTCAACTCTGAATTCCCGGAAATCAAGCTTGATCAATCAAGACCTCAAAGTGATTCATGTAATTGTTAACATCAACACCACCAGCACTAACAACAGCAACAACAACAACAGCAAAAACAACAACAACAACAACTAACTGAATTATTAAAACTACTTCTATTATATTGTAAAAGTAGTTTTTTCCATTATATATTATATTATAAGTGTAATCACTTTTTTTCCGTGGATCAAAAAATAATAAATAATATCATCAAACTAATCACAATTTTGTGAATCATTTGATCTTCCCTAGTTAATCCCCTGAAACTTTAATCACAATTAATTACTTTCTCATTAACGCCTACCATTTTCACTTTCATTAATTTGATTAAATTTCCTCCTTTCATTTTTCACATTCAAATACAACAATTTAGATATCGATCATCACAAACACAACATAACTTTACAATTTAAATTCCGATCCCCAGGTTGACAATTAGTTGATTAACATGACCATTATTACAGTTTTTATTAGTATTTCTTAATTGTTGTTGCTGTTTAACATTAGCTGTTGATTGAAATGTACAATTATTGTTATTAATTCAAATGAGTAAAAATTTGTTTCAATTATAATCAAAGATTTTTGTTAAATGTCAGTTGATTAGTTAATTAATTTTGTATCAGGGGCAAGAGGTTAGATTTTGGTTTTTAATGATAATTGTTGATCATCATTTGATTGTTATCAAAATTTTCAATTATGGTTATCAGATTGTAATTGCTGATTAACAATTGGTTTATTGTGCTCATCAATCAAATGATTGATCAAATCAAATCACAATCAGCTTAATCATAATCAACATCATCATCACCATTAAGTACACATTATTAGATTATTGGTTAGATTTGTAATTAATTGTGATGTACATGACGATGAAGAGGTAGAAATAAACAATTGGATTAATTAGTTAATTAAGTTTAACAAAATTGATTAAGATGAGCAATCAAAAAAAAACAACAACATATTAAGTTGATTTGATTGTTTCTTTGTACAAATTAAAGTGATTAAGATAAAAAGAAACCGAAAATTGTTTAATCACTTATTATTACTATTGTGTAGTTAGTTAGTTGATTATTATTATTGTAATTGTATAATTATTATCAGTTAATTAATATTATTACATTTATAATTAACAACATTGACATTGGTTGACTTTTCCCTTTACTCTGGCAGCGGAAAAAAGTTTATAATTGACCTGAGCACCTTTGAGAGATAATTGTTTCAGTAATTAAGCGATTGGTGAAAGTTAATTGTATCAATTAAAGTGATGATAAGTTTACAATAAATAAGTTTACATTTGATTGTGATGATAATCATAATCATTTGGCTGATGTTTTCCTTTTTTTATCTAAATACAAAAGGATTACCATTAGATTCCTAATCATTATCACCATCATCATACTCTCATCATCATCATCATCTATTATTATCATCAATTAGATCACTTTGATTCACAATTAATCTAATTTTCTGTTTCAATTAATTTCGCTGATTCAGATAAGTTAAGGATAAATTAACATCTTCTAATTATGAAGACTGGAAGAGGAACGAAAAATTGAAAACACAATTAAAACAAAGAAACAATAATTTTGCTTGTTGATGATAATTAAGATGCTGATACGGTTTAGTTATAATTGAATTGAAGGCAATCATGAGCAAATGATGATAATAATTGTGATGATGATGATGATGATGATAAAGAATTGTTGTTATTTGGATGGCGTAAAGGTTCATGGCAATTTCATTGAAATTGAAGGAAAGAAACGAAAGACAAAAAGTAAGAGATAAATAAGGAAGCCCTTTGAAAACCAATTGATTTAAATCATCACAAAGATCACCAATTGATTATTAAAACTTTCATTATAATTATTTACGCCTTTCTGATCATCATAATTACTACCAATACAAAGTAATTGTTGAGGGAATAATAATTATTGTAACGACGAATCTCAATTTTTCCCGCTCATCAAAGTTTTCGTTTTCTTATAATTTGGACTTTAAATTTTAAGGTTAATTTGTAGTAATTATGGTTTAGTTGCGAGGTGTGTATGTGTTGCGTGTCTGTGTTTAGAAGTTGATTAACTGTAAAAATGATTTGATTCCTGATTGTAATTATCTCGCTTGTTTTTCTTTGGGTCCGTTATCCGTTCAATTGAATTGTTATTGTTGATCATAAAGCGTTGGCTGATGTGTAATTGGCTAGTGAGTGAATTAAAATATCCTGAGGAATTGAGCCTCTCCTTTCCTCCCTTTTAACGAGCCATGAGCGACATTCAGAGGCAGAATCAAGGGAACACGATTGATGATTGGTTAATAATTTAGTTTTGGCAGTTAATGAGGACATCAACAGTTCCAATGATCGTCCTTTCAATCGAGGTGATGATGATTTGGCAGTTCCATGAAAATAAGATGATGGACTTTTCCTATTTGTTAATTTTCCTCCTCCTCCTATTCCAACTCCCACTCCAATCGTTGATCCACCTTCAGTTGCTAAATAACTGAGATAATGTCCACTATCACAAACGGGAAATGATGATCGACGCTTTTGTCCTTTATTATTATTTTCATGATTATTATTATTACTTTTGGTTAAGAACAGGCTTGGCCGTTGATGTTGTTTAGTGGTTGATGTTGGGGATGACTGTTGTTGTTGTTGTTGTTGATGTTGATGATGATGATGACTGTAAGATGAATGTGGTGGAGATGAGGAAGGTGATGATTGAGATGATGAGGTTGGTGATGGATTCATTGATGATGATGAGTGACATTTAAGGTGGACCAGTGAAGATGATGAATGGGATGGATGAAAGTGAGAAGATGATAAGGAAGGATGGTTAATATGATTATTGTTGTTATTGTTGTTGTTATTATTATTATATTGATGAGGATGATGAGAGGATGTTATTAGTGAATTGTCATCGTTTTCTGAGACAGTCCCATGAAGAAAGACCAATGTTGCAGCGGCGAGTTCACATCCAGTGTAGATTCCAATGCAACCAGGAGCTGAGCCTCGACGACCTCTCATATACTGAGCCTAAATTACGATGACAAATTAATATCATTGAAGGATATGAGAAAATGTAAATAAAAATCAATATTAATTAGTGAGAAATTAATAAAATATAAAACAAACAATTAACAAGCCAAACATCATTATCATATGAGTTTCTCTTGAAACTGTTTTTTAAACGAGTGAGAAACAAACAAAACTGTTGACTGAATGTGTAAATGTTATAATATCAATGGGATCAATTATATAGATTAAAACTAAACAGTTGACAAAATGAGTAAAATCTATTTAATTTAGCTGTTCCATTTAATTTTAGGTTGACAGTAAATTGACAATTAATTTGTGTTATCCATTAATTTATTGGTGATAATGAAAATATAAAAGTAAAATGGTTTTTGTTTAAAAGGTTGTTGATGTTAAGGGGATGGGTTCAAGTCTCGGAACAATTTAAACAGAGTGAGAGTAGTTTTTATTGTCAACATTAATTTGTGTGTGTTGATAGTTGATTGAAAACCTAATCTTGATCATTCATCTATTGGAAAAAAGCATCTACCTCTTTTGTGACACAACCAAACTCAGCCTTCAATTGTATCAAATTGATTATTTATGTTCAATCTCATGGAATCACAAAAACAAAAGGAAAACCATTAAAAAGAAGGTAAAAAAAAGAGGTTACGTTTTTTACCATTGGTACAATTTAGATTGTCTCTATTTTCAATTTGATTGTCAAACTATAATTCAATTTAATCTGCTCTCTAATCCTTCAACCTGGAAATAATATGCAAAGAGCAAAAGAAGAGCAACATTGAGAAGATGGTGGAGGATGAGGATGAAGATGAGGATGATGATGAAGATGATGATGATGCTGAGTAGGATGATGAAAAGAGAGCATAAAATTAAATGAGTTTGCCAATTTAACTACGAAATGCAATGTAAGCTTTACAATCTCTATGTTACTTTTACAATTGTTACTTCAAATGCTTAGTTTTTTTGTAAATTTTTTTCATTCATCTTCATCATCATCATCATCATCATCATCAGCCTACTCTTCACCATCGACATCATCTTGATTCTGTTTCTCTCAAGTATAATTAAATTTAAATGGGAACAGACAATTTAGACTAAAATAAATCAGTCTTGTTTCCACTTTTTTTCACCATCATCATCATTATTTGCAATGTTAAACAATAATTTTGCATTTAAATCATCACTCAATTGGTAAACCCTATTTGTAGGTGAATAATGTAAAAGTAAAAAATAATGTTGGTAATCAAAATCTTCCTCATCATATTATTCACAATCAAATTACCTGGAATCATATGAAAACAACATAGTTCAAAACGTAATATGAAACATTACCTACAGTTGATGAACTTTCAATTGATTCAATACTTTTTTTCGCTTCGAATTATAATATTTGATATAATCCGATAATTCAATTCAAATCTATTTTATCAATGACAAAAAAGTTAATACTCTCACTCTATTTACATAAAAGGTGATATAATTATTAATTGATTGCATGTAATTGATTTCAAGCTAAATTCATGACAAAACAAAGAGAGTAAATAAATGATTAATCAATTGATTATACACAAATCAAGTACAAACAAATATAATTTGTAACTACAATCTAAATGTTATATGTTGTGGTTTGGTATTTTTTCATTATTTCATGAAATCTATTCAGTTTGCTTACCCTGAATATCACAATTTGGGTGCTATTGTCTCTCTATTATCCCTGCAAGGTAATCAAACTAATGGTTACTCATTTTCAACTGATATTATCTTATATATGAATAGAAGAAGCAAAAAAAAATAAAGAAAACTTTTTCTCTGGTTTATTTCAAGAAACAGATAATAAAGTAATCAACCTAATCAAGAGTTAATTTGAGAGACACAAAGATGATTACAATTGTATTATTAATATAATACATGGAATGAGAAATATAATGAAAATCTTATTTTCAATAGGAGACAATTGGATTGATGATGTAATGTTGATTGAAATTATTTAATGGAGCGAAATGATGATTGTGGAAAACAATTATCTTTTTTGCCTTATTATTAAATTAAAAAGATCAGTCGTCAGAATAAGATAGTTGTTCAGAGAGAGAGAGAGAGAGAGAGAGAGAGAGAGAGAGAGAGAGATTAGGTCTAAAAAGGATCATCATCATCTTTACAGGATGAGGATGAGAAATTTCATCTTCAATTTGGTGTGTGTACTGGAACAGATGAATTAGGTGAAGAGAAAGATTAAAAGCGGAAGTTATTTGCTCGAACAAAAAGAAAAGGTAAAGAGGTTACCAAAATTGAAACTGATAATGATGAGAGGATGAGGATGATATTGATGTAAGATGAGCCTGATAATGAAAGTTTATCATCTTGTTATGCTGATTATAATAGTTAAGGAGGAAAGAGAATGATGAGAATGCTCAAGATTGGATGAGGATGAAAAAAAAGATGAGGAAGATGAAGAAGATGAAGCCAAAAGACAAAATTATGAAGCGGAAAACCTAATTTACTTGTTAACTTTTAATACAATTCAGACTTGGCTTATGTTTTCCTACTATTAACATGTAAAAATGTAGCATTTTCATTGAGATATATAATATCATTTGAAAGATTTCTCTCTCTCTCTCTCTCTCTCTCTCTCTCATCTTTTTCATTACGAAGATGATGAAATAATATGATAACGATAAAAGATTCCGAAGATTCTGAAGAGATGTACAGAAAAAGATGAATTTTTTTTCAAGACAAATTCAAGTATCATATAAGGTGAAGAGAGGATGAAGATAAAAATAAGGACGAAAGAGAAGGAAAAAAAGATAAAAAGGGAGAATAGAATAACAATAATAGTAATGATGACGATCATGATGATTATGAAAGAGAGAAAGTAGATATTTCGATATTAAATTCAGTTTCATCATGTCTGTATCATGGTAACATGATAAACACAAAGAAGAAAAAAAAATGTAATCTCAGAAAGATGATTCGAACTCATATATTTGAGAAGCTGAAGACACACCTAATTCAGTGTTTTGTTTCCTTAATGTCAATTCAACAGTTACAACATGATAACAATGATGATAATCATGATGAAGATAATGAGAAGATGTTGAAAAAGTCTCAAGAAAATGTTAAGAATCTAAACAAGAAAAAAATAATTACTTTGATGAGAGTAACAAGTTAACAAGTAATCAAAGGATAACCAATCAATTTTTCACAGGTATTATCAACTTAAATTGATCATCATATTGATTAACTTAATGATCAGGGTGATCGTCATCAATAGTCATATGTTGACGAAGATGATATCAACAATTATCACGAGTTAATTGAGATTCAAAGTAATTATCAGTTTAATGCAATTTACGTATCTCTTTCTTAAAGGTTATCTGGTGATGTAAATAATATTATCTCATTGATAAAAGTTTAATTGTTATTAATCGTTAATCGATGTTGATTTGTGATCATTATTGGTGATTAGCTTTTGATTGAAGTGTGAAAATGAAAAAATATTAAAATATCATTTTGTTGATAGTAATCAATTCAATCGGTTGAATTTATAACCTTGTCAATCACACATAGGTGATTATTAGATGATTGTCTTGATTATCACAGAATCAACTGATTACAATCAACCTTGTGTATTGATTAACAGTGGAAGAATTGTTTTAACAATTTAATCGTAATCATCATCAGAACAATTTATCGATTTGATAGTCAGAAAAAAAGTTCAACTAAGAAAACAATGATTCGTGGGGATACAATTGCTTTCGAGTTGAAATTTTGTTAATTGTTGCGAGTTTTTTGTTTTTGTTGTAAACTTCAATAACAAGGAATAATATAATTTAACCCCAATTGTTGCAATTAAAATAAAACTACTACAATTTAATTACTTCATTTTTCAATAACCATGATCAATGAGAAATTATAATTTATAGTTTTCAACAATATTTCAATTGTTTTATTATTTAGAGCAATGGAAAGTGATTTACTAATATTATATTTCTAATTGTGATTCAGTTTTTTTTTAATTAATTGCAAAAAAACTGTAAATTGTTCAATCTAATAATAGTTGATTGTTATCGAATTTCAAAGAAAAGGTCAACTCTTAATGATATACAACCTCTCCTTTTAATATTCATTGATATTGCAAAGAAAACTACATAAACTTATAATTCAGATTAACGATTAATGGTTTTTATGGTTAATTAATGGATAAGATGATTTGACTGGTTTGATGTACGATGATAATGATGAGGGTGGTTAATTAATGGTAATTGGGGTTTTTGTTTGATTGATTAACTTACAGTATCGACAATTGATTGAGATGGATATGAAGGTGTAATTGTTGATGATGATGTTGAATAACCAGGCGGCAGTGCTGAAAAAGAGTGAGGTAAACAGGTTACTTTGTCAATTGATTGTTCGTAATTCATTAATTGTTCAACAACCCGAGGTAGCCCACTATAAGTACTGAATAAAGAGTTATCAGATAATCCACCATCATCACCAGCATCATGATCGATTCCACCTTCACCAATATAAGTACAATCCGTTTGAGTGATAGGCTCTGGAACAGAAATGTAAGGCAGTGGAGGTTGTGTGGTTGTTGTTGTTGTGGCTGATTGTTGTTTCAATGATGAATGACGATGATGTGGATGGTGATGATGATGATGATGAGGATGATGGTGGTGGTGATGATGGTGACGAGAATGACGAGAATGGTGATGATGATGAGAATGAGAATGAGATGAAGATGAGCAATTAGTTGTTTGTTTGGTTGGTGTTGATGATGATAATTGATGAGATTGAAAAACTTTTGCTGGTGAAAAATTGGAAGATAAAGATTTTGCTGCTGTTGTTGTTATTGTTGTTAAAGATGAAGTTGATGATGATGTTGTTGACAGTAAAGTTGATCCTAATTTTGGATCAGTCATTGATATTATCGGAAGTGAACATCGTTTCTCTGAGGGTGGACTTGGTGTTCCGCATCCATTTGGACCGATACATTGTTTCTTACCAATATGCATCCTTTCACCATCATCATAATCGTCATCTTGATTACCATGATTATTATCGTCACCACGGTAATGATGATGTTGATTAAAATGATCATCTGATTGATCAACACTATCATCAGTTGAATATTTTCTGTGTCCCTCTGGTCTGGGTCTGCCTGAAGAGGACGAAGAGGGTGATGACGTTGATGAAGATGATACTTTATCTTCCAAGCAAAATCCTTTGGGTATTTCTTTTAATTCATCTAATGATATCTCTTCAATTAACATTATATCATCAAGACTTTTTGATATATCTTTTGCTTTTCTTTTCTTCTCATTCATTGTTTCATATGAGTGTCTCCTTTTTACATTAACCTTTTCCAAGCTATTCGTCCATTGGGAATCGTTGAATTTAAGGTTAAACATCATGCGACGGGAAAGTTTCGAGCACAAAAACTGGTCCCATAATTGAAATAATGGTGAGACAATGTTCCGATAGAAATCTGTAAATAATTAGCGAAACAATTAAGAAAGAAAAGTGTCAATTAATTTGAGAATTGGGAGCATTACCATAGAAACTCATGATGATTAGAGAAAGTGAGAGGAGGAAAAAAAAGGAAGAAGAAAAATATTATTGTGCTATTTTCTGTAACTCTATTTCACCCTAAATTCTTGTTCAATTCGTGATAAAGATAACTCGAGGTCATTGAGAAAGGTTAGATGTTAACATTACAGAATATCATAAATCATCATGAAGATAAGTCATCAAGTGACATTTTACTTTTTACATCATTCTCAGTGTGAACTTTATATATGAATTTATCATTGGTGGTTGTGGTGATGGTGAAGGATAATGATGGTGAACAAAATTTATCCTCTTTTTTATGTTCCAAAGTTTTTCTCAAACTTCAGTTCTCAGAATCTTGAATAATCTTATCCGATTTTTAAGAGACAAACTTTTTGTTTCTTGCTGTGAGATACAAAACGTTTCATGATAATAGCATTATAACAGTGACAATAAGAGGATGATAATCAAAAAAATGGTCTGTTAATCAGATGATCATAATGATTGATTATCTAATTGTAGTTGTATTGGTTGGAAAAATTAATCGACTTAGGAACTGAATCTATTCAATTGACCTTATTGGCTAAAGCATAAGCTAAATGTTGACCAAGTTTAATGAAGATAATAACCTTAAACTGAGTAATATATTTATTACTCATTTCCAGCATCTATTTCAATTAAAATTAATTGCTTACGATTGCATTCCAATCATTGTTCAATATGATATATTAAAATGTCCATAATGATCAATGGTTGTGATAATATAATAATAATCAACCATTAAACTGTGGTAATTGATTACAATTATCAATGTTTATGTAATCAAAATAAAAAAAGGTTTTCAAATTGATTGATATCAAAAAGGGAAACGATTTGATGTTAATTAAACTACAGTTTCCAATTGAATTAATTAATTCAGTGTGTTTTTTGTTTCTAGGTTAATCCGGTTAACTTGACATTCACTTGAAAGTTAATTATCCATCTATTTGCATAAGACAAAAGCCTCAACATGGGATAGACAAGTTTAATTTACTGCAATTAAGATGATTGAACGTAAAGAAATAAAATAAAAACAGTCAGCGGAAAAAAAGTTATGAAAAAAAAAACGTTAATTACTAAATGTAATTACAATTTGCATAAATATGAATAAGTTTCATTGATTGTGAAATTGGCAAAAAATTAGATCAGCTGTTTATTTTACATGAAACTGTTTATTGAGGTTTTTGCATTATCATGTTGGTTGAAAGATGAAATCTTTTCATGATGATATTTATTAATATAATTATTATTATCTAATGAAAATATGATCATCTTGATGATGAAAGTGATTAGACTTTAGATACACAAAATGATAACTATTGTTTTATCAACAAAGGTTCATTAGGTTGATTAAGACAAAAAGCTAATTCAATTTACTATTTAAATGATCGCTGTAATGTAAAAAAAAAAGAATCTATTTACGATAAAAGGATCATTAATTGTCTTCTTCTTCTCGCAACTAATTAAACAAATTAATTCTTTCATAAAGAATTAATCTTGATAATCTATCGTGAGGGTTGAAATTTATACAGTCAAAAATAATGATAAAACGTATCATCATAATCTTCATCATCCGTTGACAATGATAATCACTATTACATGTACATGTATATGGATAATAATTTATCACATGAAGGAAACTCGGATGCTCAAAATTTAATTATAAATGTAAATATTAATTCCAATCTCTCTCTCTCTCTCTCTCTCTCTCTCTCTCTCTCTCTCTCTTCAAATATGACACTCGAATTGCATATTTAACTAAATTATCTATTATAATGAATGTAAATTTTTCTTCTTCTATTTCGATTAAATGATATTTTGAATATTTGACTTAAAGATTTAGGATGATACAATGTAATTAGTATGACCGGAAAAGGAAATGATGAGAAGGTAATTATTATTATTAGAAAAATGGATTTACCTATTTGTATACGTGCTACTGATGCAGTTCGTCGGTCAAAAATGGGTGTAACCTGCATGTTCAATTGTTTCTCGTAATCCCCTTGACGATAGAATTCATCACAAATTTGGGCTGTCCACTTTTTCGACAACACCCAAGGTCTACAGGGATTTCCAAGGTCAGCACATTTAAGTGCAATTTGCATGACAAATAAACGATCAGTTGGTGTGGCCATTGAGATGGTTGCAGACTCGAGGGATTCACGAAAACGTTTCAAATAGTTGGTCTGTTGGGTTACATCGGTGGCCAAGATTAAACTTCTTAATAAAAACTGGACTGTTGACCATTGGTCACTATTAAAATGACTAAAGATTCCAGATTCTTTTAAACATGATATTGCGAACCTCCAATGATGCGATTCCAGGACAGAAGATTCTGAATCCATCAATTGAGATGAAAGAAAAAAAAAGCAATTAATTCAAATGAAATGGAAGCAATTTTAATTAGATCTAAATTATTAATACGTAATTTAGATAATAATCATTTTTTGACACAAGTTTGGGAAAATTTTGATCCTAGTTAATTAAGTTTAATCCCTTTATCATTAGTATTATTAGTTCGATACCTTTCATGATGATAAAAAGAATTTTCTATAATACCTTTATATTAATGGTTCAATAGTCAATACCCTGAGGGGAAATTATGTAAATGTCACAAGGAAAATATTGTTGAGCAAAAACATTGATTGAAATTTTCGAGTTGATTAGAATATAAAACAATAGGTTAATCGACTGTGACGACGAAAGGTTCAATCTTTTTCTCGTAACTAAAAGGTTCATTGTGAAGCTACAAAGAGAGTGTAAAACAGATCAATCAATTTAAATGGAATTTAATTGTTGACGAAATGACAAATTTTACGAAATTCTGTGAACTTATAAAGTCTAAATTCATTCAAATAGTGATCGGTTTAAGGGATCAGTCGATTAGGGAGGAAGAAAAAAATTCGAGGGAAAGATATTTTTTTCAGGAACTGATGTTTATTTCATTGATGACGAAAACTTAACCATCCATTTACATAGGAAAACCTTTTTTGTCAAAGGAGGAAAATGTAATGATTGCCTCTAACTGCCTGAGGGTTTTATTAACCGTCAGCCGGTCCCTTTTTTTATGCCTCATAACATAATCGATAAGTATGTTACTGAGGTCAGAAGGAGGAAGATGATGAAGAGAGACGAAAGAAAGTCACAGGAAATGAAAGAATAATAAAAGTATAGAAGATAAGGAAGGATGAGAGAACTAAAAACGATGATAAGGAGAGAGAGAGAGGAAGGTGAAGAAAAACTTGGAAGGTAAGAAAAGGGAATGGGAGTAAAACAGGGAGGGAGAAGTTAGAGGATGAGAATGAAATAATGACGATGAGAAAAGAGAGCGAAAAAAAGGTTAGAATGAGATTCCAGGTAACATAATGCTGAAGAATAGTCTGAATTCTGGAAAAAGAGGCAACAGAAAAAAAAGCAAACAGATATTTACGTCATAGATTCTGCGTTCCATGGCCTAAATCTACAAGACTCAAGTATTTTCTCTTACGTTGCTTCATCATCATCAACATCACTATGAAGAGCAACATACATAGCAAGAAAAAAGGAGAGAGGGAGAAAAGAGAGTGACTGAAACTGGGTCAAAATAATATCAAAAGTAAAATACCAAAGGAATATAATAATAATGATAATGTCAATGGATTTTTTTTCATCTGTATTCCAGTTTAACGATGAGAAAAAGTAACTCAATTTTGTACTGACTCACAATCGGTCTCTCTCTCTCTTTCATGATATGAACTAGGATAAATGTGTATTAATGATGATAATCATGGCGGATGAAGATGATACTGATGACGATGGTGACTTACATTGTAAAGCGATGCTAGATGACTTTTAGTTGCAATAAGAAAATGTTGATTTACTCCTGGATGGTCAAGATCATGAGTCACTGCTGCGAGTAGTGAGCACATCTTTTCCATGGGTGTTAAATATTGGCCAATCTTTTCCTCCTCAATGAAACAATGCATAGCTTGGGTTACATCAGCTGCATGAATTGAATTATGATAAGGATTGGTATCATGGTAACCATTTTCAAAGAGACCTACAGGAAAAAAATGAAACAAAAACAAGAGTCTCATCAACAACAAAAAAAAAGGAACCAGGAAATAATGATAATGATGAAAGTAAATGAATCATAACATTAATGTACACAAAAGAGATGAGGATGACAAAGGGATGAAAGAAAGCAAAATTTACATGAAATGAGAATCTAGGATGAAGATGATAAGAATGATTAAAATGAGGATGATAAATGGCAATGATATTGATGGAGAGAGGAAAAAACTACCTGATCTACATCATCATGTCTACTTTTCATCCTCCTACTCTGTCATCCTAATTGGATGGGTTAACATAAATCACGGGGTATATAAAGTGAATACTCGTTTTTTTTAACATTATTATTATCATTTTGTTGTTAAACAAGAATAATAATGATCAAGATAACAATAACAATAACAATTAGATCAATTGGGTTGGAAAATCAATGGAATCAAAGTATATGCAAATTTTTTTATTGACCTAATTGTTAATAGTAAGTAGAGTGTTGTGAGAAAAGTGAAAGAAACAGGTAGACATCATGAATCAATTTTTTGCTTAATTAACTACGCAAATTAGTTATTGTTGTTGGTCAAAAATTTATCATATTCTTTCATTATTATTACGTGATAAATTGTTGACAATCAGGTAATCATAAATTGAGAGAGAGAGAGAGAGGAGACATCAAACTGGTTAAAAAGTTGATATTGACCTAATTTAGTTATTGGTGAATAGATATTTTCAATTCAATTGAAATTGATTCAATCATTTGACTTTCTATCATTCATATTGATCATATTATAATTAACATGAAGGTTTAAATGTTAATTTGATCCGTTTTAATGTTATATTGTTAAAAACAAAATCATCATTCACATCCTCATCTTTTTTTTATATATAAATGATAACTCATTTATTTTATTATCTATTCTATTGTTTAATATCATGTATTTACAATTTAATCTCAATGCAATCAGCTTATCTCAACATTAAGAGAAACAAGAGAGAAAAAAAAGTTTAATTAATTATTTAGATTGTTATTAAGCTTAAATAAGTGTAAATGTAGTCTCATTAGATGAGATAAACAAGTGAAACAACATTGAGAATGATAATCAGTTTAACAATTTAACATCAATACAGAGACACAGAGAGAATCATGTTAATCATGAAAATAATTGAGCAAACATTTTCTACCATTGTTAATATTAAGATTATCATTAAGAATGTTAAAGTAACAACACAATATAACGGTAATCGTGATTATCATTGATTGTTATTATTTATAAGCAATTTATATGTAAATAAATGATAAAACTTACGTAAGCATTTCCATACATTGATGATCTCTAATTTAAATTCCTGGATGAAGTTGTATTTATTGAAAAGGTGGAAAAGGAGGGCTGATAGTGAATGACCACCGGTCAATGTATCCAAAGTGAATGAATTAAAGCTCCATTTAGATGCACTGGCAAGAAAACGATCAGTGACCCCATGGTAACTGTAATCAAGTAGGACAATTGGATCAATGTGAATTCTTGTTGTTTTGGTTGTTGTTTTTCATTTGTTGAGGTGATGATTTGGTTTGATCGCTTTGATCCGGAAGTAATTGTTGCTCTTCATTTGGTTGTTGTTGTTGTTGTTGTTGTTGCTGGTCGATTTTAGGTAATTTCTCTTGGAAACGTTTTCGATTAAATTTCATACAGGTTGTAAAAGGTATCATGTTGATTTAATTGAGTCTTGTGTTGTTTTCAACACAAACAAACACAGAACTAAATCTTTTCCTGTCAACTCTCAAGTTCGCATCAAAAAGAGTTAAGATGTCGCCACATTCGCGAAAAGAATAACAGAGAGAGAGAAACAAGTGACATCTGTTGACCTTTTTAACGATTAATTTAAATTCTATTTTTATTTTTAATTGTTTTCATTTTAAATTGTTTGATTATCTTTGGTAATTGGTATGGTTTGAATATTCAATGTTCTCTCATTCTCTGATTTATTGGTAATTGTTTTTCTCCTCATCACTCAACTGTCATTTGTTTTGTTCTTGTTTACCAAAAGGAAGCCATTGGTTGGATTGTCAATCAATTATCAACAATAATCATCAATAAATGTCAATCAACCAGTTAAAAGGTAAATTTAGCAAAAGAAACAAAGTGTTTACATTTTGATTATTAGAAAATTTATTCTTAGATAATCATGGAAATGTTATGATTGTCGTTTTTTTCTCTTGTTCATCCTTGATTCCTTTTTTTTCATTTTAAAGGTTTAAGAACGTTAACCTTTTCAAGCCAGTAAACATGATCAGAGATGAAATAATTTTTCTTTTTCATTATCATTTTCTTTTCTCTTCTAAATGATCTACAAAGTTTAATTCCTTTTGAAAGACGCTCTGAGATGGAAACACCGAACCAAATTCCCAGTATACTTCCCACAAATATTATATAATCTGAAACAGGAAAAGCTGGATAAGTTTTATAGTAAACCGTTGGATCTAATGGAGCTTCAAGATAAATGTATCCGCCATCGTAGACAAATTTTTCTTGGTTAACGTTACCCTCCGTTTCGTAAACTATGGTTTCACATTCTGGCCTGTCGATAACATTAGCACATTGAGTCATTTCCTCGTTTTTATTACTAAAGGTCAAGTGGCCTGGATATTTTTGATACTCGACGAGAACGTTATTCGGTATATAAGGATCTGTTTTCCTTTTAGTTGATCGAGTTAAAATACATTTCCAAAGAGCTGAGGGTTTATTGTAATTTTGACATGATGTTTCATAAGGCCATCTTAATGAGTCGGAAACGGTTTTCTTATAACGAACTGTGGTCATGACAATAGTTCCAGTTTCTTGGATTACCATGAAATAGCGATTCTGACTAATCTCACATGGAGATTTAGGTGAAGTAAATCGGATCCCAAAATAGGAACCCAGAGAATGTACCAGGATAGCGAAATGATTTCCATTTATCAAGTATTTTCTCGCATCGATTGTGAATGGATTTGATTGATTTTGACATGCGATTCTTAAGTAAATTGCAGTTGATGTGAAAAATTGGTCAACTTTACATCTTTTCTCAACTATAAGTTCAGAGCCAGTTTCTGTCAATATGAGTCCATTGATCATTTTATCCATACCCTTGGTGAGATATTCAATATCTTCAACTGTCAATATATTGGCCAAATGATTAGAGATAATAACTGGAGCTTCAGATAATTGTGGACATTTCTCGTTCAGATTATCTGCCGTTATAATTATACTTTGATTAAATTGCAGGAATCGACATAAAGATATCACTTGATATGGATGACGTTTAAATAACTCGGTCATATTGATCGCTATGGCCATTGGAATCATGATATCGATTGCTGGAAGTTCAACTCTTGGAGGATAATCGAAAGCAACCTCATTTCTAACTCGAAAATTGATAAATTGATGACTCACAGAATAGAGTTGAATGAGACACCCGATCGAGCAAAAAGTCCAAATCAAATTGGAATCATGAATTTTCATGGCAATCAATGAATGACATTGAAACTTTATCCCAACTCTACAATTCTAGGTTACATTTATCCGAAACTGTAACAGTTTCTAGTGTTCCCAAATCGGATCATTAAATGACCGAGAAAATTTTCATCCTCATTTTTCAATAATTTTGTTAAATTTATTCGAATCAATTGTGACATTTGTCAGAATTGATGAGCTATCATGGCAGAAAAACACATTTAATAATAAATCTGATGATCAATCGATAAAATGAGAATTATTGAGAAATAATTAGCAAATGGTTCCTACGATTGAACCGATCAATACAAGGGAATTGTTTTCTACTTAGTAATTAAATCATTCGATATTTTCATATTTTACTCGATCCAAATTATTTTATCTTCGATTCAGAATTGATTTTATAAATTGTTCGGAAATTTCAATTTTATTCCTTTAAAATGATATAATAATTGTAATTATATAATAATAATCGATCAGAACTATGAAAAAATTTTTACACGATTTAGGCAGTTAATTAAATTGTGTATAAAAAAGTGGAAATCCAATTGAATTTCAAGGAGATCCAAACATGATTTGTGTCCCATCAATTTGTTTCAGCGGCAAGAACGAGAGAGATGAGTAAGAAACAGTTTAATTAATTTTACCACTAATTCTGAATGAGTAGATTTTGATTCTAATTTTTTTTCGTTTGATTAACGCTCACACGACCATTAGATTGGTAAGAAATTTATCACCATTAGTAGTGTTAGTTGTTAAGATGATGATATCAAAATTTTTCTGTTTACTCAGAAATCTGAGAGCAGAGACTTCGGCAAAAGTGATTCCACCAATCATGAAAACCGCGATCACAGGTTTAGCCCCACCGGTGGTTTTCTCGGTGAAAGATGAAGTTGTTATAAATTTTGACAATGGTGATAGTTGGTCTTTTAACGATGACCAGGGGCCATTGATGACACTTTCAGCAATACGATAAACGATCGGGACAAAATTACCACCGAATACAAAACTTGCATCTTTGGATAAATTTGAATCGCTGGCTCCTGATGGTTCGGGGGTAAGATTGAATTTTCGAGCCAATGTACGAAGTTGAGATCTTTTAGGAAGTGCTGACATCGCTGCGGCTTTACTTTGATTAATTACATTGGTCATTGAAGTGTTTGGACTTGAGAGAAGACTTCGATTTCCTTGTCGATAAAGTAACCTTAAACGGTTAAGGTTACAAATTGTCACTAAATGTTGATGACCATAACTGTGAAGGAAAAGTTTCATCAGTTGATGATAATCTTTATAAGCTATTCCATCATTACTTAGTGAAAGAAGGCACAATAATCTAAGAGCTATTAAAGGAGACTTTTGACAAATAATTAGCTCTTCAAGTTGATTAACACAATCACGATATTCAATTCCTTCCATAATGTTGCGTTCTAGAGTTAATTGTTTACCAAATTCATTTTCCTTCTTTTTCTCCATTATAACTTCACACATTGAAATATCTATTTTAATAAAAGAAAAGAAAATTTAATCATCATGATCGCAATTAGATGATCAACAAAATAAACTTACGAAGTTTGAGAGCCCTTTGAGAAGCTTTTTTATTTTTAAGTTCTTTCTGAATGAAATCCTTCATCTCCTGAATACTCATCTCTTGACTCTTTGGCATGTTTTCCTTGAGCTCGGCGGCGATCCTTTTGAGATCAGCTGAAGCCATGGACAGGTGACTATCACGAATATGCTTGAATATCGGATCAGAACTTTGAGCCAGGTATTTACGCATTTGAACACTTTCCTTAGCCGCGATTTCACTTGGTATTTCAATTTTTGCACATTTTATTTGGAAAGTTTCATCTAATAATCCTTGGTAATTAAGAGATGAAAGTAGAAGTGAATAATAATCGACCTCTCGGTCTATTGCAATCAAATGATCAACTTTCGGCAAATCAAATCCAGTAGTTAACGAGTGAGCATCTGACAATTTGAAAGCCATATGAGTTGATTTACCAACTCCAGTAAATTTTGCACAACCGCCCAGGATTGAAAAAAGATGTTGAATTGATCTAGAAATATTTGAAATGGCTGTTTGATTTTTTCTCTGAAAAATTGATCAAAGTAAAAGTTAATTAGTAAAATTAATCAAATAATTTTCGAAAAATACTCACAAGATAGAGCATATCGTGAATGTTTTCTTGTTCAAGTGAAAGAAGGTCAGTGTCAAGTGGAATAAAACTCAACGGAAAATCCAGTATATTAATATATCCATAGACTCCTTGCTCTTCGAGTAAAAGATCACAAATTTTGGTCTGAAAAAGAAAACAAAGCGAATCAAATTAATATTTTCTCGTTTGATTTTCAGATCAAAATCTTACAATTTTCGGGACAAAGGCGATCCAGTATCTAAGCGACGTTTTCTGCATCTTTTCAGCGTTTATCTGGTTACAAATTATACGAGTAGAAGCGGCATCGTTGTTGGAAATAAATAAACGCCTATCAAAGTTCAAAAAATAAAGATTAAAAAGCGATCATGATAATTTGATTTTGTAAACTATTCTCAAGTTGCAATTAATCTAATTAACGAGAAGATAATAATGTTAATGAGTTCTACAAAAGTTATCATAAGACTCTAATATCTCAAGTAATCAACTAGGAGTATTTTCTCATCAAATTTAGAGTTGAATTAATACCTATCCAAGGCTCCATCAGTAGGTCCATCTTCAAGTTTGAAAATTTTCCTCACTCCTTTTTTCTGTAAACGAAAAGATAGAAACAAATTAATTAATATTAATCGTTACACTTACAAAATAGAATATAAATTCTGTATATTACCTTTAACAGTGAAAAATTAATAATCATATCAAAAGGTTGAATAAGATTGGGGCTGATTACAAGATCTTTCTGTTCACCAGGAACCTGTAAATTCAGAGAAAAAGAAAAGTAAATTAGTAATTTGAGTAACTAATTGTTGTAAGTGGAAGAATAGAAATATTAAACTTACCTGATCAAGTAAATTGATTAAAGCAGAAGCTGAAAACGATTTGAATAGCCCAGGAACTGAGCCATCTTGGTATTCTAAAGGTTCAAACATCGTATAACAAATTGCTAATATAAAAATTTGATAAAAGTAAAATTGTAGAGGAAAAGTCGAAAGGGACAGAGACACAAATATGTGAATAAAAAAATAGTTAATTTAAGGAGTTCATCTAATTAGTTAGGAAAAGAGAGCTAAGAGTTAATTGTATGTTATAAAGCAATACAGCGTTTCAGAAATTTTTTATATCCGATTTTGAGTTCTCTGGGAATGTCAAATTGTTGTATTTTATGCGGTTTTAGGCCTGATCTTTTTAGGGAAAGATAACAAATGTCACGTAGATTTTCAATCGGGTGTGTAATGAATACTGGCTTTCTGATTGATGGTTTAGCTGTTTCGGGGAGTAAAACTTTCTTTGGGTAACCTGGTGTACCCTGAAAAACGGCTAATCGTTTCCTTGTACGAGATTCCCTGAAGATCCAAGGATGAGTTTCAAAAGTATCAACCTCGATGTTTTTTGGTCCAACCAAAATAGAATAAGTTTGCTCCTTTCCCTCGTAATCAATCCATATCAGTTCAACCGCGTGAGTGGTCAAATTATAAATATTTAGAAAGACTCGTTTGTTTGCTTCCTTTGACGAAAGCCCTATGGCCATTACCGAATGTAGAAAATCAACAAATTATAACAATGTACAGAGCAATTTATACATTTGATGGAGATTCCAAACAAGAAGAGCTAAAAGAACACCGAGTTACAAGTAAGATGATAATTTCTTTTCTTCTCTCTCCAAAACTATACAATACACAAAAGAAAAGACAATCAACTGGAAAGATAGAATTTCCTTGTAATTTAGATAATTCTGATGACGCCTAAGAGAAAAGAGAGAAAATGAAACAACAGATATTAGAAAAAAATGAATAGAACAAAAATTTAAGCACAAAATACACTGTAAATTCACAATAAGATAATTTGTTCCCAACAATTAAGCTAATCACCTATTTAGCGACAATTAGAAATTGTAAACAAATGTAAACCCCAATTTAGAGACTTACCTTTATAAGATACTTTCAATGAGCGATTACTTGACTTAGTTTGTAAACGGAAGAAGGAGGTTAAACTGAATTAACCAATTGACTGGAAATCGTAATCTATTGATTATTGAAAAAGGTTACGTTGAAAGTGAACTAATTAAAGAAAAAGAATAGAAAATAAAACAAATTAACTGAACAAAATAATCAAAGGTCAATGATGTAAGTAAACAGAAAATGTTGCAAATTGGAAAAGAGGAAAAAAGAAAGAGAAAGAAAAAAAAAGAGAGAAGAAAAATCGAGAGGGAAAATTGAAGAGAAAAAAATGAAAAGAATTACCAATGGATTTGATTTTCTTTCCCAATGATTAGCTAATTGTTGAGAAGAAAAAAAAGAAAAGGAAAATTGTGATTGGAATCAAGTAACTAAATTTAATTTAATTCTAATCAAGTGAAAATATGGACAAACAGTTTACAGATTATTCAAGTCACCAGATTAGCTTTTTTTTTGATGACCTTTTTTCAATGTTTTCTGACCAATGGTCAGTCAATTGTAAAGCTTTTTGTGGTCATCGTTGTGACAATTAATTCAAGTCTTGTGATCAACTAAATTATTTAGTACGAAGTCATTACTCTTTTGCTTTTTCATAGATTATTGTTAACAAATCAAAGTCAAATTGTTGTGTAATCTTTTTCTTTTGATAATCATCATCATTTGATTGTAATAACGTTTTGATCAATCAATTAATTAATCATCAATCGGTTTGTTTCAATTTAGAAGTTAAATCGATAGAGGTTATTAAATTGTCAAAGTTTATTGAAATCTTTAAATTGCTCATTCAACTCAACAATTTTGCTCGTTGGAAAAAAATCAAACTTTAGATTCGGTTGTCAATTAATCTTTACAATCAAGTTTCGTACTTGGATTTCATGGTATTGATAGAGTTCATCTCAACTCGAAGAGAAAAAATTAATTCTGATTTAATCATGTTCGAGATGCTTATTAACTAATTGAGTCCAAATTTCTGTCCTAATTCACCTCAGAGTCCGTTTGATCTCATAAATTTACTCTAAATTATTGTATCGGATTTTATAACAATTTAAGTAAATTTAACTCTTCAAACAATTAAAATCAATTGCTTGTAATAATAAGATGGAAACAAGATCAGTTTCAAGATCTGATTGTATAAAATGTTATTGATTAATGTGAATAAATAAAATATGTATTATTATTTACAACCAAAGAAAAAAAGATTTAAGTTTAGTTACATAGCTTAAAATAATCAACAGGTTTCTTTTGCTTTTCCAGGTAATTAAGGGAAGATAATTAGTTTTGTACCAAGAGAATTCATCACAATTACATGTACATTGTTAGTATGAATTTAGTTGAATTATTGCAAAGGGATTTAGGTTCAATTAACTATGATTTTAAATGGGACAATAGAAAATAAAAAGAAAACAAGGAAAAAAAATCTTAATATTTGCATAAATTTTTGAATATGGCAAAAGAAAATCAGATGGAAGAGATTATCTGATTAATCGAAACAAGGCAATTGTGATTGTCGAGATGATCAGTTGATCAGTTAGATTTCCAATCAAATCGTCCATCTAAATTATCAGCACTTAAGGTTTAATGTGGTTCTCCCTAATTTGTGGCATTGGATCTCTTTTCAATTGAACGTATGGCGAAAATTGTACTAATCATGTGGAGATAATTATCATTTCCAACTTTGGATCGTATTGGTGGCGATTAAATTGTGCTCATGTTTATGGTCAATTTTATGAAGATGTTTCTCTAAAATCTTCTGAACCTTCTTGACGAGGTTGTAAACTTTCATTTCGTTTATATTTCGCTGCTTCGATTAAAATATTGGTTATGAAATTTTGAAGAATATTAAAATCTCGCTGCATAACTTTAATTCGCTGTTTGAGCGCTGAATTGGAAGCTTGTAATCGTTTCTCTTCGTTAATTATTCTATCCAATTTTTCTTTCTTGGTTAATTTAGAGCGACGAGTTGGATCCATTTTCTTTTTTCGACCTGGTGTAGCTCGTGAGGTTTGCTCATCCTCTGATCCTGAGGGGACAATATATTGAGCGGATTCTTTACCAACCGTTGATGCTTGAGATGATGTTGATATTGTTGATACCGGGGAAAAAGGTGCACGGCGACGAGCTGAAGTATTAATATGATTGGAACGTGAAGATGAGCTTGGCAAATCTTCAGTTGATAATGACAATGTGTTGGTCGAATTGTTTTCACTGTGATTTGATAAGTTCAACGATGTTACAGCGGTTGGTAATGAAGAAGATGATGCGATTGATGATGAATGTTGTAATCGTTGATTAACTTGGTTGATTCGTGAAAGATTCGGGGCAATCGTGGTCGTTGCTGATGCCGTTAACGATAAACCAGTTGTGATGACTGTAACTGGAATCGGACTGAGGTGACTAGAATTGTTTGCGACATATTCTGATCCTCCATGTTGTTGTTTAGTTGACAAATAATTGGAGTAATTATGTAAGGATGGTGAGGTTGATAATTGATAAGATGATGTTGATGAATTAGATTTAGAGTCACTTGGAGGTGTTGGTGATGGGGTTTTATTGGAAACTTCTGGTGCCGGTAGATTATTTAAAGATTGAACATTTGATCCATTGGGTAATTGATGATTATTGTTAGAAATGTTGTGAGGTTGATGAGCTGAAGATTGAGACTGTGATGATGTTGGAGTCTGTAATTGTGACTGTTGAGATTGTTGATGACGATGGTTGTATTTTATTGCTGGTGTTGGTATTGAAGAGGTAGTTGGAGAGGGAAATAGTGTGAAGGCTTGAGGCTTGTCTTGTTTGGGAGTCTCACAAACATCAGAAACTGATTGAGAAAGTTCTTGTAAATATTGTCCGAAACCGTTTTCAGGGTGATGGTCAAATGAAGGAAAATGAGGACCAGTTGTGGATAAAGGTGAATTTGGATCAATGATTGGAGTTGTCAGTGAATCGTTGTTATCAGAGGCTCTTTTACCAAGGAAATTAAAACGAGGAGGTTTACGATCCATTTTGTCGGTAATCTTGATAAAAGATAAATATTATCAAAGTGTAATAGTGGATGACGATGATGTTGCTTTAAATGTAAGAATATTTTTGGTACAAAATAATTATTTTTAAAGCAACTGTTCGGTGTGTTTGTACTGATGAGGTTTGTTTCAAGGATGATGATTAAGATGAAGATGGTGTTGTTACTTAGAAAGTAGTTCAAAATAACAAGGAAATATATCTTTAAATGATTTGCATTCAATTCTTGAAATTTGTGCTTGATGTTAGATAATGTTTGAATTTCGTCAGATCGTAATCCAATTTGGTTTGCAGCAATTGGAAGCAACGATTTAGACCAAATTTTTTGATAAGTTATTAGTTGACTATGGGTTGTAATCCGATTAAAATATTGGTAATATCTGTGATGATAAAGAACGAAGATTCAACAGGTAAATCACAATTATTAATAGGAAGGTTAAGAGGATAAAACAAAGAGTAACAATAACAGTGAAAAGAGTGATCAGGAGCCACCATTGCACAGAGAAAATGGAAACAATTGTGATCGATCCCAATCTCTTAGTTGATCATAAGACAAATGACACATCCGGGTAACTGAGATTAACAGTGTTTACTAAAAGATATGCACGAGAGAACAAAAAGAAGAAAAGAGAACAAATTAGCAAAAATGAGAAGAGAGACCAGAGAAAAGGAAAACAACGTAAGGCGGTTATCAGAAGAGCCCAGAAAGAGAAATAAACACACAGACACACAGAATAAAACACCAAAAAAAAGATTAAGCAAGAGAAATTAAACAAAACATAACAGGTAATTATAATTATCCGTTGAAGGTGAAAACCAAGAAATAAAATTATTACCTGAGGTAGAAGTAAACAAAAGTTTAATTTAATTGCCTTGGGTAAGAAAAAAAAAGTAATAAAGAAAAAGATAGAGAGATTTTTTTTCTTGATTGTTGTAATTTTCTACTAAATGTTAGCAATAATAATGATGATGGTGATGATGATGATGATGATGATGATGATGAAGTTACTGTTGAAAGTAATAGTTACCAGAAAACCAGAAAAAAAACCAAGAGAAAAAGAAAGAGAGAAAACAAAAAGGCTGGGATTAGATGAAAGAGAGAGAAAAAAAAAGAGAAAAGAGAAAAAAAATGTTCTCTGTTAATTCAAACTCATAATAGTTTCAACCTTGTGAACAAAATTAAATCATTAAATTATGTTACTAGATAACAATTAAAGGGATCACCTAAGAATTCACAATTTGTGGACAATCAAAACATTGGAAAAATTAACAATTAATAATTAAAGAAAACGACAAATGATAAACAATTAATTGACTTTAGGTGTTGTTTAGTTCAACTACAACGTAAGCCAATAGGAAATCGGTGACGTCACATTCATCCAATCAGATTACGATAAACAAGATGATGCAATTGTCTTCACCCAAGAAACAATATCAACATGATGGCTCTTCAGATAATCGCCTGATATGTTTATCTAATTTAATTACTTATTGTTTCCTTTTTCCTTTTAATTGATTTTACATTATTTCGATCAATTCCTCATCTCTTTCGTACTTGGAATCTTTTGTTTTCTGTCAACATCCACAAATGTTAAAGTATTTTTGTTGATCATCGTTTTGTGTTTTTCTTTAACATAAATAGTAATTGGAAAGACTTTTCTTTGGTTTTTTTTTCTTCTCCAGTGATTTGATTTTAATTGTATTAACATTTTCATCTTTGATTAAGGTTTCTAATTATAAACGATTGATTGTTTATTATTAGTATTATCGTTAATTATCTTATGTTTCTTGAGAAAGAAAATTTTTAAGTTTAATTTCTTATTCTGTCTAAAGGGTGTTTCGTTTTTTTGGAACAAGAGAAAAGATTAAGATTCTTGATTGGGTAATGATCTTTCTTTAAGATAATTTAATTACTTTCCAGGTAGAAATTAACACTTTATATGTATGTAATTAACTCTTAATCAAATGTTTACCTTTACATTGTTTTCTTTTTTTTTCTTTTTTTCCCTCTCTTCATCTTTAGGTGTTACATTCAGATGGTTTTTATTAAGTGTTGGCGAGAATGCGAAATTTAGATAATCTAATTGTAACTGGAAATCAATCTGAATCAATTAGGAGATGAAATTAATTAAATTACACAATGGTTTAAGATAATTGACTGATAACAATCAGTGATTTTTTGTTTTCCAATCAAATCCATTGGTAATCAAAGTATTCTAAGTGTCTAACCAATTTCAAATGAAACATTTGTTATATTGGTGATTCCATTGTAATCAAACTTTGAGTTAGTCATTAAAGTAAAAAGGATGAAGATGGTGAGATACAATTGTTTTCCAAGTTAATCATCATAATTAACGATAATTATGATTGAAGATTAGTATCCATGGTTGTAATCACTTATATTACTGTTTATCTTTTGTGTCTCTCTTTTAGAGAAAAGAAATCAGAAAAATAACATAATACTTATGATTTTGAATAAACTCTCAGATTACATAATAATAGTGCTTTCCAATAATCAACTGATTTAAACCAAATTAGTTATCATGCTAATTAAGTTAATCCAGAAACAGAAAAAGTAAACAAATCATTTTGAGAGATGAAACGAATCAACGAAAATACAAAATTTTCGTCAGTAATTTAATCGCATCCTGATTCTCGAGATGGTGATATTAAGTTGACAATAGAAATTAACATTGTAATCTAATTGATCTAATCATTTTCTAAACTGAAACAATTAACAATTAGTTCACTTTCAATTGGAAACATTTAAGGAGCGATTCGACTGCCACCTAACCTGTGGATCGAAACTATTAACAGCTGATTGAAAACGTTTTCTTTTTTTTTTTTCTCAAATTTCAACTCAATTAATTTCTATTATTTTTCTCTTCTAAATTAGTTAATTGTTTAACTATGACTTCTAAAGAGAATACGGTTTATCAATGTGTCCTTATATGTGATTCGTTCCATAATCATTTCGGTCCGATTGGTGAACATTATCCCTCATGTTTGGTTCCATTGGTTAATCGGCCTGTTCTTGATTATTCACTTGACTCTTTGAGAGTTTCTGGTATTCAAGAGGTTTATATTTTTGCCTCTTTTCATTCAGATCTAATTAGATCATATGTAACTACTAATTGGTTGCCAAAGTGCGATAAAGATTTTAGTATTTTTGTCCACTCTTCGGATCATTATTTCTCTTTGGGTGAAGTTTTGAGAGACCTTTTCGCCAAAGCAGTTATTCGCAATGATTTTGTTCTCGTCTATGGTGATACTGTTTCTAATTTACCATATAAACAATATCTTGAGGAATTCAAGTAAGTAGTTAATTATCTCGTCTTATGGCCACTAAATCGTTTCTCTGCTCATTTTGCCTCATCTAAATGCATCTAATTTCATTTTATTCTCTTTTCTTTCCTCCAGATTATTAAGAGCCAAAGACAAATTATGTGTCATGGCTCATCTATTTCGTTCATCATCTCCTCTCACCGAACCCGACGGAAAGACGATGAGTCCATTACCGTTTTGAACGCTTCTGACAAGAGATTACTTTGTTATGAAAAGATTCATCTTAAGAAAATTGATTTAGACATTGTAAGTGTGTGAAACTTTTTCAATCGTTTATGAATAGTGAGGAATTAATTTTGATTTCATTCTATTCTGATTTCAGTCACTTTTCCAAAACACCAAGGACGTAGAAGTGCATTTCGATCTTCAAGATACTCACATATCGATCTGTTCCCTTTCTGTGTTATCCTTATTTGCCGATAATTTTGATTACCAAACTCGAGATGATTTCATTAAAGGAATCATGGGACAAGAAGAGGTAAAAATCTTGAGTCATCTTATGAAAATATCTCTTATTAAGTTTTAATTTGAATCAATGTTTTCTAATAGATTTTAGGTAATACGATCTATGCCAAAATATTGGGCTCCCCTTATTATGCTGCCAGAGCTTTTAGTCCAATAGCTTACGATGCCGTGTCTCGGGATATCCTTCAAAGGTGGACTTATCCTAATGTACCCGATTTATTGATGAATTATGTTTATCAAAGGAACCACATTTATAAACAAGGAATCTCAAATATCACAGCGTAAGTTTTTCCTAGACAATTTATCCTGTTTTCAACTAATCAATTGATTCATCAATCTCACAGTGGATCGATTCTTTCTCGTAACATCGCTATTGGAGATAAAACCGAGATTGGTGCTAATGTGGAAATCCATTGCTCAGTTTTCGGATCGAATGTTAAAATTGGACATAACGTAAAAATCGATGGAGCTTACATTTGGGATAATGTAGTAATAGAAGATAATTGTACTATTAAAACTTCGATAATTGGTAAAAATGTTCACTTGAAAGCTTTTACCAATCTAAATAGTGGATGTCTAATTGCTGACAACGTTATTATCGGACCTAATGTAACCTTGAAAGAAGCGACTTATGTTGGCTCCAAACCTAAAGATGAAGATGCTGATCTTACTGTGGATATAAAAAGCCTTGGATCAGAAGCAAAAGGTTACATTTGGACTGAGAATAGTGGTGAAGATGGTCAAGATGATTCGGACAATGAATCATTTTCACCTGAGATTTGGGGCATTCCCTTGGATGAATCTGAGCAAGAAATTTCATCCACATCAAGCTCTGAAAATGAAGCTTCTGATAGTGATGATGATTTTGGTGGTGGTGATGGCGATGATGCTAAACGTAAGTTTAAGTGTAAACAAATTGCGAGCAATCAAACAAATTGTGATCATAATTATATCCATACAATCTCAATTATAACTCTTAATAACTCTTATTGCCTCTAGGATATTATGCTGAAGTTATTGACAGTTTAATCCGTGGAATTGAAGATAAAATTTGTGTGAAAACTTAATTGTTGAAATTAATGCATCAAAGTGAGTAAATTTAGTCTATTCTTATTATTCTTATTACATCGTTTTATCGTTTAAATTTTTTTCTCTATTAAATCTCTTTTCTCATAGACACGCATACAATATTCAATATAAAGATGTCGGATTTTTGGTGAGCCGAGCAATTATTGAGGTCGTTTCTAAACTATCAAACCAAGAAAGCAAAGCAACTGCATCTCGGATTAAATCAATGATTAAACATTTATTACCACTAATCTCTAATTATGTTAAAGATACAATCAACAAAAAGGATTGCCTCAAAGCAATGGAGGAATATACACTTTCCAATGTTAAACAATCAACATCAGTGCCTATTTTAGTTCACATAATCAGTTATCTATATGAAGTTGATGTGATTGATGAAGATTCAATACTAAATTGGTTCAATTCAGCTGAACCAATTTACTCTTTAATCTCTGAATTCGATCATGACGAGAAGGAACAAAAAGTTCTAAGATCACATTCTATCATGTTGAAATTCATCAATTGGTTAAAAGAAGCCGAAGAAGAATCTGAATCTGAATGAATCAGATCAACTAATTGAACTACAGAAAACTCATCTCAATTTTACATCTTATAAAATTATATTTATATCTGCAAATTAAATTAATCTATTTAATTCAATGATCAATTTTAATCATAATTCTGTTTTTGTTACCTTCGATTTGCTTTAATCGTCGGGAACCATCTCGATGAAAGTTAATCAACTCACTGTTAACATTTTTAGCCACAAATTGTATCAACTCATGTAACCTTTTCCCTCCTTTGTATTTAATTTTTTCCTTGGTCTCACTTGGAATCAAATAGAGAGTCGGAAATTGTTCAACCTTAAATTGCGATGGAATTGTATTAACTGTACCATCCAATGAGATTAACTCAAGATTAGATTCGCCAGATAATTCAGCTGCTAATTCCTTCCAATAGTAATCAAATTGTTGGGACCATTTACACTTTGGATCAGTAAAGCGAATCAAAATATCCTTTGGATTGTGAGAGACAAATTTATGAAATGAATTACCAGTTATTTCTCGAGTTAAATCAACATCAGTGATTAAATTAGTTCTCGATTCTAATTCGTAAAATTGATCTTGCGAATCTGATATTGGAGCAATTAAACCTGAAGAAAAATGGTTAATCCATTGAGCTAAATTTCGCTCATCAAATTCATCTCTCATCACGAAAATTGACCCAAACCCATCGAAGGCCATAAAAACGGGTGGATCGTTGCTTCGTGCAATTTTAATTCCATATTTTTTTAACATATTCTTGTATTGGCTTGACGAGCCGATGGCGAAATTGATTTCGGTGAATTTTCTGGATGCCAGGATAATACGATTACGCCAAGAGTGGGAAAATGTCGGTCGATTAAAAAAGTTGTAATCATAAAAGGCAACGATTGTCGGAGGTTTGAAATCTTCCAATGGATTGTCCCTAGTGACCCAACCAATGGTACCGAAGGCCTTGCGTTGTATCCATTGACCGATGTGCTCGTTACTTTGAATGGGATACAAGACAATCGGCTCTTCTAATGGTGTGAATAACCATTTAGGTCGACGAAGGATAATCAATGGACTTTTCCAATTAATTCCTGATTTTGCTCCGAGTCCATCGAGTTGCCAATTGTTTCCCGTGGCCGTTTCTTCAACGATATGGACAAAGTCACTTGAGAGGGAAAAGATTTCTCCCTCACTCTCATTGTGGCTTCATGATACAACTCGATTAAATCATCTCGATTGTCCGAGAAAATCGCCACTACAATTATTTCATCATTTCTTTTAATCACTTGATTTAATTCACTGTAAGACCAAAATCTCGTCGAGATGAGATGACTTTTCTGCTTAATCCAATTGGTCATTGTATCTGAATCCCGAGATAAATGGTACACTTTATAAATTGCTCCATATCTAATCAAGTTGATTGCGATAAAAAAACAATAGATCAAGTTCAATTAACGAGTGAAATCTAAACAATTAAACACACGATAAATTACCTGATAAGAGCTAAAGTCGGATTAGATATTATATTGAATTCATAGCAAACCTTTAATCCGGATTCAGTTGAACAATCAAACCTTGCAATCGGTATAATTGGTTTGAATTGCGACAAATTATCAGAAACTTTGATTAAATCATATTTCATTTGTCTATAAGAATCAAATGTAAATGTGAAAGCAATAAAAATCACATCAAAATGATTTAAAATAGATTTTAATTGATATAAACTCGAATTGGATAAATCATAAAATTTTTCAACTGAAGATAAACTTAAAGGTAATTTAAATTGTTGCCCAGTTACAATTAAACAATAATAAAATCCAACGATAGTTAAACAGGTACAGAAATTACAATTCATTGATAAATTTGCATTTAAAATCAATTAGTAACTAAAACTAAATCAACATAAAGATAAACATGAAAGAGAAACAAAATCAACAATAACAATCAACTAATCATCAGGATAAGAGTCAAGGGATAATTTTCACTCGCCAATCAATTGTGAATTACATTCATTAGATTACAATTTATGTTAATTGGACCAAAAAGAAGGCTAATTAAGTCGGATTCTAATCACGATTCGACCGCCCAGTAGGTGGAATTGAACCACTCTGACGCTAATCAGCTACGGGTTTGAAGCCCGCACCTCGGACCACCGAGGTTCAACTGGGCGATAATCAATTGATTATCAAATTTAATTTAAAATAACAAATCACTTGCTCTGTGAAAATTACAGTTTCAATCAGTTAATTGTCTTTATTGAGATGGAAGGATTTTTTTTCGATTTGATGATAAGCTTAATTATCTTTCAACATTTTTCTGGTTAATTGTTTGCGAAACAATTTATCTAATCTGCGATTCGATTAGCAGTTAATTGGAAAACAATCAAATTGATTTTCCCGATGATGCAAATATCATTTAATCATTTAGACTTTGCTTGGAATTAAATAAATGAGTAATGAACGTTTAGAAAAGTTGAATTAAGTTTAATTTAATTTCAATTAAGTAAAATTCAATTTTTTTACAAGTTAATTGTTTCACTTGAAATATTTCATTTTGTCTGATATGAAAATCACAGAACGAGCAATTAGTTAATCTTATACAATTACAATTACTTTTTAAAAATTTCATTTGATGTTTTTTTCAATATGATACAAAAAATTGAGTGTTAACTGGATTAAAAATCAAAATTTGGACACATTTTCATGCTAATTGTGTCTTTCAATAGCTCAACAATTACTATTGATTAAGATTAAGAGGAATGGCCAAACAAAATGTAAACAATTTCAACAGAAAGACTTAATTAAACTGAAAAGTCTAATAAATAGTTAATGAAATTATCGTTATCACAGTTAATAACAATAATTAAAATTGACAAAAATTAAATAAATAAATTAGATTATTGCAGAAAGCAATTAGCTGATTAAGTTTTGGTTGTGTCTCTAAGTTTAGATTGCATGTTCACCAAGATGATGATGATATTGATTGTCCAGCAGTGAATATGATTTCACTTTTTTGTTAATTGTTGCTAATTTAATATCCAATTACCCGATTTCCATAAGATACAATAAAATCCATTCATATAATATTGAATTTCACCATCTCTTGAGTCATGAACAAAACGATTGGCAAGATTACGATAACCTTTTCCAATGGTAATTATGTATTCGTCACTTGTTGATTGTTGACAATTAGAGGAACTGTTGACACTTTGGTCTTTGATTTCATTAGGATCGGTTAAACTGTTGGAATCAGAGTTGCAATCAAAAACTTGACTTCCATTGAAATAAATAATATTCCGGATCTCATCTTCATAAGGTCGGAAAACGGTGATTGGCCTCATTGTTGATGCTTCCAAGATGATTAAACATCCCCAAGTTGTACCGATGACAAGTTCGTTTCCAGCGATTGTCATCGATGTAATTTGACAATTTTCGGCTAAATAAGAGTAAAAACAATAAGTAAAAATTAGTAATCATGATTGTGATTGTGATTCTTTCGACTTAATCAACTTACGATAAACTTGCTCTTCGATTCCAATAGATCTGATTGATTCTGAACATGGTAACAATTTAGAGCAATCAAGTTTATGAAGAAGTGATCGGTTAACAATGTCCCATTGGTAAACCAAACAACCAGGATACAAATAAGTCCAAGCGTGAAAATTATTTGATGTGATTTGTAGCACATCAAGTTTATCGGTCGAGTCCAATTTATCGTCTGAATAATGATTAAGTAAATCGATTTTTTCTTCGTTAGTCCCATTGGTAAAAGACATAATTGATAAAGATCCTTCAGCTTGACCACACCAAAGTTCTGGAGTTTCATTTGATTTGATCAAACTGACAATGCAGAGAAATGGATTAGTTGATTGTGTTGATATCTCACGAGCAGTTAGCGACGCAACATCCACGATCCAAAGCTGACCAGAATTGTTGAGAACGGCAACTGATCCCAGTGTTTCCAAGTAGATCATACTTCGTATCGAAGTTACAACAATTTCATTACTAGAAGACTCGAGAGGGAAATTGGTGATCTCTTGATAAGTATCAGAGTGAAAAATGTGAACACAAGAAGAACCGTCACCAAGCCAAAGGTAACTCCCGACAGTACACATTGAAGTTATGGTTAGTCCCATGAGTCCATTGACAGATCGATAATCTTGCCAAGCATGATTGTTACCAATCAGTAGGTCAGTTTGTTTCCCATGCCGCCCAACAAATAATTCAAAACACTTTTCATTTCTATTGGGAATCAAGATTGAACTAATTGGAGCGTAATTGTCCTGAAGTATCACCACATCCAAAAGATGGACAAATTCGGGTGCACTGGCGATCGAGACAATTTGACTAGCTGAAGGCCTTTGGTCGGGAGCTTGAGACCAGCATAGCACCATAAGGTCGAGAAAGTAACACGGATAAAGAGTATCACGTTCCGTTAGGATGGGACGATTTCCTTCAAGAATATGATCTTTAACACAATCTTGACCTTCGAAAGGTTGTCTTAAACTGAGAAGCTCATAAATGAACATTCCAAAGAGAAACAATCGACTTTCTCTGTATACTCTTCCTCGCCATTGTATCGCATAATTTCAGGCGCCATAAACCCTTCAGTTCCAGCGAATCCTTTGGCACCCGTTGGTAGAATCGCTCGACTTATACCATAATCAGCTAATTTGACATCGACACGAACTTCCCCACAATAGTTGACCGGTAAACAGTAAGGTCTCGGTATCTCCCAAATTAGTACATTTTCAGATTTTAAATCACGATAAATGACTCGCTGTTGGTGAAGATATTCTAATGCTTTGGCAATCGACAAGATCACTTTTTGTAAAACGAAGTAGTTCAATTGAGCGCCGGATCGTCGATAGTCTTTGATAGTTAAATCAAGTGCCCCTTGAGGGGCTAAACGTAATACTAAAGCTAATGGATGCGGACAAACACCAACTAGAGGGACAATATTCACATGTCGAAGGGTCAACAAAATGTTCAACTCTTGTCGAGCAATACAATAAGCTTTACAAGCATATTGTAAAGGATCACGTTCCCATTTATTTGATGCCGCTTTAAATGCCACTGAATCTGAATTTTTAGCCCCATATCCTGGGTCAACGGGTTGTAACATTTTCATTGCAACATCGGTAACACTGATTGACCCTCGTTGACGGACAGAAGCTCGAAAAACAAAACCAAAAGCCCCTCGACCCAACATTTTACCTCGACGAATCGTTTCTGGTTTTATCAAGTAATGTTCACCAAGGTCTAGGAACATAATATCAGGAGCGATGATTTTCAGGTCGATCGAATCATGGACTGGACAAATTACCGATTTCTCTTGGGAAGCTTCAAGAATACACTCTTCCACCATGAATGAGTAAATACTGGTCACTTTACTTTTACCATGTGAGATTGAATATGAATCCTGGTTACCGGTGAGTCGACGATCAGTTGATTGTTTTTTATTACTCTGATTGTTGACATTCTGACAATTATCTGTTGACACATTGGCACTTGAAACTGAGCTACAATTGTCAACTCCACTGTCCAGAGAGTTGACACTTTTAACTGATCCAATTTTTGATTTTTTGGTTAATGAAACTGACCACCAATCTTTGATCTCTACTGAAGATGATCCGCTTGATTCGAGAAGCACTAAATCACGAGAAGTTGAAGATGATGATGAAACTGATACATCTGATGATGGTGATGTCACTCCGAGGAAACACTTAGTACAGGGTATCATTCGAGTTATCAGAAATTTTCCCTCAGAAGTGTGAACGAAACGAGTTCCTAACGATGGATACCAATCCTCTAATAAAGTGTCGATATGGTCAACAGTTAATGCCAACAATTTAGAAATATATTCTAAATTAGGTTCGATGAGATAATCTCGAGGTTCACCAGCGGGTGAAAATGTTTTCACATTCATGGCATGATTGGGTAAATGAATCTCAAGAATTGATGATTTAGTTATTTCAACATTCATCCAAATACCTTCTTGCTTAATCAGGTAAGGTGTTTGTTGGTAATGATCATAGTTCCCGTTTTCCAATGATAAGATGACCTCTTTAACGTGAAAAACAACATGGTCGAGATGTCTCAATGCGAATCCTGTTTGCCAGCAAATCCACTCTGATTTACGATTAAGGAAATTGAGCAACAATATGTCCGAATCAAATTCAAGAGGAACCCTGTAAAATGAACGGACGATTTCAATGATGGCATCATCGGCAAGAACCCGGGTCATTAATCGTGACCAGAAACCACTAGGAAAATAAGTCATCAGTAATAAACGATAAATTGATTTCTCGGGTCGATGAATGATAGAAAAGGATAACATTGAGTCTTTTGATGACGATGAACTTTTTTCACTTTTTTTGGACAAACTTTTTGTTTCCAATTCGGTTACCGGAGTATATCGACCGGTTCTAAGTCCCCAACCCCTTGATCGAACAGGAATTCTCACATCACAACTAGGGACACCCGAAAGCATCGCCTCTTCACTAGGCAATAATGAAGGTATCATCAAGGTGCGACTATCCCAGGTCAGTGCGATCTCAAATTTATTCAGTAAATTGATTATGTAATATTTGATATCATTTCGTGACAACTCGGAAGTTTTGAATAAATGCTTCAAATCATCGGTTTTCATGATACCTGAAGAGAAACAATCAAATTAAGCTAAAGTCAGAATTGAACGGAATCAATTAAATGTTTGGTTACTTACCGTTTCTAGCATAAGGATTAATTTCTCGAATCGTTACAATATGAGCGAGTTGATCACAAAGCCATTGAGGGTCAAGAAAATATAAATCTTTGAGTGTGGCGTCATTATAGTGAAGGAGGACTCCATTTTCATGTAGAAAGGTAGTGGCCTGGTGAAGCTCTGAATCGTCACGGAAAGAGAGACCAAATCGTTTTTTCATTTCGTTGGAAACTTGAATTTTGTATTGTTCAGTTTTGAGAACGGGATCTTTTCCAGAAAGTCGTCGTTCAACCGCTAAAAAGCCAATGACATCTTCCAGTGCCAAGTAAGTTGCAGGTATTTTTTGTCCCAATAACCTTTCCTTGGACCCTGGACATCTCAGGTCAAATACCGTATCATAAATTAGATTGCAAAGAGTTTTAATATTATGACGAGTCTTTATACTGATCTCAATGGAATCGATGACTCTTGGAAGGCCACATTTATCTGGATCGATGACGTTCATAAATTTATCTCGAATCATTTGCTGTAAATCTTCTGAGTACATTCGAGGAAAATAGTCACTAATTAGATCATAATGAGTCCCAACAATGATTACTGGTGAATTCGGAGCTCGAGCTTGAATATTAACAAGCCATTGTTGAATTCCGTCGACGGCCTTTTCTCCATCAATCATTTTCCATAGAACAAGATACAAAGATCGCCGAGAAAGAAAATATTGATGAGTAGCATAATATTCCCTTTGTCCACCAAAGTCCCAAGTACGAAAAGTAACTGGACCGAATGAAGGTTGACCTTTCACCTTCTTCTCATAAACCCAATCACAAACATCAACACCAACAGTTGACAATGTTACTCCTTTAGGTGTTTTCAGATTAATGTTTTTATTACCAATTCGTTTACTCCAATGTTCAGGAGGTTTACGTCGATAACTTCCGGTTCCTTCTTGTCTTAATTGTTCTAATAATGAGGTTTTACCAATTCCCTGGATACCAACGATCATTAATTTCATTCGAGCATAAGATTTGGAATTCTCGAGGATCGATTTGAGGTAACCAATGATGTCCATTGTTTTATACTTTTTACCATCGATCATCGTTTTCAAAGGTTCGTTTAGATTACAACCGCTTGTACTCAGGTTCCAAAGTTTGGACAATAGTCCCATTTGTGGGGGTAGACGAATAATATCTGGATTCCCTGAGATATTAAACACTGAAAGGTGAGATAGTTCACAGATATTTTTTGGAACTTCGTTGATATAATTATAGCTGACATCCAGCATTGAGAGAGAAGGGAAAAGAGTTCGAGAAATTTGAGATCGATGAGCTTTACCGTCTGCTTCGAGTAGAGGCTCAAACTCTTCTAGAGCAATTTGATCGTCATTGGCGATAATCAAGTTGACCAATTGATTATGAGATAAAATAAGCGTTTTAAGTGATGTGAATCGATTGTGTTGCTTGTGGAGACAAAATTTCATTCGTTTCAATTTGGATGATTTAGAAGGTGGAAGTTCAAATGAACAATTTATTCCGTAGCAAATGTGATGTTTTGCTTGATCATCGGAATCATTCAAGTTCGTTGTTGGCCATATTTTGATTCGATTGTGACTTAAATCGAGATGCTTTAAGCTCACTGGATATGATTTGGCATTGCCCATGGATCCTAAATTGTTGTAACTTAGATTAAGCCGAGATAAATTTACCGCTAAACAGGCCAAGTTTTCGGGTATCTCAGTGAATCCATTATGGGAAAGATTCAAATTGATTAATTTACATTGTTTAACTACTTCAGCTGATTCCTCAGGTAAAGTATCGGTGACTATGTGAACATCTGAGTTCCAGAGATTTACATGTTTCATTGTGCGTTGATTAAGTACTTCAATTGATTTAAGTGAACTGAAAGTATCATCATCGAAAAAATCTTGATGATTAAACTTTGAGCTTATTAATTTCGGCGATTCGACTGATCCAGATGGAGTGGTTGGAGGTAACTTGAGAGGTAACTCTCGAAGCAGATTGTAGGATAGATTGAGATCACGAAGTTTAGGTGCTGACCATAAGCGATTAGGTAGAGTGGTCAACTTATTGTTGGAGAGATCAAGTAAGTGAAGTGAAGGTAATTCGAAAACACAATGGGGAAGTAAATCGATTCGATTATTTTGTAGGTACAATTCCTCGAGACAAGGTAGAAACCAAGTACAAACAAATGAAGACGGAGCTTTAAGATTGGATAGATAACTTTTCGATTTTCTCATTTTACCAGGTTGATTTGAAGATGGATTGGGTTTGGCATCTTCGATTTCAGGTAAAGTGGTCAAACAGTTTTGCGAAAGGTTTAAGGTCCGAAGGGAAGGAAGTTGAAAGATACAAAATGGTACCGATGATAGATTATTATTTGAAAGGTCCAAACGGGTGATTGCATTAAGAACCACTGATTGCTTTTGACTGTCCAATTTAAATTTAATGTTATGAGCGATACTCGCACTAATAAGCCATTCACGCTCAATGTGCTGGAGACATTTAAGTGAGTACCAGTTGACCATTACTGGTGTAGTCGGAAAAATGGAACTAACGGTAACTGAAGTGGCCATTTCTCTATTAGAGAAACCAGAAAATTCCATAGTTTTTTTATAAATTTTGTATTCAGGATCAGGGAATGACTTTAAAGCCAATAGACGAGAGACTAAATGTTTATCTCCATTTTTAGATGCTGTATGAAGAGCTAAGCTTTGATCATCACGAGCACCAAAGCGAATCAGTAGATCAACCAAACTGGATTCTCTTGCATTACAAGCAATTGCTAACGAGGTTGAACCACTTTTCAGAATATCTGGTTCATCGGGTGATCCGTCTGAACTTAGAACTGTGAGATTAGGATCAGCGCCATTTTGAAGTAGTAAGGATGCGATCGAGTATTGTTTACGTCTAATTGCCGTATGAAGAGCCGTTTCAGTGCCATTGTTACAATAAAGATTGGTCTCAACAACGGTCACTTTCATTTCACTTTCATCAGAAGATTCGACTTGGGTTGAGTAAGCCGATGATGAACTTAATCTGGTAATAATACTTGAGATCGATGGAGATATTAACTTTCTTGGTGAAGTTAATGGTTGATTTAAACCAATTAGTCTTGGATCGGGATCATGATTAACCGAATTGTAATCGAGTGCATCCTTTTTCTTGGCTAATTTACGACCAGTCACTCGAAATTTGAGCAATATTTCAACAAGAATTTGATTGCCCATAAGAGCAGCGATGTACAATGGCGTTTTCCCAGTAACATCTTGAGAATTGACATCGAAAGCAAATTTATATTCAATTTGACGCTTTGAGTCAACAAATTTAACCAGTGATGACTTAGGATAATTAAATTCCAATAATTTAGCTACAATGTGAACATGATTGTGTATCGCAGCTCCATGGATGGGTAACCATTTCTCGACTGTCTCTACATTCACCAACTCAGGAAATTTGGTCAATAGATATTCAACAATTGTGGTTCTGCCAGAATAACAAGCGATGTATAAAGGCGAGTATTTAGTGACAGGGTGAATTCGTCCATCGGCCTTGTATTCAACCAATAATCGAACAATTTCTTCCCTGCCCTCTTCACAGGCCGAAAATAAAAGGGTATTACCAGAATTCGGTGTGGCATTGATTATGATGGAAGCCTCATTACCCAAGCTCTCCAGTAATTTAGAAGCACCTTCAACATCACCTTTCGCACATTTTTCCCGTAAATTGGTGAAAATGTGAATAGATCTTGATTCCAATTCATGGGCGATAAAATCAGTCATAATTAAAAGAGTAAAACCAACAATTAGAAACACTGGATGATCGCATCATTTAATTTAACAACTAAATCTAAATGAAAACAATGGTAACGATTGAAAACCATTTCACCAATCCAATTGTTAGAATCACACAAATGAGTCACCAAGATACAGAAGAATAGAAAACTAAATTAACCAAATCATGATTAATATAACTTAAAGTATATCAAATGATCATAACTTAATTTAGTCCATGTTGTTGGAGTAATTTAAGGAGAGAGAAATGTGAAAATTAATCCAATACAATTGGTAACTTAATGTAGACCAACAAATGGATTAACATATGTTGAGGGTTGATGGTTAATCCACACAAATTAACAATAAACGACGATGATTGGATCAAGTGTAAGTTCAGGAATAACAATCAGCTCAAATTACTGAAGATGTTCAATCTGATTAAGTGAAATAAATTCTAACCCTTAATGAAGATGAAACTGATTAAAGTAAATAGAAAATGAAAGAGACCAAGAAAGTGAAGTTCTTGCAACCAGGTGATCGAAGACAAACAATGTTTCCTATTTTTCTCTTTCTTTTCTTTCTTTCTTTTTTTGTTTGTTTGTTCTCTTTTGAGAAATTCAAATTCTCTTCATGATGATTTACTTTTAAATTGACTAATTTTAATTGATCACGAAGAAAATGAATTCGATTACAGTTGAAATGGTTTACATTTGGTTTGGTTATCAAATATTCATCAAGTGCTTTAGGTTTTAAACATGTTTACACTTTTGTTGATTGTCAACATTAATCATTTACACAGTTGAGATGATTGTCTAAATTGTAAACATTGAGTTTATCCTCAATTATCATTGGCCAATCATCAATCCAAACTTATGACACAAAAGAACATAATTAGTCCCATTTTGATCTAATTGGTGCGAGTGGTGGTGGTGCAGTTTCCTCGGCCGGTGGGTCAACTTTGGCCGCTTTGGAATTCATGTAGATCAAATAGCCAAGCGAAGAAGCCATTGCGATTGAACCAGCGATCATTACATATTTATTCTGGGGAATAAGATTAGAACAATTAGATTCAAAAGAACAACAATGACAACAATTAACTAGAGAAAAGGTTAAACACCAAGAGAATTGGTTATCATGTAATTGAATTGCAATTGTATCTCTTAAGGGAGAAATTGACTCACTGGTTTAGCGAAAAGCTCAAAATTGGTTATCCGAAACAAATTGGTGGTTGGAACTTGACCAATACCAGTTTTCTGATTTTCGGACATTTTAAACAATTAGAATCTGGAAAATTTGAAGGCAACTTGGTGGACGAATTTTGTTTTTTCCTCTTCACCAAAAAATTATCATGTTGTTTCTCATCTTTAAGGAGATAAATAAATAGAATAGTAAAACCGGGATTTTCAAATGAATTCGAGTTTAAAAAGGCAATCAACAACCGCTCAACTTATGAAAAGATAAACAGTTTTAATGATTTTTATAAAGATTTGTCATATAAATTGAAAAATTTGTCCGTCTGATTGAACGCAGACTAAAGTGTGATTATTTTTGTTTAACTAAACGATAGAATAGAACTTATCTCGATATGACTTTTTAGAATATAAAGATGAAAAAGAAAAAAAAGAAGAAAAAGTGACAAATTCGATCTTGATCATCGAGAATTTGATGGAGTGACTGTATCGGCACCATCACTGTTACTCCAAACTGAATGGTCTTGGTAAAATTTTATGACAATCTGAGGACATTTAACGTTCGCAATTCGAGCAGGAACCAATTCATAATCATCTGAATCTCTCCTAAAATGGGACAAGAAAAAATCATTACGTAAATAAGAAGTACGAAGTATAAAAAGTAAAAATGTGAATAAATAAAAAATGAATAAAATGGAATAAAATTGTAAAAAATGGAAATAAAATACACATAAATAAAGATTAATGTAATTACCATTTCATTAAGAATTCAATCTCTCCTGAAGCATTAGTAGCACCCATGATTCTTTTAGGTTCCAAGCCTCGTTCGAATCCGTTTAATGGTAATTGTGGCCTGAGTGAATTTCTACGTTTCTTCTTTTTACTAACACTATCACCATCATTTTGTTCCCTTTTGTTAGCCAAAGCCAAACGTCGTTCTTCTTCAAATTGAGCAATCAAATCTTTACAATCCAAATTCTCCTCGGGTTCCCAAGTGTTATCACTTTCACTATAACCTTTCCATTTGAGAAAATATTCGAAGACACCATTTCGAGATCGTTTATCCAAGATCTTCTCGATGATATACTCTTCCTCGATATTTTCAGATTCTGGTTGATCGGACGCAAGCGACATTCTTAAGAAAGAACCAATAAAATTTTCTTTCAAATCACAGTACAAGAAACGCATAATAAACAGTCGATGTTGAAGATAGAAAAAAAGATAACAGCAAGTAGAATAATACAAAAAATGAAGACAAATGGATATTGCAGAAGAAGAAGATAAAAAACGAAAGTCAGACGGATATGAGAAAAGGAATTGGAAAAAATAGAGAAAACCCACTAACGAGAAATGAAGAGGCACAAGAATGAGAATAGAACAAAAAAGCCAAATTCTATTCTATTCTATTCTTGACTTGAGGATAAGTCATATGAGTTAAGAAAATTGTTACTTACCCTTTTTAATTTATGAGAAAAGATAAACAATCTTAATGAATTTTAAATCAATAAGACGAGAAGATGATCACAAGTACAAAAGCAAAGACTATCTATGGTTTTCTACTGTAATAATTAAACTGGTTTGATGTAGTTAGTTAGTGAAGTTAACGATGGAAAGGAAAGAAAGAGAAAGAGGGAGAAAAGGAGAGAGAGAGATGATGATTGAGAACAGAAAAGGAGAGAGAACCAGAAAGAAAGAGCTGTTAACACTGTTGAGAGAAAATAATTAATATTCTTTTTAACTTTAACCAGAATGTTTAACTTAAATTCACTAGATGGTTGATTAAATTACATGGAAAATATGTAACAACAATTAACAGAATTACAGAGAATCAGTTAATTCAATTGACTAGTTAAGTTGAAGATCAAATGTTTACATTTTGATTCGCTTTCTTTTCCCACAATTTTGTCTTCTCTTTCTTTCTCTCTCTCTCTTTTCTCTCGTCTTGTTTACCATCAAGAGATGGCACTAATGTTAATTGTTGCCAATTCTCGAAAAAAAAATTAACAACAATTAGATTGATTGATTGAAGATCATTGGATTTTGACAATTAAGGAGAAAACCAAGTGTTTGTTTGTTCTTGGAATTTTTGAATCACTTGGATTGTGTTTTACTCGTTGGAAATGTTGTACGTTCGTATTAATGGAACAATCAAATTGTCTGATTTAATTGGTGAATGTTCATCGGGTTTTGGTTATTTAATTGTTCGAGGAACGGATTCTACTCTTCAAAGGTACATTGTTCGGGTTGAGAATCATTTTAGTGAAGCATCGAGAGTATTCCGAACAAATTATAAATCAAATTGATTAAATAAAAATTTAGAAATTGACATTTCAATTTTTAATTGTTCAATTTCTCAATCATGATGATTTATTAACAATTTATTCACACAGTTTAATTCAAGAACTTTAAAGCTTCCGAACTAATGGAAACAGATCGTATCTCCTTTTTTTTTGTTTCTTTTAGTACGTTGATTGTGATTGACACGATTGTTTAATTATGTTGTTTATCCAAAGAGTAGAGAGAAAGAGAGAGAGTGGACAAAGAAAACAGAGAAAAGAAAAACACTTATAAACAACAATCGAGATAAATTAATGTGCGAAGGGCTAAAACCTTCGTGGATATGATTGCAAAGTAATTTTCGATTTTGATTGCCAATCGATCAAATTAACTATTAGAACACGTTAATTTCTCAAAGTCTAAAGGTAAATCAGCGGAGGAAACACTAGCACCAGGGTCAACATGAATATCGGGTATTGCATTTCGTCGACCCGTTCTACCGGTGTCTAAGAATCCACCGAAATCGGGTAGCAGAGAATCTCCATTAGAGGAACCAGGAACAGGATCACCGCCATTACCAGGACCCACCACAAGAACTGAAGATTTGGTTGGCTGATGACAAGGATCCATTTCAATTTGCATCTTTAGTATACCAATGGGTGAGAATTAATTTGTTGACATGAGAATGACAAATGAGAAGTAACAAATCTTTCATGAGAAACACGTACAAGAAGGATTAACAAAATGGAAGAAACAAAAAAAAAGCTAATTAGAAACGTAGTAAATAAGAAAAGGAGAGAAATGAAAATGGAACCAGGATCAGGAAGAAAGAGAAAACCAAGTTAACCCAAAAGAGTAAAGGGAAACCACAGAAGAGAAAGAAAAATCAACATTAAACATGTCACATATTCCAAAAGGTATTGGAATAAATTGTCAACACAATGGTAACTAAAACAAAGCTAAAAGCATGACAATGGTTGTTAATCAAGTTAATGATGTTGATTCTGGAATTGATTATTGAATGTCAACTCATACAGAATTAAAGAGTGAGAGGGAAACAGTAGAAAGAGGTAAATACACCATGGGAACAGAGAGAGAGAGAAACAGGGAAAGAGAAATGAACAGACTGAGGGAAAAAAGAGAAATGAAAGAAAATGAAAATTCTTACCTTTATTTTCACCGAGTTACTTGATTATCATTATTCATTCAGTTGATTGTATTAAATCAATAGAATCTGATTGAGAGTCTGACGTCAGTGGGATGACGATGATGTTGGTAATGTTATCCGAGGATAATAATGAGAGAAGAAAAAGAAAATCTCTTCTTTGAGAGAGAGAGAGAAAAGAGAAAATGGAAAGAGAGAAAAGGATTAAGATGATTACCAGAAGAAAGAGATAGAAAAGAAGAAGAAGAAAATGAAATAAAGACAAACCTTATCGAAGAGATTGAGCAGAATTGAGAAATTTGTTCTTTGTTCAGTTCCAAATGTTGGCTGAGACATTGTTACGTAAAAAACACCACGATGAAGATAAGGATGATAAAAGAAGAGAAGAGAAAATAAAAACATCTCTTAGTTTCTCCTCCCCTTTCGGTCTCAATGTTTACATTTTAATTTTTTTTTCTCTTCGTGAATCTAATCGGTTTTCAGTTTAATTCTCTTTCTTTTGTAATCATTTTTATATTTATTCTTTATTATGATTAACAATTCAAGGTTAATCAATAAGAATTTATTGTTAACAGTTGATACATTTTCCAATTCAACAATTTAATTGACATTTTCGACAATTTTCTCTGCGTTTTTACCTTGACACTCTTGGTACGTGTTCACTTATTGATAATCTGTTATCGTAGCGATTCTTGGGTCCAAATGGTTTCGTAGTGTTTTTTTTAATTGTTACTCATTAATTTACGAAAATACTCTAATCAAACTAAGCCAATTAACTACGTTAATCTACCAAGGACAAATTAATCTGTTTTCCTGTAACAATCTCGAGTTGTCTCTTGATCTCTTTTCCCTTGTCTCTTATTTGGTTACTTTTAATTCTTGATTATTGTTGTGATATTTTCATCACAATTAACAACAATTCTGGTGCATCTTTCAATTCAATTAACACCATCATTAGAATAGTTAATCATGTAATCAGTTAATTTGTTTTCGTTTCAATGTTTCTTTTGAAATGACAATTTAACTAAATCGTCACATCTTCAACAGAGTGATAATTTATCATCTATCGAGAGTAACAATTAGTTAATTGTTTCGTTTCTCTATTTCAAGAGCAATCTATTCAAATGGATCAGATTTGTTAATTACATCAATAGAAATGACGTTGTCAATCACAATTAGTATTTCTCTTGATTGTTATTGAGATTTTCTTATTGTTATTAATCATCTTTCATCTGTTAACCTACAATTAAATGTTAATTATCATATTTTCCGATTGATGATTAAATGATTGATTTATTATTATGATTAATTTCAATCATCGATACAATTAGTTAATTAATTGTAGATGATAAATACCAATAGAAAATAAGGGAAAGTAACAATCACAATTAATTGTGATAAAATTTACCAATGGTCAGTTGAATGAAATTAAATCGTTGGTAACAATTAGCATCACAATTAAGGCGATTTTGTTGGAATCAGGAAAAGGTTAATAGGAAACCATTTGAAATGGTGAAAAAGTAAATATGATGAATGAATTAATTTACTATCTTAATGGTGACAATCAACAGTTAATCAACTGATCAATAATCAATAATAGTCGATAAACTGACCTGAATTGTGTCCAAGAATTTGGTCAATTCTTGAATAAAGTGTATTCCTGGTTACTAATCATCGACGTTATGAGGAATCAAATTAAAACTTGAGACCAATTTGATTAGGTAAACTAATTGATTGTCCAGATATTTATATTTATAATGATTAATTCACATGAATGACCAACACTGAATTGAATAAATTATCACCACAATTTAGGAATAGGAAGAATCCGGAAAAAAAGGTAACAATTTTTTTCCAAATCAATTGAATCACTTTAATAATCTTCTAATCACCATAGCGAGAAATTAGTTAATCAAAAGTAAAAGTGTAAATTGTTTCTCTATTTACAGTTCAACCGATTAAATGAATCACTAATTTCTAATTTACTTCGGTTTAATTAGAAGATGACATTTGATGATGAAGATGAAATTAACTGATCAACACTTGAAAGTGAACATATAAAAGGAAAATGATTAAGTGAAAATCTAATCAGTCAACAAGTGAAAGTCAAACTGACCATCAGCTGATCAATAAGTTATTAGAAATTAATTTCTCTGCAATCAACAGTTTAATTATTGTACTCAAAGTGAACAATTGACCAATTGGATTATCGAAAGTAAATATTAGTTAATCTCCTTCTTAGTGATTGATTTGTTTTCTCATGTAATCTCCATGTGATTTTCTGAACTTTTTTTTTATTTTCTTTTCTCTTTCAAATGATTAGATGAAATCGTCAACAATTATCTTCTGTTTATCTTCAATTGCGATCATTGTTCTGGTCTTTTCGCCTCAACAATCTTCGTGTCTCTCTCGTCGGAAGATGATGAAGATTCAGAAACTCGCTGCATTGGCCTTGATTCTCAAGCCGAGGAAGAAAATGATGCCAATACCAATTCCAATTCCAATTCCGTGAGTGATTTTAATTAATTTGTTTTCTTTTCTCTGTTGATTGACAATATTTTCCTCTCATTCTTTTCCTCTGTTATTATTGTAATCAGAATGTCAAAGGAAAAGTTAATGATGATGCTTGGTAAAGATGATGAAATGATGGCTCATCATCAGGTTCATCATGAACAACATGTCGCCATGCAACCTCAGCCCTTGATTGCTCATCATCAATTACGAGTTGCTATTCCAGCTCCAATGCCAGTTCCGGTTCCAATTCGTATTCCAGTTCCTGTACAAGTTCCAGTTCCAGTTCCTGTTCAGGTTCAAGCACCACCACCAGTTCATCATCATCATGTTCAACAGCCAATTGTTGCATATGAATATCAACAAGAAACTCCATCAATCTGGTAAATTAAAAAAGCTTAACAATTAATTGATTTCCTTAATTAACTCCATTTCTCCATTTCTCCTTTTCTTTATTTCTTTTTTCAATAGTCATCACTAAAGGATTAATTTGATCATTTAAATTGTGAATAACTAAAGGATTCACATTCCCACCTCATCATAATCATCAAAGACCAGCAATTAGATTGATCATAATCATTAAGAAACAAACATTAACCAAATCAAATTTATATTTTTTTAGTTCTTAAATTGTATTTTGTTTAGATTACCCAATTTTTTATCTTATAATTGTTACAATTTATAAATCTGTTAATTTGTTAAGACTCTTTTTAATCAGTTAAAAATTTTTACAATTAAATGACAAATAAATAACTGAATTTATCTCTTAATCAGAAACGATTGAAATAATTTCCAACAACGAACAGTTGATTTTCCTAACCGATAGATGTCAGTGCTTTAATCTAATGTAAATTTGACCAGATTTTCACTTAATTAGATTATAAATTGTCTTATTGAGTTAGACTACTAATTATCTTGTTAATAACTTTCACGATTGATAAATTTTAACACAAATATAATAATTAATTAATTTACTTGAGTGTCAATGATAAGGATATTGAGAAACGATTAGTCTGATTATCCAGTTTGAAAAGTTTTGTCGATTGATAAGTATTAGATTAATTATCATCTTGATTTGCACAATCAGGTAATTAACTATTTTCTCATATTTGCTGTGAAATGATCAGTTATCGTTTCAGAAGAAAATAGTCTGATCATAGAATTATTTTGTTATAAATTTTTTCCTTGTAAAGGTATTTTAATTTGTCGATTTGAAAACGAAAAGTTATATAACATTTTGTTATTTAACATGTATTCAAATCTATTGATCTTGTTAATTGTGACGAGTAATTTCATAGTTGCTTATACAGAATACAATTTAACATGTTCATCAATTCAATTTTCGTGCAAAGATTTTTGTATTCCATTATCATGGGTATGTGATCGTTCACTCGATTGTAAAGATGGATCGGATGAAGAAAATTGTCAGTTCTCAGTGAAATGTGATCGAAATCAGTTCAGATGTAATAACGGTAAATGCATTAAGAAATCATGGATATGTGATAATAGTGACGATTGTAATGACGCTTCAGATGAAGATAATTGTCCATCAGACATGAAGATGCCAGTTAATTGTGAATCGGGTCAATTTTCTTGTGGAAATTCTTGTATACCGCAAGAATGGAGGTGTAATAAAAAATATGAATGTGACAATGGTATCGACGAAAAGGATTGCCCTGTTACCTGTAACGCATTAGAATGGAAATGTGAAGTTGATAATAAATGTATCTCCAATAAGTGGACTTGTAATGGAGAGAATGATTGTACCGATGGATCGGACGAAGCATATTGTACAAATGGATGCCCTTCGAACCTCTTTAAGTGTGAAAATAGTCAATGTATTGAAATGGAATTGAAATGTGATCGTAAACCAGATTGTAACGATAGTTCAGATGAGAAGAATTGTGTTTATCCGAATACTTGTACTCAAGATCAGTTCATGTGCTTTTCAACTGGATCTTGTATCCACTCGAGCTCACTTTGTAACGGTTTTCCCGACTGTACTGATCATAGTGATGAAACTGGTTGTGGCTCTTGTAAGTTCATTTAAAGTTTGTAGTTATTTAACTCTAATTGATAACCTTTACTTTCAGTGCGTCCATATGAGTTAATTTCGAATGCTACTGATGCTAACTTAAATAGCTGTAACGAATTACAATCAACTTGTGCAAATCGAAAATGCGTTTGGGATCATGCTGTTTGCGATGGAGTTGATGATTGTGGTGACCGATCAGATGAATATAATTGTTCAAGATGCTCAAAGTACTCGTTCAAATGTGGAGAACATCTTAATTCTTGTATTCCAGATTCATGGAGATGCGATAAAATAATTGATTGTTTTGGTGGTTCAGATGAACGTGATTGTACTAAATATAATTGTACTGGCACCGAGTTCAAATGTAATAACGGTAAATGCGTGAGCGAATGGCATAGGTGCAATGGAGTCGATGATTGTGGTGATAGATCAGATGAAAAAGGCTGCTCTGGGAAAAAATGTTCAGTGACAGAATTTGATTGTGGAGACTATTGTATTCCAAAACCGTGGCAATGTGATGGTCAAACTGATTGTAACGATGGGTCAGACGAAAATAATTGTCCAAAAGTAACTGATTGCAAAAATCAATGGAAATGTCGTAATGGTAAATGCATCTCCGTAGACTCAGTTTGTGATACTCGTGACGATTGTGGGGACAGATCTGATGAACACTTTTGTATAAAAACAAAATGTCCTTTCGATAAGTTTGATTGCGGCGATCGTTGTATTCCAAAAGCATGGAGATGCGATCAAAAATCTGACTGCGCAAATGGTGCTGATGAACATGATTGTCCATCAAGTGAAGTCAGGGCTAGAAGACATGGCCTCAGATTCATATGCAGTGAAGGTACAGTTCCGTGTGCGGATGGATCAGGATGTATTCCAATCGAATGGAAATGTGATGGTCATCCTAATTGTAGAGATGGATCCGACGAAAGAAAATGTTTGGCGTCGAGTGCCTTATAGTAATATCGCTTTCAAATCATGCTTTCATTTCCAGTCCAATATGTAGCAACCGACAATAAGTTTTTCTTCGATCAAGTTTTCTGTATTAAAATTGTTATTCTAATAGATATCTATCATGCTGTTGAAAAGAAATTTACAGCATCAGCCCAGGAAATACTTGATTGATAAACTTAGGGAAAAAATTTGATAAAATATAAGATAAAATACTCGTAAATAGTTCAGTTATTACGGTAAAAAGTGACAACATCGAGAATCCGAGCCAAATGGATACAATTTCAATTACCTTGAGAACATAATCTAACCAAGGAAAATCATATTCGAAATCGTATTGAAAGTCCATCGATCGATCCAACATAAAGTTTAGTTTAGATTCACTTGCATTGTAAGCCAATACTGTGGATATCATATCATATTTAACGTGACGACATTTGAGTCCTGAAAATAGATTAAGACAGCCAGAAATGTTACCAAACACTGATCTATTTTCGTGATTATTGGTTGTTACATAGTTTACAAATCGATGATCAGAAAACTTATTTTCATTCAGTTTTACAATTGTATTAACATCAAAGGAAGAGTTCAAAAGCCTTCGAGCGGCATTGACCTTACAATCGTTGTAAATATCTTGATTATAGTGACTACAATGTGGACCATTGGGCGGAGGGTTGACAATATTCACTTGTTTAGTTACAGTCACCATCAAATGTTCGTGTCCAGGACTTATTAGAGGGATAACATTACGATGATTATGATAAAGACCATCGAATGAATCATTTTCAGTTAACACCAATGAATAAGTAGATATGTTGTGTTCAATTGTAAGAATTGAGTGATAATAGTTTTTCAAATTAAGACACGAAATTTTGATGAATATTTCGAAACCATCGATATAATGATCGATACGACAACGTGGCTTATTATGATTCCTAATGTATTTGAATGGACTCTTAATATCGATGGAAAACGAGAAAAGCTCTGGTCGAAGCATCTCTCGAATCTGACCAATGGTCAATTTACTTATGAACTTTATATAAGCTGGATTATCAAGACCATTCTCAGGTATGTTGAATAAAATGTCCAAATTTGTTTTATCGATGAAAACACACAAGTAGATGTCAGGAAAATCGAATGAATCATTAAACTGTCGAATATGTAAACGAACTTTTTGAGAAACATAATTTTCGGTGTAATGGTAAATGGAGGGAATCCAAAAGGCTGAACAAACAAAACAGAATAAAAAAACTAATCGATGTTTAAAAAGCATTTTAATTAACTGATTTTCAGAACTTATCTCAAACCAATCTGATAATTGGATCAAATTATTCATATTTACACGCATGTAACAAAATCGAGTTTGAATTCCCTATGAACTCAGTGAATACCCTTTTTAACACTAATTGTAATTAGAATTGAGTTGAAACAATTTTGTCAATTCATGTAATTATATCATCAAATAATAATGATAATATGTAATTAAATCTAATAACTCATTAAGATAATCATTTACTAATTAAACTTATTAGTATTTTGGAGCCAATTATCATGATTAAGCTGTGATTATAAACTTTAAGCATTGTTATTATGTTTATAACAATTGATTAATCTTGATATAAATTGACAAACGCGTAGATGATAATTGTTAATTATTATTTAGTAATTTAAAATTTCATTAATTAAAAGTTAAAGAGAGTCAACTGGATTTCAATGAACATTATCTTTGATTAATGATCAATAATCAAATTAAATGATAGAATTAGAAACAATTCCATTGAGTTTCATTATTTGAACGATTTAAATTGTTAATTTCGGTGTTGATTAGTCACTTTGTTACGTTCTCTCGTTCACTTAATTGTTCAGATAATTAGGATACTTTTTTAAATGGGCAAGACAAAAGTCACTTGAAAACAAGATAATTAAAAGTCAATTATATTCTGTAACTCAAATAATTGGAATTGAATTTTAATGAATCAATTTCAAGGTGAATTTGATAATAATTACACAGTAACAATTATCTATTGCGTAAGTTATTTCTCCATCGTTGATTACCCAGCTAAACATAGGGAGCGATTCGCTTTTAGTTTTCTAATGAATGTTTTTAGTAAACAATTAGAATTTATAACGAGTATTTGGTTTGATTAGTGTTCTCATCACAATGGAAATAAAAAATTCATTGATAATTTCTGTTCTTCAGATAAGTTCATTTATCTTATTCTCGTTGATTCTATCGACTAACTTTACTTGCTCATCTTCATCACCAAACATTAACATCTTACACAGAGGGTCTATTTATACGTTTCAATGTCCATTGAATCAGGTCAAATGCTTTGACGAAGTCCAGTGTGTTCTGGAAACTCAAGTTTGCGATGGGAAGAAAGATTGTAACGATGGTTCAGACGAAAACAGTTACGTTTGTTCAAAGTGTACGAAAGATCAATTTACTTGTCAAAGTGGAACATGTATTCCGATTGAATCAAAGTGTGATGGTAAATCTGATTGTGGGGATGGATCTGATGAGAGATATTGTCCTTCAATAAAAACTAAGTCCAAACGGTTAAACGGTTTCTTTTGTGGTGAAGGGACATTTCCGTGTGCGGACAAATCAGCTTGTATACCAATAAGTTTCCGATGTGACGATTACCCAAATTGTAACGATGGTTCTGATGAGAAAAATTGTAGAAAATGAAGATAGAAATTTTAAAACAATCTTCACTTGCAAGTACAACAATCTGAAAAAATTTAAGCAAACAGAAATATAATGGAATTGAATCGTACTGATAATAATGAATGTAAGATTTTATCGAGTTAAAAATTTTCTACCAATAATAAAAATTATATAAATTGATCTTTAATTTTTCCGTTCAGTATGTTTTATCAACATATAAATTTCGAAATTATTTCAATATTGATCTACATTATGTACATTACCAAGTTTCGAGAAAAGTTCTGAAGTCGATCTTCAATGATTTTGCCAACGTCTCAGGATAAAAGTTTTTCTGTTGAAGTTCATCAGGCTCTGGTTTATTGGTTCGATTGTTTCAAGGACCAGATCGATCTAAATTGCCTGTTGATTCAAGATCTGAAGATATCTATCGCTATCTTTCCGGAATAGTTGATAATGAGACCTCGGTAATTGGTAAATCAATCTTACCTCATGTAATCCAGTTAGGCTACAAAGTTCATGTCGACGGGAAATGTTCAAAAGCAATTCTCGCGATATCAAACGGAGTTAAAGCTAAACGTTCATGGGCCTTCCAATTTTTAGATTCGTATGGTCAACGAGGAGATGGCTTTTTGGCTGGAACTTTGAGCTCTCTTGGTAATTTTGACCAATGTTTACAAGTTCGAGCAAGTGATGATGCCATTGCGGAAGAAGACGAATTCACTGGTAAATACTGTTTAGCTCATGTCAAACCACCTCTTCCCGAACCACCGAAAGATCAACGGGCTCATTTCAAATCATCTTTATTCAATTATGCTGGAACTGAACTTGAAAATACTTATCTCGAGGAATGGGGTTCATTTGCTCAAGAATTATATTCAAACTCTTATACCGTAGGAATGTGTATCCCTTCAGTTTGCCAATCTAAAGATATCGCCAAAATACTCAATGAATTGGCAACTCCATTTAATTTCACGGTTTCCTTCAATTCTCGCTGCACACCAGAAACAAATTATTGGGAAGCCCAATCCCCACCAGAATATGCCATATTCATCTTGTGCCTCCTTGGACTCATGGTGGCTTTTGGAACATCATATGATTTGTATATTAGGAAGAAGGAAGAAAATTGCCTTGGACGATTATTTGCCGCTTTCTCCAGTATTTCTAATACAAAGGCACTTTTAGGCCATGCTAAAAGAAGCCAAAACGTTTACTACTTCCGATATTCATCCGAGTGTCCAAGATTTAGTAATAAGAATCGTAAGTTCTCCTTAATCTTTTATTTACCTTGGTTTTTTATTAACTGTTAACTCCATTTATCATACAGGACGATTTTTTTGATGAGTATGAGTACGATGATCGTGATATTGAATATCCAAAACTGTTTAAAAGTATATTGATCAAGTTTCCTAATTGTAAGAATCTTATGATCAATGTTGCCACCGAATGCATAAATAATAAGTTAGTGATCGAGATAATTGAAATATTACCCAATTTGAATCTACAGGGCATTTCACCAAGTTTCCAACAAGTTTTTCTCGAATAACTTTTTTGTTTTTGAGTGTTGAGACCCCATACTCGAGTTATGGTAGTTTGGGCCATACTCAATTGTCATATTAAAATATCAAGGTCATTCCGGTCATTCTGTTAGGATACGGTTTCAAGGTCATTTTGGTTTTCAAATTTGAATCGATTTTGACCACCAAATGACCTTGAAACCGTATCCTAACAGAATGACCGGAATGACCTTGATATTTTAATATGACAATTGAGTATGGCCCAAACTACCATAACTCGAGTATGGGGTCTCAACACTCAAAAACAAAAAAGTTATTCGAGAAAAACTTGTTGGAAACTTGGTGAAATGCCCTGTATTTGTTCAAAATGTATATCAACCTTTAGACAATAGAGAAGATCCAGATTATTATAATTTAGTTGATAGACATTTCAAGTCAACTGGTCGCAGAATCGCTAGCTACTCATTTTACAACAAAGGATTTGGACGAATCATTAGGTATTCATTGAATGAAGATATTGCCAATCCTTTCAAAACCGATAACTCATTTGTTCATAAGTATTTCCGCTGTGGAAAAGATTCATATCCATCAATTTTCTAATCTGGAACAAAGATAACCAATGAACAAACCGCTTGCATTGAGATCCCAGTAAGGTGCAAATAGACCTTGAAAAGCTGCTGCTGCTGCTAGACCATGCTTTTATTTCTTCATCGTTGATTACCTAGCTAAACATAGGGAGCGATTCGCTTTTTAGTTTTCTAATGAATGTTTTTGTAAACAATTAGAATTTATAACGAGTATTTGGTTTGATTAGTGTTCTCATCACAATGGAAATAAAAAATTCATTGACAATTTCTGTTCTTCAGATAAGTTCATTTATTTTATTCTCGTTGATTCTATCGACTAACTTTACTTGCTCATCTTCATCACCAAACATTAACATCTTACACAGAGGGTCTATTTATACGTTTCAATGTCCATTGAAATCTCAATCTCTGGTCAATCACTCTCGTGGATTCATGGACTCCAGTTTCTCTCTGTTTGTTGGATTATAATCGCAAATGTGTATCAACTTGGTGACTTACCAATCACATACTTGCTGAGTAAGTGCAATTAAATTTCACCATTGTGTTTTCAGATGGACGAACTATAATGTTACTTGATGAAAAGAATTAAATTCAATTATTTAATAATCATATTCTTTAACTCGGTACAGAAAATTTGCACATGGACTTTCGATCACAAGGAGGATCAATCATGTTCCAATTCATTTTAAATTCATGGGACTACATGGCGAAGATTGTCGATCCAGATCCATCTAAATTGCCTGTTGATTCAAGTTCTGAAGATATCCATCGATATCTTTCCGGAATACTTGATAACGTTGAAGATAATTACTGATAAATGTCGAGAATTTATTAGTTTATCCAAAAAAATGAGCTTACAAAAAATGAAAGTCGGGATTTAGAGCTTGCAAAAAAATGATCAACATTTGCACTAATTGCACAATAAGAGTTTCAAAATTATAGGAACCAAAAAATGACAATGCTAAAAATTTGATTACAATAATTAAAAAAACGATTGTTACAATAATTATATGGGTGAAGATGGTAACATTACAATTGGAATTGGTGATAACATCATTTTCTGTTGAATGAATTTTGATTTATCCCTGATTAGCATGAAAATAGGAGATACAGAAAGATAATCAAAAAATGAATGAAATCAATCAAATTAAATTGTTGACGACACTCAACCAATAAATCACATACACATAAATTATATGCATTTTCAGTATGTTAACAATTGAGAGAGAAAGATAAAGATGAGATTCAGTGATTAGCCATTATTAATATTCTTTAGCGTTGTTAATTCAATCAGATTAATCATCTATGTTCAATCTAATCTTCGTTATAATCTTATTAAGATTTAATCAATGAAACAGGAACAGTTTGTCTATTTGCACAAAGCTAATCAATTACGATTTACTAGAATTAGTAGATACACGTTCCCATCTAAATGTAAATTTGTTTTCTTTTGGCAGTGAATTGAGAGTTCAAATGTCCAATCACTTTGGGTCGATTTAGATTTTATCGATAATATCGTCAGTCAATCATGAGATTTACAGCAAATTTTATGGTTCAATAGTTTTCTATTGTCACTTATCAGCCGAAACTATCTGAGGCCATCATTGTTTGTCGCTGTGATGCTTCAATTGGCAAACTGATTAGAGAAGATGGATGGAACAGTTTGTACCATCCGATTACGATATTCGAGAGATCGAGATCATCAAGAACGATTTGAACCACCCCCATGAACGCTTTCTTCTCAATCCTTCCATAGTCTCCCCAAACAGTGACCTGAATACGAAGAGATTTCAATCAATCGATTAAAGAATAATAAAGAAAAATCAAAGAGAAATTTAATACAATGTAATATTCATTGACGAGCAGATGACTAACCTGAAGAACGCAACCTCGATAATCTTCATGGAATATCAATTTCTGTTGATAGAGTGGATCCAATGTTCGACGAGCAATACTGGTCTTGGCTTTTGCGATGCACTTTCTACCCTTTACCATGTAAACCTTAACATAAGTCGCTGGAAAATGAAAGTTAAAAGTTTCGATTAGATTCTAAAAATTTCAATTCGACCAAACAAAAAGGTTCAGATTTACTCACCCGGTGATATTTTTGATCCTGGTTTAGTTTGTAAACCTCGAGCTCGAATCACTTCAACTTCTAGATTACCTTTACTATCACAAATACTTAATTGAACATCTCCTAGATTCGGTGAAGCTAAAGCTTGTCGACCAACTAACTGTCCAGGTCCAAGCCCTTCGACGAAATTTGAAACTTCTCCTTCAGCAACAAAACGCATTTGAGGTACCCAACTACAAAATGGAATCACAAATAGACAAACGATATAATATTACGTTTATATTTACTAATTGGGTTTCTCGAACTTACGTAGCTGAACTTTCGCCGCTTAAACTTCCCTCTCCATCAGATGATATGCTACTTCCTTGTTTTACTAAGTGACGAATATCGTCTGGAGCTACTTCTTCTGATCTATGAACGCTAAAAGAGGTCGCTTGTTTCCGACGGAAGCCGAGACGTTTTTTGGTGCCTTTAAAGAGGAGATAAAATCACAATTAAATCATTTCTTGTCACAAAGGGGGAGTTTCGATCTCGATACTTACCAGAAACACTCAATTGTGATGTGCTATTGCTTTTAGCTTTGGACAAAGCACTCATGCCTGATTGGAATGATTTACCGGTCTTTGTGGTGCCTGTTGACCCTCCTTGACTTGAGGCCTTATCACTTGTCTGCGATCTTTGTTTCGATTTAGTAATAGGTTCAGAAGATGATTCGTCTCGGAGAATTGCTGAATCGGATAAACTTGCATCGATTTTACTTTCTTGATTGACTTCATCTTCCAGCGAAACCCGTAAAGCGATACCCGTTCGGTCACGATCTCGAATTAGTTCAGATTTAGCTGATATACTTGTACGATACTCTCGTGTATCTCCTCGATATTCACGATAGTCTCGATGATCTCGATGTTCACGGTAATCTCTGTGGTCCCTTTAAGATGATATGGAAAAAAGTTTTACATTTTCAATCAATTTCAGTGAGGAAAAAGATGCTTTGATTAGAACTTACCCTTGGGTTCGATTTGTTCGAGTTCGTGACACATTGGAAAAGGCACTATTGACACTGGCTTTTGAACTTGATTCTGATTCATCACCACTCGCAACATTCACGGGCTTAACTTTGATTGATCCTCTTTCCTTACGATGTTTAACTCCAGTTCCTATTAAACTGTCTCCAGGTTGACCATCAACCTCCGTTCTTGTTGAGGTGTGTCGGGTGCGACTATCACGTCTTTCGATTGGTTCTTTGTCACCATTACCATTACCATCACCACCCTGGTAAAGATCATCTGATGGTTGGGCTTCAGATGTTCTTCTGTTTCGACCGCGATTCGAATGTGTTGAACTTCGGTGAGGGTGTGCATAGAAAAGTCTATCATAAGGCGGACGATTAATTATTTCACTATCGGAATACATGCCACCCTGTGTTAGAGCTTCAGTGGATCGACGTTGTTGAATTAGGTTCTTATATTTACTCGATCGTCCAGTTAAACTAATATCAGGCTGAAGAGGGTATCGTGTGGTTGGATCGAGAGTCGGTGTGTAGCTAGACACTTCCTGAGCAACCAGATCACGGTCTCGAGATGATCGACGGAAAAATGGAACCACAGGAAGACGACGTTTCTTAACTTGAAAAGGAGACCCTGTTGGGGTAGTTGGAATTGGCTTGTTGCTATTGCGATAATAGTTCTCATCGATTGAAGGTGATGCAACTCGAAGAGATGGTGGGGACAATGATCTCGAAGGTTGACTTGAGCTTTTCCGAAATTTGGGCTTCATACGATCAAGAAAGTGAACCGAGCTACATGGTAAGGAGGTCGATGCTTGGAATGGATGAGCAGTACTTAATAAGGGGCCATAAGCCGTTCGGAATCCTCGATAGTCAATAGGTTTACCAGTTAATCGGAGACCAGGACCAACCACTTCTCCCCCACTTGTCGCAACTGCGCCCGTTTCATCGAGGACCAAAGGTGGACTTGCGGTACTTCCAAATGAACTTTGACTCGTTTCGGCTAAAAGTCCATGCCATGATTCTGTTTACAATAAATTAATTCATTAGTAAATTATCATATCATCAAACTGAAAATTCAACACTCACCTCTGGAAGCGTTAAGATCAATTTCTGAATCGTAATCATATAAATCCAATTCAGAGGTATCACTGTCTGAAAGTCTTGATGGAGATGGTGGTGAGAACCGATCAGATGGAAGAAGATGAAGTTTTTGTTGTATTCTCTGTGAGTGATTAAAAGAACAAAAAGAAATTAAAGATAATTAAAAATCAATTAGTTTTCCTTTGTCAAATTACACAAATTAATCAAAGGGTATTTTTAATACCTAAATGATGACGCAGATGATAGAAACAATAGACAAAAATAACTAGACTTTCAAGGAGAAATGTTGATTTTTACATTGTATCATCATCTTTATCAACATTTAGATGAGATAATTTGATTAATCTAATCAATTTGAAAAAAAAATTCAACGAAAACCCTTTGTTTTACAGATTAAGCTCTTTAACTCACCAATTGAGCAATTGTTTCCTCGTACGTTTCCAAGAGATGCCATTCGGGTTCACCATCCAGTGGAGCTGTCGCAAGTTCAATGATAACTTCACCAAGAAATTCATTATTCGTGTATCTGTCATGATCCCACATCATTATCTCAAGGGCTTTGGTCTTCAAATCAGACCTTCGAAGAGGCGAGTAGACGAAACTTTTTTCCCATCGAGGCTCATTGGTACCTGGAATCGCTCGGGTTTTCGTTTACTTCTTTCACTGTAAGAGCAAAAAAAATTAAATTATCGAAAATAAGTTCTATTCATTAACGAAAGAAAATAAACTTAAGTACCTTCGTTCTGGAAGAAGAGCGATTTTGCAAAAAGCATTTCGAGGTGAACCATTACTTCGTGGGGGAAGCTCAACAGCGCTCATGATTGTAACTATTAATTGTAATGATTGAATATCATACCACAATTTAACCTGAGAAAAAGATGAAAATCAGAATTATAATCAATGATTGAAACTGATTAAATTTAAGATAAACTACTCACTTGTAGGCGACCACTGATTGTTGAAGAACGACTTATGCGAGTTCGAGGCTTACTAATATCAGCACCAAGACTTGCTTGTCTTAAGATCATTTCTGTTGGAATTGGACGAAAAAAATCGATTGAATTAACTGAATAATTAATTTGCTTGATCCATAGTACCAATTAAATTACATATGAAGGCAAGAAAAACAAAGATTCAGTTGTACTTACGTTGTTTATCATATCCTACTGGTATATCAACATCGGTGAACCGACGAGAAATTCGTGATCTTGGTTCAAATATTGATGGTTCACTTTGGTAAACAGTGGCTGGTAGTCCAGCGGGTCGTCGAATTGGTCTTGAAACAATAAGTTCAACTTGAGGTTCTTGCTTCGATTCGGCAATTATGTCATAAACTTCTTCATACGTTTTATGTCGAAGCGATCTTCCATTCCACTCAAGAACCTCGTCGAAGGCACGTAATCGACCCACTGTATCTGCGATAGAACCTTTTTTTATCTTCTCGATAATTGCTCCCACAGTTCCGGATTCGGTCATTCGTCCACCGATAACTTTAAGACCCAAAATTGCAGCGCTCGAACCAGAACCAGATTCATCAGAGAGATTTTTCTTCAATATCATATGACCGATCAGTCGCTTACCATCATGTGAAGGTTTCCATGTGATCGGATGCTGATGAGATGAAGACAACATTTTAGTTTTATAATTAGTCAAACAAAATTTTACATTCGAATTTTATATCAATATCTTAATCGATATTCGATAATAATAATGAATACTTACAGCAAGAAACTTCTTTATCTTCGCATCAAGGATTTCTTCACGTTTAAGATTCCTTTGGCACTTGGAGAAATCATCATGAAAGTTTTCCGAATCTATTTTCTGGTTGGCCCAATGTTCAGGAGTATTTCGAAAATCTTCTTCAGAAGAGCTTAATGAGAACTGATATTGGAGTCGTTTACCTTTACTTCGGGTTCGATGGTGAGGTTGAGTGTATCGAACGATCGGTGTAGGAGGTTGTTCTGGCTGTTGGCGATAATGGTGGAGATGATGATGACCATGAGGATGATGTTGATGTTGAGTGGGAGATGATCCTGGTCCAATTGGCGAACTTGATTGGTCAGAAGAAAGAGAATCGTTTCGTAGAGTTTCAAAAGCATTTCTGTGGTGTTGATTGTGGACACCACCAAGAGATAAGTTTCTTTCAATTAGGTCACTTTCTCCACCTTGGATGGGATAAGTTAGAGATGATCCTCGTAAGAGAGGTGGTGGATGACGACGAGAAGGAAGTGCATGAGGACCCAAACTCGATGCTGCACCGGTAACACCAGTTGACGATTGAGGAACATGAGGAAGATATGGAGCCGATGAGTGTAACTGGTGTCGATCAAGATGATGGATGTGAGAAGTGGATGAAGATGAATAAAGATGAGGGGGCAAAGAGTGATGATGAAGCATCGATGGCATGTGAGGGTGTCCCCCGCCTGCTTCTACTCGTCCTTGGACAAGGTTTGTGTCTGATGAGTAAAGATTCGATGATAGAAACACTCGAGGCGGTTCTGATGATCCAGGATTATTAGGCACTGTTGTTACTCCCGATCCTGTGGCTACATTGGCTGTCGAACTCATTATACCGGGTTTACCAGGGAAAGGAACAGCTGGAAGTTGTTTATGGTGTCGTTGGTAACCACTGCCCACAGAACCATCACTTTCTCCACTAGTTCGAACTCCACCACCGGTGATACTTCCATGTGAAGCAGCTTCACCCACCATTGGATTATTGGGAAGATTCCAAGGGTCATTTGTTGAAGGATGAAAGTGATGGTCATCGAAAGAAGATCCCATTCCAGTTCGAGAGAGACGTTCAGCTCCTTCCAAATTTGATGGCATCATTTGGGCTGATAGTCTTCTAGAAGGGACAGAATGGTTCAAACTAGATGGATCTGTCGATAAAGATTGTTGACCTGATGTACCGGGAAGGATTGAGTTATCACTAGAAAGATAATGACGAGATGGTTGAGGCTGTTGAGGTAATTGATGGCGATGTGGTGGTTGTTGTTGTTCAAGGGGATGTTCTGTTGAGGGTTGAGAACGAAATTTGGAAAGATCTGGTATTAGTCGCGAAGTGAACGCTGAGAAAGCGTTAAATCCACTGATGGATCGTTGAGTTTGCTTAGGAACCGTTGGAATTTGAGGTAAAACTCGTTCTGTTGTATCTCCTCCATTACCGGTGATTCTTTGGTATAACGATCGACCGAAAGGATCGGCACCTCCAACAGCTCCACCAACAGCCCCGATCACAGGAACTCCAATGCCTCCAACAGCCTCACCAAAAGCACCTTCATCGCCATAAACGTAACGACTGTCAGGACGGTTCTCTTTACTTGTAGCTGCATCATGAGAGTATTGTCGACGTAAATCACGAAACATCGAAGGTCGAACGGGTAAACCAAGTGATCCTCGTCGACTTTCTGGATATGGCACATTATGGTAATCAATGTAAGATCTAAATACGGAAGACAAAAGTAAATGTAAAATTAAGACCGATTAGTATAATTGCCTCGAAATGTGACCACAAACAATATTTACCCGTCTGGTGTTCCCATTTCGCACTCGAGTTGCCTTAATCTTATGGCCATTTTACTGTGAATCCAATCTCCAGTTTTGATCAGAATTTCCTGTCTCTTTCTGCATAGAATACATACCCAGAGAGCCTAAAAGAAAAGAGTAAAGAATAGAATAGAATTAACAATGAATAGTGTTGATTATTTTGGTTCATTTTCCTTATCCAAAAATCAATATATTCTCATGAAAGGTAAAAAAATCATTGACATGATATTCAAAGGGACAAATGTTCATTAAAAGTGAGACACAATGTAAGTTACCTTGCTCGATCTGAGAGCGACTTTGCCACCACATCGAGCACAACATCGGACACCACAATAGACACAAGTATGACCAATTCCGTCGGCGAATTTTGTTTTAAGGCAAATCTGACAGGTCGCATCCAGTGCGAAGCCCAGTTTAAGTTGTTCCTCGTTTCGTTTACGAATCGCACATTCAAGTATCGTAACTTCATCTTGCTGTTTTCTATTATTTGGAAAGAGAACAAAAAAACAAAGAAAATGATTATTAGTACGAACTTAATCCAAAATAGATCAGAAAAAAGATCAAGCCGAAAGTTAACGAATACTTAAACCACTTAGGCGATGAAAATAAGAGCAAAAGAAAAGTTTTATAAATTAATCATTTAGAATCAGAATCAATTTTACTTCCTACCAACCAAAATGATGAGGATGAAAAAAACGTAAACATCAATGTAGATGAACTGATTTAACAATATAACAGATCAACAAGTAAACATAAACAAAACAAATTAATTCAATTTATTTGTTTGATTTGTTTCTCATCATTAACTGTTGATAGTTTTCAACATTTCATCATCAGTCATTTATCAACAATTGACAATTTACAAATATCAACAAACGTTATCAATAATTATCATCATTATGATAAAATGATAATGATGATGATAAACTTGATACATTGAACTTAAAATGGTTAACAATTTAGAGGCTTTTTGTTGTTGCTCGCGTTCAAAGATACAATCAAGTGATTGTTACAATTATAATTGTAAAAAGTGTTTTGTCAAAACGACCAAGGTAAACAAACTAATCAGTAACTTAACTCACCTAAAAATGATAAAGATGAAGGTTATGATAGGGAAAAGGTCAACACTTTGCCTTTGATCTCTGTTGTTTTTCATTTTCACCTTCAACTTTATTTCATCTTTTTCAGTGATATCATTTTTCAGGAAGATTGAGGAATTGACAAGTTTGTTTACTTAGGTCGTTTTTAAACGAAACACCTTTAGTACTTAGTTTAAGTACATAGATCACTTTGAGGTCGATAAAAAGTGTAAACAATAGTCTAAGACCAAGTTCCCTCGTTTTCTAGCACAGTGCTTATTTGCACGTAAACACGGTAATTGTTGATTAACTGAAGGAGATGATGACAATTAAGATGATCATCGACAGCATCATTTTCAGTAAATTGACAATTTAACCTGATTAAGTGTTAATTGTTACTGTTGTTTTCATGTTATGCTAACATTATAATAGTTAAATTTAATTGACTTGATTAAAAAACAAAAAATGGTGATTAAGGTTAAGTTGATGATTAATAAACAGTAGGCTGGTTAATCATTACAATTTTAGCTCAGTGATTAAGGTAATGATGAGAAAGTGAATCGATTGATTTAGTTATAATAATTCAAGTCGGAAAAGGAAGATGAAAACAAAAGTGAAAAGTTATTAATTGTCAATAGATTGATTGAATCAATAAAATGAACTAAATGGTTAAAGAGAAACCAAATTGTTTGTCTCATGTGTTGATATTCAATCTTGTGTTTACCTTAATCATAATCATCTTCGTCTTCAATGTTAATATAAGAGAAAGGTAACCAAAGGTAAGGTTATTAGAATTAGCTAATAATAGATGCAATGGATCTCTATGTGTTTTAATAGTTTCGTCACGTAATCGGATAGATGAATATTTTGTATTGTTGTTAACTATTAATAAAACAACTAAACCATGCAAAAAGATTTCTCGATGTTCCTCTCTTATTATTATTGTTTATTGTTCTAATTGTTTCGACTGTGGATCCAATTTCAATCATGATAATTTACATAGAAAATGAATATTAACATGAGTTAACAGTCACTCTTCATATCGGTTATGTCTCATCATCTTGTCCGATTAATTAACTCCAACTTATCATGACTCTCTCTCTCTCTCTCTCTCTCTCTCTTGTATGAGTTTTCTTGGAAATTACTAATATGTAAATGTGTTGACATGAGGATTTAATTGTTGAGAAAAATCAGATATTTGTGTTGTGATTTATCAACAATTAATTGAACTTTTTTTCTTGGAAAAGTGTAATGAATATCTTGCTGGTTCCATTATTCAATAGAACTGAATAACTGTGAGAAGAAAATGAAGATTTTTTCTATGATAAAAAGAGATTATCTCAAAAAAAGAAACATAATTCAATTCTTATGAAATCAAATAGCCTTCGAATCAAAGTTTCATCATTTATAATGAACAAATCTATTGATGATTAATCGACTCGAAATACTTGATTGAACATATCTTATGCTCGAGCTTTTCTCGATTATTGATCGATATTTTTCTTGATTGAATTAGAATTTTTAACTGTCATTTATCCAATCAACTGATTGAAATGCATTCGAATCTATGAATTATCGTGTCACACACCTGATAAATTTTCGATTTCTAGTCTTGGAACACAAAGAATATAACTGTAAATATAATCAATGGTAAGAAAATCTAGTTTGATATTAATAGAGTTATTAATCAGTTAAAATATCAAAGTAATCAAATTAATTAGGAAAATTTTAGTAACCAGATTAACATGAGAAAGAGAGCAAATCGGATCTACACACAATCGAATCTAAAAATAAGCAGAGAGAAAGGGAGAATAACCAAAACTCAGGTATTCTGATAAAAGAAAGTGGAAAAAAATGGTGAGAGAGAAGAAATAAGAAAGACTATGAAAGGAGAAAAGGGAAAAAGAGAAAGAGAAAATCGTGTAATAGATTAAATAGGAAATGAGAAGAGAAAAAATGATTTTGATTCTGAGAAATAGGAATTGGAATGAAAGAGATATTGAGGTGAAGAAACCAAGAGAAGGGAAAGGTAATAGCGATTTAAATTCTCCAATTATGAATAGATATAAATTCGAAAGGTAATTCTACTCACTTAAGAACTTCAGCTTCTTTAGCTTCTTCCTCTCTCTGTCTATTAATCACGGACTCGATAATCTTCCTCTCTTCTTCAGTGAGATGACTTATATCAGGAAAGGATGGCTCCATAATCCACCCTCCCTGATTTTAGTGGAAAACGTTAATTATCTTGTAATAATTGATGAACTGGCGATGATATTGAGGCTAAGATGATGAGAGGGGAGATGATGATGAGTAATTTAACTAATTCTAAGGGTGATGAGTACATTTAGGTTTCTGTTGTTGTTGATGTTGTTGTTGTTACGAAAAGTAGTAACCCAAAGGTTCAAGTGGAAATATTTTCAAATGGACTGGATTTAATTCAATTATAATTAAGGTGAACATTTCGAGGATGGTTAAATATATTCCATAACAAAAGAAGATGAGGAAGATGAAAAAAAATACACAATTAAAAGAGATGAAGATGATGATGATGATATGAAAAAGAAAGAGGAAAAATGATGAGGGTGATGTTATAGTGATGATGTTGATAGTTTCTGGTTAGAGATATTGGTTGGGATGTAGAAAAGAAAGAAAAATAGAAAGAGAAAAGGAAAGAGAAAGAAAAAATAAGTGGAAGGATAAAATTCATTCCCAGTAATAACATGGGAGCATGAGCTCTTTGGCTCTATTCAGGTTACAATCAACTCCATCTACAGACTAGGTGAGGTATTGGAATCATGGAAGGGAATTCATTGTTACTTTGAAACTTTTTCAATGACAATTCAGAGTTTTCATCTTCAAGATTATGTTTTTCTGATTAAGATCACTAGTGGATATAAATGGTGTTTCGGTTAAAAACCTACCTTAGGGTCGAGAGAGAATTTTTTTATCTCATCTGTTGGTTGATGATAAAGATGAGATAAAGATGATGTTATCTTCACCTTCATCATCTTTGTGTATTTTTCATCATCATTATCATCAACCAACAATCACCAACCAGGCAATTTTGGTGATCTTCCAAACAGAATTGAATCCAATATCCAACGTTTTTGATCAGGTTTATGATAAGAAGGTGAAAGGTCAACCTTAATTCGGTCCAGTTGGAGACTATTCTGAAAAAGAAAATTGTCCATCTGAGTTATATCCCTGAGGTCTTAATTAATAGCTGGCCTGCTAACCTCACTCATCTTTCGCATCACGATTATGAAGACGCGATTGAATTGCTAAATTGGCTCCCGTTACATTTTTTTACATCATTATTTTGTTTCAAGATTTTCTGAGGTCAACCAGCAGGCGAAAGGGTAAATTAATATGATACATAATTTTATTCAATGTAACGTGTACACGTTACAATCAACATTGATTATAATATTAAGTCTTAAGTATTGGTACTTTAGTCATGTAAACGTAAACTAGTCTGATTTAGAAAAACAATTTCAACTAATCATTTATCAGATGATTTATGCGAAGTTTGTGATAAACTTCAAGTATAAATGTTTTTATACTGATTAAGGAAAGATAATTAATAATCACTGGTTAATGAATTGGAGCAAAAATTAGTTAATCATCAAGTTTTTTTTATTATTATTTCAAATGCTAGTTAATTAATAGGAGAAAATCATTTCATTAGTACTAACACTCATTCATTGTATTACAAGTTTTCAGTCGTTCACAAAATGAAAAAGAGCAGTTTATGTAAAATTTATTATTCGCTTCTTATTGTTTTGTGCACTAGTGAAGTGACCTTTGGATGGTTATGGTCTAAGGTTGTACCACCGAACCAAAACCACCTCCGAAACCGTAAGTGTGACCACGTTTCAAATTTAATTTCGTTTACGTTGAACAAAAGTTAAATTCGAATTACAATAACCAGAGTCTTTTCAGGACAAGAAGTCTTGGCAAAGCTCGGTGATAATTACTCCAGGTCGCTGTAGTAATATTGTGAATCCAAAACCTAATATTATCTTCTATTTGACTCTTTAGGAAACCAATTTTTCTTTCGTTTAAGGATATCCATGAATTCAAGACTTGTGAGGCTGGTATGAAGATAAAATATAATTTGTTATTTGATTGTATTATGAATTGTGAAAATGAATTCATGACCCGTCGTTCAGGGAATTCACTATATATAATAGATGGCCAGGCGTTTCGAATTTAATGGAGCGATGTTCGGCGTGTAGAAAGCTTTTCCTAGAAAGATCAGAAAATTGTGACAAATTGTTTGATTGTAAAAAACGAGTAGGGGGAGCGTTTTGCTCACGATGTTCGAGTGATACCTTTTCGTGTAATGGTCGAGTTTGCATTCCAAAAAGATGGAAATGTGATAAAATAGTCGATTGTCTTAACGGTGAAGACGAAAAGAATTGTGAGTTTAGAGCCTGTACTAAAAATGAATTTCGATGCGGAAATGACCGATGTATTGACCAGTCTCAATATTGTAATGGAAAAGACGATTGTGGTGATCGATCAGATGAGAAAAGATGTCCAAAAAAAGATAATTCCATAATTTCGATTGCCAATCAGGATATTGTAATAGAATAGACGATTGTGGTGATCGATCAGACGAGAAGACCTGTTCAAAACTGACTGGTTCCTATAGTTTCGACTGTCAACGTTTATTTATCCCGAGTAACTGGCACTGTGATGGTGTTGTCGATTGTTACAATGGTCTTGACGAGAAAAACTGTCCATCTACTAAAAACTGTACTGATAATCAATTCAAATGTGATAATCGTAAATGTATTCATGTCGATTCAGTTTGTGATGGAGTCGAAGATTGTTGGGACAGATCAGATGAAAAGAATTGTAATTCAACTAAATGTGCACAAAATCAATTTGATTGTGGTGACCGATGTATTCCATTACAATGGCGATGTGACAAACGAAAGGATTGCTTGAATTTAAAGGATGAAATTAACTGTAACACTGTCATGTACAGATCCTATCGACTTGATTCAGATCTTGAATGTGTCGAGGGAACATTTCCATGTGCCGATAAATCAGGATGTATATCAAACGATTTTGTTTGTGACAAATATCCTAATTGTAAAGATCATTCTGATGAAATGAATTGTCCTGATAGAAACGATTTAGTATAATCACAAATAAACAATTATTCAAGTGTTCGATTAAGATAAAGTCGATTGCGATGAGTTTGGACTCTTGAATTTGTACATTGGAGTCGAAATAAATCCAACAGAAAATGATAATCACACGGAAACATCTCTAATATTTACTATCCCTTTTTAACCATTTACTCTAAAATTTAAAGTCATCGAAAAATTTTACATCCAATTGATTAATTAGTTCGCGAAGAGGATCATGAATGAAATCAATTGATCCAAATACTTGAAAGAAACTAATAGTATTTACAGTTGATTTAATATGTATCATCATTAAAAAAACATAATTAGAACTCTAATGAGTTGATGTTCATCTTAAAGGAAAATACAATTGAAAATTGATTTTTTAGTTGGTCGTTAATATTGTTGATTGTAAAGAGACACTTCCTGGTGACTGATTGCGATAATCCACTTATACTTGCTCGACGACGAGCAACACCTCGTGGCCTTCTGGGCATCACCTAACTAATTGGACTTTTGGGAAGACTTGATCTCTCCTTTAAACTACCTTGATCACTATCGTTGTCCGAATTACCATTAAGGGAAGTGGTGGTTGCTGTTGATGCATTTCTCAGACGATTTGATGAACCTTTTACTTTACGGTTCACAATTTTGTACGGTTTCAATACAGTTATTTGATTATTGCTATGACGAGGTCTCTTCTTAATTGAGATTGTAATCTCCGTTGAATAATCTTTAACACTGTTGAAAACCTTTTTCAATTGCCAACCAACGACAGTTTGATAATTAATTTGAACAATTTCACTGCCTTCTTCAATTCGTCCGCGATGAAATGGTGATCCATGATCCACTTTCTCCACAATATGAATACCAGAAAATGTCGACGAAAAGTGTAATCCCCAAAAAACATCTTCCTCTGCCCTCTTCTTAATGGTTATCACTTCCAATGAAGTAGGTTGTATGGCAAGTGGGTCATTTAATTCCTGGACAATTCTGTCACACATTTCAGCGAAAGTACAACAATTTTCTTTAATCACTTCATTAGGTTTTTCCACAAACTGATCACGTTGAGCCGTTGACGCCAATTCAATACTCAATTTACATATTCGTCTTCTCATTGAAATATACTCTTCGTGGCCTCCAAAGGGATACCTGTCAATCCATGAGACAAACAAAAAAAAATTGTACAATAGTTACAAACATACAAAATGTATTAGGTGAATTAAAAATTGTTCAATTTTCTTAATAATCAAAATAAACTTGTTTACAAGAGTCAATAGCGATTAAAAGTTTCTCAAGTGTTTGTTTCGTTTCAATATCTTAGGACATTAATCATGTTAGTAGATTTTTGTATAACAAGCAAAAAGAGACAATAAGTTAGGAAATCGAGTGAAAAATAATCAATACAAACTTTCAGCATTCAACCTCAAGTGGGGTTGATTCAATTTCAATTAAGTACTTGATTAAATCTGTTAATGATAAGTTAATCAGTAATGAATTTTATTTTACTATTCAGTTAACAGCTTATTTAACCACAACTATAAGTTATTCGTTGATTTATATTTTCATTTTTTACAAAAGTTTTACAATGTCGAAGATTAATTCTTGTAAATTCAATTGTTCGCCTTTGATTGTTGCTTTGTGTATGATTATTGGATTAACGCAGATCGGACCAGTTAAATCTTCATCACCAGTTAACCAGATTATTCATAAGAAAACGAATTCATCTCATGAACCTGATCATTCGGATAAATTTGAGTGTAAAGTGCATTTGGTCATGTCATCGATTGTTCCTTACGATCAATATTGTTATTATGGTCACGGCGCAAATACTTGTATATGTAAACCGGAATTCAAAGTGGGAGAAATACAGTTTGAGAGGTGCGAATATTGGAAAGTAGATTACATAGACAAGTCGAAAGTTTGTGATGGAGTGATTGATTGTGTGGATCTTTCTGATGAAAGAAAATGTTCACGTTGTTCTAAGGATACATTTTCGTGTGATGGGTATGTTTGTATTCCGAAAAGATGGAGATGTGATCAAATTGTCGATTGTCATAATGGTGCCGACGAAAAGAATTGTGAGTTTAGAAATTGTACTGAAAACGAATTTCAATGCGGAAATAGTCGATGTATTGACGAATCACTTTATTGTAATGGTGAAGATGATTGTGGTGATCGATCGGATGAGAAGACCTGTGCAAACAAAACCGCTTCCAATAATTTCGATTGCCGAAATTTATATATCCCAAGCTCGTGGCATTGTGATGGTATCGTCGATTGTTACAATGGTCTTGATGAAAAAATGTCCACCTGCTAAAGACTGTAAAAAGAATCAATTTAAATGTGATAATCGTAAATGTATTGATAGAGTTTCATTTTGTGATGGAGTCGCAGATTGTTGGGATAGATCAGATGAAAAGAATTGTGGTCAAACTAAATGTGCACAAAATCAATTTGATTGTGGTGACCAATGTATTCCAATTCGATGGAAATGTGATAATAAGTATGATTGTCTCAATGAATCTGATGAATGGAATTGTAACCAAAACATGTATAAATCGAGACGAGGCGATTCTAGACTTAAATGGGTTGATGGTCTATTCCCATGTAATGATAATTCGGGATATGTATCAACCGATTTCCTTTGTGACGGATACTCCAACTGCAAAGATCAATCTGACGAGAAAAATTGTCCATCTCAGGTAATCAATCAGTTGGTTTGATTTTAGTTATTTTTAGCGATTAAATTATTTTTTCAAGATTTTCAGGATTAGGCCAATCAGTAAACGAAAGGGTAAATTAATATGATACTTAAATTTATAAAATGTAGCGTGTTTAATGTATTTGGCCTGAGTATTGGTGCTTTAGTCATGTAACCGTAAACTAGTCTGATTTATAAAAACAATTTAAACAAATTATTTATCAGATGATTTATGCGAAGTTTGTTATTTACTTCAAGTGTAAATGTTTTTATTATGATTAAGAAAAGATAATTAATAATCACTGGTTAATGAATTGGAGCAAAAATTAGTTGCTCATCAATTTTCACCTTAGTTGCCATTTAATTGTAATTAAAGTGATTTCATTATACATAAAGATAATTTAATTTACAATAAGTTTTTGGAATCGATCAATGATGAAAAAGAGTAGTTTTTATAAAATTTATTATTCGCTTCTTATTGTTTTGTGCACAACGGTAGTGACCAATTCATTTGTGGTGGACAATCCATCGACATTAAAGAGATACTGTTCGGACCCATACAGTATCTCTTTCCCTGAATATTTAAGTCCATACAGTAACTGTTATCCGGTTTTTTGTATGGACATCCCTTATCGAACGCTAGGGACAAAACGCCCATTTTACCGATTAATTTCGTTTGATAACATTCAAGAATTAACAACTTGCGAGGATGCTTATACCATAGATATCGAAAGTAATTTGTTATCTGATTGTATGGATCATTGTCCATTTATGTCTACTGATCGATTATCAACCATCGATTACCTGAATAGCAAACCAGAAAATGGATCTTTAATGGAAAAGAAATGTTCGGCCTGTAAAATGCTTTTCACAACAAGATCGTTAACTTGTGACTGGATCTTCGATTGTAGTAAACGATCAGGGGGACAGTTTTGTTATCAATGTTCTAAGAATACATTTTAGTGTGATGATGGAATTCGTATTCCAAAAAGATGGGAATGTGATCGAATTGTCGATTGTCTTCACCATGAAGACGAAAGGTATTGTAAGTTTAAAGATTGTACTGAAAATGAATTTCGATGTGCAAATGATCGGTGAATAAACAAAACACTATATTGTAATGGAATAGACGATTGTGGTGATCGATCAGACGAGAAGACCTGTTCAAAACTGACTGATTCCAACAATTTCGACTGTCAACGTTTATTTATCTCGAGTAACTGGCACTGTGATGGTGTTGTCGATTGTTACAATGGTCTTGATGAGAAAAACTGTCCACCTGCTAAAAACTGTACTGATAATCAATTCAAATGTGATAATCGTAAATGTATTGATAACAATCAATTTGTGATGGAGTCGAAGATTGTTGGGACAGATCAGATGAAAAGAATTGTGATAAAACTAAATGTGCACAAAACCAATTTGATTGTGGTGACCGATGTATTCCATTACAATGGCGATGTGACAAACGAAAGGATTGCTTGAATTTAATGGATGAAAAGATGTGTAACCTTGTCATGTACAAATCCTTACGACTTGATTCAGATCTTCGATGTGTTGAAGGTACATTTCCATGTGCCGATCGATCGGGATGTATTTCGAACGATTTTGTTTGTGACAAATATCCTAATTGTAAAGATCATTCTGATGAGATGAATTGTCCAGATAGAAACGATTTAATATAATCACAAATAAACAATTATCCAAGTAATCAGTTAAGATAAATTCGATTAATCGTGTAATTACTAATCTCATTCAGAGATTACTTTCTTGTCATATTGAAATAATACAAAAGGTGAAGGTATTCAAAGAGATACAGAAGAGAGAACTTTTTTTCATTAAAACGAACCAATTTACACATCAAAAAATCTCAATAGTTCCAATTGTTCGTTTTGAAGAAACTGTGGTCAACTAATAAGAATCAATTGGAATCAATTAACAAAACAAAAAAATCATAAAACAGGAAAGTGAAAAGCAAAACAAACACGTAAGTCTGTGAGTCTTTGGGCCCAAGTGATGACAGTAGAACTCTTGAAGAGAAGAAGCCGAGAAACCACATACCATTTCTGACCGAAGTTCAACCGAAGCAATAAAAGGTGGTTCTTACAGTGGGGGTGAAGATGATGAAAGTTGTCTTCAAAGAGCGATCGCTGCCTCGTTAGAAAGTGAATTGGAAGATGAACAAAAACAACTTCAAGCAGCGATTGCGATGAGTTTGGAGTCGACATAAATCCAACAGAAAATGATAATCATACGGAAGCATCTCTAATATTTACTTCCCTTTTTCATCAAATTTCTCAGTGAAAGTCAATTACACTTCGAACGAGTTTATAAACTACTGTTACTTTTTTAATTTCTTTTTTTCATGTTCCATCAAATCTTTTTCTTAATTCGCACCAAGATTAACCATTTACTCTAAAATTTAAAGTCATCGAAAAATTTTACATCCAATTGATTAATTAGTTCACGAAGAGGATCATGAATGAAATTAATCGATCCAAATACTTGATTCTAATCATGCCGATAAAATTTTTTTTCTTTAAATTGACTAATTTGTTTATTTTGTTTTATATTTGAAAGAAACTAATAGTATTTACAGTTTATTTAATATGTATCATCATTAAAAAACATAATTAGAACTCTAATGAGTTGATGTTCATCTTAAACGAAAAATCTACTCTTGGTGGTGGTTGAGGTTTAATTAATGCGGAGATGCTTTGAGAAGTTGAGTTTCTTGGTGCAGTTGGAGGTGGTGGTGTGGGTGGTGATGGTGATGGCGATGGTGGATCCTGTTGTTGTTGTTGTTGGTTTTGTTTTAGTGTTGCTGCTGTTGATAATCGGTTAACTAATTCGATTGCTCGATCTTCATCTGATTTTCGACGAGGCAATGTAACATTATTCAATTGAGCTCTTGCTTCCAATATCCTTTGTTTTATTATCGGTGGTGTTTGTGGTGGGATTGGTTTGGGTGATGGTGGTGGTTGATATTCATGAAATGCAGGATTATCTTCTAGTTCAGTATTTAATGGTGCTATTTGGTTGTCTTCATCTGATTTTCTTCAAAAAACCTCTGCCCTCTTCTTAATGGTTATCACTTGATTTACTAAAACCAAAATCATCGGGTTTCTCTTGTTTCAAGAGATTATACAAACTACGAGATTTACATCCCAACGAAGTGCAACAAAGGGATTACTTTCAATCCATGAGTGAATCCATCAAGTTTAATGTTAGACAAAAAAATGTCAACCAGTGATCAAAGGCTGAATCGAGAACCAGGAACCGAGTACCAAGATTGAACCAAGATAAATCAAGAACAAATTAAATTTTATTGAAGCTAATTTCTTAAGTAAAAAAACCACAGAAACATTAATCTGAAAACACCTAAAGGAGTAGCATTGTCAACTGTTGGTGTTTGTGATTGGGTTTATGAGAAGAAGGTTAAACCTCAACCTTCATTTGGTCCAACCACTTTTCGCACTTGGGACTTTGGTGGGCGAAGGGAATATTATGCTACTCATCAGTATTTTCTTTCTCGGCGATCTTTGTATCTTGTTCTATGGAAAATGATTGATGGAGAAAAGGTCATCGAAATGTATTAGGTGAATTAAAAATTGTCCAATTTTCTTAATAATCGAAATAAACTTGTTTACAAGAGTCAATAGCGATTAAAAGTTTCTACATTTACATCTTCATCACCAGTTAACCAGTTTATTCATAAGAAAACGAATTCATCCCATGAACCTGATCATTCGGATAAATTTGAGTGTAAAGTGCATTTGGTCATGTCATCGATTGTTCCTTACGATCAATATTGTTATTATGGTCACGGCGCAAATACTTGTATATGTAAACCGGAATTCAAAGTGGGAGAAATACAGTGATTGATTGTATGGATCTTTCTGATGAAAGAAAATGTTCACGATGTTCTAAGGATACATTTTCGTGTGATGGGTATGTTTGTATTCCGAAAAGATGGAGATGTGATCAAATTGTCGATTGTCATAATGGTGCCGACGAAAAGAATTGTGAGTTTAGAAATTGTACTGAAAACGAATTTCAATGCGGAAATAGTCGATGTATTGACGAATCACTATATTGTAATGGTGAAGACGATTGTGGTGATCGATCAGATGAGAAGACCTGTGCAAACAAAACCAGTTCCAATAATTTCGATTGCCGATATTTATATATCCCAAGCTCGTGGCATTGTGATGGTATCGTCGATTGTTATAATGGTCTTGATGAGAAAAATGTCCAACTGCTAAAGACTGTAAAAAGAATCAATTTATCTGTGATAATCGTAAATGTATTGATAAACATTCAATTTGTGATGGAATCGAAGATTGTTGGGACAGATCAGATGAAAATAATTGTGATAAAACTAAATGTGCACAAAATCAATTTGATTGTGGTGACCAATGTATTCCAATTCGATGGAAATGTGATAATAAGTATGATTGTCTCAATGAATCTGATGAATGGAATTGTAACCTTAACATGTATAAATCGAGACAAGACGATTCTAGACTTAAATGGGTTGATGGTCTATTCCCATGTAATGATAATTCGGGATATGTATCAACCGATTTCCTTTGTGACAGATACTCCAACTGCAAAGATCAATCTGACTAGAAAAATTGTCCAACTCAGGTAATCAATCAGTTGGTTTGATTTTAGTTATTTTTTAGCGATTGAATTATTTTGTTTCAAGATTTTCAGGATTAGGCCAATCAGCAGGCGAAAGGGTAAATTAATATGATACATAATTTTATTCAATTTTGCGAATTGAATGTATTTGGCCTTAAATATTGGTGCTTTAGTCATGTAAACGTAAACTAGTCTGATTTAGAAAAACAATTTCAACTAATCATTTATCAGATGATTTATGCGAAGTTTGTTATTTACTTCAAGTATAAATATAAATGTTTTATACTGATTAAGAAAAGATGCTGAATAGTCAATCGATTGGATTAAAAGTTAACTAATCATAAATCGTTCTCATTTCACTTGCCAGTTAATTGTGAGAAAATAAAGTGATTTCATTATACATAAAGCTCATTTATTTTATTAATAATCTTAATATTATAAGTTTTTGGAATCGATCAATGATGAAAAAGAGTAGTTTTTATAAATTTTATCATTCGCTTCTTATTGTTTTGTGCATCATTGAAGTGACCTTTGCATCGTTACGCATTCGGACAATCGAACGCAATAAACCCATGCGGGGTTGGACATGGATAAGGGGGCCATACGACGTGGACATGCATACATCTATACTTATACTGCCTCGAGAATTTACTACCTCGACAACGCGGTCAATGTTGTACGAGACAACAGAAATGATGCCAGTATTTCAATTAATTTCGTTTGATAAAATTCATGAACAGTTCAAAACTTGTGAGGTCGATATGGAGGTCGAAAGTAATTTGTTTTCGGATTGTACTTCAAATTGTTCATTTGGTTACTACTTTCATTCACTAAAAGCTGTGATGCTTAGAGGTGAACCTTATAGACCAAATCGCAAACCAGAAAATGAATCTTTAATAGAAAAGAAATGTTCGGCGTGTAAAATGCTTTTCACAACAAGATCAGAAAATTGTGACAAAATCTTCGATTGTAGTAAACGATCAGGGGAACAGTTTTGTTCACGATGTTCTGAAAATATGTTTGCCTGCGATAACAAAACTTGTATTCCAAAAAGATGGAGATGTGATCAAATTGTCGATTGTCTTAATGGTGAAGATGAAAAGAATTGTGAGTTTAGAGATTGTACTGAAAATGAATTTCGATGTGCAAATGATCGGTGCATAAACAAAACACTATATTGTAATGGAAAAGACGATTGTGGTGATCGATCAGACGAGAAGACCTGTTCAAAACTGACTGATTCCAATAGTTTCGACTGTCAACGTTTATTTATCCCAAGCTCGTGGCATTGTGATGGTATTGTCGATTGTTACAATGGTCTTGACGAGAAAAATTGTCCACCAGCTAAAAACTGTACAAAGAATCAATTTAAATGTGATAATCGTAAATGTATTCACAGAGACTCAATTTGTGATGGAGTCGCAGATTGTTGGGACAGATCAGATGAAAAGAATTGTGATAAAACTAAATGTGCATTTAATCAATTTGATTGTGGTGACCAATGTATTCCATTACAATGGCGATGTGACAAACGTAAGGATTGCTTGAATTTAATGGATGAAACGATGTGTAACCTTGTCATGTACAAATCCTTACGACTTGATTCAGATCTTCGATGTGTTGAAGGTACATTTCCATGTGCCGATCGATCGGGATGTATTTCGAACGATTTTGTTTGTGACAAATATCCTAATTGTAAAGATCATTCTGATGAGATGAATTGTCCAGATAGAAACGATTTAGTATAATCACAAATAAACAATTATCCAAGTAATCAGTTAAGATAATCGTGTAATTACTAATCTCATTCAGAGATTATTTTCTTGTCATATTGAAATAATACAAAAGATGAATGTATTCAAAGAGATACAGAAGAGAGAACCTTTTTTCATTACAACGAACCACTAAGAACCCCAGTAGCTTTACTCGTATATCATTTGGTCCAATTACTTTTCGCACTTAGAACTTTGGCCGACAAAGGGAATATAATGCTACTCATCAGTATTTTCTTTCTCGACGATTTTTGTATCTTTTTCTATGGAAAATGGTTGATGGAGGAAAGTTTCTCGAGGGTCCGGGGAAAGGTAACTAGACCAAACAAACAAAGTAAACAAGTTGATTGACGAACGTCCGATTTTCTTAATAATCGAAGTAAACTCGTTTACAAGAGTCAATAGCGATTAAAAGTTTCTCAAGTGTTTGTTTCGTTTCAATATCTTAGGACATTAATCATGTTAGTAGATTTTTGTATAACAAGCAAAAAGAGACAATAAGTTAGGAAATTGAGAGAAAAATTATTAATACAAACTTTCAGCATTCAACCTCAAGTGTGATTGATTCAATATTGATTAAGTGCTTGATTATCAAATGGTTAATCAGTAATGAATTTTATTTTACTAATAAGTAAAACATTCATTTCGTCTTATAACAAGTTTTTTATACATTCATTCAACTTTTAATAAAGTTTTATTATGGCGAAGATTAACTTTTATGAATTCAATTTTTCACTTTTGATTGTTTTGTGTATTATTATTAATATATTAACACAGATCGAACCAGTTACAACTTCAAAAGCAATTAACCATTTTACTCATAAGGAGATGAATTCATCTCATGAACCTGATCATTCGGATAAATTTGAGTGTAAAGTGCATTTGGTCATGTCATCGATTGTTCCTTACGATCAATATTGTTATTATGGTCACGGCGCAAATACTTGTATATGTAAACCGGAATTCAAAGTGGGAGAAATACAGTTTGAGAGGTGCGAATATTGGAAAGTAGATTACATAGACGAGTCGAAATTTTGTGATGGAGTGATTGATTGTGTGGATCTTTCTGATGAAAGAAAATGTTCACGATGTTCTAAGGATACATTTTCGTGTGACGGAAATGTTTGTATTCCAAAAAGATGGAAATGTGATCAAATTGTCGATTGTCGTAATGGTGAAGACGAAAAGAATTGTGAGTTTAGAAATTGTACTGAAAACGAATTTCAATGCGGAAATGACCGATGTATTGACAAATCACTTTATTGTAATGGAATAGATGATTGTGGTGATCGATCAGATGAGAAGACCTGTTCAAAAGGACTGATTCCAATGATTTCGATTGCGGGAATTTATATATCCCAAGCTCGTGGCTTTGTGATGGTATAGTCGATTGCTACAATGGTCTTGATGAGAAAAATTGTCCAGCTTCTAATTTCTGTGGAAAATATAGATTTAAATGTGATAATCGTAAATGTATTGATAAACAATCAATTTGTGATGGAAAAGATGATTGTGGTGATCGATCAGATGAGAAAAGTTGTCCAAGCCTACCACATTTTAAAGATTACGATTGCCGGGAAACATATATCCCAAACTCGTGGCATTGTGATGGTATCGTCGATTGTCCCAATGGTGTTGATGAGAGAAACTGTCTTCCTACTAAAAACTGTACAAAGAATCAATTTGAATGTGATAATCGTAAATGCATTCATGTCGATTCAGTTTGTGATGGAGTCGCAGATTGTTGGGACAGATCTGATGAAAAGAATTGTGATAAAACTAAATGTGCGTTTAATCAATTCGATTGTGGTGATCAATGTATTCCATTACAATGGCGATGTGATAATAAGTATGATTGTCTTAATGGATATGATGAATATAATTGTAACGAAAACATGTATAAATCGAGACGAGACGATTCTAGACTTGAATGGATTGATGGTTTATTTGCATGTTCCGATAATTCGGGATATATAGCAGTGGATTTCGTTTGCGATGGATTTTACAGTTGTATGGATCGATCGGATGAAATGAATTGCCCAAAGCTCAGACATTTGTTTCAAAAACAAATTGTTATTCGATTTTATGAAAATGGAATGAGAACTACTTTAGTAGAAGACATGTATTAATACCTATCTATGTAAATTAAAAAGTCAATGTCAACTAATTAATCTATCAGTTGATTTATGCGAAGTTTGTTATTTATTTCAAGTATACATGTAGATGTTTTTTACTGATAAAGAAAAGATGCTTAATCAATGGATTGGAGCAAAAATAAGTTAATCATCAATAATTTTCACTCCACTTGCCAGTTAATTGTGGGAAAATAAAGTGATTTCATTATACATAAAGCTCATTTATTTTATTATAAGTTTTTGGAGTCGATCAATGATGAAAAACAGTAGTTTTTATATAATTTTTCATTCGCTTCTTATTGTTTTGTGCACTAGCGAAATGACCTATGGATGGTTTTGGCCATTCTCATCTCCGGCACCTCCACCTCCACCGCCACCAAAACCGTAAGTGTAATCATCTTAACAATTTAATTGAACAAAAGTTCAAGGAACCAGATTTTCCTCAGGACAAGGACTCCTTGTCAAGAAGTCTTCGTAATGAGTATTAACCTTTGAAGATAAATTTTGAGACTTTTTGTTTTAATTTCAATATTTAGAAAACTTCTTGTGTCAATTTCGTGAAAAACATGATTATGATTTTTCATTACTTCATGAAGACTCGTATGAAATTTTATTCATTTTGACCACAAATTAATATCAAAGTTTAGGGAAAAAAATTTAAAAAAGTGTTTACATGTTACCTATCTATGAGAGTCTTAACAATAGATAGAAATTTTTCAATTTTAGTAAAGGGGAAAAATAGAATTTTCGTTTCCGATTATCTCTTTTCGGACTATCGATAAAAACGCGTCAACACTAAATTAAAATTAATTTTTTAAGCGAATTCTGAAAAATCTATTTTTATCAAAATCTGAGAATCCACTGACATGATATTAAAAAATATCGAAAAAAAATATTTTGAAAAATTTTAATTTCAGGTCAATTTGATCTAATATATTATCGCCACTTTTGGCCTTAATGATGTGAAATTTTTAGGCAACGGTTTCACATGTGTTAACTATCAGAAAATGAAATTTCACAGGAAAATTCAGCACAGTTTTATTTTCATGAAGGTTTGACCAAAAAGTCTCATAATTTATCCCCACAGGTTAGTAAAACACGGCGATAATTACTGTAGGTCGCTGTAGGAATATTGTACATCCAAACCCTAAATGGCTTTGATTAATCCTCTAATTGCTTATCTCATTCAGAAATGAATCTTTATCATATAGAAATTAATACAAAGAGATAAGTCCAAAAGGCAATTATATTAATATTTTGATGATTTACAAACAGAATCGATCGGAACATCTAATTAATGAATTAAGGGTTTTTATAACAATAGTTTAATCAAATAAATGAACAAAAGAGATCCATTGATTCCGTTGTTTGTTTATGATGATATAAGTTAACAAGCGGGAACAAACTTTCTTGTGAAAGTTTGTTACGGTTGTTTGACTGACCCGTGGATACTGAAATGAGAATTAAATTTTAATGAAAGGTTCGAAACTAAATTTTTTTTCTTTTCTCTTTGTCTCGTCTCTTTCTTTTCTTTTTGAATCGCGCGTTCAAAAAGGGGAACTGTGCTCGCGTGCATAAAAACTTTGAGTCAGAATTTCTCATAAACGGTTACTCAGATTTTGTTCGAACTAGAAATGGAAAATAACTTTAATTCAGCTGATCTCCCGTTGCTGAGCAACCAACAGGTAATCCAAATTTCGTATTCAGATACCCAAACACTTTGTTACTTTTAAGTTAAGAAATTTAATTTTTTGATCAAACCAAATTATGAAAGTATCTTTGGTAATCTTAATTAGCAAAACAAATTCTCTTTTCGTCTAATCGGGTGAAATTTTCATCTTCTCTCTTTCCTTTCTTGAATAGAATAGTATCTATTCAATCTTCTTTCTTCTCAATTGATTCTCTTGCTTTTCCTCTGTCTTTTTAGTTTGTCTATTTCCTCTCTTTCTTTATCTCTCACTCTTTTAAACATCTCTATGGGTTTCATTTGAATAGTCAAAAGCTCTTTGCAATTTAATCCATTCATTTATCTTTTAATCATTTTCATTTTTTTCTAATTAACTTTCTAGGTAATTCCAAGTACCTGTTCCTGTTTTGCTTTGGTGTTTTTTGAATATGTGGCAAAAGTGTTACCCAAATGAAGAGGAAACAAACGATAACCCTGAAAATGTGAACTTTGTGGAGAACCAAATTTCTAATCAATTTCATAATTGTAATGGTGATAATTTTTTAACCCCATCAATTAAAATGGATTTTAACTCTAACAATTTAGGAAATGATAAAAATGGACCAACATGTGATAACCTTTATAACAATTTGATAGCCTCTGGTTTGGGTTGTGCTTCTAGTCAAAAACATTACAGAGGAATTTAACTTTTAATTAATTGATTACGTCCAAAGCAGCCACAAGTACCACCACCACCACCCTGTTCATCTCCACCCTCATTATTATCTCATCAAAATCAACATTTATCTTCTCAAATTCAACAAAAACAAATCCATCAGTCAACAATCAAGTCAACTAAACAAATAGCACCATTAAATACTGAACTAGAAGATGATCCTGCATTTCATGAATATCAACCACCACCAACACCACCGATAATAAAACAAAGGATATTGGAAGCAAGAGCTCAATTGAATAATGTTAAATTGCCTCGTCGAAAATCAGATGAAGATCGAGCAATCGAACTAGTTAACCGATTATCAACAGCAGCAACACTAAAACAAAACCAACAACAACAACAACAACAGGATCCACCATCACCATCACCATCAACATCACCACCCACACCACCACCTCCAACTGCGCCGAGAAACTCAACTTCTCAGAGCATCTCCGCATTAATTAAACCTCAACCACCGCCACCACCAAGAGTAGTTGGTTAGTTAGATTGTTGCTTTGTGTATAATTATTGGATTAACACAGATCGAACCAGTTACATCTTCATCACCAGTTAACCAGTTTATTCATAAGAAAACGAATTCATCTCATGAACCTGATCATTCGGATAAATTTGAGTGTAAAGTGCATTTGGTCATGTCATCGATTGTTCCTTACGATCAATATTGTTATTATGGTCACGGCGCAAATACTTGTATAGTCGATGTATTGACGAATCACTTTATTGTAATGGAATAGATGTTTGTGGTGATCGATCAGATGAGAAGACTTGTTCAAAACTGACTGATTCCAATAGTTTTGACTGTCAACGTTTATTTATCCCAAGCTCGTGGCATTGTGATGGTATCGTCGATTGTTACAACGGTCTTGACGAGAAAAACTGTCCAACTGATATCGATTGTAAAAAGAATCAATTTAAATGTGATAATCGTAAATGTATTGATAGAGTTTCACTTTGTGATGGAGTCGCAGATTGTTGGGATAGATCAGATGAAAATAATTGTTGGCGTACTAAATTTGCACACATTCAATTTGATTGTGGTAGCCAATGTATTCCAATTCGATGGAGATGTTATAAAAAGTATGATTGTTTCGATGAATATGATGAATGGATTTGTAACCTTAACATGTATAAATTGAGACGAGACGATTTTAGACTTAAATGGGTCGATGGTCTGTTCCCATGTAATGATAATTCGGGATATGTATCAACCGATTTCCTTTGTGACGGATACTCCAACTGCAAAGATCAATCTGACGAGAAAAATTGTCCAACTCAGGGAATAAAACAGCGAGTTTGGTTTTAGTTATTTTTTAGCGATTGAATTATTTTGTTTCAAGATTTTCAGGATTCGGCCAATCAGCAGGCGAAAGGGTAAATTAATATGATACATAATTTTATTCAATTTTGCGAATTGAATGTATTTGGCCTTAAATATTGGTGCTTTAGTCATGTAAACGTAAACTAGTCTGATTTACAAAAACAATTTTAACTAATCATTTATCAGATGATTTATGCGAAGTTTTTATCTACTTCAAGTATTAATATAAATGTTTTTATACTGATTAAGAAAAGATGCTTCATAATCAATCGATTGGAGTAAAAGCTAACTAATCATAAATCATTCTCACTTCACTTGCCAGTTAATTGTGAGAAAATAAAGTGATTTCATTATACATAAAGCTCATTTATTTTATTATAAGTTTTTGGAATCGATCAATGATGAAAAAGAGTAGTTTTTATAAAATTTATCATTCGCTTCTTATTGTTTTGTTCATCATTGAAGTGACCTTTGCATCGTTAGACACTCGGAAAATCGAACGCAATAAACCCATGCGGGGTTGGCCATGGATAAGGGGGCCGTTTGGGTCATCTGTACAATTCGACGTGGAATCTGTTCTCTGGAATTCATCTTCACTTATACTGCTTCCGGAATCCTCGACAACGCGGTCAATGTTGTACGAGACAACAGAAATGATGCCAGTATTTCAATTAATTTCGTTTGATAAAATTCATGAACAGTTCAAAACTTGTGAGGTCGATATGGAGGTCGAAAGTAATTTGTTTTCGGATTGTACTTCGAATTGTTCATTTGGTTACCACTTTCATTCACTAAAAGGTAAGATGATTAGAGGTGAACCTTATAGACCAAATCGCAAACCAGAAAATGAATCTTTAATAGAAAAGAAATGTTCGGCGTGTAAAATGCTTTTCACAACAAGATCAGAAAATTGTGACAAAATCTTCGATTGTAGTAAACGATCAGGGGAACAGTTTTGTTCACGATGTTCTGAAAATATGTTTGCCTGTGATAAGCTAACCTGTATTCCAAAAAGATGGAGATGTGATCAAATTGTCGATTGTCTTAATGGTGAAGACGAAAAGAATTGTGAGTTTAGAGATTGTACTGAAAATGAATTTCGATGTGCCAATGATCGGTGCATAAACAAAAAATTATATTGTAATGGAATAGATGATTGTGGTGATCGATCAGATGAGAAGACTTGTTCAAAACTGACTGATTCCAATAGTTTTGACTGTCAACGTTTATTTATCCCGAGTAACTGGCACTGTGATGGTGTTGTCGATTGTTACAATGGTCTTGACGAGAAAAATTGTCCAACTGCTAAAGACTGTACAAAGAATCAATTTAAATGTGATAATCGTAAATGTATTCATGTCAATTCAGTTTGTGATGGAGTCGCAGATTGTTGGGATAGATCAGATGAAAAGAATTGTAATTCAACTAAATGTGCATTTAATCAATTTGATTGTGGCGACCAATGTATTCCATTACAATGGCGATGTGACAAACGTAAGGATTGCTTGAATTTAAAGGATGAAATGAACTGTAACACTGTCATGTACAAATCCTATCGTTTTGATTCAGATCTTCGATGTGTCGAGGGAACATTTCCATGTGCCGATCGATCGGGATGTATTTCGAACGATTTTGTCTGTGACAAATATCCTAATTGTAAAGATCATTCTGATGAAATGAACTGTCCAGATAGAAACGATTTAATATAATCACAAATAAACAATTATCCAAGTAATCAGTTAAGATAAAGTCGATTAATCGTGTAATTACTAATCTCATTCAGAGATTACTTTCTTGTCATATTGAAATAATACAAAAGATGAATGTATTCAAAGAGATACAGAAGAGAGAACCTTTTTTCATTACAACGAACCACTAAGAACCCCAGTGGCTTTACTTGTATATGTAAACCGGAATTCAAAGTGGGAGAAATACAGTTTGAGAGGTGCGAATATTGGAAAGTAGATTACATTAATTAGAAGAAAATTTAGAGTAGAAAATTTGTGATTGATTGTGTGGATCTTTCTGATGAAAGAAAATGTTCACGATGTTCTAAGGATACATTTTCGTGTGATGGGTATGTTTTTATTCCAAAAAGATGGAAATGTGATCAAATTGTCGTAATGGTGCCGACGAAAAGAATTGTGCGTTTAGAAATTGTACTGAGAACGAATTTCAATGCGAAAATGACCGATGTGTTGATCATTATCTATATTGTGATGGAAAAAACGATTGTGGTAATCGATCAGATGCAAAAAGTTGTCCAAAAAAAGGGTTTATTACGATTTCGACTGCCGGAATTTAAAATCACTATTATTCGCAAGCAATTAAAGGAATTGAACGATAACTTCAATTCAGCTGATCTCCCGTTGCTGAGCAACCAACAGGTAATCAATTTCATAATTGTAATGGTGATAATTTTTTAACCCCATCAATTAAAATGGATTTTAACTCTAACAATTTAGGAAATGATAAAAATGGACCAACATGTGATAACCTTTATAACAATTTGATAACCTTTGGTTTGGGTTGTGCTTCTAGTCAAAAACATCACAGAGGAATTTAACTTTTAATTAATTGATTACGTCCAAAGCAGCCACAAGTACCACCACCACCACCCTGTTCATCTCCTCCTTCATTATTATCTCATCAAAATCAACATTTATCTTCTCAAATTCAACAAAAACAAATCCATCAGTCAACAATCAAGTCAACTAAACAAATAGCACCATTAAATACTGAACTAGAAGATAATCCTGCATTTCATGAATATCAACCACCACCAACACCACCGATAATAAAACAAAGGATATTGGAAGCAAGAGCTCAATTGAATAATGTTACATTGCCTCGTCGAAAATCAGATGAAGATCGAGCAATCGAACTAGTTAACCGATTATCAACAGCAGCAACACTAAAACAAAACCAACAACAACAACAGGATCCACCATCGCCATCACCATCACCACCCACACCACCACCTCCAACTGCACCAAGAAACTTCTCAAAGCATCTCCGCATTAATTAAACCTCAACCACCGCCACCACCAAGAGTAGATTTTTCGTTTAAGATGAACATCAACTCATTAGAGTTCTAATTATGTTTTTTTAATGATGATACATATTAAATCAACTGTAAATACTATTAGTTTCTTTCAAATATAAAACAAAATAAACAAATTAGTCAATTTAAAGAAAAAAACAAGATTTTATCGGCATGATTAGAATCAAGTATTTGGATCGATTAATTTCATTCATGATCCTCTTCGCGAACTAATTAATCAATTGGATGTAAAATTTTTCGATGACTTTAAATTTTAGAGTAAATGGTTAATCTTGGTGCGAATTAAGAAAAAGATTTGATGGAACATGAGAAAAAGAAATTAAAAAAGTAACAGTAGTTTATAAACTCGTTCGAAGTGTAATTGATTTTCACTGAGAAATTTGATGAAAAAGGGATAGTAAATATTAGAGATTCTTCCGTGTGATTATCATTTTCTGTTGGATTTATTTCATCATCTTCACCCCCACTGTAAGAATCGCCTTTAATTGCTTCGTTTGAACTTTTGAAGAATAAGTAAATTTTGTGTAATTCAATGTTTAATATGAATTTGATTTTCTGTGGAAAACTTTCTGATCATCGTAGTAGAATAAAAATTCAAGTCGATTGTCTGAAAAGTGAATAAAAAGAACATCGATGTATCGAAACAATCGATCCATTGGAGCCAAAAAAGTGAGAAAAGAAAATGAAAAGTCGATCAATAATTTCGTGCATCGAACCCAAAATCACACCCAGTTTATTATTTGTTAAATATTTTCATTCTTTTGTGATATAATTAATTAGTCCTTTTTTTACTTCTTTACTCGTGAAATATGAACCGGTCAATCTAATTGCAACTTATCTCTTCCATCATTTTCTTACCATTGTGTTTATAAAAACAACAAAAGTTACTCTGACATAAGAATCTCTCTCTCTTTTTCTTTTCTCTTTCTTTTCTTTCTTTCTTCATGAAACCACATTGGGTGGGAAAAAAGAAACTAATGTACAGTTGATACTCTTTAATTTGTTTCAACAATCAGTCAATTGGATTGAAGAAACTGTGGTCAACTAATCAGAATCAATTGGAATCAATTAACAAAACAAAAAAATCACAAAACAGGAAAGTGAAAAGCAAAACAAACACGTAAGTCTTTGAGTCTTTGGGCCCAAGTGAAACTCTTGAAGAGCTTAAGAAGCCATTGACCATCAGATGATGATAAAGATCATCTTCATCTCTCTTCATCTCTCTTTCTATTTCTTTTTAATTATTTTCTCATCGATAAATGAGTGGAATGAATCAGTGTTTCCATGATCAATAGATGGTGCTTCCTTATTCAATCTGGATTAGTGAGAATCTGGTTTTCCTTTTTTACTGTTTCTCTCTTGAGCTGAAAAAATGATGGACACTTTGGAAGAGAGAAGTTTCTTTTCATTCCAATTGAAATTGTGATTACTTTAAATCAACGAAAGATCAGAAAATACGTGCAACAAGCTGAGTAATTAATAGATTTTATGTAATTCATATTGACGCCATTTTGTTATCACCTTTTTTTCTCTCATTTTTATTCGACTGTTTTTCTTGAATGTGTTTTCTTGTTTTTCTCTTGCTGCTACTGATTGAAAAAAAAGATTTTGCGTGAAAAAGAATAACCTTAACGGACAGTCTCCTATCAGAGGATTAGAAACATTCTTTTACTTGTTGTCTTCACAACAACATCAACATTTCTCTCTCATTCTTTATCACCGTTAATCTCATCTCATTTATTTACTTTCAACAATTAATCAACTATTTACATTCAACTCTTGTCAACAAGTGAAAAAGTATCAACATCAACCAGTGTTTCCTTTATCAGTGAGAGTTTCAATTATCTTACCAATTGTGATCTAATTGTTATTTCTTTGGTCATTCATCTAATCTTATTTTCGCTTTTTTCAATCTTCGAATTTTAATTGTCCAAAGGTGTGGTTATTTTCTCTTTCGTTTTTGTTTCTTTTCGATACTAATCTTTCAAGTTCAACACTTTGACCGTCAAATTAACTTGATTGCTTCGATTTCCTTTTAATCAATTCCAATCTCTAATCAAATTGCTTACTTTATTTACCACTAACCACACCTTTACCATTTGACCTCATCTCTACTCTAATTGTTGATCTTTTAGTGTCTAGAAACATGACAGTTTTTCCTTGTGGTCATTTTCTAATTTTCATCAATCAATTTCCATTGGATTAATTGTATTTCATTTCTTCCTCTCTTTCTCGCTCTTTGGTATTGAGTTTTAATCGCAATTTATTTGTTTGTTTGTTTTTCCTTTTCTACAATTAGACAGTTACAATTGTCAAACATATTAAATTTGTTAATCTAGTGGAATAATCTTCCAATTAGATTTGAAATTTAATTCTTCAATCTTAATCTTTTTCTCTTTCTCATTCTTCCTAATATTTACATTTAGCTTGTTTTTAATTCCATTTGGATGGATTACTAAATAATGGGCCGGAAAAGGACGAACCCGAATCTCAATTACGTCTAAATTAAATCAAGGGTCGAGATTTTTTCTGTATGATAAAATGTAGTTACTTGTTAAGCTTTAATATACAATTTTAATTAACCATTATAATCAAAATGTCCGCTGAAGATGGTGTACAAGATTTAACTGCTCTATCAAACATTGATGAGCATGGAATCAACACAAATCTTCGTGTTAGATATAAAAATGATAAAATATATGTAAGTTTGTATTCTATTCTAAATTTCCATTAATTCTAATTGTCATATTTATTTCTCTATCTCTTGATCACATTTTCCTCTATCTTTCTAGACTTATACTGGAACCATCTTAGTAGCTGTAAATCCATATAAAGAACTGCCCATTTACGAAACTGTAAGTTGATCTCTTGTGTTTATAATTTGATAATAAATATTGTTTGTTGTTCCTCAAACAATATTAATATAATTAAGATTGATGCTTTTTTCTAGTTTCAACCTAAAATATTAATATTCTGATCTTATCTTTTCAATCATATTAATCATTTTTCATAGGATTGGGTGTTTCTTTATAATGGGCAAGGTCAAAAAATGTCAAGCCAAGAACCTCATATATTTGCTATTGCAGAAGCAGCTTACAGTAGTTTACAAACTGACAACACTAATCAAGCTTGTGTAATTAGTGGTGAATCGGGTGCTGGTAAAACTGAATCAACGAAATTTATTCTTCAATATTTGTGTACAATAACATCAAGTTCATCAACAATGATGGAACATCAAATTCTTGAAGCTAATACGATTCTTGAAGCTTTTGGAAATGCTAAAACGGTTCGAAATGATAATTCCTCCCGTTTTGGTAAATTTATTCAAGTTTGTTTTGACCGTCGATGCCAAATAAAAGGATGTATAATCCAAGATTACCTGTTAGAACAATCGAGATTAAATTTCCAATCAAAAGGTGAAAGAAACTACCACGTCTTCTATCAGCTGGTCGCCGCTGCAGCAAATAATCATGAGATACGAAACCAATTTCTAGTCGAGAAAGCAGAAAATTATGCTTACTTAAGTCAAAGTGGTTGTTATCGGATCGATGGGGTTGATGATAATGCGGCTTTTGAATCATTACGATTGGCAATGTCGGTGCTTTATATGCCCACCGAAATGTGTGATGGCATTTTCTCGGTGCTCAGTGCAATCCTTTGGTTGGGAAATATAATGTTCGAGGATTATCAAGACGGTGAAAGGTGTAAATTAAAAGCAGAGGATGAAGAGATTCTCGCAACTGTAGCGACTCTTCTTGGACTGGACGCTGTTCGTCTTACACAGGCTACTCTTCAACGGCAGATTAATGTTCGTGGCAATATAACAGAGATACCATTCAAGGTACATGAGGCGAGAGAGAATCGTCATGCTATGGCGAAAGCTCTTTACTCGCGAACATTTTCCTGGATAGTAAATTACATTAATACTTGTACAGCTCCAGGAAAAGATAGTCAGACAAGATTTTTGGGAGTACTTGATATCTTTGGATTCGAAAACTTCGCTACCAACAGTTTCGAGCAATTATGCATTAATTATGCAAACGAAAAACTTCACCGATTCTTCAATCATTATGTGTTTGCTTTAGAACAAGAAATGGTAAATTGATTAACACTTAGAATCTATTTCTATTTCATTTCTCTTTCAATTCTGTTCTTATTTTTCAGTATCGACAAGAGGGAATTAACTTTTCACACATAAACTTCACCGATAATACTCCTTGTCTAGAATTATTGGAAAAACCTCCTAAATGTATTTTCCGTCTTTTAACGGAAGAGTGTCGAGTACCAAAAGGAAGTGATACCAGTTATGTAAATAAATTACACTCCGAATTTGAATCGCATCCTTGTTACGTTCGTGGGGATGATCGTCGCAATTGGAGTCAACAATTTGGAATCAAACATTACGCTGGTCAAGTTATCTACAAAGTCGACGGATTTTTGGACAAAAGTAAAGATGTGCAACAAGATCAACTTTTTGACCTCATGTCAGGATCAAAAAATGTTTTCATCAAAGATTTGGTCCAATTCCAGGTAAGATAAATGAAAATACTATTCAACCATTTTGTCCAAACAGTAAGCTCTAAAAAAGTGATTTGAACACGTTAGAATACAAGAAAAGTCAATTTTTCACCTCTAATTATAGTTTAGAACACAATTTGATTGAAGATGTTTTAAATTTCAAATGACTTTGATACAATAACAAACAATTGGTGAGATATTTAAATGTTTCATTATCAAATTGAAATGAAATGTTGCTTGTCAATCATGTTACTATTTACCAAAAGATTTAAAGTAATCACTTTAAAAAACATGAAATTGACCTTCTTTCAATGTAAGTGTCTCTCTTACATGTAATTTAGGAAAAGTGAAAATCTCAACCATTACAAGCTCCCAAGTTGGACGTTAATGATGATTACGTTTTATTTGGCAACTATTATGTAGTAATAATGGCTATTTAAGATTACGTACATAATAGTTATTCTTGTTATTATAAATATTTGAAGAATTTACTTTTTCTCTAGTTGTAATAATAATCGTTAGCATTATTTTTTATTTCTCAAGCATTGACCTAAAAATAGTCTTGTTTTCTGTTCAACATTAACATCATGAAACTGAATTTACTTATTGTTTGATTCTAGGATTTAATTGGTATATCAACATCAAGAATAGGACCTGGTGGATCAACTTTACCTCGTCCATGTAGTGCTCAAAATTCAACGACCTCTAAAGGTCGACCAACTGTAGCTGATGCCTTTCGATTACAATTAACTGCATTAGTTGATGTACTTCATTCAACTAATCCATGGTATGTTCGTTGTATTAAACCAAATATGAAAAAATCAGCTGATTGTTATGATAGTGAGCAAGTTTTAACGCAACTTCAATACCTTGGGATGTTGGATATCATAAGGATAAGACGTGAGGGTTACCCGATACATTTTACCTTCGAAGATTTTGTTACCAGATACAAATGTGTTCTGAAAAGAGTCAAGTTACATGGTGATAAATCTAAATTATGTGTTGATATATTGAAAGGATTATCTTTACCAGAAGATGAATGGCAGATTGGAATCAATAGAGTTTTCCTAAAAGCGATTGTATATGAGCTATTAGATGAACAGAGAACTTTAATTCTCAATCAAATGGCTGTAATTATTCAGTCAAATTGGAAAGGCTACAAATATTCTAAAGAATATTTAATCATGAGAAATTCAGCAATCACCATTCAACGTTACTTCCGTGGTCATCGGCAGTGTTTAGCTTTCATGAGAAAGAGACGAGCAGCGGTCACCATTCAATCCTATGTTCGTGGTATGTTTGACCGGGAGGTCGCTGCTGCTTTGAGACAAATGAAAAGAGTTGAAGCGGATATGAGGGAAAAGGAAATAGAAGAACAAGAGAGAAAAATTTTCGAGCAAAAGAAACTCAAAGAAAATGAATCAAATGTAAATCATAATAAACAATCATTTCCCAATGGAATCAATCAGTCCAATGATGGCGATGATAATAACAACAATAACAACAACAGGAACAACAATGAAATCAACAAAACTGATCTAGATGAATCTTTATTGTAAGTACAATTATAATCATCTTGTGTTATATTATCTTTATTTACCTAATTAGAATCAAAGTATCAATTTCAGGTTAATCTTATGGTGACTTGATTCACTATCTTATTGATTCATCTAATGAAATTATTGACAGTAGTTGTAGCAGTTAAGCGTTACAGTTATTTTGTTTTCATTCATTAACTACTTACCTCGATTAGTTAATAATTAGCTTAGTTATCATTGGTTCATTAACTAACTTTCCACGAGTTTGATACTTAACATGATGATTAGAAATTAAATTATCTTCTCCTTCTCTTTCCTGATCAATGCAGCAAATTATTGGAGGAACGTTATGGGTATAGTAGATTAATTCAAATTATTCCAATATAATTGATAAAATGATCGAAATCATTTCTTTTTCTTCCTGTTCATCATTCAATTCATGTTAGATGATCATGAATATCTTTTCCTATTAGTTAATGGAAAGTCTTTGCATCTTGTTGTTTGATATTCAAGCATTATTAAGATTATGACATTTACAGGAAAAGATTTGATGTTCACTCTCATCTTTTGATCATTGATTCAATTGTATTTTTTAGTTATTGTCTTGTTAATTTCCCTTGTTATGAATATGCATGAATAATTGACTCGATACATTTCATGATACCACTGAAATCATCCTGCTAATTGAGAGTTGACATCGTCATCGAAACTGAACAATTGGCTCTATGAAGCTTTTTTTCATCAATAACTTGACTAAACTTTTGACTTAATTGCTATTCCTTAAGTAACCTTATGAAACAGAAAGAAAATCACTCAAAAATTTGGGTTAATTAACATTTCATAGATTGATTATGAATTAAGATCTATTCAGTTAATTTTCACACTTTTTCATGAGAAAAATTCACCTCATCAACAGAAGAAACTGTTTTCATCAGCTTAACTTGTAAGCTTTTCCATTCAATTTCAGCTGAAACCTTTTTGATTGTTTAATCTTCAGATTAACTTAATTAAATACCACAGGATTATACACTTTATCAGATTATAAATAATATCATAAATAATCATCACTCAATTATTATTAATACTGTCTTCAAGTCCTTCCCGATGATTGGTGTTACTTTGACAAATGAATTTAGATCTCTTAGTTTTTTTAGCTTCTATCTTTGCCTATTGTTTATGACAATAGACTCGGTTGATCATATGTTGATCATATTATTGACCCTCAATAGAGTCAAGTTTCACTGTCTTGATGTTAATGACCATTGGTCATAATCATAACTCTTGATAAGGGCCAATCTTAAAACTACACATTGTCTTTTCAATACTGAACATTATTACTGTCATTTTTTGCTAAAAGTCACTCCCAGTTTTCACTATTATCAACTAACTCATCACTTTTTTTCCCATGGAACCTATTCACATGCTTCCGTTTTCACCATATTTATCAGAATCATCATACAGTTGAATAAGATAATACAGTTTCCCATCTCTCTCACATTGTTGTTTTTCCTTTTTTAATAAATAGCAAAGAATAATGTTATAAAAAGCCTCACGTATTATCATTCATTGAGCATCATCTCTTATTGATGTTATTGTTTTCTCTCTCTCTCTCTCTCTCTCTCTCTCTCTTTATATTTGATACGCAAGTTTCAGAATAGCATTTGATTAGCTACATGTTGAAGAGAAGCTTAAATGAAAATGATGATAATAAGAATGATAGAAATGGTTTACAGGGATGGGTTGAAAGAAGGAGTTGAAATGGGATAGAAGATGAAGATAAAAGAGAAGACAGAGAAATAGAAAGAGGGATAACATAGAGGTTCATCAATTGTAGGGCGTTGTCATCAATCGATATTCAATCTTACCTCAAATTTGTTATTACTATTATAAGGTTAGAGTAAAACACATAGACTAATTATTTGTTGTTCTTTCTGGTTTCTCCTTATAATAATATACTTGTAACAATATAAATAATGTAACTGGTTTACTCATAAATCACAATCAAGTTTGGTAGTACTTGATTGAATATCATTGTTGTAACAATGATTTTGTTTTGCTATTCGATTGATGAAATTTTCATATTTAAATTGACACTTTTAACTATTACAAGAAAATTGATTTATTTTCTTACTAAACCTAAAACTTTCCTTTTATGATTAATATTAATTGATCAGAAATTGTTAAGTTGATCAAGATATCTTGTCATGGTTTTGTTTACTTTGCTTTCATGAGCTTAATTCACCTAAAAGTTGTGATAATTTATGATTTTGATTGATTCACATTCTCCTCTTTTCCACTTCCTCTTCCTGTTCATCATTTCTCTTCCCTTCTCTTGAGGTCAATTTCCTTGATATCAAGTTTACCTAATTTGAGTATTAGGAAGCTTTATAATGATGAAATTATTAAGTAATTGGGTTAATACTTTCAATGATTTACCATGATGCTTTTCATTTATGACATTGCAACTTGAATAAAGTTCCCCTTGATGATACAGATCATACTTGATAGATTCTCTCTCTCTCTCTCTCAGATTAGGATGAGGATGTAAATGAACATTTGAATTTGGGTGATGATAGTGATAAATAAAAAGGTCTAAGCTAAATTCAGAATCGAGTCGACATTCTTCAAGATGAATTGTAACAATCAAATTGTGTATTAAATACGATTTTGGTTATTATATCAATGATCATCACAATATTACATCTCTAAGGTCTAGTCTTAGTAATCGGTGCTTAGAAATTATGACAATTTCATATTAAATCTTCATGGAAATTCAAGTAAAATGAAATTTACATCTTTATAATCAACATTTGTGGGATAAGGAAGTAAAAATTCTAGATCATAAATTGAGATAATTTCGAATTCGGCTGAATTTAGATGTTTTTATTGCTTTGAAATTAAATTGAGAATTAAATAATAACTGAGTGTACAAAAATTTACAAGAGCCTGGAGATGATTAAATTAATATTTTAATTAATAGTTTTGAAAGAGAAGACGAGACTGTTAGGAAAAGGTCTTAATTTTTGGCCCAATTGTCGTGTTTGTTTCTTGTTTCCATGAATCTTTATTATTCCAAGAATCTTTGTTATTCCATGAATCGTGATTCTGTCCGTGGTATGGACCATGTTGGTATTGGTTTTGATATTGGTTTCGGTGTTGGTTGTAATTGTTGTATTGGTTTGGGTATTGGTTTCCATTGTTCCATGAGCCAACATGATGACGACCATCATGATTGTAACCATCATGGTGATTGTAATGGTTTCCCTTGTTTCCTGAGATAATATTAGTGTAACTGTGACCAGAAGGATCAGCACCATTGTAAATGGCATCAGCAGAGTCGATTGAGTCAACAGATGGTTCGTTTGAGTCCAATTTAACTCGGAATCCACTTTTATCGGCAATATAGTTAACAGTTCGGTGACGACCATCGGCAAGTTTAAGTCCATATGAACCGTGGACATTACCCCAACCATCACCAGATTCTTGTCGGTAGTTGGATGATCCCCAAGGATCATTGATATCATAACCAAAATTGTATTTTCCACTCACATCTTGGTTTCGATAAATTTTACTCTGACCTCCGTCACCGTGATTTGTAGCACTAATTGTTGTAGAAAGAGCAACAAGAGCAAAGAAAAGAATAGCAACCAATTGATTCATTGTTTTAATAGAAAAGTTTTAAATGTTTTCGTTTAGTTGTTGTTGTTGTTGTTTTCGTTGTTGGTTTGGACAGTTGAATGATAATTTCTCGAAACTCCTTTCGTTTTATATAGTAGACGAAAAGCTCCGAAACTATTGTTGGTTATTTTAAAGTTTCTCTTTGGTGACAAAACTTTTACAGCTTTTAGCTATTCAAATCATGTAAATTATTTATTACTTTAACGAATCATGTGACAATTATCATGATGAACTTTTCTCGATCTTTTACCTTGATCTTATCTGAACTACCGTTTATTTTGTGTCTCAATCGTTCCTTATTCTCACTCGATTAGTATTTTAGATATTCTAAAATTGACATTTTCCACTTTTCGCCTACTATACAACCACATTTAATTTACTCGCGACGATAATGTAATCAATGAGAGATCAAGTTAACCCAAAGATATGATTATAATCAATGTCCTCTCATGTAACTGGTGATATCTTTTCAAATGGTCATCTGATTATATTTATCTTTTACTAATTATCAGTAACTGTGCGAGTAAATTAAAAACTGTTGCAAACTCATAAACATTTAAAACTTTTCTATTACAATTATGAATCAATTCGTTTCTATTCTTGTTACCATTTCTACAAAATCATTTTCTCTCTTTCCATAGAATTTCAAATTTTCTCTTCCAATTCATTTAATCGTCTTAAGTTTCAATTCTTTCTTTTCTCCTCCTACTCTTATATTCCCTTATCATCCAGAGGACCAGATAGAGAGGATAAGAGACCTTCTCCATCACTCTATCTCTCTCTCTCTCTCTCTCTCTCTCTCTCTCTAAGTTATAAAATTATGCAATTAGTTAACTAATTAAAATCGTCATGATTAATTATTACCTACTTGTCATCAATTGAATTGTTACTGATCATCATGAGACAAACTAAACACTTTGAATGATCACACTGCATGTTGAGTGTTTATCAAATTTAAGATTATTAACCCTTAATCAATTGTTATTGATCAGCAACAATCATGATAATCATGCGATAGATATTAATACAATAGTAAATGATGAACCTTTACCGCCATACCTTGTATCTTTTACCTTGAAAAATCAATCAAGTTAATCGGAAATAACTTAATCATAACAAAATGATCAAGAATCAAGCACTACAACAATGAAATGAAACTATTAATATATTAAATTTAATTGTTGATAAACAAGTTTTTCCAATGTAAGAAAACTGGTAAAAACTGCTTGTCAAGTAACACCAATTATTAGAAAAAATTAACCATCAAATTAATCAACTAAATCATTTGCACGAGATCAATTTCACTTTTGAAGGTTGAGATTCTGTGGTGAAGGTAAAAAAACTCATATATTTTTTCAACTCTCTCAACATGAACTTAACATGAAGTTTGCTAATTTACATTTACTTAATCAACCCTTTTCTCTTGAATTTGTTGATTAAACCACAATCATCAACTACTTTGCACCCAACATTAAGATGATTATTATAATTCACCTTTGGTGATAATGTATAATTTCAATTCACTTAAATTATCTGCGGGATCTTGAACCACCATGGTTTGGATTATATTTTTCTTAAGTGATGATAATTAATCATCCAATTTACATATTTAAATTCAAAGTGTTAAACTAATAAGATCCACTGTTGGTGATCACCATGTTTACCTCTAATCTTAATGGGATTTAGGAATTGTAGTTGTTAATTATGAATTGGTTTCTCATCTTGTTTCCGTTTTTTTCAATATTACCAACACGATGAATATTTACACGATTACTATTAACTTAATTGTGATGATGATTCCATTGATTAAATGTATAACCATTGAGTATAAGTTATGATTTCACAATTTTCCTCCTTCATCATTAAAACTCAAATGGTTAGATATTCATAGTCATAATTACGTTGATTGTTTCATCCCGATTAAAATCACAATTAGTATATCAACACTTTCTCAACACTCTCTTACCATTATCCTTTTCAATCCTTACCGTTAATTATTATTAATGTTTAATTTTTTCATATCCTCTTGTTGTTGAAAGATTATGTTTGTTAATTGTTTTCATTTATTTCTTTATACTAATTATTTAATCAATATGGTTTTCGATGTTTATTTGATTGGATTGAATTGATGCACGTGTTAGTTTGCATTTAATCAATGAATTGAAAAACTATCCCGTTTATCTTGTGCTTGATTATAATTCATTAATGTGCTAGAATTTATTTATAATTGATTATGCTAATTATTGTAATCTAATCTGTTTATTTTTTTGTGAATTGATTAAATCTCTAGATTGGCACAAACTGAGATTGAAAATATCACTCAAATGATGGAGCAAAGTGGTTTACTTAACAAAAATTTATCTAATGATTATTCATCAATTGGATCAGCGATCTCGACTGGTACTTTGGGGTCAAATGGTTCTGAAAGTAATTACGTTGATTTGGACAAGATGTTTGCATTTTTAACGGAATTAACTGAACGAGATGGTAAAGCAAGTGCTGAAGAGATAAATCGACAGTTTGATAAATTGATCGAAAATGCGGAAGCTCATATAACGGAACTTGAAAATCTAAAGATAGACAAAGGAAGTGATTTACCTCCACCACCTCCTATTCCACCGCCACCACCGCCCATTCCAGCAAGTTTCAATCAATTTGAACCCCCACCACCTCCTCCGCCTCCACCGCCAATGAGTACAATACCTAAACCAACCCAAGAAGTTGCACCAACATCAATTAACGGTTTTCCTCTTGACAAAAGTCAACCAGTTGATGATCAGCAAATTTATGCCCCATTGCCCAACGGAATACCTTTAGGCTATCCCAAAGACCCTAATGGGTATCCTAATATGAACGGAGTTTTAACCAGAAAGGATCAACTTACTCAACAACAATCTTCACCTTTCCATCACCAACAACATCAATTACAATCACAACAATCTATTAACGATATAAACAACGACCTTCAACCAAATATGGAAGAACGAAGGAAACAACGTGTTGATAGGAAGTTGATGCAATTACAGGAAGAACAACAATTAAAGGCAATTGAACGTGGCAGAGCCTCTGCTGATATGGAAGGTAATGATGTGGAAAACAATCGAGCTTTCGAAATGCTGGAATTTGCCAATAAATACTTTAATTCTCACACTCGAGACTCTACTTATGGTTCATCTGTAATGCGAACTTTAACCCGTCGTAAGAAAGTTGAGTCTGATTACGAAGTATTAAACAAAGGAGAGATGTTAACATGGAATCCAATGAATAGCATTCCAACCAGTCATATACATATGCATGATCCAGAAAACGCCATTTTAGCTTGTACATTGTTCAAAGAGATTCATAAATATCTTTCTCAAGATTTAAAAAGTGAATCAGAAATCAAATTAATCCAATCGATTGTAGTTAAAGGTATAGAAAGGGAGGAACTTCGTGATGAGATCTTCGTACAATTGGTTCGTCAATCGACTAACAATCCATCTCGAGAGGAAACTCTAAAAGCTTGGGTACTTCTTGGTCTAACAAGTGCCGCTTTCCAACCGGGTAAAATTTTCTCTAAATATTTTTATTCCTTTTTACGAAAATATCTTCGCAAAGATGCCGCTATTTCGTGTTATGCTCAATTTTGTTTGGATAATCTTCATCCAAAGAATTCGGTTCAAACTTCCCGTCGAATGCCTCCTTCTAGTCTCGAGATTAACGCTGTTAAAAGTTTATCTTCTCTTGTTTGTCGATTTCATTTTCTTGATGGTAGAGTAAAAGCTATCGATTTACACCCTTGTTATACCGCTGCCGATGCGATGATGCATTTGGCAGGTAAAATTGGACTCAAAAATCTTGACGGTTGGGCCATTTATGAGCAAACTCCTGAATACGAAAAGGTTTGTTCAATAATTTAATCTCTTTCAACTTACGTTTAATTAATTGTGATATTTTCTTTTTTTAAATGATCAACAGGTTATTCGAAGCTTCGATTACATCGCCGACATTTTATCTCAATGGGAATCAAATCAAAAGAATTCAATTTATGGCTCTAAATATGGAAGTATTGGAAAAGGTTCATCGCTTTCTTCTAGAAGCGATTATCGATTCGTTTTCAAGAAAAGATTAATTCGAAATACTCGAGAAATTCCTCATGATCCAGTTGAAGTTAATCTATTATACGCTCAGGCTGTTCATAGTGTCGTTAAGAAAGATGAATTCCCGGTCTCTGAACGGATCGCATTGCAATTAGCTGGTCTACAAGCGCAAATATCATTGGGCGATTTTCAAGAGCGTCAAAGTATCGATAAATATGAAGACATTGATTATTATCTTTGCTCTAGAATTCGTAAAGCATATCCCAATCGAAGTAACAAAGAATGGTCTGCAAAAATATTGGAAAGTCATCAACGGTACGGTAAAGGTAAACCCGATTTAATTGCCAAAGTTTGGTACTTATCGGTTGTCATGCAATATCCATTGTATGGGGCAGCTTTGTTCCCGGTATCATACAAAGGTTACCTTTCCTATGGACATAATTTATTACTTGGTGTTAACAGTCAAGGTATTTTACTTGTCAATCCAACGGAAAAATCAATCATGAAGGCTTATCTTTACTCTAATATTGAATCAATGAGTGTTTATCAGGGTCAAGATAATTTCATCACATTCCAATTATCATCTAAATTATCTGAGACTCATAAATTTTTTACTTTTGAGACAAAACAAAAAGATGAAATTGCAGCTCTTGTCACCAGTTATTGTCCATCTTTAAGTTCCTGGTTAAGAAAAGGAGGTAATTTCGTCCATAATAATAATAATCGTCAAATTGTGGAAACAAAGAACCAAATTAACAGCTCCAATACAAATCATGTTCCTACTCGTCGTTTGCTGAAAATGTCCTTAGAAGATCGTATGAAATATCATCAAGAAGTGATGAATAGTCGAAAGGTTCTTATCGATTCGGGTATCCTTCGAAAATCTATTGAAGGTAACCTTGGTTTCGTTCGGAATACATTGAGAAAACTAAATAAAGTTCGAATGGACAAGATTAAGATGGAATTTGGAGGTGAATTCGAAGCTGAATGTTTCAAACATTATCCACACTCTTTTTGGGCTTATTCTAAATCGACCCTTCAGAATAGTATTTTAGTCATTTCAGATCCTGATCTGGAATCGACATCAATTAACAACTTCAACGCGATCCTTACATATTCTGGTCACTCGTTTGCTCAAGATGCTTTATCATCAAGTAATCTTCCTTCTGAGGAAGAGAATGGTAATCAACAATCAAATGATGAAAATGAATGGCTTCGAGTAAAAGAGAAAGATCATATTCGATTAGCTCAATCGATAATTGATCGGTGTACCCGCAAAGATGCATCCGATATATTTAAGAATGAATTTTTCCTTCAATTGATTAAACAAACAACTGATCATCCAGATCCAAATAGTAAAGTAAATATCCGCCATTGGCAGTTATTGGTGCTCGCCTGTAGTATAACTTACCCAACCGATAGACGGATATTAAGTTACTTACACGCTCACTTGCGGAAACGTTCATTGGACGAAGTGACCGAGGAGGGAAAATTTGCTCAATTTGCATTGAAAAATCTTCAAGGAACTTTGGAAACAAGAGGACGAAAAATAACTCCCTCTCGATTGGAAATTTTAAGTACAATTGAATGTCGACGTATTTATGCTCGAATTCATTTTCTCGATGGCCAATTCCAAGCAGTTGAATTCGATGCTTGTGCAACCATATCGGAAGTAATTGAACAAATACAAATTAAAATTGGTCTTCGACCCAATTGTCCTGGTTACGCTCTTTACCAAAGTCTTGGTGGCACAAGTGAACAGGCCTTGCAACCCGAAGAAAAGGTCGGCGATGCAATCGCCTTCTGGGAACGTTGGCATGAAGATCAAGGGAAACTTATTCCTCGCAAGACTCAACATTTCTTCGTATTTAAAAAACATCTTTTCCTCGATTCGTACATTGATCTGAAAGATCCTGTAGAAAAAGAACTGCTCTTCCATCAAGTTGTCCATAATATAAGACACGATCGTTTCCCAATAACTGAACAAGAAGCTATTATGCTATGTGCTCTCAAAGCTCAACTGGAATTGGGTGATTTCGATGATAATCTTGCCGATTATCGTCAAAATATTCCCCGTTGTCTTCCACCTCGCCTTCTTTTACAAATATCTCCCGAAGCTGTTGTAACTCAACACCAAACAATGAAAGGAATGGATGCAGAAACCGCTAAACAATCATTCTTTAATCTAATCCAGTCATGGCCTCTTCACAGAGCGACCCTTTTTGAGGTCACTCAAACATATACCTCATCATGGCCTCGAAGTCTATGGTTGGCCATAGATCAAACTGGAATGCATTTACTTGAACTGAAAACTAGGGTAAGATTACTATTCAAATTACGATATAATTATTGATTCTAATTGATTATCTTTCTTTCCCATTAATCACCAGAATGTATTAACAAGCTGTGACTATCTACACATGGTTGATTATACTCCATCAGCAAACAGTTTAATGATTGTTGCAATGGGCAAAAAATATATCTTCTTAACACAACAGGTAAGTTAATTTAAAAAGAAATGAATTTTTCCAACAAACTGATTGATCAATTTTCCATCGCTCATTCGTTTTCTCTTCAGGCCTTGCAAATTGCTCAAATAATTCGTGACTACACCACAGTAATCGCCAAAGAACGAGGTGTTGGTCGTCGTAAATCCGTTGAGTTTGATTTGGCACCTAAATCACAGAAATGTAATCCACCTCTACCTCCTCCACGACCTTCGCTACAACAAAGGCAACAAATTGTCGAGCAACAAAGTTTATACGCAAATCATAATCAAAATCAGAATAATTATACTACTTACACTTCGCATCAGCAACTTCAACAACAACAACAGCAACACCAAAATCTACTTCAAATGCATTTACAAGCACAAGGATCAAATATTGTCCACCAACATCATCGTCCTAATCATCCCCAATTTCACCCAAATCCTCAATTCCAACCAACCCATCGTCGATCTCGACCTTTGAGTATACTCTATAAACCACCTCCCGTAATCATGACGGAAGCTGAACAAGTTTAACCCGAAATCCAGTTAATGAGAAAACAAAAAAATCTCTTCTGTTTTATTGGAAATATTATAATATTTAACGAAACAAAAACAAAAGCGAAAAGAAAAAAAAGAAAAGCAAAGAAAAATTTCATTATCTTCTTGATCTCTAATCATCAACCCATAAGCAATCTAATTAAGATGACCCTTTCTCCCTGATCCTTGACCCTCATTCATAGCTTAGCTTTTAATATTGACTCAATGTAACAAGTTTTGCTTTTATAAATACACTCACAAGAGTTGATAATCAATTCTAGTTGATTGGTTCATATTATTGTTTCTAATGTTTGTCACCTCGCAAGTCACTTACCTTTTAAATGATAATAAGTGACAACATCTGAATGAACATAGATGAGCCTCTTTTCATTGTCTTTTAGCCCTTTAAACATTTTCTTGCTCAAGTTAATCGTATTTCTTTTGATGGTCTGATTGTCGTGAAAAAGTAAACATAATCACAATCATTTCCACCATTGCAATCAAATGATCATCCAAATTATGTAAACTTTGTTGTGAATGATTATCCAATTAAACTTTTTCCTTATGGATCACGTTCATCTTAACCTCTTGCTCGTTAAATTTTACGACTGTACAAGTTGTTTAATTAGTCAATCTCATTTGGTTGAGCAAGAAAATCGGGTAAACAATCAGTTTGATTACACATACAATTTGAATTGCGAAAATTGACTAGAGATGGAAAATCTTTACAATCTCAATGATCTGGTTATCATCTTTTTTTACTTTCATCATCATAACTTGATTGTTTCAGCGTCTTACAATCAAGCTTTAATTATCGTCATACTATTAGTTGTCTTGAACAATCAAGGAAAGTTCATTTTTTCATGAAACTTAGCGACTGCTGATGGATTATTTTTGGTGACACTATTTGATTGTTTATTTTGATTCAATTCAGTGATTCTAAAAGTTATTTGCTAATCGTTTTCACAATTCGACTTGGATTTCAATTCAACGCAACAATTTGATGTAATGTTGAATTTGCATCGATTATATTCAATCTAATATCGACTCATTGGTCGATATATAAAATTATTTAGAACGAGGAAACATGAACATGGGTCACAATTAATGATTTTATTAATACTTGCATGCTTTTCCAATTATGCCTTAATCAATGATTTTATCAATTTGTACACCAAAATTATAAGTAAATTAGAACGAGTCAGTGTAAAAGTTGGCGATTTAGCCATTTGATTTGGCCTTACTACTGAGTGAAATCATAGCAAATCATTATCATCAAATCTAATCCCACTCTATGTGTTTGCATAAATGATCAAGAAAATGAATTAATCAACAAAAAATGAACTTTTCATGAACAGTTCAGTTAGCGCCATCTATCAGATGATTAACTATGTAAACTCAAGTGTTTGTTTTCAATTTAATCTAATTTGACAAAGTTCATTTACAACATTGTATCTTCAACGATTAATAAATTGTGTGTAAAAAATTGAGAAATAAATGAAGATAAATGAGAAATAATCTTATTATCATTGAGCTAATATTAGATTGTAAAACGTTTTGATTAAGATACAATGTAATTACTGCTGTGAATAATTAAGATAACAATTAATTGACAATATGGATACAATCATATAACAAATTATTATTAAAACAATTTAACAATCCAATCTTATTCTTGATATGAATATTATTAATACTTACAAAACTACCTACAGTTGCATCTTATTGATTAACTTAGCCCAATGATAAAAAAACATTGAAAAGATTATTTTAAAGCCGTTCAAAAGAGTCGATGAGAAAAAAAAATTTAGGACATTTCTGCCGTTAATTTCGGCCAGGAAGAAGATTTCCAAATCTTGATTAATCTAATGATTTAAAAGTAAAAGACTCTAATTTTTGATGATTAAAAACAATTCAAAAATTCTCAAGAATAAGTGAATTCTGTGTAATTCAATGTTTAATATTAATTTGATTTTTCGTGGAAAACTTTCAGATGATCGTAATAGAAATTCTATAAAATAATAGAATTAATAAAATTAAAAGTCGATTGTCTGAAAAGAGAATAAAAAGAACATCGATGTATCGAAACAATCGATCCATTGGAGCCAAAAAAGTGAGAAAAGAAAATGAAACCACAACAAAATCCCCATTTCTCTCTCATTCTTTATCACCGTCATCTCATTTATTTACATTCAACTCTTGTCAACAAGTGAAAAGTATCAACATCAACCAGTGTTTCCTTTATCAATGAGAGTTTCAATTATCAGAATATAACGAATTTACTATCCAGGAAAATGTTCGCGAGTAAAGAGCTTTCGCCATAGCATGACGATTCTCTCTCGCCTCATGTACCTTGAATGGTATCTCTGTTATATTGCCACGAACATTAATCTGCCGTTGAAGAGTAGCCTGTGTAAGACGAACAGCGTCCAGTCCAAGAAGAGTCGCTACAGTTGCGAGAATCTCTTCATCCTCTGCTTTTAATTTACACCTTTCACCGTCTTGATAATCCTCGAACATTATATTTCCCAACCAAAGGATTGCACTGAGCACCGAGAAAATGCCATCACACATTTCGGTGGGCATATAAAGCACCGACATTGCCAATCGTAATGATTCAAAAGCCGCATTATCATCAACCCCATCGATCCGATAACAACCACTTTGACTTAAGTAAGCATAATTTTCTGCTTTCTCGACTAGAAATTGGTTTCGTATCTCATGATTATTTGCTGCAGCGGCGACCAGCTGATAGAAGACGTGGTAGTTTCTTTCACCTTTTGATTGGAAATTTAATCTCGATTGTTCTAACAGGTAATCTTGGATTATACATCCTTTTATTTGGCATCGACGGTCAAAACAAACTTGAATAAATTTACCAAAACGGGAGGAATTATCATTTCGAACCGTTTTAGCATTTCCAAAAGCTTCAAGAATCGTATTAGCTTCAAGAATTTGATGTTCCATCATTGTTGATGAACTTGATGTTATTGTACACAAATATTGAAGAATAAATTTCGAAAACTTCATTTTCGAGGAGGTTAAATAATTGATCTGAATGATTTTAAATCGTTACCCTTGGAAATCGCCTTGATTGTAACGATGAAATGTCAATCATTCTGATCGCAATATGTGTTGATAATCAGACTTGTTGCCTAATCGATTGTGCACAATCGTAATTTAATTTCCATGTTCACCTGAACCATTTTTTTCTTTCATTTGCTCTTTTCAATTAAAGTAAACTAGAGTTTTCGAATTTTTAAACTTTCATAATATTTCGAAGGCTCAGTTGAAATTCAATGAGAATTGAGACAAAACGTATTCACAAGAATAAGAGTAACATGGAAATGGATGTTTAATGTTTCTCGTTTGCTAACAGTTCGATTCTCGATTCTTTTTCTCGACTTTTTCGATTGGACCATTTTCTGGTTCTCGGGTTTCCTGGTACTCACAATATCCAAAGGAGAGAGAGTGGAAGGGGAGAAAGAAACGTTTGAATGGAGCGTGGGAAAGGAAGAGCAAAGAGAGAGAAGAGACAAAGAAGATGCATGAGAGGCTCTGTCTCCGTTTTCGCAATTTTAGTAAATAGAAGAGGAAGTGACGAAAGAGAGGGGACGAAGGAGATGGAATAACCTGTAGATAGAAAGAGACGAGAAGGCGAATCAACAGGCTTTTCATCTTCTCTTTCATTCTCTGGAAAGGAGGCATAAAAGTCTCTCTCTCTCTTTTCTCTTCCTTTCCCACGCTCCTTTCAAACGTTTCTTTTTCTCCTTCTACTCTCTTTCTCTCTCATTCTCTCTTTTTCTCTCCTCATCTTCATCTTATTCTGTGTTTGATTCTTCAAATGTCCTTCCTTTTACTCTCATCAAATTAATAATGGAAAATATGAATACAATTGAAGAGAGAAAAGAGAAAAGAGTTGATTGTTTTTCTTTTCATTTCTTCTAAAATTCTAATCAATGTAATTTTATTTTATTCTCTTCTTTGTTTTTATCTTCAGCTGATTTATTTCTCCCTGTGAATTTAATGTGTTACATGGATTAGCGATTAATAGTTAATATTGTTTTCCTGTTTTTCCTTTTCAATTGTTTCTTTTTCGTTGGCAATCATCATCATCATCATCATCTCTCTCTCTCTCTCTCTTAGTGACTCATTTTCTTTTTATTCCTCATCAATTTCAACTGTTTGTGCCATTTTATATTAACCACAAGTGATTGTTTTCTTTTCTTCTTGGAGCTTTTTCTCTTGTGTCTTGTCCATCTTATGGAAATTAAACTTACCTTACTGATCTTCTGATGTCTGACCAGTAACAGTAATTACCTTGTGCGTTTCTCGGAGGCTTTTTTACCTTTGCCATTTTACTTTTGTTGTCAATCATAATCAGCTTTCTCTTTCTCTTTATTTCTCTTCTCTCTTTCTCTCTCTCTTGATTTTCTCTTTATCTTGAGTTTCTATTCTATCTTCTTTTTATATGATATAAACTTGTTTTCTTTTCACTGTGGTGAACATCATCATCTTGCTCTTTCTCTATCTCTTATCCTCTGTCTTCGCCATTTTCTTTTTCATCTTGTTCTTATTTATGCTGTGAGAGATTCAATCTATTTTTAAGACAATTAACCAAAATGGCTTTCATCAATGTAGCTGAATGGAGTCCACAGAATGTTGTCAATTGGCTTCAAGGTGAGTTCTCAGAATAAATATTCAAGTGAATTATTGATTGTGTCCCATGAATTTCAAGTTAGAAAATCTCAACGTTTCTCTCTAATATTATTTTTTTTTCTTTCTAATTCTATCTTATGTCTAATCTCCTATTCTCTTGTTATTTTTCTCTTTTCTTCTCATTATTATTCTTTATTACTTAGGTTTGGAAGACTCAATTTTGCCTTATGTCGCATTTTTTTTGAACAATAATATTAATGGTTGTCGATTGCTGCTTCTCTCTTGTGATGATCTTGAGAATCTAAATGTAACCAAAGTTGGACATCAAGAGATTATTTTAGAAGCTGTTGAACATTTGAAACACTTACACTACAATTTTTGCTCCGAAACTTTGCAAATGCTTGCACTTCGTTTGGGATGTAAATCTCGTAGTTTGTACAATCTCTTGAAACAAGAGAAACCCGATGATTCTGGTTTTAGTAAATCAAGTGATCGTGTTACAACTAAAACACTTTCCGGTGTTTGTGACATTCTCACCTCAGTTAAACTGTTTGTCTCATGGATTGACAGGTATCCCTTTGGAGGCCATGAAGAGTATATTTCAATGAGAAGACGAATATGTAAATTGAGTATTGAATTGGCGTCAACGGCTCAACGTGATCAGTTTGTGGAAAAACCTAATGAAGTGATTAAAGAAAATTGTTGTACTTTCGCTGAAATGTGTGACAGAATTGTCCAGGAATTAAATGACCCACTTGCCATACAACCTGCTTCATTGGAAGTGATAACCATTAAGAAGAGGGCAGAGGAAGATGTTTTTTGGGGATTACACTTTTCGTCGACATTTTCTGGTATTCATATTGTGGAGAAAGTGGATCATGGATCACCGTTTCATCGCGGACGAATTGAAGAAGGCAGTGAAATTGTTCAAATTAATTATCAAACTGTCGTTGGTTGGCAATTGAAAAAGGTTTTCAACAGTGTTAAAGATTATTCAACGGAGATTACAATCACAATTAAGAAGAGACCTCGTCATAGCAATAATCAAATAACTGTATTGAAACCGTACAAAATTGTGAACCGTAAAGTAAAAGGTTCATCAAATCGTCTGAGAAATGCATCAACAGCAACCACCACTTCCCTTAATGGTAATTCTGACAACGATAGTGATCAAGATAGTCTAAAGGAGAGAAAAAGTCTTCCCAAAAGTCCAATTAGTCAGGTGATGCCCAGAAGGCCACGAGGTGTTGCCCGTCGTCGAGCAAGTATAAGTGGATCATCGCCGACAACTATAATTGCACCAGTGCGAATAGAGGATCTTTATGATCGTCGTGATATGATTCTGTCACGAACAGTTTCTCATGATGAGGGTAAACATCAATTTTCCCTGATGACAATTAAATCAAAACTTTCCCCCGGAACTTCTTGTGAAAGTTGCTGTTCAAATAGCAGTGGAAAATTTATTCCTCCCCACAAGTCTTCATCAACATCTCAAGTTCCTTATGCTAAAGTTCACCCGCTACTCAATCGAGAATCAAATTTTCATGGTACAATGAAACCTCCAAGTCCACACTATGTTAATCCAGCGCCAGCCTTACGTCCAAAGCAGCCACAAGTACCACCACCACCACCCTGTTCATCTCCTCCTTCATTATTATCTCATCAAAATCAACATTTATCTTCTCAAATTCAACAAAAACAAATCCATCAGTCAACAATCAAGTCAACTAAACAAATAGCACCATTAAATACTGAACTAGAAGATAATCCTGCATTTCATGAATATCAACCACCACCATCACCCAAACCAATCCCACCACCAACACCACCGATAATAAAACAAAGGATATTGGAAGCAAGAGCTCAATTGAATAATGTTACATTGCCTCGTCGAAAATCAGATGAAGATCGAGCAATCGAACTAGTTAACCGATTATCAACAGCAGCAACACTAAAACAAAATCAACAACAACAACAACAGGATCCACCATCACCATCACCATCACCACCCACACCACCACCTCCAACTGCACCAAGAAACTCAACTTCTCAAAGCATCTCCGCATTAATTAAACCTCAACCACCGCCACCACCAAGAGTAGTTGGAGTGGCTCGATCAATGCAAACCTTTGTTAAGGAACCAACGAAATCAAGACGATCACCGACCCTAAGTGATTCCAGTAGCAGCGATTACTCAAAATCAAGTAACAAAAGTGACACTGGTGAAGAAACTAAAGACAACGATAAACAAAAGACTAAACCAGTCGTTCCCCAGAAATCATTAAAAGTACAACAATTAATGGTACGAGGAACGTTTGTTGCCTAAATGCGAACAAATAATTTAAATTTACAATCAATCTTTTTGTTCTTGATATTTTATTTTTCTATTCACAGAATTAATTGTTCCCAAAACGTTGAACCTTGATTATCGCAATCAGTCACCAGGAAGTGTCTCTTTACAATATTAACGACCAACTAAAAAATCAATTTTCAATTGTATTTTTCCTTTAAGATGAACATCAACTCATTAGAGTTCTAATTATGTTTTTTTAATGATATTAAATCAACTGTAAATACTATTAGTTTCTTTCAAATATAAAGCAAAATAAACAAATTAGTCAATTTAAAGAAAATAAATATTTTATCGGCATGATTAGAATCAAGTATTTGGATCGATTAATTTCATTCATGATCCTCTTCGTGAACTAATTAATTAATTTAGAAAATTTTTCGATGACTTTAAATTTTAGAGTAAATGGTTAATCTTGGTGCGAATTAAGAAAAAGATTTGATGGAACATGAGAAAAAGAAATTAAAAAAGTAACAGTAGTTTATAAACTCGTTCGAAGTGTAATTGATTTTCACTGAGAAATTTGATGAAAAAGGGATAGTAAATATTAGAGATTCTTCCGTGTGATTATCATTTTCTGTTTGATTTATTTCGACTACGATGTTCAAGTTCAAGAGTCCAAACTCATCGCAATCGAATTTATCTTAATCGAGCACTTGAATAATTGTTTATTTGTGATTATAGTAAATCGTTTCTATCTGGACAATTCATTTCATCAGACTGATCTTTACAATTAGGATATTTGTCACAAACAAAATCGTTCGAAATACATCCCGATCGATCGGCACATGGAAATGTACCTTCAACACATCGAAGATCTGAATCAAGCCGATAGGATCTGTACATCTCAATGTTACAGTTCATTTCATCCTTTAAATTCAAGCAATCCTTTCGTTTGTCACATCGCCATTGTAATGGAATACATTGGTCACCACAATCAAATTGATTGTCTGCACATTTAGTTTTATCACAATTCTTTTCATCTGATCTGTCCCAACAATCTTCGACTCCATCACAAACTGAATTGACATGAATACATTTACGATTATCACATTTAAATTGATTCTTTGTACAGTTTTTAGCAGTTGGACAATTTTTCTCGTCAAGACCATTGTAACAATCGACAACACCATCACAATGCCACGAGCTTGGGATAAATAAACGTTGACAGTCAAAACTATTGGAATCAGTCAGTTTTGAACAGGTCTTCTCGTCTGATCGATCACCACAATCGTCTACACCATTACAATAAAGTGTTTTGTTTATGCACCGGTCATTTGCACATCGAAATTCATTTTCAGTGCAATCTATAAACTCACAATTCTTTTCATCTTCTCCATTAAGACAATCGACAATTTGATCGCATTTCCATCTTTTTGGAATACAAGTTTTCTTATCACAAGCAAACATATTTTCAGAACATCGTGAACAAAACTGTTCCCCTGATCGTTTACTACAATCGAAGATTTTGTCACAACTTTCTGATCTTGTTGTGAAAAGCATTTCACATGCCGAACATTTCTTTTCCATTAAAGATCCATTTTCTGGTTTGCTATTCGTGTATGTTGATAAATAATAAGCAGACATAATCGCACAATTATCCATACAATCAGATAACAAATTACTTCCGATCCTTATGTAATCAAGAGTCTCGCAAGTTTTTAATTCATAAATGTAATCATGAATTTTATCAAACGAAACTAAATCAAATAATGGTCCCATTTGTGTTGTCGTGGCTGTTGATCCATGAATGTAATCAAACGAAATTGATGAATAAACTCTCGTCGGTCCACAGTCCATACAGTAATCCGGAAATTCCGATGTAGTGGTCGCTGAAGATGAACTGGTTATCACTAGAAGCCTTGGTGTCAATATACTAACCGGCATGTCTTTATGGCGTTCGATTGGCCAAATGCCTAACGATGAAAAGGTCACTTCAATGATGCACAAAACAATAAGAAGCGAATAATAAATTTTATAAAAACTACTCTTTTTCATTATTGATCGACTCTAAAAACTTGTAATAAAATAAATGAGCTTTATGTAGGATGAATTCACTTTATTTTCTCACAATTAAATGGCAATTAAAGTGAAAATAATTGATGATCAACTAATTTTTGCTCCAATCGATTTATCAGTGATTATAATTATCTTTCCTTAATCAGTATAAAAACATTTATACTTGAAGTAAATAACAAACTTCGCATAAATCATCTGATAAATAATTTGTTGAAATTGTTTTTCTAAATCAGACTAGTTTACGTTTACATATTACGTAAAATATTACAATCAACACGTTACATTGAATAAGATTATGTATCATATCAATTTGCCCTTTCGCTGTCGGTTGATCTCACAAAATCTTAAATCAAAATAATGAGGTAAAAATGTTCATGGGAACTAATTCGTCAATTCAATTGCGTCTTCATGTGCGAATCGTGATGCGAGAGATGCATGAGGCTAACAGGCCAATTAAAATGAAGATCTCAGGGATGGAGCTCAAATCGACAATTTTCTGCGTCAGAATTATCTTTCCAGTTGGAGTACCAATGATACTCATAATTAGTTCAGTTAATACCAAAGAGATAAAAACTCTCTACTCTTCGGTATTAACTTTTTGGCTCCAATGGATCGATTGTATCGATACATCGATGCTCTTTTTATTCTTTTTTCAAACAATTGAATTTGATTTTTTTTCTATTGATACTGAAATTCTCTTAATTCTCTTAATTCTATTTTGAATCTTTTTTCTCTGTAATTTGGATAGTTGCAATTGATTCCGTTTATCTTGGTGCATCGTTTATGTCAACTTGATGATAGAAGTTACTTATGATTGTTTGATTGAGAAACAACGACAAGAAATTCTGTTACTAGAGTAACAGATATCCAATGGAGGGAATAAGAAAAAGTCAAATAAAACTGGCCCACGATCTGGTTCTCGGTCTGTCAAGAAACTTGGTTGACCCAAATTAGTACTGTCAATTCTGTCCAACAACAACAACAATCTTTCATTCATGAGAAAGTCAAACTAGAAGAGGAAGATCATTCGTCTGGTATAACATTGACACCAACTCATCATCTTCCAAACTCAAACTTTACTAACACTCAATACCAATCACCAGAACCACAATGAACAATACTAACAAATTGAATTCAGGGACTCAACATCAAAAGTCAATTACAAATCACTATTATTCGCAAGCAATTAAAGGAATTGAACGATAACTTCAATTCAGCTGATCTTCCGTTGCTGAGCAACCAACAGGTAATCCAAATTTCGTTACCCAAACACTTTTGTTACTTTTAAATTAAGAAATTTAATTTTTTGATCAACCCAAATTATGTAAGTATCTTTGGTAATCTTAATTAGCAAAACAAATTCTCTTTTCGTCTAATCGGATGAAATTTTCACCTTCTCTCTTTCTCTCTCTGCCTTTCTCTTTTTGCCTTTCTCTCTCTCTCTTTCTATATTCTATTCTGTCTTTTTTCTTCTCAGTTGATTCTCTTTCTTTTTCTCTTTCTATTTTCATTCCTTTTTTCTGGTTTTGAGCATCACTTTATCCTCCATTTTACATCTTCTTCTTTCTTTCTCTCTCTCTTTCTTTCTTTTCCTCTGTTTTCTTTTTCAGTTTTTCTATTTCCTCTCTTTCTCTCTTTCTCTTTCTTTATCTCTCACTCTTTTAAACATCTCTATGGGTTTCATTTGAATAGTCAAAAGCTCTTTGTAATTTAATCCATTCATTTATCTTTTAACCATCAAGAGAATTTTAATTTTTTCTAATTAACTTTCTAGGTAATTCCAAGTACCTGTTCCTGTTTTGCTTTGGTGTTTTTTGAATATGTGGCAAAAGTGTTACCCAAATGAAGAGGAAACAAACGATAACCCTGAAAATGTGAACTTTGTGGAGAACCAAATTTCTAATCAATTTCATAATTGTAATGGTGATAATTTTTTAACCCCATCAATTAAAATGGATTTTAACTCTAACAATTTAGGAAATGATAAAAATGGACCAACATGTGATAACCTTTATAACAATTTGATAGCCTCTGGTTTGGGTTGTGCATCTAGTCAAAAACATCATTCATCACATAGGAAACAAGTTAACCACAAAAATCACAATCACTTTAATAATTTACTTACTCACTTACCTGATTTCCAATCAACTGATTCAAAGTGTTTCCAACCAACTGATGATTTCCATGGAATCAATAAATTATTAATCACTTTCAATTGCAATGAACAGGTAAACTTGTCATTTGTTTTTCTTTTTTCTTATTAAACTTATTACCTTAAACACTTGAGATGGTGTTGAGTGGCTACTCTTAACTTATTAATTATTAATTCCTGACAATTTCTTCATTTCTACTTATAGAAAGTTAATCAGCGAAAAGAAATGATCAAAGATGAAACCCACTCCCATGGAAGAGAAGTTAATGTAAAATATTCCAAGCCAAGTGGTAAATCTTTTTATAATTCAACAACAACAACAAAATCTCTAATGGAATCAATCAATTGGAGAATCATTTTTTTTCTTCTTTCCTTAATTGTAAACTCCATAAGCTGTGATCGTGATATTTTAACATATACTGACCAATTTGTGCTTCACTTTGATGGGTCACCTGAAGCTGCAAAGGAAATCGCTTCCAAACATGGTTTCGTTTATCTGGACCAGATTTTTGATAATCATTATCACCTGAAACACACAATTAGGAGAAGACGCTCAATTAAACCAAGTCATAATTTTAGTGAAATTTCCGCCGAACCAAATGTTAACTTTTTACTTCATTTACCTGTGCTTTCAAGAACTAAACGTGATCTTATTAAAACAACCAATATACGTTCCACCGAGACAATCAATAAATTCAACGATCCAAATTGGTTACAAATGTGGTACTTAAATAGAGATAATGGTCTTGACATGAACGTGATTAAAGTTTGGGATCAAAATATAACTGGTCGTGGTGTTGTGGTTAGTATTTTAGACGATGGACTTGAAGGTGATCATCCTGATTTGAGTGAAAATTATGATCCAAAAGCAAGTTATGATGTTAACAATTCTGATGATGATCCAACTCCTCGTTATGATATAATTGATTCTAATCGTCACGGGACTCGGTGTGCTGGTGAAGTAGCTGCAATGGCTAATAATAATAACTGTGCCGTTGGTGTTGCCTATCATGCTAAAGTGGGTGGTGTTAGGATGTTGGACGGAGATGTGACCGATGCAGTTGAAGCCCGTTCGATTGGATTTGCAACCGATCATATTGATATATACTCTGCATCATGGGGACCAGATGACGATGGTAAAACTGTAGATGGACCTGGTGATTTAGCGGCTCGTGCATTTGTTGACGGGGTTACCAAAGGTCGTAATGGTCTAGGGTCTATCTATATTTGGGCTTCTGGGAATGGGGGTCGAGAGCATGATAACTGTAATTGCGATGGTTATACTAATTCAATATGGACACTTTCTGTTTCCAGTGCAACAGAAAATGGTCAAGTTCCCTGGTATAGTGAAGCTTGTTCATCAACTCTTGCAACTACCTACAGTAGTGGCTCAATTGGTGAGAAACAAATTGTAACCACCGATTTGCATCATAGTTGTACCATTAGTCACACTGGTACATCAGCATCCGCTCCGCTGGCCGCTGCAATTGCTGCACTCGCTCTTGAAGCAAATCGTAACCTCACTTGGCGGGATATGCAGCACATTGTTGCTATGACATCTCGACCCACAAACTTACGTGCCAGTGATTGGAAAACTAATGGTGTTGGTCGCAAAGTCAGTCATTCCTTTGGCTATGGATTAATGGATGCAGCAGCAATGGTTGACCTGGCCAAAGTTTGGGTCACCGTACCTGATCAAAAAATCTGTGAAATTGCTTCCAATCTCACCGACAAACTGATTCCCTCAAAAAGCTACGTTGAAATGTCTCTAAACGTTAACTGTCCTGAGGTTTTGTTTCTCGAACATGTACAATCAAGGATTAACCTTTCATCTACTCGTCGAGGTGACATTCATATCTATTTAACGTCCCCTGCGGGAACACGATCTACTTTACTTGAGCAAAGACCTATGGACAATTCACATTCCGGATTCCAAGATTGGCCCTTCATGACTGTTCACTCGTGGGGTGAAAATCCTAACGGTATTTGGAAACTTGAAGTTCATAATGACGGCAAATATCCTTACAGTGAGTTATTCACGAGAAAAAAAACAACAACCAAATTATTAATAATTAACCTTCTTCCTTTTTCCTTTGACGCAGATCGAGCATTTTTAAAAGGATGGACTATGGTGCTTCATGGTACAAAAATTAATCCAGATCGTCGGAAACGGGAAACCCAACCAACAAATAGTTCTATTCCAACTAATTCATCAACGCCAATTGTTGCTACTCAATTAAACATTATTTTGAATGGAACAAGAAAAACAATCAATCAACCTTTAAATGTCAATGGACTAGAATCATCAGTTGATGATAATTCAATCACCAATTTACATGATGATTCTAAAGGTGATTAATACAATTAGATTTCCAATACTTTTACTTTAATTCAGTTAATTTTCATCGTTTTATCTTATTTTTTTTTCTTCTTCAGCTGATATTTTTATCTCCCACTGGACACGAGAAAATGACCGTCCAAAAATCAAAGCAAATTCCCAAGATTCGTATCCAGGAAATTCTGGATGCAGGAATAAAGGTCACTCTGGGTGTTTAGGTTTGTGCCTTATCTTGGCTATAATTATGACCCTAATCTTATTTCCTGTTTGACAAGCGACGCAATAAACTTCCCTTATAACAAAAAATCAGGTTTACCAATAAACTAACTCAATAACCATCAATTCAATCAAATACATGAATGATAGTTAAACGAGTACAAATCGAAAGGAACAAAAATTAATCTAACAAAACTTAACTAACAATTAACTACTCGTCAATAACGAAACATGTGTATGCCAAAAAAACTTTTAGAACGAAAGAAAGTATTGATATGTACTAAATATCGATTCTTTAATTACAATTAATCTTGTAAATATTGTCATCAAATTTATCTTGTATCATAATACAGAAGAAAAAGAACTTAAATCAATTGAATCGTACAAACTTTCACTAATTTAGTTCTCCCTCCTTTTCTAATCAAACTAATTACTCGTGATTTCTTTGTTCGTCAATTGCCAAGAAATTAAGATGAGCTGATTTTCTTGATTGTATGTGAATGTTTAGCGTTTTAGGTTAATCACTACTAACCAATAATTAAATTTCGCAACAATTTAGCCCAGAAGATTCCCCCTGATATAACAAATAATTAATTACGGTAAGTCCAACAATCGACAAGTCGTAGTTTATACCATCACAATTTATTTTCTGTTGATTAGTTTTTGCTGATTTATTTTCATTTTTCATTGTAAATCGTCTTTGTAAATATTATTTATTTAATTGTCGTTTAATTTCATTTTTCCAATTGCTGCTCGTTGTTATCAATTTCACTCCTTGCCTATTGTTGTTTGCTCTTTGATCGTAATTTAAATATGAGATTAACTCCCTTTGAACGATCAATTTATATAATAATTTTCGCTAATCAATTGATTTTTTTTTCTTCTCTTTTTCTCTATTACAGATTGTTTTCCAAATTATATTCTATTCCAATCTGATTGTGTCTCTAATTGTCCATTCGGCTATTTTAAAGAATCAAAAATCTCACCGAACCATTCAAATGATCAATCATTCATCTGCGCTAATTGTTATTATAGTTGTTTAACTTGTAATGGTCCCAACGATATAAATTGTACTTCTTGTTATGGTGATTCAATTCTCAACGAACAAGGAAAATGTGAACAAAAAGATTTGAGAGATGAAATTTATTCACTGGAATTATATTATTCTGTTGTCACTGGAATCATTGTCTTCCTTTTTATTATCACTTTCTCATTCGCTTGCTATATAATAATTGAAAGAGTTCCAAATCTATTTAATTGCTGCTGTTGTTCTTGGTTTAACAAGCGAAAACCCACCCGATTCTATGATGGATTCATTCCCTCGGAGGAACCAAGATCTTCATCTAATTTTCTTCGTCTTAAATCAATTGGAAAATTGAAAAATAATTATTCGCATCTAAGTGAAGATGAGAACGAACGTTAAATTTACTTATTTATTTTTACAGAGAAATAATTTTCTAAATAGTTTTTTCTAATCAACAATCTTCAATCATCTTCATGTTATTCCAATGTAATTTCATCTCAAGACAATTATCATCTTCGATTGTAATTTATCAACTTCATCAATCTTCAAACACTTGAATACCTGATTAAATTGTTGGGATTTGCAAAAGATTGGGAAATGTCATTTTTAACAAGTTTTCTCAATGGAAACAAATCATTAGTAATAATCGTCATTATCATGCAATGATGAGATATTCTTAGTGAGCAACAAATTGAGTACATTGATTAACAAGCAATTAGGTCAAACTTCGTTTTAGATAACCGGATTTTCTTGCCAGCATTTCATAAGAGTGATGATAATTATGATGACGAAGACTAAATTGACCAACGAAATGTCCGATTCCAAACGGTTGCGACTTACGACGAACTTAACAAAAGGGTGAGATTCAAATTTGGAGAGTAATTTATTAATCTAATAGTAATTTGCATAGACAAGGAGCGTGTATGCAATCATAGAAGATTATGTGTGAGAATTTATTTTTTCGATACTGAAAAATAAGAACATAATTGAAAGCGAATTTAAAATGAAAGAGAAATGGAAAAGGAAAAGAAATAGATTATAAGTGTTTCGTTTGCCCTTGAAAACTGTTTGAGAAGAAAGTAACAAAAATATGAGAATTGGTGGTTGATTTATATTCAAAGTCAGGGCTCATTCTAATCTCTGAACAATTCATCGTAAATTTGTTCATTGAATTGCGATTTTTGAAAACTTTGGTCCTACTGAAAGAAACTCTGGACAGTGATACAACTAATCGATTTCAGTTCCTATGTATTACCTTATTCTACTCGGTGGAGTTTAACTTTTCGACCTCTTAATGCGTATACATCCGATAAGAATTACAAAGGTACCCCAATGATACTCATCCTGATCGTGCGAGCGTCGATGGAATTTCCCGTGATTTGGTCTCTTTGTACCAACAGAAAGAAATGGAACTTTCTCAACTAGAAGTTGATTTCGTATCTCATGATTATTTGCTGCAGCGGCGACTATCTGATAGAAAACGTGGTGATTTCTTTCACCCTTTGATTGGAAATTTAATCTCAATTGTTCTAACAGGTAATCTTGGATTAGTTATCCTTTTATTTGGGATCGATGGTCAAAAAAACTTGAATGAACACAGCGAAACGAGAGGAATTGCCATAGTTTTGAACTGTTTTATTAGCACTTCCAAAATCCTCAATGAGTCTCTTGGCATTTACGAAGCTTAGGAAATGATAATTTCTCAATGGAAACAAATGATAAACTGATAACTTTATTATCATGGTAATTAAATCAAACGGAAGAGCCTAAGGATGATGATAATGATGAGATATTCTTGGTGAGCATCAAATTGAGTACATTGATTAACAAGCAATTAGGTCAAACTTTAGTATATCTTTTTTTAGATAACCGGATTTTTTGCCCAACATTTCATAATATAAAGAGTGATGATAATTATCATGATGATTAAAGGTATTTTCCCGTTCAATGGATTAGGATTGATTTTGATTGTTGTGGATTTAATTTAATGACTGCTATAAAGGAGAGAGTTAATCTTTCATTATCTTTTATTGTAATGGTCAAATTAAACTTTCATTGTTTATCTTACTGGTGATCAGTGGTCATTTAGGTCAAATTGTTTATTAAATTTACAGTTAATTGTTGATTATCGTTGACGATTCTATTGTTATCTTTACAAATGATAATCGTGATCTTGTTCATCTTTATCATAATAATAATAATGATGATGGTTGATTAAATAATCTTTCCATTAATTGTTAACAGTGATTAATGAATTAAATTGAGATTCTGTTGATTATTGGTGATAATAACCAGCAGATTTTTACAATTGAAATTGATTCAATTACAACAAAAACAATGTTTAAACTTATTGATCAGTTAATCATCGTTGAAACAATTAATATCAATTTGACTATAGAGTTGAACTTTAGCCAACAATTAAACCAACAACAACAATAACATAATAAAAAATGAATTGAAATCTTTAAATAACATTCAACATGAAGAAACCTTAATTAAGGAAACTAATTTAGCCGAAAGCAATTTACCTTTTTTTTTGTTATGCTTCAGGTAAATTGCTACGAGTTGATTTTTTTACTGAATCTTTGTCTTCTCAATGATTGATTTAACAATTAAACACAAAATTTGAGGACACACACACACTTACATGATAACCAGAGTAAGAGAGTGACGGTGATGGTGGTAAAAAATAGGAGGTGAGGCTGTTGGGTGGGTGGATGGGTGATTCGGAATAATGGTGATGAGAAGCGAAAAAAAAATCAGAACTAAATTTGATTTTTTTCTGTTCGTTACAAGTTAAATTTAGAATTGATTGTGACTTTTTTTCCCTCTCTCGTCTTAACAACAATCTGTTATTTGATCAACTTGATTGGTTGATTACGATGATGATCATTTCGTTGATGTTGCATGAAATCGTCACATAAATAGCAACTACTGTTCGTTAATTGTTGCCACTACTAACACTGATTATCAGCAGGTATAAACAGTAAAAAAAAACAGCATCAATTTTAATTTACTGCCAACTGGGCAATTTAAAAATCACTGCCAACTAATTGTGACGATTAAGCTGACGAAATGTTTGATTGTAAAGGACACAAAGTGGATGACAGTAAAAAAGTAAAACTAATTCAGTTATAATCAATCAACTCTTGTTGATTAAGTAAATTATCTGCTCGTCGGTGGGATTAACTAATTGTTGCAATAAACTATTTCGTTAGTTACTTAACCGCCTTATCGTTGGTGGCGTGGGTTTTATACACTTCATTGCGGCCATTGCATTCATTGAATTTTTAGTTATTTTTCAATCATCATGATTAACTAATGTTCATTGCCATTAGTTTTTCATCATTATCATGATGATCATGATGATCATCAATCGATTACGCTCTGAATAAAGTAAATTATCATTGGTGTTTCAGTCTGTTGTTTTACCTTTCAAACAGAGTTGTTGATTTTTTATTATTATTCCAATTGTTTAATTCACTGTTTCAATTGATTTACCATTGATTGTTTAAGATAATCATGATTAGAATTTGGTTGAGCTTCTTAAAGGTTTTTTTCTTCTTCCTGTCTGATCTTCATTTACTAATCATGATTAACATTCAAACAATTGATTTAAATGTACAATCACCATTGCGATTAACATTGTGATCTTATTGTTGATGGTTAAATTGTTATTCTTGTTTGTTTCTTACTTAACAATTAAGGTTGATTGTTTGATATTAGGCCAATACTTGATTGTTGATTATCAAAATGGTTATGATAATTACTATTAGATGATGGTAATTAAGTGAAAAGTTATATTAAGTATTGATGGAAAGGTTAATTGTGATCTTGATTTGCTTTTCAAATGAAACAAGAATTCAGGAAGAGATAAACAATTTATATAAATTAGATCACTGATCCATTAATTAACATTAATCATGTTCCTTGATTTTTAGTTAAAAATAACATTAACAATTATATTCATAAAGCAATAGGTTAGTTAAATTGTCACAATTAAAAATTTAATAAACTTTTGACAATCAGTAACAATTTGGTTAACCAGAATTGTATTGATATTAGTTTTAAATTTTTTACAATGAAGAGTTTTTAATTTAATTAGCTGATGAACTGTTAACTGAATTTAAATTGTGCTCTAATTGATAGTAAATAATAAAAGATGATAACATGAATATTAATTGTGTGCCAAGTTGTGGTGATTAAGTTAATTGTGAACAAAAAAAACTTTTCAACTAAAGTTTATGAACAATTTTCTGAACATTGGATTTAATTATGATTAGATTAATTGAGTTAGTCAACTTTAAGAAATCAAGTTAACCTTTGAGATCTTTAACAATTAAACGTAATTATAATGAAAAAAAAAATACTACAGATAATTAACTAAATTAAATGAGTAAATTGGCTTCTGTTTATTTTGGTTAAACCAACAAAATCATTGTAATTACAATAAACTTTCAATAATAGTAATTATAGTAGTTTGTTGATTACTCGTCATAAGAATGAAAATGAAACATCATCAGGATATAATTTAGAAACAACAATTAATTGTTGATACTTGAAACAATTTAAATAATCTGATAAGATAATGATGACCTCCATCTTCAATTAACGCACCGATTTTTACTCAATGTTATTCAAATGAGTTTGGAGTTTGAAAATTCGGGATGAAGATGAAGATGAAGATGACGATAATGATGATGATGATGATGCCAAATTAAAGGTGGGGAAGATGAAGAAGGCCATCAACCTGAAGAGGCCAAAAAAATGTCGTAAATGAGTAAATTGTAAGTTCGATTGAAATATATAGAAAGAAACTATCAAAAGTAAAGGAGAATATCTTCCAAAAAAAGAAAAATGATCAATTCAAAAAGCCCGCAAGGCAAATTAGAAGTTAATAAGAAGACGAAAGAGAAAAAAAGAAAGAGAAATGAAGACAAGTCGAAGATGATGATGAAAAAAAAGAATGTATTTTGACTCGAAACTAGGCCAATTGTACGTAGTGAGCCCAAAATACAGTTTCGGGTTCTGTTGTGTTCATGTTGATTACCGGGGAATCAGAATTGGGTCTCTCTCTCTCTCTCTCTCATCCAGTTTCATACTCACTTGTACCCTCATTTCTCACTCTGGTTAACTCCTATCTGACATGATGTTTATCATCATCACAATCATCTTCTCTCCCACAATCCCTCGTCCTTCATCGTGACTCCTCCTGTTGGGTGGGTGAAGGGGCAAGTCTATTTATATATTTATCACCATTATCATTATTATAATAATGAGATAATAATAGTTGAAGCTCAATTCTAACCAGGTAAAAGCCTAAAATCCCCTTTAAACCAGTTTATCTTATATTGGGATGATATAAAAAAATGTTCTATTCTTACCTTTTATTTATAATTTGCTTCATCTTCTTGCGTTTCGTTTTTTAGATCACAATTAGTACTAACGAATGATGCTGATGATGATGTTCATTGAAGCTTTTAATCTCTCTCTCTCTCTCTCTCTCTCTTCTTTCTTTCTTCTGTCTTTTTGGGTGTATGGGGGTGAATTGAAGGGGAGGTGGATGATAACATGATGAGGGGGTTTTCTGTTTCCAGGTAAACCCCGCGCTCGGAGCTCGGTCAACATACAAAAGCTTAATATAGTTTACCCAATTTCTTCAATCGTAGTTAAACGTTCAACAACACTCATCTCTCATTCTCAAGAAAAACTTATTATTGGACATTCAACGATCTACAATTCCTATTCATCGATCATCTTTTAAAAAGTTTTCTTCTTTTTTTCTTCTTCATTCATCTTCAGTTTACTTTCAACGACAAAACTGTTCACATTCATTCAGAATGTTCGTCTACTGTTCAATCTTATCAGAACTTTATAAATGGAGAATAAGTTCTAAGTTCTTTCATTTTTGGCCATTCGAGAATATTTGGATTTTCTTATTAACATGACAAAAAATTTTCGATTTCATGGGTAAGAACTTTTTTCTTTTTTAATTTTCTACCTTTTTCTTTATTTCGTTTTCTTTCAGATTCTTTCTCTCTTATGGTTTACCTGCACTGGATTATCATGATTACCTTAGAATTCCCTATGATGAACAAATTGTTATCTACTTGTTATCATCTCGAACTACGAATCGATTTAATCCTAATCTGGATTAAGGGTAAAGTGCAAACGGATAAATATTCCACCGATACTCTTGATTATTTACCTTGAATCGGTGGGATTTTCGTCCGTCTGCAAGTTGCTCTGTTAAACTAATCATCTTTAACCAACAATCCTAATTAAACATCTTCATTTAAATGGATCATGGAGATTTCGTTTTCTCAATTCTAAATTGTGCCGTAACTTTGTATTCCAAAGAGACGAAAATGTGATCAAATCTTCGTCCAAATTGTCCAAATGCAACAGATGATAAAACTGTCCAACCACAAAAGACTGTACAGAGAATCAATTCAAATGTGACAATCATAATGTATTCATGTCGATTTAGTTTGTGACGGAATTGTAGATTGTCGGGATAAATCAGATGAAAAGAATTGTAAATCTAGCTGAATGTGAATATAATCAATTTGATGGCGATATTTGTATTCCTTTGGAGTTAAATTTGCTCAATGAAAGTTTTGTTCCAATGAACTAAATTGTATCACAAACATTTCCAGTTCTCGACGAAAAGGTTTAGTCTTGATTGACTGAAGGTACAACTTTATATGTACCATGATTTAGTTGTGACAAATATCCTAATTGTAAAGATCATTCTGATGAGAAAATTGTCAGTCGGCAATTATTTAGAAATTATTATTACCATTTGATTACAGTTCTGTATTTTATCCGAATAAATCATATTTGACATTTCGTCCAATACAAAGATTCAATAGATTCGATATTTTAATTACTCAACTAAATCTCGGATACTTCAGGTAAATATCTTTCTACTAACTCTTGCCTTCAGTTTTTTTTATATTTTTGTCATAGAATCACTGGTTATATGGATCGATAAGATCAAAATGTTCGGCTTTTTATGGAAGATTTTGGCCACTGATAAGGAGAATTTCCGTTTAGGTTGTTCTTTTCTTTACTTTTTTTAGTAAGAGAAAAAAAGAAAACTCATTCAAGAAAAACAGTCGAATAAAAATGAGAGAAAAAAAGGTGATAACAAAATGGCGTCAATATGAATTACATAAAATCTATTAATTACTCAGCTTGTTGCACGTATTTTCTAATCTTTCGTTGATTTAAAGTAATCACAATTTCAATTGGAATGAAAAGAAACTTCTCTCTTCCAAAGTGTCCATCATTTTTTCAGCTCAAGAGAGAAACAGTAAAAAGGAAAACCAGATTCTCACTAATCCAGATTGAATAAGGAAGCACCATCTATTGATCATGGAAACACTGATTCATTCCACTCATTTATCGATGAGAAAATAATTAAAAAGAAACAGAAAGAGAGATGAAGATGATCTTTATCATCATCTGATGGTCAATGGCTTCTTAAGCTCTTCAAGAGTTTCACTTGGGCCCAAAGACTCAAAGACTTACGTGTTTGTTTTGCTTTTCACTTTCCTGTTTTGTGATTTTTTTGTTTTGTTAATTGATTCCAATTGATTCTGATTAGTTGACCACAGTTTCTTCAATCCAATTGACTGATTGTTGAAACAAATTAAAGAGTATTAACTGTACATTAGTTTCTTTTTCTCACCCAATGTGGTTTCATGAAGAAAAGAAAAGACCAAGATTCGTAGGTTATTTTATTTTTTATCTTTAAATGAACACAACAAAATAGTAAAAAAATGATAGATGAGATAATCTTACATCTTGTTAGATTAATAAATTAATTGATTAATACTTTTAATTATTTTCTCAAAAAGCCGCGAATCTTAAGCCGAAAAGGTGAGCTTAAACTGAGCCTTTTTCTCACTTTTGGCTCCAATAGATCGATTGTATCGATACATCGATGAGCTTTTCTATTCTCTTTTCAGAAATTGAGACAATCAAATTTGTTTTCTTTTCTTCTACTTTTATATTTTGTAATTAACTTAATTTCTTTTATTTAAATTCTAAAATGTCTGAACATGATCGAACTGTCAACAATCTATCTAATAGAATGTCCATTTATCGTGATCACCACGAAGAAAAAGCGAAAAGATATTTAGGTGAGTATTTTCTTATTTCAATTCTTTGTTTTTTTCTCTCTTCCTTCTAATGGGTAAACTTTCAAATTTCACTTTGTTGATCTTTTGTTGATTGTTATTTTTGTCTATTTTTTTTCTTGAATTTCAACCCGATGATTTTGATGGATCGCTTATGTGTTTATCGTGGTTAATGTCTATTGGATTATATTAGCTACTCATAATTGTTTGCTTGAGAAACAACGACAAGAAACTCTGTTACTACAGCAACAGATATCCAATAAAGAGAGTAAGAAAAAGTCAAATAAAACTGGCCCAAGATCTGGTTCTCGGTCTGTCAAGAAACTTGGTACTGTCAATTCTGTCCAACAACAGCAATCTTTCATTCCTGAGAAGGTCAAGCTAGAAGAGGAAGATCGTTCGTCTGGTATAACATTGACACCAACTCATCATCTTCCAAACTCAAACTTTATCAACACACAATACCAATCACCAGAACCACAACAATGCCAACAGCAAATGACTAATGCCCATCACTCTCATCATCTTCAACCACAACAACTACCAATTCAACAACTAGAGCAATCTAATTCGCAACCTCTCCATTATCAGCAATTTCATAACTTCCATAATCAATATTCTCAATCTCATCAACATCCTAGTCCAGATTCTCAGTATAATCGATCACCACAACCACAACCACAGCCACAAACTCACCAGTTTCAAGCTCATCCCAATATTTATAATCATCATAATCATCATTATGCACAATCTCTCCAACCTCACCAATCTCATCAACTACATCATCCACAACAACAAACATCTCAACTACAACCGCAACATCATTTACAACAACATGTTCAACATGCAAATCCAGAGATCCAGTATCAAAAACCAATCAACCAAGGCAACTATTATTCACAAGAATTCAAGGAATTGAAAGACGAAGATCTTGCTTGTCTCGATAACTTCAATTCAGCTGAGCTTCCATTATCTGAATTTGCTCAAACATATGAGCAAGAAATTTTCTTAGATCCAAATTTTATCGAGAGATTTCTCGATAATATCTAAATCTACAGATCTGATTAAGATCTTAAATCTATATTATCGAAAAAAAGCAAAAATCTATCCTATCTTGACTTTTTTTCGCTCATTTCGTGATTTGATCTCCATCAATTAAGATTTAAAGACATCTAATATAAAGAGTCACATTGAAGATTATAAATAAAAACTTGAACCAAACAAATTGTGATTTATCAGAGTAACTATGCAAAGTTTTCAATCAACAAGATTACCATTGTTTGGATCGTAAACACTTTAATTAATGTTTCATCAACAAAAAAATATCAATTACCAATCAGAAATCAGAAATCGGACTCACTATTTATAAATATTCGTTTGAAGATAAATCAGAAAAACTTTTCTTTCTTCAAATCAGATTCCCTCTCTTCCCGCCGCCATTGCGTGAACACGTTCGAGAAAAGCGTGAACAAGACGGACCATGGACTTTTTTTGTTATTCAAAGAAAAATCCAATGTTAAGTGTTTTGTTTTTCTATTTGTCGGTAGCTGCGAGTGTCGGTTGTAAAGATTATCCCTCATCAAGAATTATAAATCAATCTCATCCGTATTCACATCATCATTTGTAAAATAGAATTGAATCTGCAAGTTGCTATTCTAATTGTTTAATTATTGTTCCAACAATGTGGCGATCGACTAAATTACCTTTTCTTTTTTGCTCTGTTTTATTTTCTTTGTTAATTGTCTCAATTAATTTCTCTACTTCATTCTCTGTACCTTATTCTCCTTTATCATGTCCATCAAATCAATACTCTTGTGGTGATTCTTGTATTCCTTTGAATCGGCCATGTTACCGATCTGCTGATTGTAAGACTCAATCCGATGAGAAAGATTGTCTACTCCTTAGTGAGTGTGATAAAAGCGAATTTCGATGTAATAACGATAAATGTATTAGTCGAAAATGGCGCTGTGACAAGAAAGATGATTGTGGTGATCTATCAGATGAAATAAACTGTACCTGCGATCAATTTTCCTGTGCTAATGGTATTTGTATTCCACATGCATGGAAATGTGATGGAATCAATGATTGTGAAGATAATTCTGATGAGAAATATTGTTAAGATGAAAATCACTATGAAAAAATCTTCTATCCTGATAAATCGTATATTTGACATTTCGTCCAATTCATTTATAAATTTGATATTCTGGTGGCTTTATTGTTATTTACAATAGTTGACAAAATTAGCAAATTTACTTCAGGTAATCAAATGATTAATAAACAAATTTTTCGACGATAATTTCTTGATTCGGTCAATTCATATTGACAGATCATTTATTTGTTTGTTGTTATTGAATAATCGGGACAATTTTAACACTCATTTAATCTAATTTGGATTAATAATCAACCATTATGATAAATTACATTCAAATTAGAAATTGATATTGATTGAACAACAAGTATCTCATCCATAGGAAATAAGACAATTAAATTAAACTTTGACAGGCCAGAACTCCGTTCAAAAAAGCGATTTTAAAACAAGTTAACTTATAAATTTTCCTGTGTGAACAAACACTGAATATCTCAAAAATATTTTTATCAGCTTTGGCCTTTTGATTGCCAGAATTCTGGCTGGCTGAAGTTCAATTTCGAACTTGGTGTAAAAGCAAACACTAAGAAACGAAAAGTCTAAATGTGTAGTCCATTTTTTTGTGCGACTCTTAGTTGACGAGTTATTCCGAAAACAAATATGTTTAATTAGTTAACTAACACCCTGTAGTTATATTGGTTGTTTATAAACGAAGCAAATTGTGATTTATCAGATTAATTATGCAAAGTTTGCAATTAATCACAAGTATATCTTGTTTTTACCATTTCGGATACTCAATAATTACTGTTTCATCAAATAAAAAGTCCATTGATAACTAATCATGAATTTTCAAAACACTTCAACTCATCAACTAATTGTAAGAAAATAAATACGAAAATTGTCATTTCTCAACATTTAACTGTTCACTTGATTTCGTTAAATATTAAATAGTTTCGATAATGACGAAGATCGACTTTAAATTTAATTGTTTATTTTTGATTATTTTGTGTATTATTCAAGTGACAAATGCTTATTACATATCAACTGGGCTAATCGATGAGTGAGTCCTCTTTGGTGCATTTTCACTGTATTTAATTTCCAATAGTTTGGTATCCATTTTACTGGGCACAAATCGATCTTTTTTTTGGATAACTTTTTTCGCTTGTTTTTTTTTGTTTTAAGATTTTCGGAGGAAATTGTTTGGAGGCGAAAAAAAATTTCGTGATTAGATTATGGGAGTCGATTTGTTACCCAGTATTTTATCGATAGGATCTACTATTAACTTATCCGGAAAAAAGGTTGGACTCAAATTTAATTTTAATTTATCTCGAAAACGGCTCGATAGATTTCAACGGTTTTTGTCTACTAATGGAAAACAGTCTCATTAATGTCCAGATGAAATTTCAAAGGATAAGATTGATTAGTGAACATGGATCAGAAAAGTTTGAAAATTTTTTTGGAAATTTTTTAATTGTGAATTATAAATAAGGAAGAAATAGTTACAAAGTTTCGTGAATTTGGTGTTACAACTTCAATTACTATAAAAATTATCTTCAGATAATTCATCATTAACCATCGGAAACTTAAATGATGAATCTATCGATTGATATTTTTTTTAAATTCTAACTTATTCCACTTTCTATAAATAAGAAATCAAAATTTGAGTCCAACCTTTTTTCAAAAGAGTTCATTTCTATGGGAAAATGAATGAATGTAGATGGAAACAAAGTTTCGACACGCTCTTACATTGTATATCGACCATTAATCGGCCAATTTCGCTATAAATAGTTTTAAAATGTTTAATGCAATTATATTTCATTCGAACAAAAATAAAACATTTAGGTGTTTTTAGTATAAATTTTAATCAACTATAACCTTCGCTAGATCTTTTCTCCATTTTAAGCCCAAAAATTGAATTCTCTTTAAAGGTTCGGTTAAATGGCGATGATCTGACTTATGCAGACATCTCTAAGTATTATAGTTTCGGAGATATTAGCCGTCGAAGTTCAAAGGCCACTCTTTCATTCGGGTAAAACTGTTGATCAAATGAAAAAAGTGCTCGATCCACGATGTTGGCTCATAACTAAAATAGTCTCTAACATATAAGTTTCAGATCATTCTTGACACTAGGGACTAAGCGTGGTCCATTTAAATACAACAGAACTATGACCGGAGAAATTTGGATATGTTTTTACTCAAACAAATCTAATTTTCTATAAGGGTATGAAAAGTTGCTGATAAAATAAAAATTTCATGATCTAAAAACTTATCGTTTGTGACCTGAAGTTTCAACTTCGAACTTGATTTTCTCGAAAACCACTGATCAGATCAGAAAAAGATAAACATATTTAGACTTTATATTTTTGTCCCTGCAAATACACAAAGTCTCAACTCTTAACTAAAAAGTCTAATTTTTTACAGACCGTCCATTCCAAAAAGCAATTACCGATGCTTTGCTAGATGTGATTATGGTTCATGCATTACACGGGATCAAAAGTGCGATGGAATCTCCGACTGTTATGATGGAAGTGATGAGCGTAATTGTGTATACAGGCCGAAAGCTAGTGATGGATCTTCAGTTTCCTGCGAACAATATTTTAAAATTTGCAACGACCTGACTGATTGTAAAAAGCTATCATTCAAAACGGTTTGTTCGAGATGTTCTGAAGATACTTTTTCTTGTAATAGCAAAATTTGTATTCCAAAGAATTGGAAATGTGATAAAATTGTCGATTGTCCTAATGGAGAAGACGAAAAGGACTGTAAACATAAAAATTGTACACCAACTGAATTTCAGTGTGGAAATGACCGATGTATTGACGAATCCCTTTATTGTAATGGAGTTGACGATTGTGGTGATCGATCAGATGAGAAGAGCTGTTCAAACAAAACTGCTTCCAATAACTTTAATTGTCGACGTTTGTATATCCCGAGTTCGTGGCATTGTGATGGTCTCGTCGATTGTTACAATGGTCTTGATGAGAAAAACTGTCCAACTATCCTAAACTGTACAGAGAATCAATTCAAATGTGACAATCGTAAATGCATTCATGTCGATTCAGTTTGTGATGGAATCGCAGATTGTTGGGACAGATCAGATGAAAATAATTGTGATCAAACTAAATGTTCATACAATCAATTTGATTGTGGGGATACTTGTATTCCTTTACAATGGAGGTGTGATTCCCAACCCGATTGTTCAAATAGTTCTGATGAACTAAATTGCCATCATTATATGTACAAATCTCTACGAAAAGATTCTAGTCTCAAATGTCCTGAGGGCACTTTTCCATGCGCCGATAAATCAGGTTGCATATCAATAGATTTACTCTGTGACAAACATCCTAATTGTAAAGATTATTCCGATGAGAAAAACTGTCTAGTTGCCAATTATAAGACAAGCGGGAAAAAACTTTCTTACGAAAGTTTTTTGGACTTGTTTGCCGGACCCGTGATTTGTTGAAATGGGAATCGTTTTTTAATCGAAAAATTCAAAACTAAATTTTTTTTTCTTTCTCACTACTCTCTTTCTCTTTCTCTCTTTTTCTCTCCTCTCTCTTTCTTTCTAGTCTCTCTCATCTCTTTCTCTGTCTGTTTTTCTTCCTCTTTCTTTTTGAAATGCGCGCTGTTTAGAAGCGCAACTGCGCATGCGTACAATAAAATCTTTGAGTCAGAATTTCTCATGAACGGCTACTCAGATTTTTTTCGTACTATTTTTCGCTACTGTAGTATTTTCCGCTCTATTTTTTGGTACCTCAACATCTCATAGAATCCTTTTATCTTGAGCACAATCTTTACCCAAAATTTGAGCTTATCTTATTCAAGTTTGTAGATGGGGCTTTTCTAGAAGGGAACTTCCCTTAGGGCCGGGAAAATCCTTTTCTAAGACCTAATCTCACGCAAAGACGATCTTTTGAATTCGTAGCTTAATTCGTATCAAAACGAAAGAGTTAAAATATTATCAAGTTGGTGTTGTTCTCAGACAATAGATGGCAGAACTTTCAATGTTATTTTTCCTCGAAAAATTTTCCCAATTAACTAAATTGTTGAATTAATAAATTGAAGTTCTTGGAAATTACTTGTCTCCAATAATAAACAATTTCGATAAATTTATTCCCAAAGGTAATCAAATGATTTATTAAAATGCTAAGAACAACTAATAGCCAGATTAGATTAATTAATCACTTTGATTAAAATCCTAATGATAATTAAAAGATTTGCTATCTAATCAATAATCAGAATCAATTAAACATAAATTGTTACATGTCTCTAGTTATAAATAACAATCAACTTTGAGAATACTTGATTATGTAACCATTTAGTTGTTTATCTTAATCAGAATCAAAATTGTTAAGTTAAAATTATCTCAACAATTTAAAATGATTGTTACATGAATCCAATAATTAAGATATAAACAATCAGTTAATTGTGTAAACTTATTGATGTGTTTTCATTTTCAAGGTTTGGAGTTAAATGATTTAAGGTTAAATCTATTGGTTAATTTAATTCAATTCAACGTCAAACAATTTAACATTTCCTTAAATTGAGACGAAAGTAAATTAGTTATTAACTTAATTCCTTGAAGCATTTTGTCCAATTGTGTTTATCCTGTTTTTTAATTTTCACAACAATTAAAATTAAAAAACAATTTGACCAATTTTACAATCAGTATCCATTAGGTAATCAAGGTTAATTGTGCCCAATTTAATTGTTGCGTCTTTGTTTTTACAACTATTGACGTAGATTAGTTAATTTGTACTCACTTGGGTTTTATCAAAATAATTTACATCACTAAATTGTTGATTAAAACTTTGATTGCCAACAGTTGTGTTAATATCTGCTATTGATGATTAACACAATTGTCACTAGCAATTGGTAAGAGTAAAATTTAAAACCATCAACTTATTTAAATAATCAGAGTTAATTAAACTCAGTTTGATTTAAATTAACATGAGTGTTTGTCGTATTGTAATTAATTAAATAGGACAAACTAAATTGCGTTGATCAAATTTTGTAAGAGCAATTGTCATTGTTGATGTGGGGCGAGCGTTAATTTGTAAATTAAACACACAATCATGTTGATTGTTTCAAATTAAATTAAACGGGTTAATTGGACGATTCCGTTGACTCCATTTGATGAATATCAGCAATTAAAGTTTCCAAGTGTAATCAATCAATCTTTTTACACTCTAATCAATATTAGAATTGAAAAATTAGTAAAAATTAGCAGATTAATTCTGGATCATTTCAAACGATTTCGAAGTAGATTAACTACTATTTAAGAAACTGTGGATTTTTAAGATCCGTTGTATAATTCAGTTAACTAAATTTCATATCTAATTAAACTTAATCAGCTTAATAATCATCAATAATCATTAAGATGTTGTTGACATGATGATCAACCTTGATTGAGTGTAAAGATAATCCATAAATTCATAGTCGGTAAAATGGAAACGTGAACAACGATAAATATTCACATGAAACGAGTAAATAATTCAGCTGATTAATATTATTGAAAATAATCAAGTTCATAGGAAACTGAAAGGTTATCTCTAGGCAACTGTAATTCCTTAATTGTATGCTAATTATCCTACAACACCAACAAAATTGATAATATAAATTACCAACTAAAATTGCGGAAGTGATACTGAAAAGTTTTTACGGGATTTTCACTACCTGACCAAATTTAACAGTTCGAAATAATAACTCCAACGAAATGGATCCAGTTCGACGAAAATTAGTTTCCTGTGTTGTTGTTGTTGTTTTTGTTGGCAGAAAGTTGATAATATTTAAAGGAGAAGGAAAATTATAATAACCAACTGATTAGAAGTAATTTAGATAATTGTGTTTATACAATATCGCATATCTTATCACTTGACTTATTCTAATCGTAAATGTAAAGGAAAACACAAACACGAGTTAAAATCCAAGGCCAGACATGAGACTGATAAGAGGGAGAGAGGGATAAAAATGAAAGATAAACATGATTAATTAATTGGATTGTTAGAGTGAAAGTTAAGACTGATGAATGTGATATCTTGATAATATAACTTGTTGGATGGAAAGAGAGAGAGAGAGAGAGAGAGAGAGAGAGAGAGAGAGAGAGAGAGAGAGAGAGAGAGAGAGACTTGAAAAAGTGAGAAAAAGTATATTTCAGTAACAAGGAATAACTCGGTTCGATGACGGAAAATAAGATTCTGTGTGAAAGTAATTGATGACGATGTCGATGATGTTTATCGGCCACAGATATACATTTACTTTTGATCATTTAATTGATAATTTCTTATCAAAAACAATCATCAATCGATAAATTGTATTAATAGAATCATTAGTATCTAGAAATATCAGCAACATGTCCTGGTGTTGATGTTTATATTGATTAAATAATCAATTACATTTACAGTCATCATAATCAAATAATATAATCATGTTATTCCGGGTTATTCTCGGTTAGTTTAGCTTTCTCTTTCTATCACTTACCTGTTGTGACGTTTTTTTCATTTACCTTTAGGTATAAAATTGAATCGACTGTTTTTTCTTTCTTTTCTTTGCTGTATGTGAATAGAGAGAAAGAAAGAAAGAAAGAAAGAAAGAAAGAGAGAGAGAGAGAGAGAGAGAGAGAGAGAGAGAGAGAGAGAGAGAGAGAGACTTGAAAAAGTGAGAAAAAGTATATTTCAGTAACAAGGAATAACTCGGTTCGATGACGGAAAATAAGATTCTGTGTGAAAGTAATTGATGACGATGTCGATGATGTTTATCGGCCACAGATATACATTTACTTTTGATCATTTAATTGATAATTTCTTATCAAAAACAATCATCAATCGATAAATTGTATTAATAGAATCATTAGTATCTAGAAATATCAGCAACATGTCCTGGTGTTGATGTTTATATTGATTAAATAATCAATTACATTTACAGTCATCATAATCAAATAATATAATCATGTTATTCCGGGTTATTCTCGGTTAGTTTAGCTTTCTCTTTCTATCACTTACCTGTTGTGACGTTTTTTTCATTTACCTTTAGGTATAAAATTGAATCGACTGTTTTTTCTTTCTTTTCTTTGCTGTATGTGAATAGAGAGAGAGAGAAAGAAAGAAAGAAAGAAAGAAAGAAAGAAAGAGAGAGAGAGAGAGAGATTGGCTAACCAATTATTCGTGATGGTCAGTGACGTTGTCAAAGTGGAAATCCATTCGAGGGAGTCAGTGAGTTAAAGCCTTTTCCAAGGCCGAACAGTCACTTGAAGAAAGGGGCAACATCAATAGTCATCATAACCACCAACAGGTTGACTGAGACTTGAATTGTAGGCTGAATATCATCATGTGAAGGTATAAAAATTGCTGAAAAAAAAGAAACAGAAATGAGAGAGTGAGAGTGAGAAGGCCTTGTTACGTCAAAAGTAAATTGATGAATTCATTGAAAAGTATCAATAAAAGTAAAAAAACGAGAAAATATTTACATACTTGATAGTCTATCCATGTTTGAGCGTTATAACCAGATAACTTGGATAGTAAACATCGAGATGATGATCGGCAATAAGATGCTGATGGAAAAGTTGAGATGAGTTGATGAAAGTGAAAAAATCAAAAATGATAAAACATGTCTGACATAATTGTGATCCTGATTTTGTGTGTTATTTGAGTTTCAACGAGATTGATTGAAAAAACCAATGATCCATTTTGAAGATTTGGTGATTTACTTCTGTCTAATCAAGTTCTAATCAACATCTCCTTCTCCTATTTGTCATAATCAATTCGTACCAACAAATCGATATAAAAATATGACATGATTAATACTTCATGCATGAGAAACTATTGATTTAGGTGCACGCGGTAAGCACGTTCTCCCCTTCATTGTTGATAGTTTTTTTTCCAATACTGTTATGGATTGTTAGTTTTATCATTAGAATCTCCATTAGGTAACCATCAGTGGAAGAGAACGAGAGAGAAAGTTGATTGTCCATCATCATAAAATGTTTTCCATCCATCAGAATAAATCAACAAGCCGGTAAAAAGATGCGTTTCCTGTTGATGGATTAAAAGATGATGCAAGCAAAAGGTATTATTGGATCAGTTGATTTTCCCCTTGATGTTTTAAATGTCACAATGGGTTCAACCATTAATCTACAAGTAACCCACTCTTTTTATCGCATTAATTGGATGAATCTCTTTTCCTTAACAATGTAAATGAAGGAACACAATCAATGAATAAATTGAACAGGGTGGAGTTTGGTAGCTATGGTTAGACATGAACTCTAAATAGAATATCTTGTTGATTCTTCACTTAATGCTTACCATTTTTGTTTCTGATCGACTCGTTTATCGTTTATCGCATGAGCATAATGTCTCCACCATCATCACCAGGTTTCTTCTTTCACTAATGATATCATATTGGAAGAGAAAATGAGAGAGAAAGAGACAGAGAACAGAAGAAATGAAAGGAAATGGAAGGAAGATTCATGTAGATTATCACTCACTCTCTCTCTATCTATCTCTTTCTCCTTCTCTTTCGCTATTTAACCGGTATAATAAGTACACTTAAATCAGAAGAACGGGTGAACTCTCAAGGGTCTGAAGAATTTTCCATGGAGGTGAAAAAATGAAAACAAAGAAAATTAGATTAGACACAGAGAGAAAATTTTGATAAAAGAACATGTAAGATAAAGGTAGAAACAACCAGAGAGAAAGAGATAAAGAGGATAAACAAAAGGGGAAGAGAGATAATAAAAGAAAGAGAAGATAAAAGGAGAAACCTTAATGGTTTACATGTGAAAGAGAAGAGAAAAAAAAGTCAAACAAAAGGTTAAGAGAGATAAAAAAGATGGAGGAAAGAGTAAAAAGAGAATAAAAATGAAAACAATCGATAGAAACTCCAGGAAATCAAAGAGTGGACATTGTCAATTCTATAAATAAATGACCAAAAGGGTTAATATAATTAAAGAAGAAAAATTAATCACGAGGACAAACCAGAGAAAAAGAAAAAGTGACCAACTAAAAGCGAGGGAAACAAAAGAAAAGAAAAAAAAATCAATTACAAATTCTACTTATAATCCAATTAATTAATTAGAATTTTGAAAAAGTGGAAAAGTGAAAAAAAAGAATAAGAAAAATTTTCTCTTTCGAATAAAAAATTTGTTCTCCAAAAAGAGTAAAAAGAAAAAGGTAAACACGTACAAAGATTATTATTATTATTAAAAATGCGAAATATTATTTTGTCTTCATCATCATTTTCTCATCATCAGTCTACCTGTTCTAAAGTCTATCATCCTCATCATCATTATTCTCACCACCTTCAATCTACATACACATCATCATCTTTTTCTCTTCTTCTTTTTTCTTCTCTTTCTTTTTTTCCAATTCTTTTCCTCTGTCTACTTCCCTTTCTATTATCAAAGGTGGAGTTTTAATCTCAGACAAGAGGGAACAAACTCGAGGGGAGAATAAGTTCTCTCTCCCCAATCGCACGATATCTCCATGGAAACGGCTTCTCTTCTGGCGTGATGATGATAATCCGGCCTCTCTTTTTTTAGATCACTGTCATCATCATCTCTTAGTGTTTCATTTCTCATTTACTTCTCTCTCGTTTTTTTTTCGTTGGTCTGTGATCTTATTAATCTAATTTGTAAATTATTTTGTTTTCTCTCTCTCTCTCTCTCTTGTTCTCTCTTTTCTTTCTCTCTCTCTCTCTCTATTTCTCTCGATTTTGTTTCGCATCTTCTTTGCTTGTGTTGTGTCTTCTCTTCCCGCAAATGGAAACTGATTCTAGCGGCGGGTTAATCAGTTCTGATTATATTAATTGTTCCATAAGTGATTCTACTCTTATTGGTGAAAATTATCTCAATTCTGATGAATCTCCTTCTACTGATTACTCTAATTCTATAACTACTACTGCTACTACTATCAATCAATCTCATCATCATTCACATTATCATTTGAAAAATGGATTTAAATCTAATAGCTGCTATTCTAATTGTTTGACTATTGTTCCAACAATGTGGCAATCGATAAGATTACCTTTTCCTTTTTCTCTTTCTTTAAATGTGTTCAAATTGTCTAATAATCATTATGGGTTAAATTCTGTTGTCTCATTTTGTTCTGTTTTATTTTTCTTGTTAATTGTCTCAAATAATTTCTCTCCTTCATTATCTGCACCTTCTTCATCATCATCATCATCATCATCATCATTATTACCAGCAAGCATATTTAGCTCGGCTTCATCATTAACCTCTCTTCAAGCCAAATTACCGGTTCGATGTTCATCAACTCAATTCTCTTGTGGTGATTCTTGTATTCCTTCAAATTGGCGATGTGACCGGTCTGCTGATTGTAAGGATCAATCCGATGAGAAAGATTGTCCACTCGCTAATGAGTGTGATAAAAACGAATTTCAATGTGATAACGGTAAATGTATTACCGAAAAATGGGTTTGTGATGAGACAGACGATTGTGGTGATCGATCAGATGAAAGAAATTGTACCGTCACTTGTCCACCGGATCATTTTGCCTGTTTAACTGGTAGTCAATGTATAAATAAGGAATTAAGATGTAATCAAATAACTGATTGTACTGATGGTTCAGATGAAAACGATTGTAAATCAGTTGAGTGTTCAAAAGCCGAATTTAGATGTACTGATGGAACATGTATCGATAAAGCATTTGTATGTGATCAAGAATATGATTGTAGCGATCAAAGTGACGAATTTAATTGTAAAGATACTACTTGTGCCACTAATCAATTTACCTGTGGTGATGGTAAATGTATTCCAGATGTATGGAAATGTGATGGTAACATGGATTGTAAAGATGAATCAGATGAAACAAATTGTAATACAACAATCAAAAAGACAGTTCCGTTTAATTGTAATGATAAATCATTCAAATGTCATGATGGATTAGAATGTATTCACATTGATTGGAAATGTGATGGTTTCTCTGATTGTAAAGACGCTTCAGATGAAAAAGGTTGTGTCTTTAACAATACTTGTCGTAACGATCAATTTCTGTGCAAGAATGGCCAATGTATCCCATCATATATGAGATGTAATGGTGCTCATGAATGTTCAGATCATAGTGATGAAATTGATTGTGACAAGCGTAAGTTTTATTAATTTTTCTATTCTATTGAGATGATACATTTCATTTAATTTCATGTCTTAAAATTTTTCATTTTACTTCAAATACTTTTCTCTCTCTCTCTCTCTCTAATGGCTCTTATATCTTTTTTTGCTTTTGTGTATAATTTAATTACAGATTTACATGACTCTTGTGGCTCGGATATGTTTCAATGCAATTCAACATCAAGATGTATTTCTAAAGACAAAATTTGTAACAAAGTTGATGATTGTGGCGATTGGTCGGATGAACCCAAATCTTGTACTATCAATGAATGTGTAACAAATGCAACCCACTGCTCTCATGTACGTTGATCAACTTTGGATTTAGATGTTAATCTGAATTCACAAATTTTGACGCCAATTGTATCCTATTTTGAGTTTCCTCTTCCCCCTTCTAATCCTTAAAACCTAATTTCTAAAATAATGACTACTCTCATGTTTCCTTTCAACATTTATATATACACTTATGTATGCACTCTCCTTCCTTTTTTTCTCTCAACTCCACGTCTCTCACTAATCAGTTAACCTTATCAATTTATTGAGATATTATTATTCTCCATTTTTGTCTTATTTTCGATAATAATCATATTTCTCTTTCTCTCTCTCTCTCTCCTTCTCTTACCAGGAATGTATTGATGATCCAATTGGTTATCATTGTGCATGTCCAAAAGGATTAAGGCTTGATAATGATGGTAGAACCTGCTATGATATTGATGAATGTAAAGAAACATTTGGTATCTGTTCAAATCATAAGTGTATCAATACCAAAGGTGGTTTCAAGTGCGAATGTTTTGACGGTTATCAATTAGTTGATCATCGTTTCTGTAGGGTTAAAACACATGAACAACCATATATCGTATTTGCCAATCGTCATGATATCCGTCAAGCATATTTACCTGCTAATCGATCAGGACCACGACATTACACTCCACTTTATCGTGCTCTAACTTCAACAGTTGCTATTGATTATAATCTAGCAGGAAATTATTTAATTTGGTCAGATGTTGCTGTTGAAGGAATTTTTATCGGTAAACTGAATAAGGATAAAGGTTAGTAATTAACCCGTTCATCTCATTGATCATGTTAATTGATCATATTCAAACCGGAAACTTTATATCATATTACTTTTAGTTTCACTTTTAATTCACCTTCAATTTCATTTATTACCCCATTTTTCATAAATCTTCCTCTCTCTCTCTCTCCCTCTAACCAGAATCTAAATATGCCAAAGAAAATGCCACAGCTCTAATTTCAACTTCGATTAAAAATGTTTACGGAGTCGCTATTGATTGGGTTCACGATCTTTATATTGGACTGATGATGTTGCAAATACAATTGAAGTTGCTCAGATCGGAAATGTAATTATTCATACTAATAGTTTATTAATTCAATATGACATGTTCATCATTCAAACTCTTGGTCTTGTTACTTTTTGTTTCTCACTAATCATTTTGCTCTTATTTTCTGATCACAGCCAATAAACAGAAAGATCATCATTGAATCTGGTCTTGATGAGCCTCGAGCAATTGTTATCGATGTTAAAGAAAACATGATTGTTTGGGCTGATTGGGGTGATCAAGCTTTCATCGAGAGAGCATCACAAGACGGTTCAAACAGGAAGAAATTAGTGGAATCTCAAATTCTTTGGCCAAACGCATTAACACTCGATGTAATTACCAAAAAAATCTATTGGCTGGATGTTAAATATCACACGTTAAGTGCAATAAACTATGATGGATCTGGACGAATTACCTTGTATGAATCTCCATCTTTAATTAATCAACCGTTTTCAGTTGATATTTTTGAAGATTATCTCTACTATTCTGATTGGAAACTCGAAGCAATCCAACGAATTAATATAAACGACGAACCTCACAAAGCGGATACCTTTATGTCTCGACTTATAGAGAATCCAATGGGTGTAAAGATTGTCCATGAAAGTAAACAACCAAAATCACCTAATAGATGTGAATCAGCAAAATGTTCACATTTATGTTTACCTTCAACATCACCAACCAACTATACATGTACATGCCGAAAAGGATATTTATTGCTGAAAGATGCTTGTGTACCAACAACTACCTCTCAAATCTCAACTACTAAAAGCACAACAACTATGAAGTCAATAAGTCAACAACAATCATCGGTGACAACTTCATCACCGCGAATCTCATCATCTACCACCATTCCCTTGACCAAGGGAGATACATCAAGTTCATCAATAACAATCAATGAAAGTGATAGATTAGATCTTGAAGATTATGCCTCATCATCCAGTCATAAAGGTGACAAATCAAAAGACAATTTATCTGGAATCTCTAACGATTCATTTAATCTCAACGATAATACCAATGTAGTATTAAACTCAACAGGGGATTACTCTGAAACTGATGCTCATCTTGCTTTAATAATTATTGCCATTTGTTTAACGATAGCTTTGTTCATTACTTTGTTAACCTTTATAATTCATCGTAATTATGCTAAGTAAGTAGACCAATTTAATTTTCAATTCCAAAGTTGAAATTTCTTTCCAATCAAAACTAATTAATTTATAAAATTTATCTTTCTAATCCACCATTAGGAGAAGCATAACATCAATGAATTTCGATAATCCGGTTTATCGTAAAACCACAGAAGAACAATTTGTACTTGAGAAGAGTGAAGATAATGTCAACTCTTACCCATCAGTAAGTTGATTGTCTTAATCATCCACCGAATCAAAAATTTAATTCTTGATTGCTCATCTAATCAACATTTTCCATTTACTTTTTCCCTTTTTCCTCCTTCATATTACAGAGTCTGGAACCATTAAACTCTCCAGGAACAAATGAGTTTGTCTAATCATTGGCAATTTTTTTTGCATGTTGAGTTTTTTTTCTGTAAATAGCAAAAAAATATAAACAATACAATATATATAAATATAAACCGAAATATATAAGGCCTGTTCACTTTTCTCTTCAACTTCTCCCCTTTCTTTCTCATCATTATCATCTTATTCTTATTCTGAAACATTCTACATGATTCTTATTCAAGGTAAGGATATTACTCTCCATGAGGATGATAATGATGATGATAGAATTGCTCCTTCTCCTTCTCCTTCTCTCTCTCTCTCTCTTTCTCTTTCTCTCTAGTTATTATCATCCAGAAAACTTGATTTTTTTACCTTATCCTTCAAACCGTTAAAACTTTAAATACAATTTAAAGTAAGGGTTTAAATTGTTCACCTTTAATGATGATAATTGTTACCTTTAATAATTGGCTATCTTTCTAGTTTCTCATTGAATCATGATTATCGTTTGCTTGTTAATTGTTACTTGATTGTTAAAAAATTCAAATTAAACTTTGGGTGTTTTTTTTGGAAATGATATTTAGCAAACTTGAACTTTTCCTTGTTAAATTGTCGGTTCAATTTAACTTGTACTTGAACTAATACATTTACCTCTTTTTTTCAAATGTGATACAATTAGTTAACTGATTAAGTAATCAATCAAAGTTTTTTGATACAATCAGGAAATGATACTTTTTTAGTGAGAGCAGAGTAAAAATCCCAAGACTATCAATAGGGTTTAATTATATTAATTACAAGTGATTATCAATTAATCAGCAATGAAATAAACTTTTTTTTCGTTGGTTAGTTAAACAGGATATGTAAATTAATTAAATTACCGCAGGGGTTGATTGAAATAAAAATTTTCCAATTAGTAAATGATTCTTACAATCAACGAATGAGTTGAATGATTATTTGTTGATAAATTAGATCTATTTAAATGATTGTAAATAGATAAAACCTTCATCATTTTCTAGGAAACGGAAATGATGTCTAATCAGTCTAAGTTAAATTTATCTAGTCTCGTAGACGAATTGATAATCAATCAGAATTTCAATTGAATTAAATTCGTTTACTGGATCAGTTGAATTTTACTCTTGGAGTTTTATACGAAATTGTTTCCGATCCTTCAATCAATCAATACCTCTTTTGAACGGCATTTGGACTTGTCTGGACTCATCTACATTTCAACGATTTTAGGTCCCAAATTGATGAGATCCCGTTCACCTTTAAGTTTATCATTGTTTTTACCAATTCATATGTCCACATGGTGATGTGCTTTTATTTTGGTCTTAGAGCTACTTCCGTATCCGTTTTACGACCAGCTCTTAAAATGAAAAAAGTGGGTCATCAGGCTACAAATTATTCCAATTTCATTACACTTTTTCCGTCTCGTTTATATGGTTACTTATTGTGATGAAATTGACCTTTTCATCCTATGGGAAATGCTAAATGCCGTTTTTTGTTGGACCATTTGACCCATTCCTATCTACGCTTACATGGCTAAACCGCAATTAAAGGCCAGTTTGCGGCGATCGCTTGATCGAAAGGTCAATTGAAGAAACAATTTGATACATTTGATGTATTATTGATAATCAATCTTTCATTGATCTAATTTGAGTTATCCAAAAGTGCCAGCGGGCAAATGCTATTACTAATACAAATATTTGATTTGTACCAGAATCTTGCACGAAAAATTCGAGTAATTTGATGAAATTATGATGGATGATTTTTCGATACCTTTGATTAAATTCTAGTCACAACTCTGATTCTGTAATGAGAAATTAACTGATTAGCAGCAATTACAATCATCATGCTTGTTGTTGAATCAATTATGAGTTAAATCAAGTGAATTAAACCTTTGAGAAACAACAAAGAAAATCTAAATGATTATGTCTTCATCTCTACAACATGGGTTAATAATTAACTTAATTATTACCTAATTTTTTGTACAATTAAAATGAATCGTTTTTTTGTACACTCAGATGATCAACTAATTGTCTCAATAGTTTAACAAACGGCAACAGAAAACTTTGAGTTACCTTGAACGAGGCCATTAGCTTATTACTTGTATACCTTTCGGGCTGGAAAAGGTTATTGATTTAAAGATGATCATGATGACGGTGATGAAGATGATGAAGATGAAGATGAAGATAAGAATAAAGAAAGAGAAATGATGATAACCTTATAATATTGTTTAGTCTACTATCTTTTCCTCTTTCTTTTTTTTTCTTCTCTCAACTTGATTTTTCTCTCTCATCGGTTTCAATTGATTCTTTTTTCACAGTTTACCTGTTTTCTTTTTGTCTGATCTTTTTTCTACCTGAGTTTTCATTGATTTCTTTTGATTGCAATCGTAAATTGTTGATTATATTGTTGTTGATTGTTCAACAATCAGCAAATTAGTTTTGTATGAGCTTAAGTGTGTTGAGATTGTGACAACGTTTAAAGGAGTTTTTTTTTTCAGGAAAACCGGTAACTTGATTTTACTTTAAATTTTTTAATCATTTTCGGGATTCACTTTGCTTTGGGGTTAATTGTTACAATTAATGTACCATTTAAATTATCATATTCATATTTAGTTAATTATGTCGCACTGTTTTGGTGAATGGACATGAATTCATTTTTAATTACATGGTTCAGATTAATTATCATTAAACCAGTAGATTGATGTTGATTTTTGAATAATTATTTATATGATCAGTTGATTGTTTTCATCGGTTTTCAAATTACTTTTATCTTTAACTTTTGTTTCTGTTAATTGTTTCCAATGAACATCATCTTGATTAACTAATGATGATGATGATGATGATAATTATATGATGAAATAATTGACTGGAATGTTAAAGTAATTACATCAGTTTGATTTTAATCATCATTAAAACATGTTGGTAATTTTAATCAGATTTAATTAGAATGTGATTTGATTTAATTTTCCCCTTTTTATGATCTTGATTATGATTGATTTTAATTTATTTATCATTTTCGTACTTTAATTTGTATCTTTAAATGATTTTCTTATAATTTTGTATTGTTCAATTTACATTAGTAATTAATGATTAAAACTTATTTCGTCAGAGGAAAGTTTCCAATTAGTTAAACGATTGTAAATTTGATCATTTCAATTATACTTTAAGTGATCAAATTAATTATCGATTGCCAATTAATTAGATGTTCAGTCTCTTGAAAAAGTTTTATTAATTATGAGAAAAAGAAAAGATCAATTAATCAAAACAATCTAATCAAACAATTAGATGAATAAAACTTTACGATTGAGGAAGATGCAAATCACTTCTTGTGCCAACTAATCAATGTAAACGTCATTCATTTTGATATATCAATTTTCACTGAGAATTAATTAAACTAGGCTTACTGCAAGCGGCAGTGACGTCTGAGCGCGTGTATGACTCAGAGAAGAGAGACTGAGAAATGCGTGCGAGAAAGAGACTGAGAGAAAGAGACTGAGAGAAAGAGACTGAGAGAAAGAGACTGAGAGAAAGAGACTGAGAGAAAGAGACTGAGAGAAAGAGACTGAGAGAAAGAGAAAGAAGAGAAAGAGACTGAGAGAAAGAGACTGAGAGAAAGAGACTGAGAGAAAGAGACTGAGAGAAAGAGACTGAGAGAAAGAGACTGAGAGAAAGAGACTGAGAGAAAGAGACTGAGAGAAAGAGACTGAGAGAAAGAGACTGAGAGAAAGAGACTGAGAGAAAGAGACTGAGAGAAAGAGACTGAGAGAAAGAGACTGAGAAAAAAAGAAAGAAAAGAAAGAGAAACGCAAAAATTTAAAAGAAGCGGCATTTTCCTCGTTGCCATGGTGATAGACACTTTCGCTATCTAGCGTGAAGAGAAATTACTAATTTTCGGAGGTGGGCCAATCATCACCAAAAACTATACAGGTGACCAGACCCATCATTTGGACCTATCCTGAAAATTTGGGGAAAATCGGACTAAAATTGTGATCGCTATCGTTTAACGCAGAGTTTTTTTTTCGATGTATAGTCTTCGCTTCGCTCAGACAACTAATTAGACAATTTAATCAAAACTGATTGAAAGGATTGAAATTAATTAGACGTCGAAGTGAGTGAACTGGAGTGAGTGAGTGAGTGGCTTTAGGCATCATCGGCTCGAGTGAAAAAATTATCGACTAAGCTGGCTTGAAGTGGCTCAGTCACTGAGAATTTTATTCAATTCTTGCTTACGAAAAATTGACAGTTAATCCTTGATTCTTAATCTTTTGAAAAAGTTTTGGAAAGAGATAAAGGGTTATGCAGGTCAACTGCAGGAGATTTCAATATAAAAGAAAACAAAAATGGTCAAAACTGCCCATTCGAATTTTCCGCTTGGAATATTGGTAATTGATGTTTAATATGATGCTAATCTGATTGGTCGAGTGATTGACTGAGTGACTGAGCGAGCGAATTTTTTCAAGCTAGCTGAGTGAGTGAGCCGAGAGCAAAATATTCACTTTCAGTGAGCCGGAGAAATCTTCACTCACTTCGACGTCTAAAATTAATTTAATTGCTTCGCTTGTGACATCTAGTGAGAGATGATTCATCTAAAGGGCATTTCACCAAGTTTCTGACAAGTTTTGACAAATTCCTGTCACTGGTGTAAGTTGATTGATTTCATTTTTCATTCTTCAAATGACTTTCAAGTGCCTTCTTTCATGAATAACCTTTATGACCTTGACCTTGAAATATGACAATTGAGTATCGCTCAAACTCCCATAACTCGCGTCTGGAGCCTAAATACCCAAAGACAAAAAATTTATTCGCGAAAAACTTGTTGGAAACTTGGTGAAATGCCCTGTATTATTTACCGGCGATTCAATCATGTCGGAGTAAAATGAGAATCGGAACTTTCATTTTTCACAAATCATTCATTTTCTTTTATCATAATTAATTCTCAGCGGATCAATATGAACCATATCGGCCTAGTAGTTTCTGAGTGATCGTGAAAAGATCACAAATGTAACGAAATTGTCTTGTATCAAGTAATACTTTCCATGAAAAGTTCCGTCCAACAGGCATCGTCTGAACGAGCATCGTGGTGTCACAAAGAAGTTGCATTTGACTCCATGGGGAGTTTTTATTCTGATTCGACCGTTCGAGTCAGCTCATCAAGAGCTTTCGATTGCTTTTATCTCAAGTTATTTGAATAAGTTCACCGGAAATCCCACATTTCGGCTTCTCTCCCTTGATTAGTTTGATCAAAATTTCATCGATTGATGATAAATCAATCTCTTACATTAGTTATTCTACCGACTAAGAAGATGGCGAAACTACTTTCATTGGCTAACGAACAATTTAACAATAATAAAGATTTATTTATCTCTTTTGCAGACAATTAATTCAAATCACTTCGTATGATTATCATCAGCATTCTAATTATTTACAAAATGTAGTAAAGAAAAGTAAATTAATTAACTGCTATGATTAATCTAGAATAGTTCAAAGTTCGTGAATTTAGGATTTGTCCCAACAGATGGCGTAACAGTAAAGTTCTGATTAGAATTAATTTTCTCATGGTTTTCACTTTTATCATCAAATTTAATCAGAAGAGAAACTATTGATTACTTAAATTGTTCACAAAATTAACCCTCAAGCCTTTTTTTTCTTGTGAATATCTTCAAGTTTACTCGTTTCTCCTTCTTAAGAGCAAGAGAGAGAGAGAGATGAAAAGTAAAGATTGTAACTATTGAGATGATTTCAAGTGATAAGAATGGAAAACAAAATCCTCATGAAAAATAGGGAGTAGAAAAAGGAACTGAGTTTGAGTCACCAAAGGAAAAGAGAAAGAGAGAGAGAGAGAGAGAGAGAGAGAGAGAGAGAGAGAGAGAGAGAGAGAGAGAGAGAGAGAGAGAGAAGGAAAGAAAGAAAGAGAATGATGATGAAGGAGTAGCAAAAAAGAAGTAAATTCGAGAGAAAAGTTTATCTAGTTTCTTCTTATAACTTATCTTGGCATCAAATTATCGTCATCACCGCAAATACTAATAACAAGAGTATTTACTTCAATTCCCTTGTAACCTGTTTTCCTCATCATCATAATTACAATCATCTACCACCGTCATCGTCCCCTCTTAATCAGTGTAGCAAATACAGATCTCATCGAATCAGAATTAGAATCAACAATCAGCAATCAAAGTTAAACAACATCAAAAAGAAGGAAAAAAAAGAGAGTGAAAGAAATGGAGAAGAAAAAAAGTTAACTTAACAATTTAATTCCATTGAAAATTATTATTAGTAAAATAAACAATTTAAAACAAAATTAACTTATTGTTCTTTGTGTTGATTATCAAAGTTTCCAATAATTGTTATCACCATGAATCGTAATGATTTAATACAAAATACAATAATCTCTTCACCATCACCACCTTCAATGATAATCGCATCTTCATCTTCATCTCGTGTTGGTGATTTTTTTGATTCCTCACCGTCAACACTTTCATTTGATGATTCATCTTCCCTCTCATCACTTTCAGTTTTATCAACTGTCACCCAACTGACCAATACAAATACAACTGACCTGGAAACGGGTTGGGCCTCATCGGAACCTCTACTAATCCCAGTGACCATATTGTACATTTTAATCTTACTGACCGGTGTAGTGGGCAACGTGGCAACGTGCATAGTAATTGCCCGGAACAAGTATATGAGAACAGCAACTAATTACTATTTGGCCAGTTTAGCGATTTCCGATCTTCTTTTACTCATCTGTGGCCTACCTCAAGAATTGTATCTTCTCTGGCGTCGGCGACCTTACATTTTCGGTGAATTTTTCTGTATCATTCGTGGCCTCTCCTCTGAGACATCTTCCAATGCTTCAGTATTGACCATCACTGCGTTTACAATTGAACGTTACCTGGCCATTTGTCATCCCCTTAAGGCTCACACAATGTCCAAATTATCGCGAGTGGTCAAGTTAATAATCATCATATGGATCTGTGCTCTTCTTGGTGCTATTCCATTGGCCCTACAATTTGGCCTTAAATACGATGAGACAATAATCCAAGAAGGTTCCATGTCATCATTATCCTCTGCAATCGCCATTGAATCAACCGCTGAATGTACAGTCATCTCACCAATTAAACACTCATTTGCAATATCAACTTTCATCTTTTTCGTAATCCCCTGTATACTATTGACCGTCCTTTACCTGTCAATTGGCCTACATTTAAGACAATCGGAAGCCTTGAAACGTAATCAGCCCGATAAATGTTGCAATTGGTTAAATAAATGTCGCCCTGAACTTTACAAAACCAATTCCCATTCAACTAACATTGACTCGGTGACCACTCCAATTAAATTACATTCATCAAGTGTCCATTCAACCAATACCAATGACCATCATGGTGATGAAACAAACAATTCATTGTTGACCAAATATCATACAAGTTTGTTGACAAAAAGTAGTTCAATTTATTCAAAATTTAAACCTTCATTATCATGTATCCGTTACCATAATCATGAGTCTAGATCAACAAGACATCAACAATTAAACCAATCAAATCATCATAATCATAATCATCATCATCAATTTAATAATAATCATCATCATCATTATCACCATCACGAGTCAAATGTATCTTCATCATCTAGACGAGCGGTTATCAAAATGTTGGGTAAGTTTTAATTTGCTAATTTCAATTGGAAATTCATTTGCTTTCGTCCATCATTATCATTTAAATTGATTAATTAATCAGTTTGATCAGGCTAATCGTTAAATGAACAATAATCAATCAATAATTTCTCAATATAATTACTAAATTAATTGAATGAAAATGGAAAAAGTTGATTTTATTTTTCCTTCTCTCGGATCATTAGCAATTCTGATTCATTCATTTTCCTACTGAACTGAATTTAAATTCATGGTGAGTGTTCAGGGTCATTATAATTACCACCTAGATAATTTCCTCGTCTATTTGACCTTTACCACCCACTGAAACCACTGAAACAATCAGGGAACAATCAATAAATCAGTGACTCGATCCTTAGAATAGTTTTACCAATGAATATTTTTCTAGATTAAAACTTTTCTTTTCCGTGTTAATTGTTGATCTTTACTTCATCAACAATCAATGTAAATCACTAGTTAACTGTCAATCAACAATTGTGATTGATCTAGTTGCAGTTGGATCCAAAAAAAAAGTTAACAATTAAGCCACGACAACTAGTTGACAATACTAATTGTAATACTAGTTGAATGACTTTCTTTGTGTTTAACTCAATTTAATGCCAACTCATTTCTTAATTGTATTAATCAATTGTGAACAATTAGATTGAGATAATCTTGAATAAGCAATCAGATAAATTAACAGCTATTTAGCAATTAAATTTTCAATCACCATTGGATTTACACAGCTGATCAACTGTTGAAATAAATTAATCAAACAAATGTTATTTATGATTACATTTTGATTAACCCCTCAGGGGTAAATTGGTGGTTAGTAAGATAAATATCATCTTAATTAATCAAATCAAAATTTAATTAATTTCAGTCGTAAATAAAGATTCAAGTATTTCATTGTGAACTTTAATTGTTTACACATGTTTCCATCAGTAATTAACAATCAATTTCAAGGTCTTAATGAAACTTAGTTAATTGTTTGCGATGAAAGTTTTGATTTTCCCAATTTGCTATTTTTAAGACAAAATTAATTGCTATGAAAATGATACCAAATTAATATTAATCATCACTTGATTAACATAATCAAACTAATCCGGTACATGTAAAGACAGTGGGAGACATTAATTGAGATTAATCATCTTAATTACAATTGATATTTTATTGGATTTAATTATAAAAAAATGGAAACATGATCAGAATTTAAAAGTTAAAAAATTGTTTCATTTGTTGATTGAGTTAATTGTCACCATTGAGAATCAAAAATAATCAAGCTTTATGGTTAAAGGTTAATGAAACTATTATATTAATTGTGATGATGAGTTGATAACAATTTGCTCATGATTAACATTTTGGAACCGGATTTAGTTTAAATCCAAAGTTGATTGTGATCTTGATGATTGATCATAAAAGTTCATTGATACTTATGATTAATCAATGATGACCCAAGGTAAAAGTCAATGGACATTAGTAAAAAAAACTAACCAGCAATTAGAAAGTTGATTATGTTGATTTATTTTAATTGTTGAACATTTTATGAAAAAAAAAATTACCTAAATTATCAAGAGTAATTAACACTCAAAGGTAGACGTTGGTTTAGACTGATTAGTAAATCGTTGATCAATCATATGAATTTTTCCTGGTTAGCAATTAAATCTCATTATTCAATCAACATCTAATCACAATTTGATTGTTTGTCTGGATTCCATTCAAATTGTAATCTGATTGATTATTCAACTCAAATTACAATTAAGATTATAATGTGATTGTGATTAGTTTATTAAATTTCAACTGTAATCAATTCAAATCAAAATTGATTCAGTTAATCACAATAGCATTGTAATCAGAATTTTTTTTTAATTCTCATTGAGATCATTTTTCAGTTAACCGATCACAATCAAATTGCTCAGCTAGTTCCTTAATCAAATTTACAACAATTAGCAGATTAACTTAAGAAAAACTAAATTATATCAGTTGATTAACGGTAGTCACTGATTATTGATCTTTAAGTAAACAGTTAATCATATTTAGTTGACAAACTTTTCTTGTAATTGTATTGTTTGATAGTTGACAATTAAGTATTTTATTTAATGGTTAGAATCCCGAATAATTATATTATCCGATTGTTTATTAAACTAAAGTATCTTGATTGTTTATCATTAATATTTAACTTTTGTCTCTCTTCAATTAACATTTACCTCAATTAACTGAATGTTAAGTCAAATCAATTAAGTTTTCATGATGATTAGATCATAATAATCAATGAATAACCTGAAGGTATTCAACTTGAACCAATCCAACGATTTTCATATGGCAAAAATATACCAGGAAAAAAAGTTCATCAGAATCTGAATAATCTGTTATCATTATATTGTGTATACAGTTAACCATAAGTAACCAATATCCATCACCATGATATTTAGGTTTAATTTTTTTTATCTCATTCACCTGAATTTGATTTCATGAATCATTCAGGATTATTCATGATGATTAAACTTTGGAGTTTGTGAGTCTATGTGATTAATGAGTAACAATTCAAAGTTTATCTCAATGATTAACAGTTATACTTGGCATGAAAGCTCACAAAGACATCATGGTGATTTGATATCAAGTTTTTTTTGCCAAAAAAAACAGGAATTACAACAACTAAATTAAATCTGATTGTTGACAATTGGTAATAATTTCCTTGTTCATACTTGTAAGATACACATACAGATGAAATCTAATAACAATGAGAGAGATGAAAAAATGAAATCTGAGCTTATTAACCCAGAAAAAAGTTCTTAGAACTTTTTTCCCCTCCTTTTTGCTCAATAACCAACCTTAATTGTGATTGTTTCGTTGGTGCAATTCAGCTGATTGTTAAAAAATAAAATTAGCCTGAACCCGGTCAACCGAATTGATCATTTCAAGTTAAATGGTGACAAAAAATAACACAACAATCAAAGCTCAGTGTCTCACTGTGATTAAAATTTCGAGGAATTTCCCTCGTTAGAACTTTTCGAAAATTGAACGAGAAAAAATTCCAAGATCATTTATCGCTCTCTCTCTCTCTCTTGTTCTCATTTTCATCCAATGAATTTAAACTTCATCATCAAATCTTTTCATGATGAGTTTTTTACTTCAAAGTTCCATCATGATGAACAACAACGAAGTAACAAAGAGGAAGAAAAAAACAAGAATCAACTTCCGGATTATTTATCAATCCCAATTGCGAGCTGACCTTTTTTTCATCATAATCATCATGATGATGAACATTTAGTGTACATATGAACAATGAGAATATTGAATATCATTCTCACTCCTACACTCTTCGTTAAGTAGATCAGAAAGAATATAATTTTTTTTTCTCAACTTAAATCGAAAAGGGAAACAAACTGATCTCTCCTCGAATTTGAACATTTGGAGAAAGTTTCAACAACTTATTAGTAACTTTTCCTCCCACTCTCTCCCTCTATATTTCTCTCTTAATCAAAGCCAACTTGGCATCGAATTGATTAATATAATGATCATCAACATGATGGTTATCATTATAATCACCATTGACAATCATTTAATATCCATTATAACAAGTGAATAGAAATCATTGATATCAGTTGAATGATTAACGTACGATCAACAATTAAAGGTGAATAAAAGTTTCAATAGATTAATATATCTAATCATTCATCAGTTATCAATGACGGTGACGATGGGATGATAATATCGTCAATAACAGACTCTATCTTGGGTCTCCTATTCCTCCCTCACTTCCTCTTCCTCTCTCTTCCTCTCTCTTTCTCTCTCTTTCTCTCTCACCATCATTATCATCATCATCTTATTCATTATCTTTAAGGAAAATGTTTGTTGCCAGGTTAAGACAGAAGCTTGTTAGCTGATGATGAAGATGAAGATGATAAACAGGATGATAACTTTCCTTCTTTCTTTCTCTTTGTGTCAATTCAGTTGTTCATCATCTATCATCCTCATCATGTTGTTTTTGTTGTTGTTACATTTGAAAACAATGATGATAAGGAAGATGAAAATTCTTCTCATTCTGATAATCTCTTTTTTTTCCTCTTCATCTTGTTCTAGATGTGACCAACATTCTTGATTCAAAATAACATTAACAAGCTTATCAGAACTTTCAGAATCTATTCAACTGCTTTAAGGTATTTCTGTCAATTCAAACACCCCGGCGGTTCCTCCCTCTCAGCTTCATGTTCAGATGGAGATAAACATCATTAAGATAATAATATCTAATCACTCCCAAAGTGTAAAGTGTTTATCAAACTTTGAAACTTTCTCCTTTATCCAATCAATTGTTTCCTACTTCATGACGATTATCATGAACCTGAGTTACAATTGATACGTAGACTAATCTATCTAATAATAAACTTCAATACGAACGAAAATCTTGAAAAATTTTTTCTTTTTTCTTTGTTTTCTTTTTCTTTTTCTTCTTTTAGAGAAGCTTAACAAAATTTCAACGAAATTCTCATGATTAGAATACGAATACGAGGTAAACTTTTCAATCATCGAATCAAACGAAATATTTAACTCAAACTTTCGATCAGAATTTACAGAACTTTCAAATCTCTATTTACTTGGGATGAGTAAAGAGAGAAACGTATTTCCTTTAACCATGTAAACTCAGAAAATGTGTCAGAATTTTCAGTTGACATTTTGTTCAAATAGAAATAAAATTTTCACCGAAATCATATTTTCTTGATGTTCTCATTGTTATATTTACTTGGAAAATGTTGCAGATAAGATTGATTCATTTTCACAGATGGAAAACATAATAGAATAGAGGAAATTGTTCAATATTTACCTTGACTGAAATTCATGATAAAAAAAAGGTCATCATGTTGTTCAGCTCATAAATCATATCTCGGTGAATATCAACAATTGAGCAAATTAAAATTTCAATATTAACACCAATTCTTAATAATATCCACTTTATATTTACGCTTGACTCACCTGAACTTCCTCATGAATTCTGAATAACGATCACGC